TGAAAGAAATAAACTGTTAATTTTATGATAACTTAATTCTCTGAGTTAGTTCAGTCAAGTGTGGGCATGATTAAATAACCCCATAGTCATTTAAATGGCCTCTTCTGAGGCGGGCGTATTACGTTGTCATATTTGACGGCAGATTTTATTTTACACAACACAAATACTTCTTTTATTCAACATGTTATTTTCACCAAATATTTTGCTGTTTTATTTTAATTAAAAAGGAACTAGTACGTTCAAGGTACGGATGCGCGTGTACATATATTTCGGGATTTTGCTCTCTTGTTTTGTAAAACATTCTTAATTCTTTTATTCTTATTTTTCTCATTTACCAGTAGCCTCTATATTGATTACAAATTTGAAATAAACTTACTTACCAATAAATAGTATTGTAGCATCACTTTGTTGCATATGTAGAATTGCAGCGGCACGATTCCATGCTTGCAAAGCCCGCAAATCTCTCAGACGACTTCGTACGTTGAGAATCCACACAAGAGTTCGAAGATGCAAATTGAGAAGTTTATTTTCCATCAGAAATACTTAGATTTGACAGCTAAAACAGAGAGCATCGAAAACGCGGCCAGACCTAGCAGCAGTCAGACAAAAACAGGATGACGCAATCCTGTAACGTGGTTACTTTGACACATCTGCTTGGAGTCAGTCAAGAATTTTTAAATCCACTTCGGTGGAAAGCACATTAGTCGAGATCATATACTGTACAGTGTACACGACCCTAAGAAAATATAAAATACATAAAATGATAAATAAGTTGGCGCTCACAAACTGGTTTACACGTTCAAAACCATCATTTTCATGAAAAATGTACATCAAATAGGGCCTACCACTTAAAAGTTCTAATAGCTGATTTTAGCCTAGTCTACGCAGCTTTTTGGAGATTAATTTTTGAATATTGCAACTAAAGTAAAGCCCTCAATAATGACAATTACACACCAAAACAAGGCAGTGTTTACAACCATGCTTCATATCTCTTTGGGCGAAAGAAGTTTTTAAGCGGCTGCAATTGTTGTTATTGCTTAGTGTCATTGTTACGAAAATAAACAAGGAGAGCGAAATTTTGACTCCGACTCAAGTTCTAAACTCCTAAAAAATCAAATTGTATAAACATGAACTTTGACGTGTGTGCGCTAGATCTTCAGTACAAAGACACCGCCACTAATGCAAAAATGCAAGACTTGAGAAAAATAAAAACGCCACGTTTTAAAATAAGGAATCAGTTATTATGTAGTTAGATTTTCGGGTTAGAAATGATCTGAAAATTTGAATTTCCAAGAAAATCTGCATTCCTAACCCTAAACCCAACTGGATAGTTACTAATTCTATTATTTTGTGCGTTGTTGGGGTAGTTTTTTGGCGGGGCTTTGCATAAAAGTTCCTCTTATTCAATCGACTATTAACAACGCGCCAGAGAACTGGCATATTTCGTGACAGTGCTTTTTTTTTATAACAATTAGAAATCCCACTCCGTAGATGCAGAATATCGACTTCGACTTCCGCCACTGGGTAGCTTGAACTATGACCTCGACTCCAGTTAAAATATTCTGACTCATTTCGAACAAGGCTGTGTACGACCAACCACATTTAGATAAGGAGTTATAAACCACTGGAATCTTTCCGGTTAGTACTCAAATTATTACGCCGTGGTGAAGTGGTGGTCATTTAAATTGAACTTCAGATTTTTAATTGCAGTGCCAACATAAATATGTCGAACGTATTAAATATTTAGGCTTTCGTGCCCACTTTAGCATAATCAGAAAATACTAACTCTTACAGGCGAAGGTGTAGTTGGTCTACAGATGAATTCTGTTTGCAAAAACTTGAGCGGCGAATATTGTTATTGCAACAGAGGTAATTAAAACTTTTTGTCGTTTGAAATTTTATTTCAGGACTTTCTAATATTCAGACAACGCTCAAAAATGTTTTGCTAATACAGTGGTCTTCAAGTTTTTCTGGACGCGGCCCACTTTTGTTGCACAAAAAAATTGTTGCCCATCAACATTTGCAGCAGGGAAAAACTACAAGAAAAACACACTTCCACTTTAATAATTGAAATGAGAATTACTACTCGGTATCAAGAACCAGGCATCATCATTCATTGCTTTACCATAATCAAACTTAAATAACTTATAAATTACTCTAGCAATTTATAATAGGTTTAGGATCCACATAAAACGTTTGTGTGGCCCACTAGTTGAGACCCGATGCGGTAATACCTGTCATTCATTACAGATCTCTGCAACGAAGCTTCTATCATGAAATTGAACGTCGTTCTGATGATATTTCTGGCGGGAATTCTTGCAAAAATCTACGCTTGAAAGCAACAAACTGTCAACCAACTTATTAATTTTTCTATTAATTCAGTTTTATGGTAATTTTTTACCCGGTCTTACGTTATCGCTGTCACACATGAAAACTTTTCACGCATGATTATGCACATTATGTTCACGTTTTGATATATTGATAATTTCTCACATTGCCTGTATTTTGAACCTGTATTTGTACGCACATGATGGCTGTGTTTGATAACAAATAAGAAATGCTCAAATTTTTGAACACGAAAACCAAATGACCAAAATTGGATGCCTGGAAATTTCTTCTAATTGTTAAGGTCAGTGGTTCTCAAACTTTCAAAGTTGCGCCCCTTTTTAAAATCTGTCAACTCGAGCCTCGGGTCACCTCAAAAACAACTAGCTAACAATAAGCTACAAATAACAGATAGTAAGACGAAAGTGAAAAACACGTTGAAAATACGTGGATGGAACGTAAATATCCAAAATAAAATAAAAAACAAAATATCCAAAATTAGGAGGGCACGACCAAACAAATAAGATTTTTCTGTTTAATTAGCTTCGCGTCCCCTTAAAAAGTTATTTAAACCGTAGCTCCTCCTCATCTAGTGGGCCGCGCCCATCGTTTGAGAACCACTGGTTTAGGTAATTGTACCGAGTGTTAAAATCCACAAAATTTGGAATACAATATCGGTATTTTTCGAGAATCCAGAAAAAAAAATTGAAAAACAAAAATAATAGCTTTCTTCTTTATCTTCGAGCGATGAAAATTTGAGATCTATTTCCATTAGAGTTATTATACCAACCATATAATGTCTGCAGTTTCGACTCTCCGGATTCGTAATTTTGACTCTTACGAGTTTGAAAATACGACTCCGGCTATCCGATCTGAAAATACGACCCTGGTAAACTTTGACTCCAAAGCTCCGCGGTTACATTGATAATAAATCTAAACTGAATCTGTCGAGTATGGTTGTCGCTAGATGGCATACGTTAGCTTGCTAAAATGAAAGTAACAAGAAAGCTATGCTCAAATATATGGACACTTAGAATAAAACAAAATATATTATCATCACTTCACCGAAAACAATAGGTTACCCTACGCTTTTGGTACGATATCCTGCACGAATCTGAACAGTGAAACAGCTACATGGTTATGGTAACGGACTTACTAGTACTTGGGTACAAATACCGGTACAGGGGCTGTCATAGCTCTTCCATGTCCTGTGGTAATGATTTATGTTGTTTACATCAGAACTGTAACGAAAAGGTGAGAGCGTAATAATTCACAGAGGTACCGTACCTTACCAGTACCTGTTGATGTACTGTAGGCCTGCTATTCGATCGTGGAACGGTTTTTCTCTGGCATATAAAAACTCAATTCAATTTGGTCTCATCAAATTTAACATATTAAACACATCAAATTCAACTAAAAAACCTACATTTGACATTACTGCAGTAGCAAGATCGCGAAAGGAATAAGCAAATTTTACTGTGGTACTGTAACTGAGCAGTACCGTACCTGCAGGCTCGATCACGCAACCGCGTGAAATAAGTTTAAAACAGTGTTTACATAAGTAAATTTTAGAACAGCGAAATTTCAAATAAAATATCAGATCTCAGAGGATTCATAGGAAATTTAGGAATAAATTTAAATAATAGCCTTCTGGAAAAAAATCAAACTTTAACCACTGAAATTTCAAAACAATTGGTCCAGTATTCGAAGAGAAAAGCGATTTTATAATAATGATGGTGACGAAGTAAAATAAGAACAATAACAACAACATAATTTGAAACGATCGTTATGTCCCTTAAAGTGTCCAATGAAATGATAGTGGAAATAAGGTGTGTGTCTCAATCTGTGTTTATGCTTACTGAGAACTTTATATCATGGGCAGTTTTATATATCTTGGATGGGGAATTCGCAAATTACGTAGATAAACACGGGGGTGGGTTATTTCAATGAAACAGGTTGAGAGTTTGAAAACTGTGACATATAATTCAATGGAATGCTAGGAATGTTACAATGCCCCTAACTTTAATTCAATCTCATAGCTAAGCAAAATATAGAGAAAATATATTAGAGTTTTTAAGTTAAGTTATAAATTGACTTGAAGACTACTATGTCTAAGTTGATGTTTACTAGAGTCTTGTTTGGAGTTGGGACATCTTACAGCAACTACAACGCTACATCTCTAATGGCAATGCGTATTATAAGTGCTCAACCACGGGAGTTTTATACCTTACGTCATCTTTTTATAGAAGGCTGAGACGTAATAAAATGATAGAAAAAAGAGGCAGCGGAGAGAATATAGAAGGCACGTTTGGCGTTTAGGGCATAACATTTTGGATACCGAAGTTGGATGAAGAGTTAGCTCAAATCATACAGGCTTACCAAGAAGGAGGTATTCAGATAACCCATTTGACGTTTGAGTCATGACACTGAGGAAAAATAGGAAAGAGATAATGAATCAAGAGTTTTGCTCATATCAAACAAGACTTTACTATTTTGTATGGATTGATGCCCAATGAAATTATAGTGAAAAAGAGGAGATTTATAGATCTCATCTCGTTTTTAGAGCCAGGCACGCTTGTCAGAGTCGTGATCAGATCAAACACCTAGTTATAAATAAATTAGAACTTATGCAATTTTATATAATTTCGTGAAAATATATGTTTTCCTATAGAGTTTTTTATATTCCTAAGATAACCATAATTTCGCTCAACTTCAAATTTTACTTGCAAAATATGGGAAACTTTGGCATCGTTTGCGCTATTCTGGCCGCAGTGTTCACCACAGGTAAGAAACCATTTTTTGAATTGCGTATATTTAAAATGAGTTAAAACCTTACCTTTTTTAATGCTATGTTAGATTTTGAATTAAGAAAAATATATAAATGGAATAATATGGGGTAAATATACTGCATTGAATTTGGTTTTAAAAGTGTTCGTCAATTTGTGACCAGGGTTGGGCATTTCGAGTCGGTTCATGCAATCATTTCTAATCGCCGCCATCTTGTTTAATTTTTTGTCAGTCCTAAATTATTTTTTTTTTTCAATATCTTGCAAATGTTTGAAAAATATTCGATTTTGAAATCATCAAGTATTCTAAATACACAGGCCTATTAGTTTAAGGTGAATTTATGTTTGGAAAATGGATAATTTCTACTAGTTAGACGCTGTATGACCAAAAAGGCATGGAATATATCCGTAGTCTAGATATATACATACTAAGGGCTGGGTTTTACACCGACACAACATTAGCCTATGCCATAGGTTCTCAAAGTACTCAATACTAGGCCATGGCTTCGTTAGAAAAACTTAAGCGAGCTATTGGTTTACTTATTAAAATACCGACCTGGCTAATTTTTCAAATGCCCAAAGAAGCAATAGCGACATTAATAAAATTTTCCAACGGTAAAAACATCCGAGACATTAAATAATGTAATTTTAATTTACTCAGGAATATTAATCGGCAAGTAACAACGTGTTTTTAGTTTTCAAATATTGTGAGGCTAGGTGATGTTATGGAAACAACAACGTTTACCGAAATTATCTGTAGATCAATTATCATTTATTGCTTGGGATTTATTTCAATCGCGCTTTAAAGATGCAAAATCGTTTGATGTATAAGACAGTAATTTTTAAAGTTCCGTTTGAAGAAAACTCTTGAAAATCTTAACAAAATGGAGCCAATTGTGGAACTTTTTTTATTGTTTATGACATCATACTTTTATATAAAAAATTTGCATTTCAATGGAGATGTCTAGCAAATATTTGACTTTCAAATCAGCGCACTTAAAAATAAAACTGTTTTGTTCGTCAAAGAATTTACCCCCCGTTAAGAAATTTGCTCATAGCGAATCCACGCCCACTTGGCTACCGAGACTATAGAGAATCATAGCATAGATTCACAACATTTGTAAATAACAATTGACGTGATACTTTCATGGGCAATTCATGACACGTTTTCCTAAATTTGCTTTTAGGTTTAGGCTCGAATTTTTACGGTGGTTCTAATGGATTTTCGACACACAAACTTTTATTTTTTATTGAGTGATCGGTGGAATTCTCGAAGAACAAAAATATTTGACTAATAAAGCTGTGTCTTTGTCTAAAGAATTGACTTAATATTTTGAACCATGGCGAACTAAACTCATAAATTCTTTTGTTCTAAGGGCGATTGTTCTTGCCTAAAAAAAAGGCCTTTCCTTGTAACCAATTGACCAAACACTTTCGAATGTTAACACCTGAAGATGGAAAAAGTTCCTAGAAAGCCATTTCTTATTTATTTACTTATTAAAATACTGACCTGGCTATTTTTTTAAATGCCCAAAGAAGCAATAGCGACATTAATAAAATTTTCCAACGGTAAAAACATCCGAGTCATTAAATAATGTAATTTTAATTTACTCAGGAATATTAATTGGCAAGTTGTTTTTTGTTTTCAAATATTATGAGGCTAGGTGATGTTATGGAAACAACAACGTTTTCTAAAATTATCTGTAGAGCAATTATCATTTATTGCTTGGGATTTATTTCAATCGCGCTTTAAAAATGCAAAATAGTTTGATGTATAGGACAGTAATTTTTATAGTTCCGTTTGAAGAAAACTCTTGAAAATCCCAACGAAATGGAGCCAATTGTGAAACTTTTTTTTATTGTTTATGACATCATACTAATATATAAAAAAAATTGCATTTCAGTGGACAATTCTAGCACATATTTAACTTTTTAAAGCTGCGAACTTGGAGAATAAAACTGTTGTGTTCGTCAAAGAATTTATCCCCCTTTAAGAAATTTGCTCATAGCGAGGCCACGCCCACTTGGTCACCGAGACTATAAAGAATCATAGCATAGATTTACAACATTTGTAAATAACAATTGACGTGATACTTTCATGGGCAATTCATGACATGTTTCCCTAAATTTGCTTTTAGGTTTAGGCTCGAACTTTTTACGGTGGTTCTAATGGATTTTCGACACACAAACTTTTATATTTTATTGAGGGATCGGTGGAATTCTCGAAGAACAAAAATATTTGACTAATAAAGCTGTGTCTTTGTCCAAAGAATCGACTTAATATTTTGAACTATGACGAACTAAACTCATAATTTATTTTGTTCTAAGGGCGATTGTTCTTGCTTAAAAGAAGGCATTTCCCTGTAACCAATAGACCAAACAATTTCAAATGTTAACACCTGCAGATGGAAAAAGTTCATAGAAAGCCTTTTTTAATTTATTTTCAGTGGTACCCGATAATTTACGCAGCATTATTCTTTTTATTCTAGAAGTGATCAGCATTAAATGTTATGACTGCTTTGACTGCAACATCGTGAAACACGATACTCCAACTACAACTTGTGATATTCCTCCAGATGCCTCTAATGACACAAGAGCAGCTTGCTACACAGGAACTGGATTTGTGAACGGTGAGGCAAATGTTCCTTCATAAACATACAAAATATGGAATCGATATATTGTTCAAAACGGTAATCGATCCCGATTGAATTCAAGTCTTATCTGTATCGGTATTTCTGTGTTCTTAGTATAATATTTTATTGGGGGCGTTTTACACCAGGGGTGTGCAACTTGCGGTCCGCGGGCCAAATGAAGCCCACGAAGAAAACTTGTGCGGCCCACGGAGAAGCGCCATTTCGAATGGCGTGCGGCATGCGAAACGAGTTTTTATTTTAATCTGCAAGCAAATCCAATTTCTTTGCATTGCAATGCCTCTATCTGAGCTTGTGCAAAGCAAACAACGCATGTCACAAGATCAATAATCAAAATGTTTGTGTCTGCAACTACTAGAAAGCCTATGTTGGATAAAGTCGCGGCCCGCGGTTTCAGTCAGTTATTTGTTTCTGGCCCTCGTGTAGTAAAGGTTGCACACCCCTGTTTTACACAACTATTCATTCAGTGCTCGCTCTGCCTGCGAGCTTAGATGACCCATATTCGTATGAATCGACTACAAGAATATTGTAACAGGAACCAAAACGGATATATTGAGCAGATCAAATACCTTTCATAATCTAACTACATTATCCTAATACGAGCAGTTCACAACATTTTTGCATGAACAACCTAATATATATATTCTTACAGGCGATGAAGAAGCTACTATAATTCGTGGATGTAGATGGTCTACAAGTTTTCGCTGCTTTCAAGAAAATCATCCCGCATTAAAAGGGGAATATTGCTACTGTAGTAGAGGTAAATGATTCAAGCGTTGCTACTTTGGTATGCGATATTAGTGATTTCAGTATTAATCCTAACCCAACGATGACAGGGTTAGGAACTGATTTCTATGAGAATGTCTTCGTGCGATTGGGATCACGTACAACGTAGTTTTGTAATACTGAGATCGCATACCAAACTGGCAACATTCAAGTTTTCTTTGTTTCAAAGTTGTTATTTATGATCCCTTAAATTGGTGGCTCTCAACCTTTTACATCAAATTCCCCCCTTCGCCTTATTACTTTTCCCTATGATAAAAACATACACGAAGACCAAAACGAAGTAGTACGGGTATGCAATCTATCACTACCGTTACAGCAATGTTCACGACTGCCGCGATTGCACAACCGTTACATAGTGTGCAATTTTTGGTGACGTAATCGGACACAATAAACGAATCCCATAGAGCCCACAGGCATTTTGAAAATAAATAAAAGAAAAAGCCTTCTTCTAAATAAATCATTAGCCACTAAAAATTTCAAAGCAATTAGTCCCGTATTCGGTGAGAAAAGCGACTCACACATAACGATAAGAAGAAATACCAACGAGAACAACAATATAATGCTGAGACAGCAAATGCTTATCTTCAATTTCAGATCTCTGCAACGGCGACGGCAGCGGCAACGGCGCAAATTCCATCGTGAAACTGAACGTCGTTCTGATGATGTTTGTGACGGGAATTTTTGTGAAAATTTTTGCTTGAAAGAAACAAACTGCTAATCCTATCATTTATACCGATAATCTAGTTTTATGATAATTTTAATTCTTAGTTTTAGTTCAGTTAGGTTAAGGCATGTTTATATGGCCTTGTTCAGCATTTAAATTGCCCCCACCGTGATGGGCATATATAATACTGTCTTATTTTTTTACCGCTCATTTTATTTCACACAATACGAGTACTTTTTATTTCTTTTTATTCAAAGCGTAATTTTCACCAAATATTTTGCTGTTTTATTCGGTACTCCCGAAGTATGCGAACCATGATGGCGGACACCGGGACGTAGTATGTGTACCAGGTTAGGCCGTAATTTTAGGTACAAATACTATGGGAGTTACTTGGCTAGTCCCCGAACTCGTAATGGAACAAAAATAAGGAAAATTAGGGTCTAACCCTAACCAGGTACACATACCAAGTTCCGGTGTCCGCCATCTTGGCACCTTTTATTCTAATTAAAAAGGAACTATTTTAGCTCGTACGTTCAAATTATCGATGCGCGACCTTCGTGCTTCGACCTTGCTCTCTTGTTTACAAAAATTAATCCTAATTCCTTTATTTTTATTTCTATCATTAATCAATAGCTTTTATGCTGAATACGAAATCGAAATAAACTTACTTACCAGTGAACAGTATTGTTTCCTCACTTTGTTGCATATGTAGAGTTGCAGCGGCATGGTTTCTTGCTCGCGTAGTCTGGAGACACTCTGGCGGCTCCATGTGTGCTCGGAGTCGACGAAGAATAGGTATATCTACTCCGGTGGAAAGCACATGAGTCGAAACCATAGCTCCGACTCCGCATACTCACACGGCTACACGATAGTAATAAAAAAATACAACATCAAAAAGGGAAAAAAGCAAGTCCCATCACACAATGGGTGTTTCCCGACCCTTGATTTCAGAAAAATTCTCCATATACTTTACTATTTCAAAATTCCTGATGTTTATTTTGAGTGTGTTTAAAAACTGTTAGCTCTCATAAACTTGTTTATGTGTTCAAAATCATCATTCCAAAAAATATATCAGTACCGATTACAAATTCTGATCCCTGATTTTAGCCTAGTCTACCGTAGCTTTTTCGAGATTACTTTTTGAATATTGCAACTAAACTAAAGCCCCTCGAATGTCATAAAGATAAATATGTTATCCGATTTCCATTTAGTTTCCATTTAGTGAAAACACAACTGAAAACTGACTAATAGCAAGAGAGCTGTGCTCAAATATATGGACACGTTAACCAGAGCGAAGCAGTATTTACCTTTGACGCCACCGGTACCCACAAAAAGTTCCGAGTTTCGCGTAGAAATAATTTACAGAATCAAACCGGACAGCCAGTGTTCCCATGGATAAAATAATACAGCGAAATTTTAGACGAAATATCAGATTTCATGCGAAATTTAGAAATAAATAAAAGTAATAGCCTTCTAACAAAAAAAACATCTGTCTAAGGGAAAGATGTTAAGCGGAACTCATTGCAATTGTTACGTCATTGTTACTCTGTTATTGCTTATTTTTCATTGTTACGAAAACAAGAGAGCTACGCACAAATATATGGACACGTTAGACCAGAGCGAATCAGTCTTTACCGGTACCTCTGACGCTACCGGTACCCTCAAAAAAGTTCTGAATTTCCAGTAGCAAGAATTTTGCAGAATCAAAACGTACAGCCAGTCATGACACTGACTAAAATCCGTGTTCCCATGGATAAAAAATAATACAGCAAAATTTTAGACGAAATATCAAATTTAATAGAATTCACGCAAAATTTTGAAATAAATAAAAGTAATAGCCTTTTAGCGAAGAAATTAATCTTTAACCACTGAAAATTTCAAAGCAATTGGTCCAGTATTCGAAGAGAAAAGCGATTTTTTAAAAACGTGTCAAAGAACAAGAACAACAACAACAACAACATAATATTGAAACGATCGTTATGGCCACTAAACGTGTCCAATAAACGAGGAAATCGACGCTAGGTTGTCACTGCACTGAGGGGCATCGTCTCTTCGCCTTTCACCGTATTGCTTGTGGCTCACAATTCGAATGTCTGATTGCAAGCAGAATTCACAGCACATAGAGCTCGGTAATGGAAACCACCCTCAACACACCTCCAGACATTTTATAGTCCAATTATAAAAGCAATAGGGTAATCTTAAAGGTAGCGCGTCTTGCTTTGTCTGATTGTCGCTATTCAGGTTTCAAGTTATATTTCTTCAATGAGAAGGCAGTTTTCTATCATAGTCTAATGCTAATCAATTGGTTTCACTTCAAAAGTGAGGTCTTAGTTAGACCTTCTGTTAGTCCAACTGACAAAATAGAGTTAAATTATTTCGGGAGGCTACGTACAGTATTTCAAGTCTCATTGGTTGCTTTCCTATAGTCTTGAACATAGTGAAGGTGAGAAACGCATCAAATGGTGGTTAGAAAATTTAAAAAATATAAGCATTCTTTGTCAACAACAAGTAGCTCCCTTTAAATGTTTGATTTGGTCTGATGATTCCCACGCACATATAATAAAGAAACGAAAAGACGTCTCTCACTCGTCGTGACAAAAATCGTACAATAATAGAGATCAAAACAACGGATTGATCTAAACGCGTTATATTTTGAGTCTACGCTTGCGGCAATGTCTGCAAAAAGGGCGGGCACCAGTCTCAGTTATGGATGTATCGCTATTCCCAATGGTTCGCATGGTCCGAATCACCTCACGAATAATTTTGTGTATAGACGATCAACAGGTTAGGAATAGGTATATTTATATGGTCCCAATCGTCGCCATTCAAATGAACTTGCATAGAGGTTATTAGGCTGCCATATAGACAGCAGGTTGAGAATATGGATGGATATACAGTTAGTACAATCGTCATTTAAATGACCTCGCGCGGAAGCCAATTGGTGTGCCATATAGACAGCGAGTTAGAAGAAATAAAGATGGATATATGGCCCATATCGCCATATCAATGATTTGGGGCTCCCGAAGTATGCGAACCAAGATGGCGGACATCGGAATGTAATATGTGTACTAGGTTAGGGTTAGGCCATAATTTTAGGTATAAATACTACGGGAGGCTCTTGGCCAGTCTTCGAACTGATAATAGGACTAAAATAAGGAAAATTGGAAAAAATATATGGCCTAACCCTAACCTGTTACCCATGTTACGTTCCGATGTCCGCCATCTTGGTTCGCATACTTCGGGAGCACCAATAATTTTCTGTGTATGGCTATAGGGCGGTGATATATACATCAGGTTCGAATTTTTGGGCACGCATCCACAAGGCGTGTGCTGTCGACCAAGCGCAGTCTTTTTTTATGAAGATTATTCTTTGAATAATTGATGCCATATAGGCAACAGGTTGAATATGCTATCATTAGACAAATAACTAAGCAAAAGCTGGTCGCCACTCCACGGTCTTATCGTAACCAGAATGCGTTTTATTAGTTTAGTTCAAATGGTTTCGTGGATGGCAATAGCTCAAGTCTCGTTTTGCTTGTATATTCGTTTTACCGGACAAGCAAACGCTAGTGTAGAGTTAAAAACTTTGCTAGCAGCAGACAGCAGTCAATTTTGACCATCGATCTATCTCAAATCGATATAATTTACCTAGAACATGTTATTAATTCGCTGGATCAATATTGGTTTGATGTAAAATGGATTGGATCTTATTTGCTCCGATGGGGACTTTTGGGTCTAGTATAGTTTAGTACCACAAGCACATCAGCTGGGCGTAGCATAATGTTATTCCTAGCATATGTTATTCCTAACCCCTACCTGACTATGTCCTCCAAAAATTACGTCACTACGACGTCACAAACACGTCATAGAGCTTGCCAAAATATAGCTACGATCGCCCGAAACGGCATATGCGCCGACGATAACGAACTCACTACCGCCAGCGGTCTCTCTCATATCGCGATCGTTGCGACGAGAAGACAAGAGAAATAGCTTGCTTGATTTCGGGTGATCATCTGCGCATTTTGGACGACCATTCGGGGGTCATGAGTGCTCAAAGCCTCCGGGAAGGGCACACGAGTCATAAAAGGTTGGGGACCACTGTTATAAAGTAAACACAAAAAAACATTATATTACGCCTATGTTAACTTAAACTCAAACTTTACCGCCTCTTTTGTCGAATCTCTAAATTTGCAATTCGAAAAAACACCACACATTATTATGTGTAGGATTAGAACATTGGATTACTGCAAGACGCGGTAAACAACAAGATGCGTAAATTTCTAGGAGTGAAAATGAAATTGTATCATGGGTGCTCAAAGCTTCTGGGAATGGCACACGAGTCATAAAAGGTTGGGGACCACTGTTATAAAGTAAACACAAAAAAAACATTATATTACGCCTATGTTATCTTAAACTCAAATTTTACCGCCTCTTTTGTCGAATTTCTAAATTTGCAATTCGAAAAAACACCACACATTATTATGTGTAGGATTAGAACATTGGATTACTGCAAGACGCGGTAAACAACAATATGCGTACATTGAGTGAAAATGAAATTGTATCCTAATCAACAACGGCCGTGCGATTAGCTGCGCCAAATTAACATCCTGCGATTGTTCCTGCGATCCTGCGATTACAAATTAAAATATTTTGTCGCGAATTGGCTATGAATCATTTATTTACGATTAATTTTATTAATTAAACCAACAATATATTTAGTAGCTGTTGGAACATTGCTATCAATGGGGAGTACAGTTTGGTGATACTGTTAGCATAAGCCTTTTCCATTTACAAATAAAATCGTCATCAGTCAACTTATTTAATTATGAATTTATCTATTGCCAAGTAGTACGGTTGCAACTATCGTAATCTATATAGCGTTATTTTCTGGTTTAGTTAGCTGCGAGAACCTTTTTTTATATTCAAAATTACTATAAATACAATAACACAGCGTGCAAAATTGTTGAAGGGTGGAAATTTTGTCATGGTCATATTTATTGACGTCCCCGTCCCCATAGTCCTGGTATGAACACTTAGCATTGTGCGTCAAATATTCACACCTGCCTATTTTAGAAGCTATAAATATATATCTAATAATAAAGAGGCGGAAATACCACTTAACTTGCGCAAACGTCGCTGGCCCATACTCGGCCGCACGAAGCAGCGAATTTTTTTGAGCTAAAAATATAGGGTTGCCGAGAAGTGCTCATTTTCGGATTACATCTTTTATGGCGCCGTTATTTTGTGGCTTAAAAGACGCCAATTGTACCTTGCCGAGATTGCTTTGTTCGTGCTTTTGAACTCGAACATTGTTTGCAAAGATATGAGCTATCCTATTATGAAGTTCTTTGATAGACTTTAATTCTGGATTTCAAATATTTACTTACCGTATGTCATGCCCAGTCATGTCTAAATAGAAATTCCGGCTCCGGAAATGGCGCACAACCTGATCCCTGACCTTGTACACATACTATGTTCAGGTTGTGCGCCGTCTTGCTGCACATACATCGGGAGCACCGAAATTTCATCATCAAATTTTATGGGAGTTTTGAATGAAAATCGAAAAGTTATATCCTGCAAGAGGCTTCATATTCGGTTTTGAATATGTTGTACAAATACCCCACCAAAACATAACCCGCTAACGCTCGCAATAAACAAATTATCGGGTTAGGTTTATGAATGCAGATGCGCTGTAAATTCAATTTTTCTTATTTTATCATTTATTTTATTATCTAATTTTAAAGATGGCAGGGTATTTTTTTCAAATCTCACTTTTTGTGGTGGGGTCTCGGTTCAAAAGATCATCGTGATTTTACAGTTAACAGTTACAGCGATTTTTCAAGCTCTGGGTCGATTTTACATGAAAAAGTTAAAATGTGGTTTAGAGTACTATTTATCTCTGTTTAAAACTCGTGGGATGCAATGCCATATTTCAGTAACAGTACAAATAATATATGCCTCTGGACTTCTTTGACTTTGAAGTACTTCTATTTTAACGATACCTTCACCAGGAAGCTCCCACACACGTCAAGTCTTGTTGAATTCCAATTTGAGTTACGTTTATGGTAGTCTGAATAATTTACAATATGACCGTGTTGTCCGCCGAAGGGATTTACAACTTGCTTTAAGCTCACGTTTGACTTACAGCCTTATTTAAATGTCGTAAATACATGTCGGTCTGTAATGATTTATATATCTTACCGGTCATTTGCGGGACTGCGCTAATTTTCCTAATGGATACTACTTAAGTGCCATAAGAAGGTGTAATAAAGCACTGGACCCATTTGAACCGCGTATTATAAAATGCACGAAGCCGCTGAGGGCTTCATTTCGATCAATCAGCTTTGGAGCAAGTCAGTGGACGTTCCTGCTTAAAGTAAAAATACGTTTAGTGTGAGTGGCCAGGATAACCCGTTTTGTATCTTCTGTACAAAGTTCCCGCCAACGCTCAGAATAAGAAAATTAGTATTTATTCAGTGGTTTAGAAATGCAAATTGCGCTGGAAATTCAAATTTTCAAATCATTCCTCGCCCTAAGCCTAGTCGGAACTGAATAATTACTATTATATATTTTTATTTTAAAACTGGACGAGGGTGTTTTTCCTAAATTTCTCATTTTTGCATTAGTGGCGGGGGGCTTTATACAGAAGATCCGGTTTTTCTTATCATTCCGTTGAGCGGGAGTCTGAAAGCTTGTTGATGTAGTGAACAGGTGCTCGATAATCAGAATTTTATATTCCGCGGGTCTCATCGCCGCGAAATGTCAGTTTTTTACATTCTATATGTACACTGTTTATTTTCAGTCTGGTGAAAAAATAAACTACTGATGGCAGCCTTTTGACAGGTTACCATTGCAGTTGAGTTATAAGATTAAGAATATTTAGTTTACTAATTAATTGTTCCAGACGTATGGACTGTTCTATGCTTTCGAATTTTATCCGTGTTCTATTGGATTGTTGTTTTTGAGGTGCGGTTACTTCACAGCACCAGAACGATGTTCCGCCCTTATCAATAGTAATCCCACATCCGATCGATTTATCTGCCATATATGTATTATTTATTTATTTAATTATGTGTTCCCTATACTTGCGTGTTGTCCGTATATGTTGAATCCCACCGACCTAAAATCAAGGAGAGAGAATCGCAAAACGAGAGAATTGATCATTGGACCCGATTGAACCGTCACAATCGATGATAATAATAATGGCTCCGTTGACGACTACATCGATCGTTTGTTTTGTCGCGTTCACTCAAGGTTGTGTCGAGCGTTTCGTAGGTTATTTTTATATGTCAGCCATTATTTCGATTATAACAGAGTCTCATTGCTCTCGACTGGAGATTTACTTACGATGCAGCCTATTTGAAACAATTTGTGAATATAGTCTACGGCTATATTTTGTTATTCATTGCCATTGTCTTAGGTCAGGTTAGCCTATTATGATCCGATGCGAGCAGAATCGAATAAAACAGATCAGAAAGTTATTTGCATGGTAATGGCGCGATACTGTACTAGCTATTCCATTCTATTGATGTGGTCGGATTCAGAAAACTCCAAAACTTGGCCAAGTCATTGCTCTTCCTTACCAGATCTAAGGTAAACAGAAATAATGAAAGAAATGATTAGAATATTAGCGAAGCAATAAAAAAATGAGGATATTTTGTACAAAGCTAAGGTTCGACTTGAAAATGATAATCACTCATTTATTTTTATTTTGAACGGTAGAGGGGTGTTTTGTACAATAGATCCAAAAATTGTAACGCTTTGTGTTATTTTGTGTCACTCGTGCGTGCAATTTAAGTGTTTTACGTTGAAATTACGAATCGAAATATCCCGTCTTATTGAATGCTGTTATGTACTATAATTGCCCAGTATTTTCCTTTTTTTCGAGCCGTTATGTACGTATAACCCATATTTCTGGAATTTATCGTTTAGTTATTTGGTGGGTTTAGCCTTTTTTGTATTGTTTGGTATAAATGATGAATTATTTCAGTCTATTCGATAGCTGTGGGTTTGTTGTTGTTCTCGTTACGCACGGGTGGTTCGTGCAAATTGCCTTCTTCGTAAATCTCACATTCTCTCTTTTTCAATACGTTCAATCAAGTTGAATCGATTTCTCTCTAATGTGAAATGTCATGGAAATTACACCCTCTTCGCAAAGTGAATGTCAAGCGCAAAGGTCGAGGATATTTTAACATTTTCAGGCGGTCTGGTTCGCTGCTTAACATTCGAAGGACAGCGCTGATAAATTCATGCAAACGGTAAGGCACAATGTAACGGACGGCGTTTATTTAAGTAGCATCGACTCGCTTTGGGTACAATTTAACCTCGACCCGAATACCGATCAATAGCAGCATTTATACTTAGCGAGTAAGACAGAACCATAGGATCATAGAAAGATCCTCATATGATCAACCTAACCAAACCTTTCCAGCTGTTAGGGTGTGGGTATGAAATGGTTCTGAAGCAGTCAATTGTAACGCAAATTAGGTATCTTCCTTACTATTACTGCGAATTTGCGACTAATTAGTGTAATCAATTATAAGGTATTAGGATTAATATTATATTGATAGAAAACACGTTCAAATCGATCTAGCCTTAATTACTGTGCACAAGTATCGGTACTCCGGTAGTGTGTGTACCAGGTTTGGGTTAGGCCCTAATTTTATTCCTATTTTTCTTATTTTAGTTCTATTGCGAGTTCAGGGACTGTCTATGTTAGCCAATTGAATATATCCCCTGCCTATTGGCTTCCGTCCCTTTACACAATTTAATGTAGAGTAGGCGAACTAAATTAGTTACCTCCATATTGGTACGCACACTTCTGGAGCGCCAAATTATACATACATTTCATACATACAGTAACAGTGACGCGGCGTCACGTAACGCGTAAAGTTATGTAAAAGTTTGACTATGATTCACTGATGTGTGTTTCTATTTATAATGCAACTTCCGCCTGGCAATACACGCATTTTGTGACCAACAGTGTGAATCTGTCTGCATAAGCGACGATAAAATTTGCAGGTCTAGTTATTATGCAACGGCTTTGAGGAAATTTATTCGCGAAATCTATTTCACCTAATTTGCGTGTAAAATTGGAGCGAACAAACTAAGTACGATTTTCGTTTAGTGTAGGAAGCAAAGGTAGAACGTTTATGTAAATACAAGGTCACCAACTGGTGAATTTATGCGCCTAAAAGAACCCGTAATTCGAGATAAGACGTGCGACGCGCTTAAATGAACCCGGAAACACGGAAGCATAAAACTAAACTTGCTGCACATTCAAGCGTTTTCCCCGTGAGTCAGGGTACACATTTTTATGCGATAATGAAATCGTTTCACCTCATAATACTTCTGAACGCAATTATAACTTCTTGTTTTCTCTCATCCGGTCATGCTGCGTCATTTCATTGTTCAAATCAGATATTATGCGGTAAAGACTGTAGATTATTGATTGACATCTGGCAGATATGACGTCACCAATAACAGACAGGTGTTAAAATTATGCAAACATTTACAGACAGGTGCCAGGGGAATTACAGCGGGGAAGTGATTTATGCTTATATAAACGAACCTCCGATACATTATGTATTTTCTATTCGTTTTTGAGTGGCACTCATACTTATATTGATGTTCGTGTAGTAAGTGCTAATCGAGCTATGACAAGTAGATACTATTTTTCATCGTTGTATAGAGAGAGCGTCTTGCAAACAACTTCAAATGTATATCTGTTGTTGTGTTTCTAGTTTTCTATTGTATTCATTGAGTGTTGCAAAACATTGCTCGCGATCGTTCTCACTGTAAGGGGTAATTAAAGTAGCATTCAACGGTAAGAGAGATTCAGATGTCAAACTATATTCTACTGGGCCGATAGTAACTTTCGCTATTAACCTTAATCTAACCAATAATTTTTCTTTTTTTCCATATACTCTTATTACCGTATGTATGATAACTTTAACATTTGTTGCTTTGTAATGTCCTACAATTGTGATATCAGACGATACAACCTTCGTAAAGACAAGAAATTGTTTCACAAATCCTCAACAGGTATATATATTTAATACTTATTGCTGTGATAAAAGCAATTTAGAGTATATAGCAAGATTTTTGGTAGATCGAATATTTTAAGTGTTTTATTAGCTGCTATTTGTAGACATATTTCATCAAGGGGATGAATCTACGTTAGCTTTTTATCCAGTTAGCGGTGCCTCGCTCACTCTCAATTAAGCTGAAGACCATAACCTCACGCGCAAAATGGTATGACGAATTCTGAATCAAACTACGGCAATGTGGTTTATCGGGAACAATACGCGCTAAATGCTAACTCTCGAGTGAATAGTATGCTGAAGCCCTTTCAGATCAATTACTTGAGTACGGGGTGAAAAATGTAATTAAATGATTGTCATAATGTACAATAATATTCATTATATTTAATACTTATTGCTGTGATAAAAGCAATAGGCTATAGAGTATATAGCAGGATATTTGGTAGATTGAATATTTAGAGTGTTTTATTAGCTGCTATTTGTAGACATATTTCATCAAGGGGATGAATCTACGTTAGCTTTTTATCCAGTTAGCGGTGCCTTGCTCACTCTTCTTCCAATTAAGCTGAAGACCATAACCTCACGCGCAAAATGGTATGACGAATTCTGAATCAAACTACGGCAATGTGGTTTATCGGGAACAATACGCGCTGAATGCTAACTCTCGAGTGAATAGTATGCTGAAGCCCTTTCAGATCAATTACTTGAGTACGGGGTGAAAAATGTAATTAAATGATTGTCATAATGTACAATAATATTCATTTGGTTCAATTAGGCCATTTACTGGCGGTGTTTTTGAAATTTCCAGCTTCGGACGGCGGGAAATCATACTCACTTGCTGGGGATGAACCCCGAAACGTATACGCTTGTTTAACGTTTGATCTTTACCGTTTTGCAACCATCCCAGCGCAGTGCGATACTTTACTGTAATAGCATTCTTCGATTTTTCAACATAAATAATGAGTAGGATAGGACTGATTATAACTTCTTCATAATCACCGAGTAACGCTGAGATCTATTTAAATTATTTATGACTTTGAAAGACATTTGGATGTCGCGATATTTTGTAAATTGTTCTTCCGGAATACATATACAATATAATAATCCCTCTGAAATAGAATATTATGTAATTTTGTGGTTGCGTATTTCACACATCCGGCTCAGACACGATCAATAAAAAGTTCACTCTTTCTTCGTGTAAAAATAAATCTGTTATGTAACGTAATGAATCTCCCAATGATTTCACTCTCGCTAGATCTGGCGTGCTCTTGACTTGAAGGTTTACTTAGGACACACACACACATTGCGTTCCCGGTGAGGCTATAAAAGATTGTGCTAGTTTGTTTGAATAGAAATAAAGTATTCTTCAATTGATCTTCTTGGTATCTGTCTTAATGTCCTCTGGGTAGTTTTATGACGTCACGTCTGATGACGTAATTTGTGAATCAAACTTTCAAAAGTTAGTTGTGGTAGTTTGAACTCAGTATGTGTAGGTCTGGTATTTCACAGATTCAATCGTCCCTCGGAATATGAAATAATAGACAGTTAATTGGTTGATTTGTCCTCTGAAGTCTACACACATTCAGTGTTTATTTGTGCCCTGTATTTAATATGCGCCTGGTGGTTCCTGTACATTTGAACCAACGACAATTGCACCTGCATACTATTGCACCTATCAAATTTTCTTTGTTTTACGGACAGTTAAACCCATACTAACCCTAACCCATGGGTTTTAGCACCCGCATATAGATTGAACCCGCGAATATACCCATGTGTTCAAATGTACGGTCACCGCTCCCGGTCACGATACTATCCTTTAAAAATCAATGTATTTCATATTCAAGGTATCCACATAGAACATAAACATGTCCGACTCATCGACACCATCTTCCCCTGACAATATCGGAGAACAAATCGGTTTTCCCGATGTGACGTCACCATCTTCATCCAGATCAGAAAGCCCAAGCACAGTCAATCCGAAGTAAGTATTAGTTCATGTGTTGGCGTTTTGATCGTTGCGCCGTGCTCCACCAGTTGGAGTGTAATTATTCTTATTGTATTTAATTTTGATTGTATAATGCCTTGCTCCCGTGTCGGACACGCATTCGATGACTAGCACCACGCTATTGGCATTGGAAAGCCAATTGCAAACCAAATGGCGGATCTCTGTCTGAAACCAATATGTGAAACCAAACCATATACACTGAGCTACCTGGTTTCAAACGAACACCGCACGCATGGAGCGATTATTATGTGAATGACCTTTTGTGAAACTAAGATTAGCGCGGCAATTCACGAGTGATGACTAGTGGAGAGCCGGGGTCACTCTATAGAAAGAACCTGTTATTGTTGGCGAGACAAAAGCCAATTGATGCATTAAAAGTTTGATAGATAGCTTGTGATTACGCGAGACTAACTACGTACCTTCCTTGCAATATGCCGTTGCATAAGTAGATGCGTATAACGCAAGGATGCTGTAGCAGGAATAAACATGCCTATTCTATATACCTGGGGCGTTCAAGCCTTGGGAGATTTCAGTGTCTTGAATATGTATATATATATATATATATATATATGCGAGACTGACTTATATTCTTCCTCTAAGCATTCGTACGAGATCCATATGCGTATAAGGCAAGGATGGTGTAGCAGGCATAGAGATGACTATGCTATATACCTGGTTTGTTCGAAGTGTTGGGGATAATTCAGTGCCATAAATATATAACCACATTTGTTTGAACTTGATTTTTGGTTTATTCTGTATTTCCAGAATTCAACGAGGAGAAAGTGCCACTGACGACGCGATCCGGTACTTTGAATCCACCTACTACGATGAATACGATTATTATAATCTCACCCCAGATAACAAATTGTTCAAGCATGCTAGCGGAAAGGGAAGGTATGGTGATTCGGATACTTCCCAACTTTTATTTATAATTGACGATGTTCTCTTCCGAATACGTGTATGGTTCGTTTTGATTTAGATATCCCTATTAAATAATCAATTCAATTTTATTGAATTTCTTACGTGGGTTGTTATGCTGTCATCCTGGTATTGTGCGTTTCTCCTGAAGTCCGAATTGATATTTGTTTCCGTGGCAGAAGCGAAAAAACATCTCGATCTTTTTATATTTTGTCATAATGTTTGAAATTCCGATAATGTCACCCTCCGCGGAAGAAAATACTCTTTCGAACACTATTCCCCTGCATTGGCGGAGATACATACTGGGACCTACCAGGTTGTTGTAGTATTTGATATACTCATAATAACTCTTCTCTAATTTTAGAACTAAGCGCGAAGCCAGTCAACACACGTCTCGTCCAAGTCAATGGGGAATGCTAGCAAAATTTGAGAACGAAGCTAATAACAGAAAACGACACACTTTTGTAAAGTCTGGACGGACAAGATCAGTCAGCAAGTAATCACATCAGACTGCAGAGGGCGTAAGGAGTGAGTTTGTTGGGTCTTCGGGTCAGTATTTTAGTAATGCCTTACGCTAGTTACAGGGGGCACAACCTTTTTTCTATCGGCGGCCACATTGCATTCATTTGTATTCAATACGGCCTCCAGGGGGTCGATGAGCGCGCCTTCGCGCGGAATTTATTTTTCTGTCGCGTTTATGGCGTCATAACCGCGTATTTGACCCATGCGTAGTGCAGTCTGCCCATTTATGAAGTATGTTGGACTACTTAGAAGTATAATATTCGAATTTTAAACGGATTTTTCTTTCCGTTGGACATATTCTAGAGCAGATGATATATTGCAGCAAGTTGCATAAATGGTTGCACAATTTTGAAATATGCGCCAGCATAGCCGCCAAATCCTATATTTGGACCTTTATGTTTTGTTTTGTTTATAGGATTTTGTATGTGGACGCATGTGGCCGTACGACCGCAGGTTGTGCACCGCTGCTCGGCTAATACAACCGCAAATTACCGGTACTTTGTTTTCAACTTTAAACACCAAGTGGACATAAAATCGTTTGTTTAAATTGTTCTAGTTGTTGCAAAAACTCAACTTTTCTTCGCAAATGATGGATTAATCGATTTCAAAATTTATTAACTTTCATTTTTACCACATTACCATTTCCACAGGCTCGATTTTATTAAAACTAGGTTTAGGGCGAATAGGAACACTGTTCATGGCAGACGGGAACACTTTTTTATGACTTCCGACATCTGTATTTGTAGAATTGAGTACTGGATCCTAATCTAGTAATCTGACTGAAAACATTTTCGAGCAACGATTGTAGATTTATTAAAAATTTTTATTTACTTTTTCAGATGCCTGATCCGTATACCCTTAAGCCATCTCTCGCGTCCTCTGCCGGAGTGATTTTATGACGACAATTTGAATATTGAAAACAACATTGAAACTATCCATCGCCTCTCTATTTCTTCGATACCGAACTTTTATGCTTTTGCATTTATTATTTGATTTCTTACTTGACTACTGAAAAATGTGGAAGATTATGCTTTTTTCCATAAGATGGCTTGGCATTGTTACTTCACTGGGGAATAGCCCACGTTCTGATTAACAGAACTTGGGTTAAAATATAGGATGTCCATAAAATCTTGAATTTTTTGAAATTGAAAAGGGAATTTATCGACACCATATATTGGTTTGGACCTCACAGATGTATTAAATGAAGTAAAAATACTTGAACAATTACTGATTAAAAAAAACAAACTTGGTTAGGATATGTTGAGGACTCGCTTCATAACCAAATTTAAATGGTAAATGGACCTCATGGAATCCTGCTGTAGATTTCCAGCTGTGATTCGGTCGCACCTTTTTTCTTATTCGAATGACAGGGAAAATTTAAAAAACAACTAACGACTATAAATCAGCTACAGCCAATATTGCAATGATATCGTTCATCAATTTAATATGAAAAGCGCCGTCTTCTCGTGTATATTCTTATACACAAAGCCGCTGAGATTCATTTGACGGATATTTTAATGGTTTTGGCAAAATTAACAATATCTTTCGACTCTGAGTTTGTTTCAGTTATTGGTTCTCGCCATTTATTACGCTTTATTTTTCTATTTGCTCGCTAATGCTTCGTAGTGTAGAGGAGCCCAATAGAGAAATTTGGTAAGTCTATATCTCTTAACAACTCCCGGCTCATGTAGTTTCGAACATATATTCTCAGAATTTTTAGCATCAATGATTTCCATACATGTATGTGTTGTTGTCGCTTACTCTAAAGTCACAGAATTTATTTAAAAAAGTCAAAATTTGGCCGAGAGCTTTTTTCTTTGCAAATAAGTATGGCAGCGAGTTTGACTAGTTGCGACATTTATGCCGTTAACCTCTGTTTTTCTCTGTAATCATAAGAATTTGATGGAAGAAAAGCCGAAATTAAAAGAAGCACTCGTTTTGGGTTCACTTCATTCGGAAAGTCAAAGTTAGTATAGTTCATCGTAGTTGCGCTTTCTGTTTCTTTACTACTGATTTAGTTCTCCTTATCGATTTATGACTTATCTTTAATTAACAGTTCTGTTGGTGCAATAAAATCTTTACACCGCAGATTTGTGTTCACTTGTCGGTTAAGAAATTTGAATTTTTGAAAATGAAGCTTCAGTTCGAAAACTGTTTTCAGACGAAGACTCACGCGAGTTGTTATCTGGCTCGTCTCTAGTGATTGAAACGTTCTATTTACTCCGTGTATATTGCCGCTGTCTACCAATAAAGCATACGTTTTAGTAGGTTATATCAGACCCGAAAAAGATCCTATCTACCCACATATCAGTGAATGGTTGTTCATAAACTTTCTCGCAGTGGACGCATATACTAGAGTTCTTTATTAAGTACCCCTCATTGATTTACTTTGGCCTTATGACGGCCGCTGCTTCTAACACTATAGTGCCGTAACGATAACGGGTATCACTGTTATAAATAGTTTGTTTTTTATTTCAAAGCATGTAGAACAAACATTGCAAATGCAACCAGATTTCTTCTTTTCGTCACAATAAAGCCACTTGCGCTGTTACCAGCAGTTGATGCTCTCGCCTCTGTGTGTCGATTACAAAGATCTAAAACGAAATAGTTGAAAATAGTATAACTCACAATGGACTTCCGTTTTCGAGTTGGAAAAATTTCGACTTTGACTGGGGTTTAAAAAATTTAGAATTTGACTCGTGTTTCAAGGTTGCTGGAAAAAGCGGGAAGTTCAAAATTTTGGCTTAGAATCTGAGAGTCTGAACATATAATTTCAATGATAACAGCACTGTCAAAAATCGGCGCTCCAGAATTGTGTGTACCAATATGGGGGTAACTAATTTTGTTCGCCTACTTTACATCAAGTTGTGTAAAGGTAATGAAACCCATGGGCGGGGGGTACATTCACTTGGCTAACACAGACAATCCCCGAACTCGTAATATACCTAAAACAAAGGAAATCAGAATAAAATTATGGCCTAAACCTAATCTGGTACACACTACGTCGGTACACAAAAATAGTTAGTCTAACCTGCATCGCAATGGCAAATCTTCAGTTTCATTTCATGCAAAGTCATCTCATTGCAGGAATTAGAAGGATAGTGCGAACATCCTCGTTTGACTGTTTTCTCCCCTGTTGCGAAAATTGGAAAATATTTTAGAAAGGTTTTAATGCTTTTTTAGAAAATAAATTGATGCAATCTGAGTTGGAGAAATTTTCCACACAATTTCGTTGCCTAGTATTTGATGCGTTTGACTTAACTAAGATGATATCATAGGTTAATCAGGGGTGGGCGAAGTTTCGGGACCAGGGGCCAAAAAATGTGCCCTTTTATACTGGTGGGCCATGTGAGTGTGACGTAAAAAATGATATTTTATTAACAGTATTATTAACTGAAGTGGAAACAGCGGGCTCTGTGCCAAAACTAAATTCAATTGCAATCTCAACAAATTCCTTACGCTATTTTTTAGCTTAAACATCAAAATTTGGTTTTGATTCGGTTGTGTCCGCATCGGGCGGGCCAAATTGAAGTCCCCAATGGGCCGGATTTGCCCATGTCAGAGTTGAATTCTATGGTTGAGATCCCATTTTAACTCAGGGTGTAATAAATAGGGTAGGTAATGCATTTTGGGTTCTACTGAAATTAAAATGGCGGTCTTCATGTATCAGTGATTGCTCATGCAGAAACTTATTTAGAGCAAAAGACTTATAACTGCCGCGTAGGAATACAAATACCGACTCAAAACCCTTGTTTCGACTCTAGGTTGCGGAAATTTTGAGTCCGAACTCCGAGGATACCAAACATCGATAACAAAAACACATTCAAGTCTTCTTAGACTAAAGGTGTGCATAGGCGGTCCATGGGCCACACCGCCGAGCCGCCAAGCTATTTAGTGTGGCTCTTGTCAACACTCAGATTTTTCCACATGAAGCATAAAATTCTAACTCGACAGTTTATGTTTAAAAAGGCGCTCACAAATCTATGTTTGGGGTGTGATAACTAAGCAGACCTCGAACATTAGGTCTTTGACCATTATTTTTGCTACGTCACATCGACAAACAGGCCATTCCGAAAGAGAGAAAAATTGCTGCATTTAGACGACATCACGCTATAGTTGCCTAAGTTTTTGACGTTCACCTGATATTGTCAATGTCTCCTCCGTTGTGTAACATCTTGTCGTAGTTCCGGGGATCATGGTGCAATTACGAACGTCGTTCCCACTCAAACCGGTTTCGCAATCTTTGCACACGTAGCACTTAAGAGCTATACCTGCGCAAAATGTGTAATTTTATAAGTTAAAAAGAAACTGTAAAATGACCATTTCTTCGTTTTATATACATGGAGTTCCCTACGAACAAGGCTGTGTACAAGTAGCTAAGGGCGCAGCCAGGGAGGGTGGGTTCTAAAATTTTTAAATGGTAAAAAAATACCGCATCAGTTAGCGTGTCCGGCCGGTCCGTTAGGCTGGAAACGGGCGCTCCAGAAGTATGTGTACCAATATGGAGGTAACTCATTTTTTTGCCTACTTTACATCAAGTTGTGTAAAGGAACTGAAACCTATGGGCAGTCGATATATTCACTTGGCTAACACAGGCAATCCCTGAACTCGTAAAGGAAATAAATAAGAAAGATTGGAATAAAATTATGGCCTAACCCTAACCTTGTACAAATACCGGTAGTACCGGAAAACTTTGGTTTTCAAGAGTCTTGACTCTTTAGGGTCTAAAAAGCGTTTCAAGGTACGAAAATTTGCTGTGTATGTTACAGAAAAATGCGTCTTTACCAATTCAAAAGGGAAGTGGGGTTCCGACCCTCAAGCTGAAGCTAGCGGTTACCATAAAGCACAATAAAGTAATAGTAAAGTTTTAACAACAGTACATACTCCGAGTATTTGTAATCAAATAAAATAGCAAATTTTTTTTCGAGCTACTTCGGAGCTTTAGATGAGTCAGAGAAACTCCTAAATCACTTAGAACGGGGGTGTGCAACCTGTTGCCCGCGGAGAAGTGCTAATTCTTGATGATGTGCAGCACGCGAAACTTTTTAATTTTGTAATTCCAATCTCTATTCTTGAGTCAAATGTGTTATTTCTGCCAATGACTTTACAATGCCCTGATAGCAGCTTGTGCGAAGCAAACAACGCATTTAATAAGATCAATAACCAAAATTTTTGTGATGCAACTACTAGAAAGTTTATGTTAAATGAAGATGCGGCCCGCGGTATCACTTAGTTATTTCTATCTGGTCCTCCAGTATGAAACGTTGCACATCCCTGACTTAGAATATATACATAAACATGCCCTATTTTCTATCAACACTACCGACTTACCTGTTGTGAATAGCAATGCAAAAGTGATTGAAGTAATTCCGACGGAACTTCTCATTTTGTTGAGGATAAATTAATACTTTAATTAAGATTTCAAACGAAATATATTACTATATCCTATCCTGTAAAAACTGAATTGATGAAGTAAAATCAAATCTAGTTGAACGAATTCTATTAGATCGGGCGTGGCAACATTTTTTGTCGGTGGGCCATATAACCTTGCAACTTCAGCTGGCTGGGTCACGCAGAAAAATTAGTTTTTTTCATGTACACAACGAATCAAAAAACATCACAATGCAAGATTTAACGCAGCGACAAGAGCAAAAAACATGTATTTCTACCCATGTGAGCTCCTTCTTAAACATAAACTGTCGGATTAGGTTTTTATGCAATTTTGCATATTGAACTCCAAATGTTGACAAAAATTGTTAAAGTTAAAAGAGACCTACAACTAGCGAAGTACAAATACATTTTATTTTCAAATATATTTGCTTTCCACGGTCCTTATTCGTATTTGGCGATTCCTGCTTATGGAACTATTTAAAACGTTTACAGAGTTGGTATTTCTTACATGAAGATTTAAATAAGATGCTCGAACTAAACTCAAATTCACTCAGAGCCACATTGTACAACCACTGTACTGCCTGCCATTCAGCATAGTCACCCGCGGTCTCAAAATATACAATCCTTCTTATTTCTAATTTTCTTATTTTGACCGTTGGTGGTATATTTGGTGGGACTTTGTACAAAACATCCAAACCCTAGTTGGGCCTATACCTTTACTTCGCTTCTATATTCACTGTCGCCTAGTCGTAGAAACGCTCTGTGCCCCTGTACCAGTACAAGCTTATGAATTAAGAATCGTATCAAAACAAAAGAATATTAAATTACATTCTTTATTGTTAGAGCGGGGTATTTCACTTTTGTTAACAATAGCGACGCAGTTCGAAAATAATGGTAAAATTAGCAAGAATTTAAATGCATTCGTACTCTGATAGGGCCTTTAGGTGGCACATTGTTCTAAGCGTTAGGAATACGCTTGCCACCGCATCTCTGATTGATTACCCTTCGTGGGTTCAAATCCCATGTAGGGTTAGTTATGTGCGAGGGGATTGCTGGTCTCCTCGCCGCCGTAGGGTGGTTCACGTGACCGTTTGTCGGTTATGGCTTCCACTATCATCAAGACCATGCGTAAACAAATAACTGGCTAACTAATCACACACCCGACATGGAATGATAACCGGACAAGAGGCCGTGGTTCGCCATATGATTAAGTCGTCTTATCGGCTTGCTTCTCCCCCGGGATAAATATGTAAATCCTATCCTCTCGTTTGGTGTAGTAACCTCACGGTGTTGTGACGACTGTACTTTTCTTTTTGTATTGGAGATCGGTTCCTACTAAACCCAAAATACAAACTGCAAGCTCTAGTCAGAAACATGTTTTGAATATGAATTTCGATTGTTTATTCAAATCTACCAACCACGGGCTTGTCCTGTTTTCGTTTTCTTACATTAATCAGGGTGACACCTTGATATTGGGTTGCTTAAATGCATCTCGAAGTCCGACATTTGTTAGTATTTTATGTTTGTCCTTTTTCGCAGTATGATTTAATATTGTACTTTCTCATAGGTAACACTGCTAAATAACCATTATTGGTATATCGCATTGATTCACACTGAAATGCATGTATTTTTTTCATCTTTCTTAAATATGTTTGTTCATTGTGTACTTTCGGCATGTGATAAAATAAACTACTTCTGACGGACTCACCGAAATCGTCTCGAAGAGCTCGGTTCGGCTTTTCAAAATGTCACCCCTGATATACCATCTCGATAACACTGTAGTAAGTTTTGTCAAAGAGAAAAGATTCTAGGCTTTTCGTAGTTAGAACATCTTATTGAAGACTGCTCATATATAGCAGTTGTAAATGGATTCTGTTTTCACGTTACTCCCGCGTCTTTTTTAGTATTAGTGCAATTTTCTGTCAACGATCAAGAAAGAGAAAATTAGTAATTATCCAGTTCGGGTTGGGTTTAAAAATGCAGATTGCTCTGAAAACTCAACTGGATGATTGCTAATTTGTTTTGGGGGTTGTTCTGAAAAATCGCCATTCGCACAACCATTGAACCACTTTATTTTCAGTACTCAAGATAGAGAAGTCTACTCCTCAAGTCTTTAGAAGACTATTACTTGTATTTTTTATTTATTCAAATTTCCTCCGAGTCTTGTGGAATCCGATATTTCATTTAAAATTTTGCTGTTTTTTTTAAATTCATTGAAGAACTTTTTATGGCGTATAGAAACACCTTATTATGGCGTATGGGAAGATTTTTCACGCTTAATCTTAAATCTTTAGGCAAACTCAGAAGCCGCTAGAATGCTGTTGCTTTTATTTTTCTTCAACTATTGTACTCGGTTGAATAATTGTAAACTTGGTGTTTCTTTAGTATATTAATCACCATATTGCATCACGCACGCCTGTCTGCTCGTGTCTGTGCCAACCGACGACGCTCTTGTTCTGCTCGGTATTCTTTTTCAAGCATATAGACCACTGAGAAAATGGAATGTTGTCAACAAATTCGTCTGTACAATATATTTTTCCATGGATAATTGGTCTTGCTATAAATCAAGCTTGATAAGGCTCAGTCGTCTTTAAAAAAAAACATAGTATATAAGTCAATTGACTTATATTTAAAGTCATGCTTTGGGAAACGTATAAAGGTCTTAGAATATTGTATCATGCACGCCCGCTGAATCTGCGACTTTGCTGTTGTCTTCGATATTCTTTCTCAAGCATAGCGACGACTGAAAAAAAAGGAATGCTGGTAACAAAAGGTCAGCGTCGTTAGTAGAGTCCCTTTTTATGAAATATCGAAAAATATTAGTATATTGTATTTAACTTCACTGCTGACTATTGATTCCTCACCTCTTTGCAATCGCGTTTGATCACTTCTCAAATCTTCAATTTCATTTCCTTGTGTTCCGTATCTACGCCGGATGTCACTTAACTCTGTCAGAAAACAAGAGAGAAATCTTCAAATAAAAAGTCGGGCACTCCCGTAGTATGTGTACCAGGTTAGGGTTAGGTCCTAATTATATTGCAATTTTCCTTATTTCAGTTTCATTACGAGTTCGCGGACTGTGTGTGTTACCCAAGTGCATATACCCCTGCCAATAGGTTTCAGTACCTTTACACAAACTAGACGAACAAAATTAGTTACTTCTATATTGGTACACATAATTCTGAAGCGTCAAAAGTCGCGCCGGCGAGGCCTTAATTATGCACCAAATTTGCTGAAAAGATCGTCAGACAAACGTGAATGAATTCACGAGGTGACGCTATATATCAAAATATAAATAAATTTGGAACTGAATAAATTTAAAATAAAATAAAATTAATAGACTTCTAGGGACTTCTACCATCTAAAAGAAGTGAAACTTTGATATCAACTGGTCAAGAAGTAGCAGAAAAAAGTGATTTTTACCATGAGAATCTAAACTCCAAAAAGAACAACAATTTTTACAACTACATATTAAACATATTGTAGGCAACTTGAAGCTGATCGCGGTGTCCTAGTGGTTAAGCGTCAATTATGTTGGTATAGTATGGTATGTTGGGTAAATATTCCGGAACGTTATGCCAAAGTCATACTTCCTCAGAAATACATTATTCAACTAGCCTTGTGATTTCAATCGTTTCTGTGTGAAACAATATTCGTTAATTGGGAATAACTTTTGAAATGTATCAGCTTCATCATTTCTTTTTAATTTTTATTTATTTTTCATCCCCGTTATAGTCGTTGTCAATTTCTAAAATACAGTTGAAAGTTTTTCACAAAACAGGGGATTTCACGGATTGTAATTTATAACTAGCAATTTAAAATAAGTATTTTTCACCGTATCCGGAACATTCGCGCAGGGAATTTGGCCGCATAGGAAAAATCGCAAGAGCATTTTGCTGTAAAACAAGTATTTGTGATTAAAACAGTTAGGTTTATAGGGTAAGGGTATGCTCCTAAAAAATGCGATTTTTCATATGGCGAATTTTCCTATGCGGCGAAATTTTCTAGAACCAGTTTTCTCACACCTTTTTGTAAATTCGACTGGGTCTCTTTCATGTCAGCGAGTTCGTCTGCCTGTTTCTTGTTTATCTCCAGTACTTCATCCAATTCTGTTAGATGAATTAACGGAATAATTATAAATATATAATGGACTATGTTCTCTCGATGATTTATAGCAAATAACAGACTCCGATCGTAAGACCCAAGAATGCGATACTTGGAATAGCGGTTTTCAGAAAATTTAAATATTGGAAGGGTTCGCAAGCTTAAAAGTTTGGGATATCTGCATATACAGCACATATACATGGCTTCCTCCACCATTCTGAGAACAAATAACATATCCGATAACTAACTCATATCCGACCTGGAGTGGTAACCGGACGAAAGGCCGTTGTTCGTCATATAATCAAACCATCTTATCAACTTTCCTCTCCCCCTGGATAAATATGTGAATCATATCCTATATATATATATATATATATACAGGGTGTTAAAAAAGTTGGGCAAAATTAAGGTAAAATTTTTCGTCATGGCAACGTTAAAAAAGTAACTGTTAAAGAGCGGCAGTCGTGATAGGTTTAAATGGCATTTCACCGTATCGTATACTGTTCGAAGGTGTCAGTCGTTAAATGTTTCAAGTAGCATTTCATCTTAACTTTTGGTAAGTTTGTGTTACTTTTTAACACTCTGTATAACAGCAATTTGGAAACAATATAAAACAAGGATTAGGAATATTAGAAACAATATCAAAGGAGTACGTACGTACGTTTTAATAGAGACTCAGATACTTTATCGCTTTTGTTGTTATTCTTCAATTCTTTATTAAGCTCATCAGCTTGTTGTTTGTTCATTTTCAGAATGCCTGTGATTTGTAAAACAAAAAAGGATTCCACAAAGTCTACTTAGCAGTGGGGCGTAGGGCATTCCGAATCGAATAGTAAATTATTCGTATCAGTTCGAAGCAAAATTTTTGATCGCCGCCATCTTGTTTTTTTCTTTCCGCCAATGGTCGAGGTGAATTATCCATATGTTTCTTCTTTGAAGCCATATTTTTCAACGCAAATTCTGACATATGACTTTTTTCTGTAGTCAGTTATTGATAAATACGTGTTTTTTATTGTGTGAGAACGCTTAGCAATTTGTCTGAGTGATGTATTTTATGATTTTAGTACATCATGTGTTGACAGGACCAATTACAATAAAAAAAAGTTGCATACAATTATATATCTCCCAAGTCTTCGAGATTCGATTTGAAAATATTCAATTCGATTCTGAAATCATCAGGTATTCGAGAATGCTCAGCCCTGCGTTAGAAATGGCCGCTTGTGTTTAACACACTGATCCTAAATTATAACGTTGAATTTGAATGAAATTTTCGGCACTCCAGAAGTATGTGAAGTTGTGAACCAAGATAGCGGACACTCGAACGTAGTATGTGTATCAGGTTAGGGTTAGGTCATAATTTTATTCCATTTTTCCTTATTTTAATTCTATTACGAGTTCGGGGACTAGCTAAGTGACTCTTGTAGTATTTGTTCCTGAAATTACGGCCTAACCCTAACTTGGTACACATACTATGTTCCCGTGTCCGCCATTCTGGTTTACATTCAATGGAAGTGCCCGTTCAAAATATGTTACGATTTTCAAACTTCACATTTGAAACATTTTTTCCTTTAATATACAATTTTTTGCGTCTTTATAAATTCTAAACCGCACCGCACAATTAAAACTTAATTAAAATTGTCATAAGACGTCTGATCAACTTTTGAAATAAAAATAAAATTCCCCCAAACCTTTTTGCAAAGTTGACTGAGTCGCCTTCATATCAGCAAGGTCTTCTGCTTGTTTCTTGTTTATCTCGAGAACGTCATCCAATCCTGTTTAATGAGTTTAGTAAAATAACTGGCGCTCCCGTAGTGTGTGCACCAAGATGGCGCACAACCTGATAACCCTAACCTGGTACACATACTATGTTCAGGTTGTTCGCCATTTTGGGGCACACACTACGGGAGAACCGAATAACTTTATATAAATTTTTACCAGACTTATCATCCATAGTAATACGTAGGTCCTTTCATAATGCTACGGGCCTTCCATTATAGTACGTCCTTGCATTTTGTTGGCTGCTGGAACGACGATCCCGTAGTATGTGAACCAAGATGGCGGACACCGGAACGTAGTATGTGTACCAGGTTAGGGTTAGGCCGTAATTTTATTCCAATTTACATTATTTTAGTTCTATTACGAGTTTGGGGACTAGCCAAGTGACTCCCGTAGTATTTGTACCCGAAATTATGGCATAACCCTAACCTGGTACACTTATTACGTTCCGGTGTCCGCCATCTTGGTTCACATACTACGGGAGTAGCCCGCTTGAACAGATCCTTGTTCTGACTGAATTCGTGAAAACTCATATATTCATACTTCTTTCTAGTTCTTCGATATCTTGACGATTATCAGCATTCGCTCCATAAAGTTTCAAAATATCTGCAGATGGGGTTCCTTTGCATGTTATAGGGAATTCCTTCCTTTGCAAATATTCATAAATGTTGAACCATTGATGGTTCAAAGGTGAAGGGTCACATTGATTGACATTACATCCGGGTTTAAATCGACAATTTAAATTCTCGGCCTGGCATGGTTCGAAAACCATACAGTACATTAATACCATAACATTTAGTAATCGATACATAATCAATAATCTTGTGAAAAGTTTGAATAATATTGAGGTCTAACTGTGAGAACGCATTAAATATATTTCATAATTTTTTTTGAAATATAAAATATTTAACAAGACTTTTGCTGTTTTTATATCGATAATTCAATTTTTATGCATTTAGAGTTAGACCCTACCTAACGCAATATTTACTATTTACGATGTTCTAAAGGCAACACAGGCAGTTGGGGGTTGTTCAGATTATTTTATAGATATGCAAGTAACGGATCTTATTTCTCTGACCTTCCTGCCTTTCTTTCCCTCAAAAGAATCTATATGTATATATATGTATTGCATGTTGCTATGTTTGCTTGCCAGCAAAATTTTCACATTGAATTTCTTCCTCGAAACTTCTTGCTTCAGGTAATTCCATTCCATCTTGCTGCATTTTCCCAGTGTTATTCGTGCAGTTTCATGTTTTGTATCAACCTATATCGACTCGCATTTTTCTCCCGAGGATTAACTTTTTACCTTAGAAGTATACACTTTTAGACTAGTATATACTTCGATGAGTCGCAATTTTTATCTCTGACAAAATTTCATGTATTGTGAGTTTTTTCTGATGCGAGATTATTAAAATCAAACTAACTTTTTGTAAAGTTTAGCTGCAATCGAACATTCACAAGTAATAAAACAAGCTGCAAACTGTTGACTAAATTTCATTACATTGTCACCATACCAGACAATAACATTCTCGGCCTTCCTAATCAATACAATATTTGCTATCTAATATGGACTGTGAACTGTCATACTTATAACCCATCAATAACAAACACTTGAAATTTCCGGATACGGCATTCATTTCTAAGCAGTGAGGCTCGTATTTTTACTAAGTTACGTTTTGCGGAAAGAATATCATAGTTTGTAGTACATCGCCTCGGCCAAAAGACTTTACTATTAAATAGCATTTATTTTTATATATTGCGCACAAATTTGGGCGCTCCAAAAGTGTGTGTACCAATAAAGAGGGAACTACTTTTGTTCGCCTACTTTACATCAAGTTGTGTAAAGGGAATGAAACCTATGGGCGTATATTCACTTGGCTAACACATATTTGAGCATCACTCTCTTGTTTACTTTTAATAATAAACTTCTGCTTAACTTGTCACTGATTGATTATGATTTCATGCTTGGTGGGGAGAATCTGAGTGTTATTAAGGGCCACACTAAATGGCTTGGCGTTCGAAGGGTAGACGGCGGTGATATGGTGCGCATCACCATTAGGGGGCACTATTGGTGCATGGTAACAGACTATCAACGACATTTTAACGAATATAATTTTAAAAATTATAGATTACATTTGTTATGAAGTGCTTTCACACTCTAAACGAGGCGCTGTACAAGCAGCCATTGATGCGTTGCAATGTACTATCGGTTGAACACGAAGCATAATTAATATGAATTTTTCTTGAAGGCAAATGAGACTATGGAAAATAATAAAAGCCACAGTTACAAAGTTGGAAAATTGGCTAATGAAGCAATGTTTTTGTCTGGTAATAAACTTTGTCTTGAAATTGTAGTAAGCAAAATGTACATTATTCAGCAAAAGCGTCTATTAGTAAGCAATAATTGTTCATTGATAAGCAAAAATCTCCGTCCAGTAAGCAAAAACTGTCCATTAGTGAGCAAAAAGTGACCATGAGTAAGCAAAAACTGTCCATTAGTAAGCAAAATGTACATTCAGCGAAAACTGTCCATTAGTGAGCAAAAACTGTCCATCAGTAAGCAAAAACTGATACTAATGTTGAAGTAATCGCAGCCGTTAGAAGGAAGTTGAAACTGAAGGATTCTGCTCCGTTGCACAAATCTTGAAACAAAAGAAAATACAAACGTAATAAAAACTACTTGCATCAATAGCGCCACTAGTGGAAGAGGAGTGTGTTTTTGACCATTTTAAATATTTACACATATATCTCCACCAATTAATTGAAAGTTGTTGCGACCCGGTTTGGCTCCGGATTACAAAAAATGTTGTCTCTGACTCACGAATCCGGTTAAAAAATTGACTCCGGTTTTTCATTAACAAACTGAAGATTTGTTGTGTTTAGTAAACAAAATGACAACAGATCTATGTAACTAAAACAAATGGAGGTTAAATATTCTCCATATCCAACATGGACTGGCAACTGGACATTATTCCTTGTTTCACCATATGTTTAACCCGCCTTATCGGCTTTCCTCTCCCTTGAATAAATATAATATTTTTACCATATCCTAAAGAAGATGACAGCATAGTATGAAATGTTACTTCATTTCAAAAATAATGCGCGGGTGGAGAGAGGTGTGTGAATCCCAAATATGACCCATTAGTTTCTAGAACAGAGGTGTGCAACAGGCGGCCCGCGGGCCATAACCCGACTGCCGAGTCATTTAATGTGGCCCTCGTTTTTTTTCCTATCAAGCATGATATCCTAATCCGACAGTTGATATTTAAAAAGGCGCTTGCATGGCTGAAAATACATAACGTTAAATCTTTCGTCGTTTTGCCCAGTGTCTTTATTTTAGGGCTAAGCAAGTCTTTACTGTAAGGCTAAGCAATAGCCGCATTTTTTTCTTGCCTTTTACACATAGAAAAACTTATGATGTAGCCCAGCTAGATGTATCAAATTGTTTATATGACACACTGACAAAAATGCTGCACACCTCTGTTTTGAAGCGATAGAAACAGACAGCTTGAGGACATCATATATTGTCTATACAGGAGCAGTCTGAAGCTTACTGTGTTATGCCATGAATCGTCAAATTAAATGCATAGAAAAGCTGTTTCCATCCGGGGGCGCGTGGCCCCCAAAGAGGCTACAGAGCATTTGGGGATGGGGTGCCACAGCGCTAGGCGCAGAACTTATTTTGCATTTCTCATTTCAAGGTAACTCTCCGTTCCTCCTAGTTTCATTGTTTGATAAGGTTATTTCACAGAATGTTTTCACTTTGTTTATCATGACTGAACATAATGAGCATTTGGAATCTATCAATCAAAATAACACTCTAAAAATACCACTGGAATGATAAACAAAGGGCAATGAGTTCTAAAAGTCTACGGCAGGAGCATATAGGTTGGGAACCATTGGCATAGAAATCAGTGATATCTATTAGGTATAAACATGCAGCGTTAAACCTTATGATGTAGCATTGGCTTGAAACAACACGCTATATTTAAATTATGAAATGTGGCAAAGCATGAATGAAGCCTACCTGAACGACAATAGCAAGACTCCCCAGTCAGGTTGGTTTCTGGCGAAGCAATATATTGTTCGATGCAGGTTTCTTTTAAAGCAAAAGAACACGCTCTGCCGACCAAATAGTCTCCTGAAAATATAAGAATGGTCAAGATTACTAGAATGAGATAGGAGTTTTACACTGACTAGAATAATCTCAATGGTGCATAGTTGAAATTTTGCTGTTTACTGTGTCCGTCATAAACTAACACTTTTTGGACACGTGAGTGGACCTATGGATCGTTTTAATATTTTTGGGAATCTTGTTCATGTTCGTTTTCTTCATCGTATCGTTTTTAAAAAATCGTCGATTACTGGACCAATTGCTTTGAAATTTTCAGTGAGTGAAGATTATATTTTTCGCTAAAAGGCTATTACTTCTATTTATCGTCTTTTGTGTGCTATGACGCCATCAAAATTTGCCATTATGTGGCGCCACGTGTCTATATATTTGAGCATAGCTCTCTTGTTTTACAAGAGGTCTAGTTTCTCGGCGTGGTGGATAAATAGTTAAAGCGTTAGACAGCGCAGGGTAAAACGTCGGTTTCAACCCCCCGCCTCCGAGACAAGAACAAACCCTGGTTGTGATAAATTGGGTAGACAATTCCAAACCGAAAAAGTTTTGGTAAAGCGCCTCGTTTGGGGCGAAAGTCTGGTAGAAAAATATGATCGGAGAATCCAATTAAACTGTTGCTAAAATCTACAACAGGCAAAGTAGGGCCTGCTCGCCAAATCCGGCTCCTTGTGTAACTCAATCTGGACGCCTGATGCTGCCACATTCAATTAAACTGCTGCTATAATCTATAACAGACATGAGCAAAGTAGGGCCCACGGTCGTAATCCGGCCCGTAGTGTAATTCAATCTGACCCGCCTGATGCTGCCACATCTAAACTAAAACCAAATTTTTATGTTAGGTAAAAATAGCTCAAGGAATTTGTTGAGATTGCGGTTAAATTTAGTTTTGGTACGAGGCGTATTGTTTCCCACCTATGCTTTGTAACACTGTAGATATTGTTATCGAAATGTACCTTTTTACGTCACAATAACATGGCCCGCCAGACTAGGTGGGAAAAATTTTGGCCCGTGGTTCAAAATCCTTGCCCGCCACTGATCTACAATCTTACATAACTCGAAACCATATATCACATGAAAACAACTACATTAAACTCACCATTCAAGGTTCCCTCGAATTTTTCACAAGCCGCTGACCATTCTGGTGCCTGGATCGGCGGGACTTCATCACAGGTTACGATGTCTGTGTCGTTAGCGTTAACTGCCGTGCAGTTAAAGCAGTCATAGCATTGGAGACACCAACCTGAAAACCGAGTTTATACAATAATGAGAAACCTGGCTGTGTTAGAATTTTGGGTCGTACATTGAAGATATTTCAGAGGATAGATTTTGTATTTCTGGATAAGAGAAAAATATCACAGGTTTCGGATTAGTTAGGAATCTGACTTTTTTTTTCCAGGGCGTCAAAATGCCGGTTCCGGTTTTCATTAAAATCAAAAATATGACTTCGGATCAGACTCCAGACAATATCGACTGACATTTCATATCAAGCTAATTTTCTCAAGATTTCAATCCATGCTCCAATATAACTGCTGTGTATACTTCAGTGGATACTCCCGTAGTATGTGAACCAAGATGGCGGGCACCGGAACGTAGTTATGTGTACCAGGTTAGGGTTAGACCATCATTTTATGTACAAATACTACGGGAGTCAGTTGGCCAGTCCCTGAACTCGTAATAGAACTAAAATAAAGAAAATTGGAATAAAATTATGGCCTACTCCTAGCCGGGTACACGTACTACGTTCCGGTGTCCGCTATATTGGTTCACATATTACGGAGTATCCTTCAATGTAATTTACCTCGCATGAGCAAAGGAGCCAGAAATGCACAAACAATCAAAATCTTTTCCATTGTACGTTTTTATTGCTGATTGTTTTTATCGCAAGTTTGAATGTTTTTTGATATACAAGCTAAATGTAGGTAGACTAGAACAAAAATGTATGAAAGTTTTAGTGTAATTGATTAGAGATTTTATGCCAAATATAAAACTTTTAAAGCTTTTAGCCACTCATTTAAACACAGAACGCTACAATCAACTGTTATAAAGCACTTGATATAGGAATTGCCTCAGGAGTTCATTTGGCCTGTGAGAAATCACTTTAGGTTTATGTATTTTTCATTTTTTGAATGAGTTTTTTATAAAAAGTAGAAATGAGCCAAAATGACCTTAATGAGCTAGCTAATGACTAATCCAACTAAACTTTCCGCATATTCATGTATATCTGCATATATGCAGTGGCGGATTCAACAAACTTCTAGAACGTGTTCCCTTTGTATCGCACTCACTAACAGCCGGTCTCTCATTTCAAAAAACATATGTATGTCATTTCGTAAGCATGATACCCTTTGCATAAATCAGATACATACTTTTGGAACGCAAATATAGCGCTAATCTAACGTATGAACAAAAAATAAATAAACGTGTTTGTTGGTAGTGTCGTATCTAGGATATGGCAACCATGGCTCGTGGGCGCCGTTTAAATTGGGCACCAAAATCGTGAAATAATTTCAATAAAATAATTTCAAGTTGTAAACAACTGAAACTCATATTTTTTTCTTAAATAATAACGTACAAATATCTCAATTCAACAACAGTCGTTAAAATTGTGAGTCAACGATCAGACTTTAATATAGGACATTCATTACGACATTCGGCGAAATTTTCTATAGCAAATTTTTCTAGAACTTGTATGTATACTATTCGAATACTAATCTTAAAATTGTTTTATGGTATGAGATAAGATTATAGTTCAACTTTATCAAATCTTATTTAAGCTTTTAAACGAGGTGAAAATTCAAATATTTAAGTAGGGTAACTTTTAACAACGCAGCGCTCGACGCAGCAAACTGGTTGGCTATTCTCATCTGAATAGAAAGCGGATGATTCGTACGTCATGTGATAATCATTAACAACTAACATAACATCTTATTGTTTTGTCTTCCCACCGAAATAAATTCCAATTCATTATTTGCTAATAATTGTATTAGAAATTATCATCAAATTTGTTTCATGCAATCTCTTTTTAACCTGCTCTAACGAACAATGTAATTTATACAATTAAACACTACACTTTCTAAATGGGGAAAAATTAAAAATTCCAACTACGAACCAACATCGAAACAACGAACGAAAAATACCGTGCGCGACTCAATGGGTATGGGTTCGCACTAAAAACTATTATGTCATAAAGTACCCGACACACTATTTTATTACGCCATAAAATGTATATTTGCCGATTTCACTAGTCTCAACGCATGTCATGATGCTGACAAAAATGTTGATTAAACAGGTATTTGTGAAACAGATAGGTTTATAGGGTTAGGCTATGCTCTTGAATAACAAATCTTTTTTGAATAATAAGGTACTTCAAAGTTTTTATCACAAATACTTGTTTTCGTATGCGCCGAAATGTCGTCATACGGTGAATCCTAAAACTGTTCTATGGCATTGAATAAGGATATAGTTCAATTTAATTAAATCTTATTTTATGAGGTACGAAACGAGATAAAAGTTCAAATATTCAAGTAAGATAAATTTTAACGCAGCAAACTGGTTAGCTATTCTCATCTAAACTAGAAAGCGGGTGATTCGTACGTCATATGATAATCATTGACATCTAACACAGGGGTGCACAACCTCTTCTGTTTAGGCGGCCGCATTAAGTTTTTGTAAAAGGCCAACGGCCGCCAGTGGGATCGACATCTTTTATGAGCTATATTTATTTATTATAGAATTGGTATTTATTGATATATGTTATCGACTTGCGTTTATTACTTTGCAGGCATTGGGTGAACATCTTCCCCCTGATTCTCACTATCTCATGAGTATTATTCATCTTTTCGCTGCGGCGGACATGGGAATTAAATTTTTTATTTCTTTCAAAACTGTGCGTTTCATCAGACAAGCGCGAGAGTTCATAAGCGATCATCGACAACGGGCCTTTTCAGATTAATTGAAGAATTTATATAATAATAGAGTGAATTTTCCAAAGAGAACTAAATTTTCGACTGGAAATACGAGAGTAAATAAAAAAAAAATGAAAACTGTATTATAAAATATTCTCACAGTGACTGTTGTTTTAGGATTTCGCGACAGATAAAAAAGTTTTTGGATATCGATAATCGCAAAAATTCAACAATTGAATTGCGGTATTGAAAGCCATATCACAATAACCGATGTTGAAATAATTAGTTATGCCCATGCTGTACCTTCTCACCAATTCTTGAAATACTGTCGGGGTCGAATTCGTCTTTTTTATCGGATTATGATGATCGAACAAGTTCACCACGTATTTTAATTTCTGCAGATATTTTACAGTAAAGATGATGCTTTTATTTTGTCGTAGGTCGACGCAATCGAGAGTTACGCCCAACACAATTGAATCAATATAGACAGACATTTTAAATTCTCGTATCGGTCATGAATTAAATATTTTGAGCAACCTGAAAAATCTTCAAAGCTTGCTTTTTCCACGAGTGGCGTCATCGCGATCAGGTTTCGAACGATAGTAACTAAAAAAAACAACAAGAGAGCTACGCCCAAATATATGGACACGTCTATTCGCAGTACAGTACGGTTTACCGTACCGTGAGATCACAGTCTACAAATATATACACACAAAGCGAAGCAGTACAGTCGGACACAAAATAGCGTATGGACACGTCACAAGGTGTCGCTATTTTTCATTCTGACACATAAAAAACGAATCTCTTGAAGTTCACAGAAATTTTTGAAATAAGTGAAAGTAATAGCCTTCTGGAATAAAATAGATATTAACCCACTGAAGATTTCAAAGCAATTGGTCCAGTATTCGAAGAGAAAAGCGATTTTTTAATGATAATGACGGAGTAAATAACAATACCAACATAATATTGAAACGATGTCCACTGAACGTGTCCAATAATCTTAAAAAAAAAAATTCTCCTCGGATGATATCCCGCTTTTGATACATGAAAAATATTCACAACTGTTACCTCATTATGATACTGATATATTATTTCCATTACACACACAAGTTCTGATATAATTTTCCGTAACAGTTAAGCGTAAACATAAATTAATTTGCAGTAACGCACTCAAACACCAGCACGGCCGCACATTTCACCTTCGAAGGCCGCATGCGGCCGTACAGCTGCAGGTTGTGCACCCCTGATCTAACATAACATCTTATTGTCTTTTTTTCCGCCGGAATAAATTCCAATTCATTATTTGCTAATAATTGTATTAGAAATTATCATCAAATTTGTTTCATTCAATCTCGTTTTAACCTGCTCTAACGAACAATGTAATTTATACAATTTAACACTATACTTTCTAAATGAAGAAAAATTAAATATTCCAATTTCGAACCAACACCGAAACAACGAACGAAAAATACGGTGCGCGACTCAATCGGTGTGGGCTCGCACTAATCACTATTACATCATACAGTACCCGACACACTATTTCATGACGCCATAAAATGTATCTGTGTCGATTCCACAGGTTCAACGCGTATCATGATACTAAGAAAAATAGTAAAATTTAACTTGTTTTATGTTAATTTCAATAATTCAGAAATACTCACAGTCAGAACTAAATTTAGTAACACCCTATTTTTGACACTGAATTTAGATTTTTAACTTATCTTAATATATCCTATTATAATTATCCATTATAATCATTTATTTGTCAACACAATATAAACCCATTATAAAAAAGTAAAAATAAAAAAAATAATTTTAATAGTGTGACAGGAGTCTTCAAGTCTTTAAGCTGCGGCACCTACAACTCTAATTCACATTAATGACTAAATTTTAGTGAATGCAGATGCTTCTTAGTATGAATTATTATTATTTCCAAGACATAAGATAGGCTAAGTTGAACAGAACCAAAGTTAAAGTTAGATAACTTAACTAAAAACTCGTTTTGCGGGCAAACCATTCAAAATTGGCACTTATCCGCGGGCCCACAATCCATGTGGGCTGCATTAGACCCGTTGACCGTTGTTATCACACTCCTGGTTTGATGCCATGAATCTTGAACCCATGTCGTTATTTTACTGCCCCTCTGATCACTCCTATAACTGGCATGAGCAAACTACGGACCACGGGCCACATCCGGCCCGCTGGGTGAGTCAATCTGGCCCGCCAGATTCTGCCACAACCAATCTAAAACTAAATTTGGATATTTAAGCTAAAAAATGGCTCAAGGAAATTGTTAAGATTGCAAATAAATCTCGTTTTGGCACGAGGCTCCGCTCCTTGTTTTCCACTTTTTCTTTTGTAACACTGTTAATATTGTTCATAAAACGTAACTTTTACATCACACTTACATGGCCTGCCAGTATAGATGGGCAAGTTTTTTTGCCCGTGATCCAAAAACCTTGTCCACCCATTCTTCTCAATATACTGTTCATTCAGCAGTTTATCTTGTAATATATTTAAGCATGTGCTTTATCTGTTTGTGTTATTCACTTTGATAATGGACTTCTGCTCAACTTATCACTCATTGAAAATTTATTCAAATATTGTCCAAAATATACTTTCTGGAATGTACCCAAATTCTACAACAGAGGTGTGCAACATTATTTGTTTGAATTGGGGGTGGGGTGGGGGGGGGGGGGTATGAGGGGGGTATGAGGGGTCTGAAATTCCTAATTGCCGAGTTGGACCATATCCCAGGAATTAAAAAAGTTTCCATAATGCTGAATGTTGGTTATTTATCATTTTAGTGGGATAATTGAAATTTTAGGTTCTTGCATAGTTTGTTAATTAATATAGGCTGTTAACATGAACTGTCTGTCGGATTAGGATTTTATGCTTGTTAGGGAAAAATCTGAGTGTTAATGGGGGCCACAATAAATGACTTAGTGGGCCGGGTCGTGGCCCACGGGCTGCCTGTTGCACACCCCTCGTCTACAATTAGTACAAAATACCCAAAATTCATAAATTATCTATATTTTCACAGAATTACAACGATACACTATTGAAATGATGAATCAATAAAAGACGACAATCAATTTTGGGAAATTTGTGTGTAGACCTTGCTTTTCAATTTTAGAATTTCGAGTTTAAACACTATTTAAATCGTGTAATTTTGTAATATAACAAATAATAATGAGATAGAGTTGAAACTATTTTGGCGTTCCAGAAGTATGCGTACCAATATGGAGAGAACGAATTTTGTTCGCCTACTTTACATCAAGTTGTGTAAAGGAACTGAAAGCTATGGGCAGGGAGTATATTCACTTGGCTAACACAGACAGAATCCCCGAACTCGTAATAGAACTAAAAAAAGAAAATCGAAATAAAATTACAGCCTAACCATAACCAGGTCAAAACACTACGGGAGTGCCCTTAATTTCTACTCGGTGTGTTACAAAATAAATCTTCGAAGTTTTCGAAAATTTCGAGTAGACGGCGATGATATGGTACGCATCACCGCTAGGAGGCACTATTGGTGCATGGTAACAGACTATCAATTTTATTTCAACGAATAATAATTTTTTATCAAGTGCTTTCACACTCCAAACAAGGCGCTGTACAAGAGCTACTGATGGGTTGACATCTACTATTGGTTGATAGAGAAATACACTCAATGATAATTATTCTTTGAGACAATTGAAATCAGGGGCGTAAGCTACGAGGAGTTGAGAGTCAGAACCCTTCTTTTGAAATGTAAAAAACTTTTTTTTGCATTTTAAATAGCAATTTTTCGTAGCTTGAAATGCTTTTTAGACCATCAAGATTTTTCAAAAGCCTCGTTTTCATACCCGTCCGCCCACACCCTCTTGAAAAATTCCTGGTTCATCCCCTAATTAATTAAAACGAGAATTTCGGTCAGAGACCGAAGACTTATCGATCGAAAGTTAGGGGATCCCTAAAACAGCGCTGTTATTCCATAGTGACACCTTGTGTCCCATCACTGATTAATTAATAACTCGCTAATTATACGACATGATTTATCCAAAATCAATAGGCATATGATGAATGCACATGCAAAATCTCGCTTTCGTGAGATATCGCGTGCATCTAACAGACAGACAGACAGACAGACATACAAACAGACAGACAAATACCCATCAACTTACTTACCGATTAAAATCGATAAGTAATGATTGAGATTAATAAAGGCCACATTTATCAAGAATCATAACTTCTAATAAATTTTGCGGTTGGAAAATCAACTCATAAAGCATCATTTTTGCCTGGTAATTCAGTCTGTCTTAAAATTAACGATTAGTCAGAAAGGAATGTCCCCTTAATAAGCAAACATTGTCTATTAGTAAATAAATATTGTTCATGAATAAGCAAATAATGTCCATGAATAAGCAAGTAATATCTATGAAAAGGCAAAAAGGACAATAACATTCCGTCAGTAAGCAAAAATTGCCACTAATGCTGCAGTAATCACAGCCGTTAAGAGGAAGTTGAAATTGAAGGATTTCGCTCCGTTGCACAAATCTAAAAACACAGATAAATACAATTGCATTATTTGTGTTAGTGTGCAGCAAGACTCTTGAGTCCCATAGAATAGTTATCTCGCTATTGCATCCTTGTATAATATGTATATGAATCTACCGGCACAAAGGCGCATAAGTTGTTAGTCCCGCAGAAAACAAGTTATTAGCATTAAAAACTATTCTATAAATTCTATAAATAAAGCAACTAGTGGCTAAAGCGAGAGTTGTTTTAACTATTTCGAAGCTTACTATGCAATTTGAGAGTCCTGCTGCACACTAACACAGATGTATTTCTGTAATTGAATTAATGATGCGTCGGTCAGACGAAACGTTACGGAAATATATTTGTGTTAGTGGGCAGCGGACTCTCTCAAATTGCATAGTATATATGATTTGTTTATTCCTGATATAGCATCCAATAGCGCAAAAACATTGCGAAAAGACTGGGAGTTAGGCTCGCGGTATCTCTACTGATAGTTATTTCAAAGCTTGTTGCAACATTCTCCAACTACTTTTCAATCATGGATTTGGCATGACTAGCATGACGAACCTAGGGCTCTTTTTTTTTTATACGACACCGATTCACGTCCGTCACTCGAACCAGCCAATGATTTCAGCAGAGGCGTAGCCCTGAATTTTTAAATAGTTGGGGGGGGGGGGGGGGGGGGGGGGGTGAGGGGTCTGAAATTCCTAATTGCCGAGTTGGACCATATCAGCAGGAAAACGTTGGTTTCAAGAGCTTTGGGGATCTAAAAAGCCTCTCGAGCTACGAAAAATCGCTAAGAATGATAAAGATTTTTTTTTACATTTTGATGGGGCGAAGAGGGCTACGCCTCTGTGTGCATTTGCCAGAACCTTCCCATTTCAGCATTGTTTACTCAATATATTAAACCATGGATAATCTGATTGACATAAAATTTCATCCATTGATGTGTATCCTGCAACGCCTTGCGAATCTTGAAACATTTGTCATACAAATTTCTCAAATTTTTGCAGATAGATGCGTTAAACCCTGACATGGGTAAAATACGACCCGCGGGTGATGATTCAATCTGACCCGCCTGATGCTGCCACAATCAAAGTAAAACCAAATTTTGATGTTTGAGCTAAAAAATAACTCAAGAAATTACAAGCTCCAGGTCCAAAACCTTGGCCCATCCTTAGTTAAACCTCACCTGAGTGGCAATAACAAGATTCTCCAGTCACGTTGTATTGTTCCGTAACAATCACTTGCTCGATACAGGTGTCACCGTTGCCAAAACCACATTGTCTTACGACATACGGACCACCTAAAAGGATACGGATGGTCAAGCTTAGAAGGCTAGAATATAATTTTCACATTTATAAGTCTATACGACTACTTAATCATATGACGATCACTCGTCCGGTTACCAGTTCATATCAGGTATAAGATTAGATGAACGATATACAGGGTGTCCATAAACTCTCCTTACAATTTCAATTTTGTTATGAAGTCAGTTCTCAGTATATCTTAACCAGGTTTGTTGTTTTTTAATCAGTAATCGTACACGTATTTTTACGTCATTTAATACATCTGTGAGGGCCAATACAATAAATTGTATCGATAAATGCCCTTTGCAATGTTAAAAACTTCTTCATTGACAACCTGTACATGGGCGTAATGCTTTATCAATCATCAAGCTTAGTCAACAATTCAAGTAGATTGGAATCATTTTGCTGAGTTGTTGATGTTTTTTCGGTTGTTGTTGTGAGAAAATCTCTTTTCTCTGCAACAAACGGATTAATTGATTCCAGATGTTCATTACTCAAAAATGGTAAATTTGCTAAAAACCAGGTACTTCAAATTTCCTTTAATTTTTAGGGGGCAATTTCAATCCAAATTTCGATACTTTTATAATTAATAAGCACACCTTCATATGACATTCGGCACAAATATTTTAACATTAGATTTGAATTTTTTGCTAGAAACCTATTACTTTACCATGCAATTCAAGAGTCCAACTATACACTAACACAAATGTAGCAAGGCTTTTGAATTGCGTAGTATGGTCATGCTTATTTCTGCTACAGCATCCTTGCATTATACGCATACTGATCCACTAGCGACAAGGCATTGCAGAATAATTGGGAGTTAGTCTTGCGCAACCTCTACTGATATCCCATACATTGATTTAATTTTTCAATTTTTTTTCGACTCTTACGAGTCAATTTCAATTCAAATTTTATTAGCTTTAATAATCAATGGGTGCACTTTCATATGACATTCGGTACACTCTTTTATTATTGGGTTGGATTTTTTTCCCAAATTACGGTAGTCATGTTACCCATTTGACTTTGGTGTCCATATAGTTGTGAATTGATTTCCTGATTATTTATCAGGTGGCGATACTTATCGAAACAAAAACAGAACATTTTATTCAAAGTAAAAAGAAGTGATGCAAAGTGCTCTTGGTTAATCATCACTGTAGGCGATCACGCGTTTTTGACCATTGCTAGCTGATAAATCATACAAATTCTGCTGTTTTACACGCCAAGTGATTTTCAACCAACTGCCAGGCCACAGAATCATTTTTAGGTTGACTACAAACACATTAAGTATTAATTAAATTTTAATCTTTTTCTGGCTATACGGTGGCGATTTTCATTCTAATTATAGTTATTGAACTGGAAGTATCTGTTTTTGCGAAAAGTTTCTTGTACTTTTCCCTGACATGAAAATGTGAATTAGCCACCAGATTTTTATGCAACAAAAATGGGCTACGAACGAAAAGAATTGAAAACGACTGGTATAAAGCTTCAGACTTCAAATCCTATCATCACGCCACCCAGGGTGTGATAATATGGGCGGTCAGTACAGAACTGGAAGAATTTCTGTTCTTCTAACTAAGCTATAGAAACTCCCTATACTTAGCAGTGGCCTTGTAGTGATCGTAAGACTATAAATATGCATTATATATATATAATAAAAACATTTTCCCATAATCTAATTCAGGGTTGTGCAACATTTTTGTCGGCGGGTCATATAATCAACTTCAGAAATCGAGCTGGGTCACACAAAAAATTTGGTGCGAAAAGCAAGAAAAGAGAATGCACCAGGCAAAACGGCGAAAGATTTAACGCAGCGACAAAAGAAAATTTTTCATCCACGTGAGCGCCTTTTCAAACATGCGCCTTTTCAAACTGTCGAAGTAGGATTTTATGCTCGGTGAGAAAAAATCCGAGTGTCGACAAGGGCTGCACTAAACGGCTTCGTGAGCGGAGTTGTTGCCCGCGTCTATTGCACACCCCTGATCTAATTGAACTGTTCCTAGATCACCTTCACATATCACATGAAAACAACGGAATTCCAGAAGTGTGTGTACCAATATGGAGGTAACTAATTTTGTTTGCCTATTTTACATAAAGAGACTGAAACCTATTTGCAGGGTGTACATTCACTTGGCTAACACAGACGGTCCCGCTTTCGTAAAAAAACTAAAATACGGAAAATCGGAATAAAATTATGGCCTAACCCTAACCTGGTGTACACACTACGGACGTGCCAAAACAACCAATGAACTTACCGTTAATTGTTCCAACGATTTTCACGCAAGCCGCTGAAATTCCCGGTGCCGTGATAGGCGGGACTTCATCACAGGTTACGACCTTATCTGTGTCGTTAGCGTTAATTGTGGTGCAGTTCAAGCACTCGTAACATTGGATACACCAACCTGAAAACCAAGTTTATACAATAATACTTGACTATGTTTACGTCGTAGGGGACAATTTCGTGCTTTTACAATTTATCGAGAGTGATTACTAATGAATTGGATAAGCCAGCAGTTCCCAGAGGTAAAAAGCTTTAAAATAATTCCGACTCATGACTTCTGGATACAGAATGGGAAAAACTGAAAATCCGACTTCAATCTCAAGGAGTTCGAAATACCAACTCCGGTTCACGGTGAGTTTGAAAATGATACTTCGAATCTGACTCCAATCAATACCGACAAAATGACAGACCCAGTCTTTTAATCGAGCGCCATAATTGCTAGTTGAGTGCAATTTCATAATATTTACCTTGCATGACCATTGGAGCTAGAAAAACACAAAGAATCAAAATCTTTTCCATTGTGTGTTTATTGTTGATCGCTTTCGTCAAAATTTTTTATGACTATATATATCCAAGCTACAAATTATATGTACACTGGAATAAATGAGTAAATTTAACTGTAAAAGCTATAACTTCTTCATGTCGAATGTAAAAATTTCAAAGCCCTTTTACTACTCAATAAAATACATTCAACTTGACTGTTTATAAAGCTTTTTTTTTCCAAAATTACCTCGTTAGAGCAATTGAATTATTGGCGTATGGAGGCGTATTTCCAATTTAGGTAAGTCCATTTTACCGCTGAGTAATTTATTTGTTGGGCATAAACACTAAAACGCAAAAACATGACGTTAACATCCTACTAATAACTACCCTAACTAACTCATAACACCTGACTATAAGCTGATGCATCATATACGCATACTAATCAGGTTCTAATATTCTCAAAATTAGGTCATTAGGCAATACAAAGGTTAACTTTATCAAGCCTTATTCTAGTTTTAGTTTGAAACGAGTCTAAAATCCAAATAGGGCAATTCTCCCATATTTTCGCTATCAAGTCCCCACACGCAAAAATCTTCTAGGATTTGAATATAAGGAAAATGTAAACTTCTAACAACGCAGCGCTCTTCGCATCGCAAACTGGCTAACTATTCGCATATCTGAACTAGTAACCAGATGAGAAATCGGTGTTCGTCATATAATTGAATTTTCCCATTGTCTTTTTTCTCCACTGGAATAAATTTCAATCTCTTTTTTGCTAATCTTTATAGCTTATATCTTCAGAAATAATTATTATAAAATTTTATCAAATTTGTTTTTTCAATCTCGTTATAATGAAAATTCAATTTGTCTGCTTAAACACCATATTTCCCAAACGGAAAATTTTTTTCAAATTTCGAACCAAAACCACCGTATTGCCACCCCCCAAGAAGTTCCTTCAACGTTCGACGCGGTTGAGTGGGTGTAAGCTCGCAATGATAACTATTATATCATACGGTACCGGCGCACACTATTTTATGACGCCATAAAATGCATTTTTGTCGATCACAATTGTCGCAATGAATGGTGGGATACTAAGAAATATAGTAAAATTTAACTTGTTTTTATGTATCATTCCAATTATTTCAGAAATACTTATACAGTAAAAAAATTATATATAATGTTGTATTTATAAAACTTTTTGTGCATCACTGGTCACTGCCCATATTTGAAATTTATTGGATGCCAACTCAAAAATGCTCGGCGTCCCACGATTGGTCCGTGGCCCACCGGCCACTGGACTTAACAGTACCAAGATTAAACGAAATCGAATAAAGCAGGCTAAAACAGGTTGTGGCAGGACATTGAAAGGATAGCAAGTAGTAACCGAAATTGGATATCAGATTGTGAAATTTTTTGCGAGTTTTTTTGTTCAGGACACCATTTAACTATATATTTCTTTACAGGGACTTGTCAAACTTTTCTGCGGCCCGGGACGAATTTCCAGGATTTATTTATCATAAATAAATATAACAATATTGCTCTATTATTGTTTTATGACGTCAGATAGTGTACAGTTATTTGCAATATATATATAGTTATACCTATACGCTGTTGATGTGTAACATTAAATACGCTGAGAGGCTTGTAATAATAATCGAGGGTAGGGATCATGGGTTCATGACCGATTGTTTGCGCAAAATGCGTTTCTGCTATAAAAGCAGTTTATATTATTTTTCGATTTAAAACCTCTGCCTGTTTGTTAAACAATTCCAGATGGCAGGATTTATCTGAAAAAATGCATGAAATATTACCGCTTTTTTAATTGCTTTTTTATTGGCAAATTTCGTCATTTTTCTGTGACAATACAACAGAAATGTACCATTGCATACCTGCCTATAAAATTCACGTGTTCGGTACTCCATTCCACAATTTTTTACGTCACAATGAGAAATCAAAAATTTATTGTTCAATAAAATCCTGGTGTTACTCAATAATACAGATATCACCTTATGCCATCCGTTATCAAAATACTACAAAAATATTCAGAAAATTTTGATGGCTTTTATGGGTATTTTAATTCGCTTCTAGCATAGGTTCCCAACTTTTTTCGATTTTTCCCTTTTTTTGCAAAATTTAAAGCTTTCCATACCTCCTTACTATACATTAACGCTCTGATGCCGTTTAATGGTAAATATTAGTTGGTACGCACTGTGCACTGCGCGATACGCACCGCGTGCACTCTGGCTTTTGTACAGTTAGAATGGTTTATTCCAATTCCATACAGCAAATGTTTTATATATATAATATCAATAGACCAAAGCTTAATTATACGGACATGAATGTCAAAAATCTTAGATAAATTTTCAATGGATTTTATCAACTACCATATGTAGGTAGGTGTGAATGAAGTTAATTAAATTACTAATTTCACATAATTTGAATGATGATACCTTTATGACTCAATTGGTGATAAAAGTTTGTATTTTCACCATATTTAAAAATCATTTTACATACAGAATAATGGTAAATGAGAAACAAAAATGCATTTCAGGGTGGAAGGGGACGCGATAAACCTGTATTGGTTATTGAGCAGCGACACCTATACCCAGAAAAAAATAAATAAAAATACTCATCCTATATAGACTTCTTCCATGTGTACGATTCGTTTCAAAAATTTGTACGAAATTGAGTTGGTAAAACAGTAAAATGAATGATATCATAGAGCAGGGGTGGGCAACCCCTAGCACGCGTGCCCATTTATTTGGCACGCGAGGGATTCCTCTGAAACGAAATTATTCGACTTCAGATAAAAAGTTTCAAGACTCTGAATTATCTGATGAAACTCGGTGTTCTTTTATTCATTAGCAATTCGGTATTTATTTATTAACGCGTTTTGTCTTTTCGTGGCATATGGCTGCAAAGATATACATTATGACGTAACAAATGAGTGAGCTCTTGTGCAATTTTGCCGAGAAAAGCGCAGCATCTCTTTGCCTACATTCTTATGTAATATAGTTTGTCCGTGCCACCCTTTTTGTTCATTTCTGCTCCATTTATGAGGTTGTAGACTGTAGAGCATGATGGTTAGAGTTACTTGCTAACTTACTGTTATAATTTGATTTCGAAGAAAATATAAGCGATTAGGGAACGGGAAGCGATACAAGAGAGAAGTGAAGAAAACAAACTATTGCGAGATTGGTATGCCATTCCCGAAATTTTCCGTGTCTTAAAAACTTTGCAACTGCATTACTCTCCGTGTTTCCATCTACGTATGCTTGAGAATCTTCGTTCTCAGTTATGATCTTTATTAAGTTATGTAATAGTAGTAGCCTGAAATATAAAACTTAGTTCGTGTATTTTCTTGAAAGTTACAAAATATAAACCCAATGTAAAATCTCTATCAGCAGCAGAAGTGATATAGAATAAGAGAGTTAATCAAATTTAGTTGTCGACTGATTTTTCCACGAATAGTGAATCTGTCTGTACATGTTTAAACGGTTTATTATTGTGTATTTTTGCGATGAAAGTAGCAAACAATTTTTTTAAGTTTGGTCGGCACGCACAAGAATTTTGTCGTTAAATTTAGCCGATGCTGGCACGCGAGCTGAAAAAGGTTGCCCACCCCTGTCATAGAGTGAATTTGTAGCGCCAACTCACGGTTAAACAAGATAAACGTGACAATATAAACGTGACTCGGGGCTCCATCACGAAGCTTAGATCAGCGAAACTGTTGTCTTGTATGTTATTAATGGAAACGTGCAGCATTGAAAATATGATTTATATACTATATCGATTTGTTGATAGACGGTCTATCTTGATATGACCAGAGTAAGAGCGATGCTGGCCAGTACTGCTGTAATACATAATACAGGTTAGTCACTAGAAAAACAGAAAATTTGTCAGCAATTTAATTTTACAAAGAATAATTTTTACAAAATTTTTGAAGGCGTATGTTATATTACACTCATAGATGCTCAAAATATCGGCTGTGCACTTTAGAGCAATTGCTTAAAATAGAGGTCGAAGCTCTTTTAGCGTTCGAAGGTTAACTTGCGGGATATCGTTCCAATTCCACCCATACCTATACGACACATCTTATTCGTGTTCTCATCTGACCATCAAATTTTCCGTTTTTTTAGCGACTACCCTGTATTCATGCATAGGTTGATGATTTCAGATGCGATATAAGTAAACCTAAATGAAAAAGATCACTGTGAACCACATTAAGAATAGCGATTATTGAGAAGTAGTTAAACGGTCGTGGACTGAGCATCAATACCAGTAGTACCTTTGCTATTATATAAAGTATCCATAAAATCTTAACATTTTTTAAAATTGCAAAAGGAATTTATCGTTACCATGTATTGTTTTGGCTCTCACACTTGTGTTAGATGGAGTAAAATATACCTAAACAACTACTGATTTAAAAACAAAAACCTGGTTAGGGTGTATTGAGAACTGACTACATAACAAAATTGAAATTGTGAAGGGACTTTCTGTACGGACACCCTGGCCTATATGATATTAGATGGGTGTTAGAACCTTGCTACAAGTAAACTTGATGAAATAGGGTTATTGTAGTTATAGTTTGAAAAGTGAATATATGAGAAGTAGCCGACATTTGAACGGCTTTCGAAACCAGTACCAGTACTGTTACTATTATGTATATATATATATATCTGGAACCTTGCTATAAATAGTTCAAATAAACAATTAGAAAGGTGGATATATGAAAATTAATTGAAATGGCATTTGCCGTAGATGTCGATTAGGCAGATATATAGACAGAAATAAGAATTTAGGACAATATCTATTGATTAGTATTAAGAAATGGGTAACAAAAAACTGTTAGAATAAACGACTATTTGTAGTACTTAAAAAATTAACCAGTTGTCGGTTGCAAAAGCCATTGGCCTAAGTCAACACATAAAGTAGATCACACTCCTTATTGGTTATATCCAGGGGTGGGATTCATCCGGTTCGCACCGGTTCTATAGAACCGTCTCACGTAATTTTATTAGCTCACAACCGGTTAGCATTACTAAAAAAACATGTAACAGAACCGGCCGAAAAATATGACTTTTGTGATGGAACCGGCTGACAAAAAATTTGAATCCCATCCCTGATTATATCCAGGGCTGCCATCGATATGAATCCAAAAATAAGGACATCAGGGAAACATAATAATAGAATAACAAAGAACGAAATGCAATAAACAAAAATGTATTCATGCCAGTGCGACCCGTGTCTAATTATACTTTGCACTAGAAAGGATTTGCTCCAGCAGTTCTTTATTCTTAGAAACTATCTGTTTCATGTCACTTAAAAGTTTTTTGATTCAAGTTACACGAACTGATCTTTGTCGGTAGGCTATTGTTTTGTCATTGTGGCAATTAATTTTCTGTTATTACGTCATTAGTACGCGTAGCAATCAATGAGGTTCTCATATCATTTTTAGCAAATCAATCATTCGAATTTACCAATTTAAATCACGGGTAAAACAACCCCTACCCCTAAAATAAAACAAAAATGTGGACAAATGATAAAATAAGGACAAATCTTAGATATAAGGACGTTATAGCGGCCCTGGTTATATCATATGCGATAGGTTTTTGCTTTTTAAATAAAATGTTCCATGTTTTTGTTTTACAGCAGGGGTGTGCCAAACGCGGCCCACATGAAAAATTCATGCGACACGCGGAGAAGTGTCAGTTTTGAATGGTGTGAGGCCAGCGAAACGAGTTTTTGATTTAGTTAGTACCTGCAAGTAATTTCAATCACTTTGCGATGTAAAGCCTTTAGCTGAGTCCAATTTATGATCTATTACTATGGCGTTATAATGCCCTAACAGTTAGCTTGTGCAAAGCGAACAACGCCTGTCATAAGATCAATAACCAATGATCTTGTGGCTGCAACTATTAGAAAGCCTATGCCAAATAAAAATGCGGTCCGCGGTTCACTTAGTTACTTGTATCTGGATGTATGTTACACACCTATAATATACCGTATAAAGCATGATGGTAAAAAAGTTACCCAAAATTAAGGTAGAATTTTTCGTCGTGGCAACGTTAAAAACGTAACTGTTAAAAAGAGTCAGTCGTGGAATGTTTGAATGACATTTCACTGTAATTCAATACTGTCAAAAGTGTCAGTCGTTAAATGTTTTAAGTAGCATTTCATCTTAACCTTGGTTAATTTTGGTTACTTTTTTAACACCCTGTATATATATATATATATATGAATCGAGTTTTCTTTACTTTGGGAAAATATCACCGATAAGCTGTCGGTCTAAGGTTTTTATCGATTGCATTGAAACTTCACGTTTTTGAAAGACAATTATAGCACAGTCGATTTAAAAACAAGCAATCTTACTTTTAAAGAATTCATTTTTTTATTATGAATTTCATATTAATTGCAATATCGATCAATTTACACATCTTACATCTAAGATTGAAGGCGTCATGCCCAATAAATATGATCAATACATATATCATTGAAGTCATTTATAATTAAATAGTCTTTAGTGTCATTGTAAAGTTCAAACGGTTTCTTATGAATTCACTTTCGAATGTTTTATCACTACCGATTGAGTGCTTTGACATTACTAATAGCAAAGATATATATAATTTGAGAAGAGCGTGTCAGTGTATAGCTCAATGGACATGAATCGAACTTCATTTGCAACTCAGTCGTGTGCAGCCTTAATATGACCCCTGTTATCAGTACGGTACGTCAATCAATTTAGCCTTTTTTGGGAAGCCAAGAGGTTATTTCTGTTGATTTTGCTTGCAAAATTTACCCCAAGGCGGGTCATATTTACCCCCGGTGGTTCTCAATTACTTAGAACTGACTGCTAATGATTGTTTACTTACCTTATTACTTACTTATGCTTACTGCATCCTGACGTATAACGAATTGTAGCAAAGCAGGTACTTGTTTCATAAAATGATATTTCGTTTCAGTTTTTTGACTCACATTAAGTTATGGAATTATTAAAATTGTCGATCATTGGATTTGTGGTTTTCATATTTGCAAAAGAAGGTATGCTATATATACATGGAAGATTATTAAATTTTTTGAATTATTTTGTTCACATTTCCGAATACTTTAATCTCAGAATTGTATCGAAAATTCGAATATTTTCATGAACTTTTAAAATCCTGAATTTTGAAATAATTGGAAATTGAAATAACTTTTTTACTTGTAATAGAATAAATTTCGATGCGTGCGTCAAATAGTAAATAATAAAGAAGTTTGATTCGTTAAAACGACACCTACGCTTATTCAAATGGCTAATGGAAGTTGGAATCATCTTTACTTTTTGAAAAAAGTATTTTTCTGTATCATACATTACAATATTTCGTAGCAAGAAACGACTTTCAGACCCACAAGACTCGTTGGACACGCCAGCTGATACCGTCTAACTGGACAATTAAAAATTTCCGGACCTTCTCCCACTCTTTGAAAATTTATGGCTCCGCCCCTGTGGCAGATCATGGGTCCTTTGTAAAAGAGGCCATGGTGGTGATTGGGACTACAAAACCACAATGATAAATTTCCCTCTTTATGATTCATTTACAATTTCTTATAGGTTTCGGTTTAATGTGTTACTCGTGTACTTACTGCGACCATCCAGAGTTCTGGCATATTCGTACCTGCTCTAGAGACCCTCTCCCAGCTGGTCGTAACTGGACATGCGAAAAAGATGTGAAGATAGGACCCAACCGGGGTTTGTAATTTTGTTTTGTCGATTCGGGTGGAAAATAAATGCATATACCACGATAAAATAGGACCTAGAAAAGTCTTTATTGCTTAAAAGGCTTCAGCTGTTGTACTGGATTTGATGCATGGGTACTCCTGTAATATGTGTACCAGGACAAATACCCTCGCATTGAATCGTAGAATTATTTTACGTTATATAAGAAGTGATGTTTAGTCATGAGTGATTAGTATTAGCAAGCTGTTATTATCCTTTTCGTACATTCCCCTTTCCTTAGTTTAGTAATTTCACCATTTTTCTAGCTATCGGTTTTTTACATAATTTAACATATTGGTACATGCGCTTCTAAAGCACCACTGCTTGTTCTCATTAATACTGATTCCCGCCATTCAAAAATGCTCTTTGCTGAGAAAAAAAACCCACTTTGTAAAATTCGTTCACACATAGATGTATCCTGTCAGTATTGACTGGAATTGGTTCAAATCTCGTAGTAACTATTTGCATATCTGTCAAGGAATGAAGCAAGTGGTTGAGCGAATTTACAGCAAAAGCAATGCTACTTTTACAAAATAATTTTCTTGCTGTGTTTTTAGGCGTCAGAATTGATCGATCGTGCGGAATAAATTACCATGATCAGCCCTGCCCTCCCGGAGTACATTGGAAAGATAGGAGCATTGACGAATGTTACTGCAATACAGGTATCAAACACTTTAAATCAGTATTGTGCAACCTTTAGCCACATTCAAATAACTGGGGGAAACCGCGGGCCGCACCTTCATTTAACATATGCTTGCAAGTAGTTCTACGCACAGAAAATTTGGTTATTGATTTTATGACATGCGTTGTTTGCTTCACACGAGCTAGCTGTTAGAGCATTGTGACGTCATAAAAATTGGACTCTGGTATAGGTTTTGCAGCCCAGAGTGATTGGGATTACACGCAGGTACCGGATTAATTTAAATTAAAAACTCGTTTAGCGGGTCGCACAGAATTCTAAATTGGCACATTTCCGCGGGCCGCACATTTTTTTCTTGTGGGCTGCACTCGGCCCGCGGGCCCTAGGTTGCACATCCCTGCATTATAAATTTTTAAACGTTAAACGATTTATAAACGGATGGTTTCTCAAACTGATACTTCGGCCTATTAGTAAGCCACGAAGTGGTATTCTGGAGGCCACGTGCTAAGGTCTTCACTGGGTACCATTTGCGATGACTGCATTAATTTAAAGTTGATTAACTGTGATTTTAACGCAGCGCATAAAATATCAAGTGAATGAAATGAACAAAAGTTAGGCCACTAATGTTGATTTTATGGTGCTCCCGAAGTATGCGCACCAAGATGTCGCACAACCTGAACCCTAACCTGGTACACAACCTGAGTTCAGATTGTGCACCGTCTTGGTGCGCATACTTCAGGAGGTCCATTTTTATTTAGAAGGATGTCATGAATCATGAAAGTTCGAGAAAATCTGCACTGCTTAATTTTATCGTGAAATGTTAGCCTATTCAACTTCTATCCGGATTTTTTCTCATTTTTCACTATTCAGCAAGCTTTACAAATGAAAACTTTTCAATATTAACATTAATTCAGACAGTTAATTTTGTTGATATTCAACAAAAAAAAAATATAATTACTTCAAGACTTTTATTTACAGATTTATGCAACAAAGGATTACAGAATACAGCAAATATATTCCTAACGTTGGCGGTTATCATAGTCCTGTATTTAAATTTTCTGTTTTACTGAATCTCGTTGTATTTCATTGCTTTCCCATTCACACCACAAGTACAAATGGTTCAGAACAGTCCCAAGAACGGCGAATATGGAATACTTTTTTCAAATTACTCTTTTCACTCAACGGCTAAGAGCAGGGGCGTGTCAAACTTTTCTGCTGCCCATGGCGAGTTTCTGATAATGATCCCCGGAGGCTCCCGAAGTATGCGAACCAAGATGGCGGACATCGGAATGTAATATGTGTACTAGGTTAGGGTTAGGCCATAATTTTAGGTATAAATACTACGGGAGGCTCTTGGCTAGTCTTTGAACTGATAATAGGACTAAAATAAGGTAAATTGGAAAAAAATTATCGCCTAACCCTAACCTGTTACCCATGTTACGTTCCGATGTCCGCCATCTTGGTTCGCATACTTCGGGAGCACCGATCCCCGTCATACCTAACTTTTTTTCAGCATTTTAGATCCATTACGACTTCGGGACTGTCTGTGTTAGCCTAGTGAATACAACCCCTGCCCATATGCTTCCGTCCCTTTACACAACTTGATGTAAAGTAGACGAACAAAATTAGTTACTCTCATATTGGTACACACAATCTGGCCCTCCTCTGGGCACCACCCTGGCTAAGAAGTAAACATATGATAGATATGTTATGCGCGCAATTATTGATGTGCTACTGACTGATAAATCGTCAAGAATATACATTTATTGCCGTAAACACATAAATACCTTTTGCAAGTCCTGTTACAATTTCAATTTTGTTACATAGTCAGTTCTCAATATATCTGAACCATGATTTGTTTATTTCAATCCTTGTTCATTTAAGTTCGATTCTTCATTCGATGCAAGTTTATATATGCCATTATTTGTATTATTCGCCTCATGTATAGAAATACAATATTTTTGCACGACGTATGACACGCTCTGAAAGGTTTTGAGGGTTCAAAAAGCGTTTCAAGCAACGAAAATTTGCCACGTATTATACAGAAAAGTGTTTTTTGGTTTACATTTAAAAAGAGAAGGGGGGAAGGGGGGTTCCCGATTCAAAAAAAAAAGGGTTCCCCCCTGTCAGTCACTGCTAGGCAATGAGCTACTGAATCTCCGAGGAACGGGAATCTTTCTTTCTGTTTCATCATTGCCTACCCAATTGCTTATAGCTTGGGTGAGGTGGTGGCCATGGGATCTGAATCGGTCAATTTAATCTGCGACGCTATCATAGTTAGGTATAAAGCGCTTTATTACCTATTTTCCATCATGCCACCTCGGCCACAAAACCTAATTTCCAACAATTTCAAGGTTTCGCGCAAATAATCCTCTCGCAAATGAGCTTTGTAACAATTTTGTTGTTTCGCACAAATAGTCTTCTCGCAAATGCGCTTTGTAACAACTTCGATGTTTCGCGCAAATAGTTTTCTCGCAAATTTGCTTTGTAACAATTTTGTTGTTTCGCGCAAATAGTCTTCTCGCAAGTGGGTTTTGTAACAATTTCGTTGTTTAGCGCAAATAGTCTTCTCGCAAATGAGCTTCGTATTAAGCGTTTCAGCAGGGTTAATTTTGATGTTTGGCGCAAATAGTGTTCTTGCAAATGGGCTTTGTAACAATTTCGATGTTTCGTGCAAATAGTTTTCTCGCAAATGGGCTTTTGAACAATTTCGATGTTTCGTGCAAATAGTTTTCTTGCGAATAGGCTGTGTAACAATTTCGTTGTTTAGCGCAAATAGTTTCTCGCAAATGAGCTTTGTAACAATTTCGATGTTTCGTGCATATAGTTTTCTCGCAAATTGGCTTTGTAACGATTTCGATGTTTCGCGCAAATAGTTTTCTCGCAAATGGACTGTGTAACAATTTCGATGTCTCGCACAAATTTTCTTCTCGCTAATGAGCTACGACTGCAACAACCCGACAAAAATAATTACAATGAATTTCATTTTACATACTTTATTTATTTAAATTACATGTAAAGTTACTTTCAACTCTATAATAAGTAGGGTTCGGCATTACGAATCGAATAGTAAATTATTCAATTCGTTTCGAACGAAAATTTCGAATCAAAATATAACAGAGCGGTCACATACAATTACTATTCAAAAACCATTCGATTCAATCATCGAAAATGCCCAGCCCTGAAAATAAGCGCGTAACGGGCGTTAAATAGACTGTTAAAAACAAAAAAATACATTGATTACAGAATCAGAATTATTGATTTGCATCGCAATACTTTTTTGTAAATGTCAATTAATTATGCTACTATTAAAAAGCGGTAAATTTTAGCGTAGAAAAATATACATTTTCGAATACGTAAAACTAGCAAGCATACTTCATTTTTGTTGAAATTACTGTAATTACAAAGCGATCCATATTTTAAGCAAAAAACCTTGCTACAATTCCGGTTAGCATGACCATAAGAACGATGTTGAATTTGAGAGCATCGGAACCATTGCAGAGATCTGAATAAAAATAAAAATTTGAATAAAAAGGTTTCAAGCGAAATATTCAGGGCTGATGCGTTAGTACTCCAGAAGTATGTGAACCAAGATGGCGGACACCGAAACGTAATACGTGTACCAGGTTAGGGTTAGGTCATAATTGTATTTCAATTTCCCTTATTTTAGTTCTATTACAAGTTTGGGGACTAGCCAAGTGATTCCCGTAGTATCTGTACCTGGAATTAGGGCGTAACTCTAACCGGGTACGCATACTATGTTCTGATATTCGCCATCTTGGTTCTCCTTCTACAGGAGTACCGATACGTTTACCTCTAGAAATACATGGTGGTCGCTAGGAAAGCAGAAAATTTGACGGTCAGATGAGACCACGAATAAAATGCGTGCTTATTCATTTCTTTTCCGATGCGATTTTATTTTCTTTAGGTTCTATGTTGTTTTAGGTCGATACCTGTTAGGTTGTATTTGTAGACAAATCTATGTATAATTTCCCGTACACTCTCAACATATTTTGAGCATCTATGAGCGTAATATAACATATGCCTTTAAAAAACTTGAAACTAAATGTTATTATTTATAAAAATAAATAGCTGTTTGACAGATCTTCTGTTTTTATTAGCTCTGCGTTGGTTACCACTTTTTTCATCATCAAGTTCATGCATCTGAAACAAATAATTGGCTTACCAATCCCACACCAGACACAAGCTGGTAACCGGATTAAAGGCCTTGGTGTGCCATATAGTTAGACCGTCGTAACGGCGTTCTTCTCTTCTGGAATATAGATAAAAATCAGATCGTACCTGTATCACAATAACATGCTGTGCCTGTGCCCGAACCTTGAGTTGCTGCAGCGCATACGTTCGGTACACTCGAATCTACGAATTGACATGCTCGTGAAGTTGTAGTTGCACCTAAACATGAAATTGTCGTTAAAAAATAACAAGAGAGCAATGCTCAAATATATCAACACATTCTAACGGAAAAAACAATCTTCAACCATTGAAATATTCAAAGCAATTGGTCTAGTAGTTAAAAATTAAGGCGCTGTTCTATGGAAGAACAAAAACAGCAAGAACAACAATACCACATATATATATACATTTTGTGTCCAATGAGTGATCAATTATCAAATATATGGGACGAAAGCCAGACGAAGAAATATCAACTAATTTAACAGAAACGATAGTCTAACTACCATTTTGCTGAAATGTTTTCAGCAACGATTTTTAATTTTGTTGACGTCATTAAAAAACTTCAAAGTGAAAAACGAATCCCACAAAGCCGATAGAAGTTTTTAAAACATATAATAGTAGTAACCTTCTAGAGTTGACATGGGAAAACTACGACCCGCGGGTCAAATTCGGCCCGTTGGGTAATCCAATCTGGCCCGCCTGGAGCTGCCACAACCAAACTAAAACCAAATTGTGATGTTTTAATTATACAATAGCTGAAGAAGTTTGTTGAGATTGCGATTACATATAGTTTTGGCACGAGGCTTATTGTTCTCCACTTTTGGTTTGTAATACTGCAAATATTATCCATGAAATGTAACTGTTTACGTCACACTTACATGACCCGCCATTCCAAGTGGGCAACATTTTTGACCTCTGGTTCAAAAACTAGAGATAACAACAATCTTCAACTACTGATAATTTAGTTAGTTAGAGAAAATAATTTAGACGACTGTTATTCGAAAATGGAAAAAATATTTTTTACCATTAGCTGTCAAAGTTGTTTTCAAGCACTTGTCCACAAAATTTGCGGTTGCACCGGAACCTTCCGCAGAAGTACAGTTCTGCAAGTTAGATGGCGTGTCACAGTTAGTACACACATAGCATTGTAAAGATAAACCTGAAATAAAATAAAATGTTTTATACATTGATAAGAAATATTGTCACTATAGATTGCATACATGAATGGAAAATTTAAAGATGTATGCACAATAATTGATTATCTTTTATGATGAATTAAGATTGTGTATTTTCTATGACTAGTGATTAATAATGTTGTAGATGTACCGATCAACTGTGTTTTATATATAAATAAAAATAAATAAAAAAAAAGATAAACCTAAAATATACAAAAACAGAAGTAAATTTTAACTTTGCTTGTGTTTTCTGATGTATAATATATTAGGTACTCCCGAAGTATGTGTACCAAGATGGCGCACAATCTGAACATAGTATGTGTATGCAACAGGTTAGGGTTTAGGTTGTGCGTCATTTTGGTACGAATACTCCCGGAGTGCCCTATATTAACCCAAATCAGGACTTCCCAACGTGGTCCAGGTGTATGCCGAGGAACCACAGTCCGATTACATGGGATCCACAGATACACTGCTAATTATATTAAATGAGGACATATCATTAAAACTGGTGCTTTTTTCTACGTTCTTGGATGAATTGAAATAAACGAAAGAGCACCTGTTAGATTAGTGCTTGAATTAGTACGGAACGTGCATTTGGACTAGTGGTTTTCAACCTGCGTTACGCGTACCACTAGTGGTACGCGAAAGCTTTTCAAGTGGTACGCGAGCAATTTAAAAAATTGCAACAATTAACTTTTGAGTTGGTTAATATATGACGACAACGGGTTTATAGCGTTACCATTTCTTGTCTGAGATCGCCCTCGCCCGCTATACTACCCACCTCAAACGCAACGAGACAATGGGTAAAGCCTTTCAGCCTTGACTGCAGTTGGCGTTCCAGCAGTTGACCGTGTCTTTGCTCCGAGATCAATCCTTTACTTAACCATGCTTTAGGCAAATTCTCTAAAAAATGTTAATGACGTAGCAAAACCCAACGACAAACAACCGGCTCAACGAAGTGTGTTTCATCCGGACCCACTTGTGTCTGTTGAAATTACGATTACGATTACGAACATAAATTTATCGTGAAAATAACGTTATAATGACCCCCGATTGTTACATTATATAAACGGTAGTCTATAGCTGTTGTAAATAAACCTATTTATATTCATTTTTTTCATATCAAGTTTTGTGCCGCCGGCCCAGTGACCAAGTCTATTGTCTGTATGTAATTTCCCACAACGACACTTTTTTAAATAACAAAGGGCACATTCATCGTTTTTGAGCAAACACATATTATATTATATGTACAAAGGAGGCAAGTAAACTGAAAATTTTCAAACTCAGTTTTAGAAGAAGTACAACACGACGTGACTCTTATTCAATATTATAAATAATATTTGGTTAAACGTTTTTTTTTGTTCTTCTATGAATGGTCCAAGACTAGTCGCCACACATTACATTTTTTGTCCCAAATTCAGATTGTTTACTCAATTTGTTACATCCCGTTGGTTACCATGGAAACCAAAACAAACTAAGTTGATCTAACAATAGCGTGAATATCGTCTCATCTGCCTGAAATTATAAATATTATAAAATTGTCAAATTATATTATAAAAATTGTCAAACTAAGAGCGTTTGCCGAGCGATTTCGCAACCAAAACCGACATGCTATTGTATCGTTCGTTTTTCCATTGCGTCACTGAGGACGATGCTCGGAAGGCAGGTCGTACAGATTGACCCCAAGAAACATACTAGTGTAAATGATTCAGATCCTAAACTTACAATTCTAACTTGGTCAACGCTCTGAAACTCCGTCCATAAGTCTACCCCCCCCCCCCATACATACACTCCTGGAGAGTCAAAAAAATACCAAAAGCCACTTTATTGGGAACATATTCCACAGCTAACATAATTTTTGGGCAAAGTATCCTAGATTACCGAAACTCCTCAGTACAATCATAAACAAGCAGAAATTTAAGTTCGAGCGGTAAATAAATATTCTTCATTTTTGTACAAGTTACTACCAAATTTATTGGTTATGTTGTTCGGTGAGTCACCCTGTGCCATGGAACTGGTAAAAACACGAATTTCCTGGTTTATTCTTGTTTTAGAATTTGTATCCTCACTAAAGCTCAATAAAACGTAGCTTTATTATGAAGTTATGAGAAATATTGGTTTAAATATGGACAATATGTCAAATATGGATATACCTTTAGTTAAATACTTTAACTAAATAAAACTCTAAATAAACTAAAAAAATAACTAAATAAACAAAAAATCAATTACCTTTTGCAAAAACGGCAGCAAGAAATACCCAGATGATAAGTTGTTTATTCATATTGATGTGTGATTTAAACAAAGGTTATAAAGTAACAATACAATCTGGAATTGGAAAGAAAAAGTCTGAGGTATATAGAAACGGATGCCAGATAGTTATCCCTCAAATATAGTTAAATATAAGTTCGTAAAGTTCAAAGTGCTACACTAAATTGATTCATTCTGGATCGGGTGGCATACAATTTTGCGCTGCCGAAGTATGCGCACCAAGATGGCGCACAGCCTGAACCCTAACCTGGTACATAGACTATTTTCAGGTTGTGCGTCATCTTGGTGCACATACTTCTGGAGGTCTTACAATTTGCCAATTTGAATACAAATTTTTTATTCTGAAATACCAGCATAGTAATTCCAAAAGATTCTCACCCTCCACCCAATTTCATTTCTGTTTAAGTTACCTCAAAACCCCGCCCTGTGTGAGATGGGGTCTTATTCAAAAGTTATCAATGGCCAGGGTCCTTTACTTGTGATGCCAATATCACAGACATATATTAGTATTTGAAAAAAAAATAGACCGCAGAATTCTTCATATATATTGTCCAAATTAAAAGTTATTATCTATATAATAAGTTGGAGTTCCAAAAATATTGTACTGCCCCAACCCTTTTTATAATATCCACTACCAATCCCCCTAACACCCCACCCCATTCCCATTTAAAACAAAAATTATAACCAGAAGCGAAATTTCACTTCTATCTTAAGATACCTCAAAATGTGAAATAAAACTAAAAAGGGTAAAACATTATTATATATAGGGAGCCATGAATGTATCAGGGATTAAATACGTGACAAAGTTGGAAACCGGACAATACAATTAAGCGTGGCGTAATGAGTACTTAATAGGCGTTGGTTGGTTGGACTTTTTGTACAATATGTGTCGCAACTTTTCTCCGAAATATTACTCTACAAACAGTCACCATTGCGATGCTTTCGGGCTCAATGCTATAACAAAGAACATCTCATCAATTTTTTCACTTATATTGCAAGTCACAAGAAGAGATTGTCCGAGTAAGACAGGGATCGGCAACCGTTTTGACGCTTGCGGGCCAAAATTGAGCGGTGCAGAACGTTGCGGGCCGCATATATTTTTCGAAAAAGTAAAAACCGAAGTGATTGCCAATGAATCCGAATTATTTTTTTTACACTAATCAGAAGTTGAAATTTTAGATTTTAAAAAAGCGCGCAAAAACTATGACAACTCGTGAACTCAGCTCAGTCGTCTCACGAAAGAAAAATTTTAAATGACATTTAATGTGACACTTGTTGTTGCATCACTCTTAATAGCTTTTTGACATCAAGCGGCCCACTGGATGGGCATCACTAGTCTGTGTTCTCAGCAACAAATTTCAACAAAACAATTCAAATCTTATATTTTTTTAATATATTTTAGGGAAGTACAAAAAGGTTCGTTTTTACTCGAGCAAAATGTTTAATATCACATACTCGCTTGCTTTCAAGAACCAGGAACAGAACCCTTTGAGATACTTTGACGCAAACTTTTTTAATATCTATTGTTTGACTTTTCTGACTCTTTTATACTAATTATTTTTAGGCTTAATCACGAACTTAGCTTCTCGATAACCAGTATAGGTTTTTCTCGCTTTCCCTTACCCCGAAACGCCGTTTTAACCTCATTTAATACTCGTACAAAGTGAATTTTCAATATGGTGAAAAAAGAAACGAAACTATTGATTACTGAAGTCTGAATTTTTTATATTGCCTAATATTTACGTTTAATGACGTACTATTTAATTATAGACGACTTTCGTTTTCCTTAAATTTATCTTTTCTCTCAAAGACAGGTAAATATTAAAATCTTAAATAAGTTATTGTCCCTATCCCTGAGATATTATTTGAGTATAAATGGGAAATTTCTCATCAAATAGCAACCTTGCATTTTAGCACGTAAAGCGATAAGGTATTCGTTCAGAAGGCTGTACTTCATTCATAAAGTTCATTTAATGTATTTATATTCGTTTATACTGTATAAATCTTATAAAAGTCGCGTGTCAGTTTACATCGATCTGGCCCGCCTGATGCTTCCACAATCAAACTGAAACCAAATTTTGATGTTTTAGCTAAAAAAAATAACACTCAATGAATTTGTTGAGTTTGAGTTTAGTTTTGGCACGAAGTTTATTGTTTTCCAATTTCGCTTTGTAACGCTGAAAATATTGTTCATAAAATGTAAATTTTCAAGTCACAATTACACGGCCCTTGGTCTATGTGGGCGAAATTATGGCTCTTGGCCTAAAAACCCTGCCCATCTTTGCTTAACCGCTAGTTCATTGCGCGGCCCAAATGTTGCAGCTACTCAAACATCCAGAATCGTCCTCTGGTTCCCAACTTATAAACGCCAACCATTTTCACCCCGAATACTACCCCACTGTGTTCAAAGAACCAAACACATTTTTTTCTTTCGAAATTCTATTGCAAGTGTTTATATGTAAATCATAGTGAAAAGTCATTCCACCCAAATGTTGCGAGTACAACCCACACAGCTAAATTTTTTCTATGGCTCCCAACTTAAAAATTAAACCCTGTTTATACCAGATACTAACCCTCTGTGTTTAAAGAACCAAACACACTTTCTTTCTAATAAAATTTTATTGCTAAAATGTTCAAATGTTAATTATAATCAGAAATTATGCCGTCCAATGTTGCGAGTCACAATCCACACAGTTTGGTTCCCAGCTTAAAACTTTAACCCTGTTTCTACCAAATACCATCTCTCTGTCTTTAAATACCCAAACACACAATTTTCTTTAAAAACTTTATTGCAAAAGTGTTCATATGAATCATAATCAGAAATTATTTGTTTACTTAACAATACTCAGGCTTTGGTGAAAGATGGAGTTCACTGCTCTTCATATTCGTTGGTCAAACTCAACAAAATAATTATCAGTTCAAATATCAACGCCAGGTTGTGCGACCTTTAACAGAAGCGTGGGTGAAACCGAGGGTCGCGCTTTTATTTAACACAGGCTTTCTACTAGGTGCAGGAACAAAAATTTTGGCCATTGATCTTATGACATTGGATTCAGGTATAACCTTTGCAACGCAAAGGGAACGGAATTACTCATACCTACCGGATCACACCATTAAAATTGGCACAGTGAAGCACTAAGTAAATAAAAATTCATTTGCAAAGCTTCGCCCATTGGTTAATCGACAAAATAATTTCTAAATATGATCCTCGCACTTTTTAACAACAGATTCAAAAATTCACAATTGGCCAGGAAACGGCCAAGCACAAATGAACGAATAAACAGGTATAAATGGTCTATAAACGTTAAAATTGCAGTCCCAGACTTATGCGAAGTAACACGCACAGGAGAGTTATTTTAAAATAAGCGGGAATCCGCCATAACTATTACAAATTTGCTCAATGTCTTTTCATATAACATATCAGAAGGATATAAACTATAAATTGGCATTAAAACAAGTATAATTTGACAACAGTTAATACTGTTAGATGCCAGTAATTTACTGAATTTTATATTAGTGCTGTCGTTCAAAAATTCCTTTGTTATTATTCCATATCAGATTACGTTACTTCAAATTACGAGTTTAAGTGGGTAAAAATTTTGATATGGTGTGAAAAAAAATTGTCAATATAAAAAGAATTAGAATTAAAGTATTTATTTTATTATATCATTTAATTAAGCGAGAAGTTTTGCAACAACTCCGACAATCAAGGCAGTCAGGGCGATGCTGAATTTCACGGTCCTGGATCCATTGCAGAGATCTGAATACAAAATATAATATGGTCAGTTAAGGGTACTCCCGTAATGTGCGTACCAGGTTAGGGTTGGGGCATAGTCTGATTTTCCATATTTTAGTCCTATTACGAGTTCTGAGACTGTGTCTGTGTTAGCCAAGTGAATATACTCCCAGCCCATAGGCTTCAGTCCCTTTACACAACTTGATGTAAAAAGAGCGAACGAAATTAGTTACCTTCATTTTGGTACACAAACGTCTGGAGCGCCGAAAAATGTGACTTGAATGTATAAGGCTACAGTATTCGGAAATTTGTCAGTGTTGTTGGATACCGAAAAAGTTGACGAAACGTATACAGTTTGGTCAACCCCCTACAAATTATACATGCCAATGCAATAGACATTTCTGATTTTGTTTTCATACAAAAATAAAATCCAAGGAAAGCAAATCAACTTAAATTATAACTTTATAACATATTTACGTAACACAATTTCACTGTTTTAACATAAGTTTCCACTTTTTATTATGTGAAGCTAATTTGACGCGGTCAATTGTTTATTTTCGCTTCCTCTCACATTTTTGATGAGGTTAACCAAAATTCTGAATATTAGAATATTACTTTGCAGTTTACATCAATAAATAAAAAGCGAGCGTGAGTTTAAACAGGACCTCCTTTAGAAGTCACGGAGCGGTTATGAGCCGCTAGCAGAAGCCCAAATCTGGCCCGTCGGGTGATTCTGCCAGAGGCTTGTTAGATTGTGATCGTAGTCTGCGTAAGTTGTATTTTAGGTGCAATAGACTTTCATGTTATGGGGATGTTAACAAAACTCAACGTTTTCTCACTCTCTCGATTCGACGTGCTTTTCGCACTCGTACTCTACTCGTACTACGCACCTTGTAAACTGGTCGAGTGCGTTAATATGTAACTTTTTACGTCACACTTACATGACCCGCGGTTTAGGTGGCCCCGGGTCTAAAATCCTTGCCCACCGATGGGTTACATAGGTATTGCACCGCAAATGACCATTAACGTTATGCTTGTATTTCGAAAGTTATGTACTGTATTTACTTAAAGGGTACTCCCGTAGTATGCGAGCCGAGATGGCGGATACCGGAACGTAGTATTGTAAAGTTTGGGTTAGGCCATGATTTCAGGTACAAATATTACGGCAGTCACTTGGCTAGTCCCCGAACTCGCAATAGAACTAAAATAGGAAAATTTGGAAATAAAATTATGGCCTAATCCAAACCTGATACACATACTACGTTCCGGTGTCCGCCATCTTGGTTATCATACTACGAGGGCGCCATCTAAAGGATGTCATGGTAGTGTGGCTTACGTAATAAGATACAACTCGTGAAATGAGAGAACTATAGTGGATTTGATACAAAAGAGAACTTGTTTTTAAACGTCTTAATTTCATTACTTGTTGGCAACATACTGCCATGGTATATAAAATAGATATAATAGTCCACCCACCGGTGTCACAGTAACAAATTTCCGTCGATATGCTAGACACAGTCGTTGATGTGCATCCATTTGCTGTCGTTGAGAGCGACGAGCTTGTGAAAATACAGCTTCTACCGATTACGGATATTCCTGAAATGAAACAAATCAAATTTATTTTTTTAGCCATTAAAATTTATCGTATACACATCATCAAAAAAAAAGAACACTGTTTTACTGGAAAAACTGAGAAAACTAAAACTGGTTATTCAGCAGCGCCATCTCAGTCTTGAAAACGCCGTTTAAAAAATTCTGTTGAGGTCATCGGATAGGACCAGTGGGATTCAGCCGGTTCGCACCGGTTCTATAGAATCGTCTCACGGAATTTTATGAAATCAGCGAACCGGTTAGCATTACTGAAAAAACATGACTTTTTGTAACAGAACCGGCTGAAAAATATGACTTTTGTGATAAAACCGGCTGACAAAAAAATTGAATTCCGCCACTGGATAGGATTTACATATTTATCCCATGGAAGGGAATACCGATACCGATACAGAATAACGGCTTAATCATATGACAAACATCGGCCTCTCGCCCGGTAATCAGTCCATGTCCGGGTATGGGATCAGCTAGCCAGTTATTTGTTTCAGACGCATGGACTTCATGGCGGAGAACAGGAACGTAGCCAAAAAGCTACGGAGGATGGTTTCTGAACGTTATAATTTTTAAGCTAGATTGTATCAACCAGGGTCCTGTTCGGTAACGGCTTCCATGTGTCTTGAGAGTCTAAAAAGCGTTTAAATGTTCGAAGAAAATGCTTTGTATGACATGGAAACATGTTATTTTTTTACATCTCAAAAGGAAGGATTCGAAATTTAACCCTCCTGACTACACCTTGGTATGGAGGAAGCCGTAATAAACCAGCGGTTAATACAAGAACAAGAAAAATCTCACCTGCTGTAGTTGTAGTTGTCTTCACACATTTGTCGACGAATCCTGTAGTGTTGCCAGAATTACAGGTGAATTCGTTGGTCGGTGTGTTGCAAGCACCACACACGTAGCAGTTCAATGCCAAGCCTGAGAAAAAAAGTAGTTTGAGAATCTGACGAAAATCATTGAATTATGTTGAATTTACAAATAATTTTTGTCATCTACAACTACATGTTTTTGTGTGGGAGAGGGGGAAGGCGTGGTTGTTAAAGTAAGATAATATTTCATGAGCAAGGCATGATGAGGTCATTGATGAATATCAATTAGCGAAATTTAATTTTCGGAAGGGATGGGGGGGGGGGGGGTGTAATACTAAAAGGATGATGTCACATTTCTGTTAACAAGTTTAACTACCTACTACATGTTATGATTTGGATCTTTCAATTTTTTACAGCGCTTATAAACAACGTTCCCTCTAAGCTGCGAGAGAATTCCTGCGCAGTACTTTCGTTCTGTCGCACACTTCATTTGTATTGGCAATTCTGTGTTCGTTTAAAATGTTATGTTCTTTTCTATTTGTTATAATTTATATTTTGGAAGGCAGGGGGATTTCATAGGTAATCCTATACCCGACGACGTCACATTCTGTTTCGCAATTTAATAAATACAATCTATTCTCATAATAATTTTTAAAGTCTATTAGTTATAGAATTCATGTAATTTATTTTTGTGCGATGGACAATGGGTAGTTTTGGGTAGTTTTGTGAACTATGACGTCACACATGAGTCATTGAATTAAATAAATTCAATCAGATAAATATAATTTGAGTTCAAATAAAATAGTTACTTTTTTGTATTTATTTATATGTAATAGTTTGACGGAATCGCATCTGACAACTTGAAAAAATTCAATTTTCCAAAAAGTAGTAGACCTCAATAATGGACGTGTCTATAACCTTGTTTAGGGTACTCACGTAGTGTGTGTACCATGTTAGGGTTAGGCCATAATTTTATTCCGATTTTCTTTATTTTAGTTGTATTACAAGTTCTGGGACTGTCTGTGTTAGCCAAGTGAACATATCCCTTGCGCATAGGTTCCAATCCCTTTATACAAATTGGTGTGAAATAGGCGAACAGAATTAGTTACCTCCATATTGGTACACATACTTCTGGAGCGCCTGCCGAATTGCTTGCTTTGTATTGCAGCATCATAGATTGCCGAATCGTCTCACATTTAGTCATGTTCGTTTAAATTTAGCCCTAAAGGTTTACTTTTTATTTTCATTTCGGGTTTCCATAGCGACACACGAGTTTAAATAGCCCAGTTATTTATTCAATTCACCTTAATGATTGAACGGAATCGGGACTCACCGTTGGTCAATAATCGAACAATTGCTAAATGATGAATCCAGACAAACTCATTTTTTGTTCACCATTATTTGCCCAATATCGTCAGTTTCGCGATTACGAGAAAGCCACGCGTCAATTTTCTTTACGAGTGAAAATTTTAGACACGTTAGGCGTCTTATTGTTAGCAACCATTGTAAAAACGTTTCCAAATATTTGTAGTTTTATGTTTGGCAATCAAAAACGAAATCGTGTCGAATGTGATCTATACTTGAATGTTTGTTTTTTATTCAGAAAATATTCTTTTCTTATTTATCATTGAGAATAATAGATAAATTGAAAATGAATTACGTAGAAAAACCTGGTAAATTGCTGGATATAACTAAAACCACTTTGACTGATGGAAACTAAAAGTTGTATAATCTACTCAAATGTTTGTTTTTTAGATCCGGAATAAAATATTCGTTTTTATGTTTATTCCCATGTATATTAAATTAGATTAATCATTTGAAAAAAAAGGATGATAGTTAGAAATGCCTAAAACCACTTTAATTGACGGACAATTAAAGGTTATAATACCGATTTGTCACTAAACTGACTTCATCTTTCTCACCATTATGATTTGTTTGCTGTGATTGGAAACAAACAAACGTCGGAAACACAATTTGCTCGATTTCTTAATTTGTTTACGGCACTTCGCGATTTGTTTGTTTTGTCCTTGTTTTATATTAGTTTGTAATCAAGCGAGTATAAGTTAGCATATGATAGAATAAAAGCTCATAATATACGTATATTATATATTGTACTAGGACACTTTTAGAAATTTTCGAGTTGTCTATTTTCGTTCTTACGAAACTTCTAGGGACACGAAATCGCAATTATTTTTAAATCGCGATAAATGAGTTCTTGTCATTACTTATCGATTTTAATCGTTACTTATCGATTTTAATCGGTAAGTATGTTGATAGGTATTTGTCTGTTAGATGCACGCGATATCTCACGAAAGCGAGATTAAATCTGCTCCAGATTTTGCATGTGCATTCATCATATGTCGGACCATAAGCCTATTGATTTTGGATGAATTATGTCGTATAAATAGCGAGTTATTAATTAATTAGTGATGGGACACAAGGTGTCACTATGGAGTAAGAGCGCTGTTTTGGGGGATCCCCTAACTTTCGATCGGTAAGTCTTCGGACTCTGACCAATATTCTCGTTTTATATTTGTTCGATTAGACTGCAAAAACTAATCGATTCAAATTGTATTCCTAACTTAAAATGTCAGGGGTGAGTAACCTGCGGCCCGCGGGCCAACTGCGACCCACAAGAAAATATTGTGCGCGAAACTAGTTATTAATTTAGTTTAATCTTCTACGTGCAAGCAATTCCAATCTCTCACAATTACCTAACAGCTAGCTTGTGCTAATCGAACAAAGCATGTCATGAGATCAATAACCAAGATGTTTGAGCCTGCAACGACTAGCAAGCCAATATTAAATAAATGTGCAGGCCCGCGGTTTCACCCAGTTATTTGTATCTGGCCTTCTTGTATGAAAGGTCGCACACTCTTGTGCTAAGTTGTTATTTATTATATCGTTGTTAGCATGATTTAATATTTCTTCGTAACGAAACATTGAATAAATCAAAAATAAGAAGTTACCTTTTGCAAACACTGCAGCAAGAACAACGGATGCGATCAATAACTTGTTCATCTTGTAGTTTTGAGATATTTATATATAACTTTATTAAAAAAATTTTGTAAATTGAAAGTTATTCTTTATATTGTTAAGTTATGTTTGATTTCAAATTTGAATATAAATACATTCAAGTAAATAGACAACTATAGCTTTTGTACTTCACTGAAGGTTGCAACATTCAATACAATCTCCAATCTAATTATGCCTACTACCTTTTTGCTGAAAATTTGCTATCTTCCAGATAATAAAAGATGAACAATATTTATTAACAAAAAATTTGGTAGAAATTAAGTCGAGGCGTTCTAATATTCTCAGACCAAAAAATGTCACTTTTATATTCGTTGGGACTTCATTATTGCGGGACTAACTACTTATCCATATTCTGTGTGTTTGCGCCTATAAATCCGTATGTTTATAATGCCAAAATGATGGAGCAAAAATTAAGATAACTATTCTCGCCTCGAATCACTTATACTATTCACTTATACTAAGCCTAACTAATTAGTCTAGTACAAGAGTTAACAAATTCAACAGTTTGCATTCAAAAATGATTGCGAAAGTAGAATACTTATATGAATGCTGCTTCAAAATATAACTAGATAACAGCTAAAAGCACCTTTTATTTTCAGAATTTTGTAATTAGACCTTTTTTCTGGAACCCTCAAATACATTCAAACTAAAAAAAATTATCACACAATTGCTGACCTGGCAGGAAGGAATACACACTTTGAGAGGGTACGTGGTTTAAATACGACCCGTTAAATCTAATTAAAACATTTTCATTTTTTCTTCCAAGCGCCGATTCTTTTATTTTATTTTTTATGGGATGCGAATGTCGCGTAATAAAAAGGATTTTTATATGACAACCTGTTTTTGTCGGATCAAGAAATAACGCATAATAGATTTTCGTCAGGTGAGAAAATAATCGGTGAACAATCGTACTTTTTACGTTTATTTACAAAAGGAAAGAAAATTACACGAAATAAGTTAAAAGGGTTTTTCAATATCACGTCACAAAAAACAAAATGAGTTGTTCAAATAATACACGCCTAAATATCATCAATCATTTTTACTTAAAGCTGCATAAAGTAAGATCAAGCGGCTCTATCTGAAATTGGAAACTTTTTCGCATTTTTTATTTTATTTGCAGGCAATAGATCTTGGTTTAACCTGAATGCCCAATATGGTACTCTTGTTGCCCACACAACCAGTGCGAATCTAACTCTAGAGCTGACATTAGCAAACTACGAGCCGCGAGCCGAATCCGGTCCGTTGGGTAATTCAATCTGGCCCGTCTGATGCTGCCACAACCAAACTAAAACTAAATTTTATTATTGAGAGGGTCCGTGATACGAACAGTTATATCATAATTGAAAATTTCCTTTTCAAAGCGCCGATTTCTTTGATTTTTTATATTATGGAATGCGTAGGCCACGTAATGAAAAATAACGCATAATAGGTTTTCGTCAGGTAAAAAAAATAATCGTTTAATAATCGTATTTTTACGTTTATTTACAAAATAAAATAAAATTACGTGGAATGAGAAAAAGAGCTTTATCACGTCACGAAAAATAAAAAAAGAGTTGTTGACATAATACACGCCCAAATATCATCAATCATACTAAGGCTTCATTAACAGGATCAGGCGGCTCCCATCTAAAACTAAAAAACTTTTTCGCAATTTTTATTTTATTTGCAGGCTATATATCTTGATTTAACCTGAAGTTCACTCATGATGCCAACACAATTGCTACAAATCTGACTCTACAGCTGACATTAGAAAACTACAGCCCGCTGGCCAAATCCAGCTCGTTGAGGTATTCAATCTGGCCCGTATGATGCTGCCACAACCAAACTAAAACCAAATTTCGATGTTTTAGCTGAAAACAGCTCACTGAATTTGTTGAGATGGCGATTAAATTTATTTCGGCACGAGGCTTATTGCTTCCACATTTGCTTTTGTAACACTGCAAATATTAGCCATTGAATTCTTTTATGAAATTGAAATCAACTCGAGTAATCGCTGAGTCAAATATTGGAATCGCAATGCCTCAAAATGATATCAACGTCGCAATACAAATGACCAAATCGCAATTTTTTTTCCTATTGACGGGATGTAACCTCGTTATATTTATTTTGCAGGTATTATAACCTATCTATGTGATAGGTTACAAAGCCTATAAACTTATTTCTGTAACGTTTCGTCTTACCGGAGTCAGGCTTCTTCAGACGTCATAGTTCAACTGCAAGACTTTTGAATCACACCCCGTAGTGTGGTTCACGTAACCGATGGTCGGTTACGGCGTCCTCCACCATCAAGTCCATGCATCTGAAAGCAAATAACTGACCAATTAACAAATGCCATACCCGACCCGACTGGTAACCAGATGAGAGGCCATGGTTCGCCATATGATTATGTCGTCCTATTGACTTTCCTCTCCCCTGGGATAAATATGCAAATCCTATCTTATCTACACGGAATACTTATCTTCAATCTTGCTGCATACTTGCAACCGGCACAAAAGCGTAAAAGAAGTTAGTTAGTCCCGCAGAAACTCAGTCGATATTATAACAGGCTATGCTTTTTACCTTTTGTAACTTGTCTCTACGAGAAAAAAAACATTCCTGGCTTTGCAACGGTTGTTTGTCAGCCCTTCTCAATTCAATGTCAGTGAACCCTCCAAAATGTATATATATCAGAAGGAATTTATTTCTTAAATTTCCGTTATGTGGAAGAACTCGGGTGTGTTTTCCTGACCGTATTGACTTGACTGTTTGCTCCTCCTCTCCCATCCTTGGACCGGTAATGCCGTAGTATGTGAACCAAGATGGTGGACGCCGGAACGTAGTATGTGTACCAGGTTAGTGTTAGACCATAATTTCAATTACAATTACTACGGAAGTCACTTGGCTAGTCTCCGAAATCGTGAAAACGGGAAAACCCTTCGACCCCCGTGCCCCCACACACCACTCTGTAAGCTTAGCTTAGTCAGCCAACGCCAAAAGTAACAAACCTTTTTATTTTTATTCGGTATTTCTCTGATCTTTCTTCTTTCCGTGTATTATATATTAATCAAATTCTTCAAATTTTTTGTTACGGGTTCAAACCATTGTTTATAATTTATGCAAATACTAGGTCTTAGTTTTGTAAAGACTTAGCATTAAGACCCCCTCCCCCCCCCCCCACCTCATAAGTTTTGGGAGTCTAATTAGTTATTTCGATTTGGTGGTGCGCAAATACTTTGTATATGAGATACGCAACTGTAGACACTAGGAGAGCTACAACCAAAAAACTAATACTTCTATTAATATTCTGTATTGTAGACTCAATTAATCTATAGGAAGTCGAAGTTATAAAAAAGCTACTAAATTAAAATGAATCATTGAAAAACTACTTCGCAATTGAAATTTGAGCATAATTATTTTTTTTCAATATTTAGTAAATCCAATCAAATTGTATATGCATTATATACTGATATTCAGAAAAGTATAACTGGAACCAAAAGCTGTACAAAACTGTTAGAACTAAGAAAAAAAATGAAAATTGATTTAACGAAATCTTCTGAGTTACATCAATATTCTTGCCAAGATTCCAGCAATGAGAGTCCCCATCATGACGCTGATATTGACGGCTTCAGCCCCGTTGCAGAGATCTGAGGAAAAGCATTACAAGAACATATAAAAATTGAGATTTTAGCTAAAAAGACATTGTATTGGACACAAATATCATTAATTTGGCGAGTAAATATAAAAATATTTCACGGCTCTGACGTTGGCGCATTGTGTTGAACGTTAGGGTACACGGTTTCTATTGTACCCCTGATTACCCTGCGTGGGTTGCAGGTTCACATCACATCCTATGAAGATAATTTGGTACTCACGAAGTATGTGAACCAAGATGACGGACACCAAAACGTAGTATGTGTACCGAATTATGATTGGGCCATAATTTTATTCCAATTTTTCTCATTTCAATTCCATTAGGAGTTCAGGGGACATGCCAAGTGACTTCCGTAGTATGTGTAGCTGAAATTATGGCCTAACCTTAACCTGGTACACATACTAGTTGCGGTGTCCGCCATCTTGTATAACATCCTATGGAGATAATTATGTGCAAGAGTAATGCTGGACTTCTCGTTGTCATGGCGAGGTTTACGTAATAGTAGTATGATGTGCTATTATTGATGTAATTTAACACGGAGTGGACCTATAGATCGTTTTGCTATTATGTTGTTTTTCTTGTTGGTTTTTTTCTTCTTGTTGTTACGAAAAAATCGTTTTTCTTATTCACTAATGGACCTATTGCTTTGAAACATTTAGTGCTAAAAGATTGAATTTTTCGCTAGAAGGCTATTACTTTCATTTATGCCTGATTTTCCATGATTTCTTTCAGATCTGATATTTCATTCAAAATTACCCCCTTGGTTTTTATTTTTTCTGAAAATACTGTTATTAATTTGGCAGGCGTGACGGCTGTTTCCGATTTGACGCGACACTACGCGGAAATATGAGATTTATTGATACCGGTATTTACAGTACGAAAAGTAGTTTGTTTTGGATTTTGTGTCCATATATTTGAGCATCGCTCCCCTATTAAATATTTGATTCATTTTGAATATATATTGTACATAAGCCACTTTGATAAAGTCCACCTGTGAGGGTTATTAGACCCCGTGGTAGGGTGGTTTAGGACTTAGGTAACGGCTGGTCGGTTACGGCTTCCACTATGATCGAGTCCATGCTTCTGAATGACTGGATAACTATTCCCACACCGACCATGGACTAATTCCCGGACAAAAGACCTTGGTAAGCCATATAATTGACACACCTGTGTCACAGTAGCAAACGGTTCCAGTAATCCCGAGAAGAGTGGACGAGCTGCAGTTTGTTGATGTTCCGTATCCACACGCCCTCGATATTGTAGTAATGCCTGTGAATGTAAATAATGAATAAAATGGACGCACTGTCATAAAAGAACGTAAAATTAATTAGCTTTTACTATGGGATCAATCATTCTTTACAAGCAGTGGTGTGCAACCTGCGGCCCGCGGGCCAAATGCGACAAGAAAAAATTGAGCAGCTTGCAAAAAGAGTTTATAATTCAGTTTAATCTGGTACATGCGAGTAATTCCAATCTTTATTTGTTGCAAAGCCTATTCTTAGTCCAATTTATTATCTATGCCTATGACGTCACAATGCCTTAACAGCTAGCTTGGAGGGAGGCGAAACCCATGTCATAAGATAAATACCAAAATTCTTATGCCTGTAACTACTAGGGAGCCTATGTTAAATAAAGATACGGCCCGCGGTTTCACCCATTTATTTTTATTGTTTGGAGTCCAAATTTTCTATATCCGAAACCGGAACCAAAATACAATTCATATTTCTCCCTGATTATTCTTTCTTTAAAAACACTTACCCGCCACACTTCCCTCGGATTTGATGCACATTGTGGTGAGTCCAGTGGTGTCAGTGCAAGTCTTCTCGTGACAAGAACTAACTGAGTTGCAGTTGGTACATTCATAACAATTTAAGGCCAGTCCTATAGTGAAAAAGGTAATAAGATATATCTTTATATTACTATCGTTCAAGCATCCGTGTGGCAACAGCAATGGCTAATTATGAAGTTAGACCGCAACAGCTAACGGTTCCGTCTTTCGTCCATGCTCTATTAGTTTTCGCAAAGCGTTTATTAGGTCCAGTTTGTGTCCAATTGACATCAATCTAATTCTTTGGTAATTTAGCTATAATGAATTGTGTTATTGGAAACGAAGTGGGCCTATGGCAGTAGTGGAATTCAGCCGGTTCGCACCGGTTCTATAGAATCGTCTCGCGAAATTTTAAGAGATCAGCGAACCGGTTAGCATTACTAAAAAACATATAACAGAACCGGCCGAAAAATATGAATTCTATGATGGAACCGGCTGACAAAAAATTTGTATCCCACCGTCCCGGCCTATGGTTCATTTTGTTGTTGTTCATCACCATGTTAATATTTCTTTTCTCCTTATTGTTGTGAGATAATAGTTTTTTTCGTTAACTACTGGTCTAATTGCTTTTCAAATTTCGACTAGAAGGCTATTACTTTTATTTATTTCGAAAAATTTCTGCGGCCTATATCTACACGGAATTCGTTTTTTTGTGCGCGATGACGTCATCAAAATTAAAAATTGCGCTCCTTGTGACGGATCCTCTTTCGCATAAGTTAAAATTTGCGGCTCAGCTGCGATATGGTACCGGTGCTATGATAGATTGCATACCATTTCGTGTCCATATATTTCAGCCTAATTTTCATAGCTTTCTTGGTATTTATATATATGGCCCAGAGAAAGAAAAAGATCAAGCAATACGTTTCGGGCTCGAATATAGATGGCATAAAATACAGTTTGGACGTGAATGAGGGCGTATTTTATTTTATTTTTCCATAAGCTAAAGGACTGAAAAGCGTTTCAAGCTCATTTCAAAGGGGTGGTCCGATACACAGATCCCTCTTCCATGGCTACGCCCCTGACTTGTAACCACCGGGCGATATCACAATATAACATTAGAAGCTTATACGTTCAAATTTCTAGTCACGCGCTCTCGCGACTCAATAATATTGATGATATCATAATATTGACTATTACCGATATTCTTTAAATATTCGCATGAACTGAACACAAAAGTCGCATTTTATGATCACTATGTGAACACTAACAAATCTTTTTGTGTTGTCGCTACGCAAATATTTATTCACGGGTTTTAATAAATAGAATAGGCAAGTACGTGACATGACAGTTATATAGTCTTGTAACTTTTTTTTGAAAAATAAAGTGAGATAGATATAGTAACAGCCTTCAATCATTATAAAGTGATTAAAAACGCAATTGGGTGCTCCCGAAGTATGCAAACCAAGATGGCGGACATCGGAACGTAACATGGGTACCAGGTTAGGGTTAGGCGATAATTTTTTTCCAATTTTCCTTATTTTAGTCCTATTATCAGTTCGAAGACTAGCCAAGAGCCTCCCGTAGTATTTATACCTAAAATTATGGCCTAACCCTAACCTAGTACACATATTACATACCGATCTCCGCCATCTTGGTTCGCATACTTCGGCAGCCCCCGCAATTGAAACAAAGTAAATTCAATGAACATACATTTTTGAACTTACGTCTTATATTATTACTTATAATAGTTTATTATGCTCTTGTTCATTTTCTGCGTGGGAACAATTTATAGTACTATGGAACTTCTGCGAACGCAAATTTATGGTGAATTTAAACATATTCTTAAACAGATCAAATACAAATTCGTTTTTGTATTGCTTGTACATAAGTGAATCATAATAAGGGATAGACATTTCAAAGGGAATTTCGAATTGAAGCAGAAACCAAGGGCAGAAATTTTTGAAATTAAAGAAACATTGGCTTTGTGCTAATACATAGAATTGTTCACTATGAACACGTTATTTTTCTGCGTGGGAATACTTCATAGTCCTATATTATTTTTGTGGCCACAGATATTAAGATAGGTACATGTTATCACATGAATTTCAATTTTTTTTCTTGTATAGTTTGTGCATAATTAAATAAAAATAAACTTTATAAATCTTTGAAGATATTTTGATAAAATGTTGAGCTCAATTAAAAAAGACTAAACTAACTAAACTATTTATTTACAGGTATAACGTAACATGAATGATAGTTATATACGAAGTTGGCCAAATCATGTTACAATTTTTTACATTCTGACAATTTTCGAAATGTAGACATTTTTCCGGCCCACCCCGTATTAGGAAACACTAATACAATCTATTCAAAACCCCAAGCTTGGTAAGAATGCATTTCTTCAACGCCCGAAACGCCATTTTAATGGGCTTGAAGTAAAACTATCGATATTTCGATTAATTGCTGTTGTTGAAAACAAAAGTTTTTTTTCCCTTTAACTAATGGACCAATCAAAAAATTAAAATGGATAGTAATATTACGAACGAAAACAATTCAAAAATGTATTACCAAACTTATTGATTTGGGAAAAACATAAACTCCGCTAAACAAAAGTAAGAAAGTATTTGAACTGTGGATTCTCCCGTCATTCGTTGATCTTATGGCTCTTTATTACATTATAATTTCTAGTGATAATCTATCTGTAATAATCGATGTTAGTTGGGTAATTCAACTTCAAGTACATAATGATGAGGTGTTTCCTGAAAGGTTGTTGTGACCTTATTTATTTCAAAACTCTCTGTGCTCATGGATATATACTTTTACCCTGAAGTATGCTGCTCTTGGAAGAATTGGGTCCCGATATTTAATTAGCGGTCGGGTGATTACCAAAACGAAGGCATAAATGGGGGATGTTACTGGAGTTACCAAATGATCTATTGACAAATATTTCCCAGTTTTCGAGGTATATTCCTCACCCCGAATTTTGCAACTGTAGACACATTGAATCAAGGCAAGCATATTTACCGAGCACTCACAAATCCGACGTATAATTACAACTGCCGTGTCCATATATATTTAAACATCGTTATCTTGTTTTCATTAGCGCAGACCGGCGCGAAGATTAAAAAAAACGCCATTGTCCAAAATCTAGAGCAAATAATAGTTGTTAATAGGACGCTTTAAATACTGAAAGAAAAATGAATTTAAAAGTTTTCATCGTGCTTTTCATGACAACTGTAGCAACGAATTTCCAGTTGACTAATTCAACTTTCAACACCTGAATATGAGGTGTTTCCTGAAAGGCTGTTGTTAACTTATTTATTTTCAAAAACTTTCTGTGCACTGGGGTATATACTTTTTCTCCAGTATACTTCTATTAAAACATTGGGTATTTGGTTGACGGGCGAGTGATTATCAAAAGGCATATGGTGTCTGTTATTGGAATTTGCAAAATTATTTATTGTCAAATAATTTCCGAGTTTCCGAGTTCTATCGTTTTACCCATAATTATGTAATTGTAGAAACATTAGATCAAGGCAAGCTTATTTAGCGAGCAAGCCCTCACAAAGCCGACGCATAATTACAACCGCCGTGTCCATACATTCAAACATTGTTTTCTTGTTTTCATTAGCGCAGACCGCCGCAAAGATTAAAAAAACGCCATTGTCCATAATCTAGAGTAAATAATAGTTGTAAATACGACGCTTTAAATACTGAAAAAACAATGAATTCATAGTTTTATCGTGCTTTTCATGACAACTGTAGCAACAAATCTCCAGTTGACTAATTCAAATTACAACATCTAAAGATGAGGTGTTTCCTAAAAGACTGTTGTTAACTTATTGATTTTCAAAAACTTTCTGTGCACTTGGGTATATACTTTTACTCCAGTATACTGCTATTGAAACATTAGGTATTTGGTTGACGGGCGAGTGATTATCAAAAGACATAGGGTGGCTGTTATTGTAATTTTCAAGGAAATTTATTGTCAAATATTTTTTCCGAGTTTCCGAGGTCTATCGTTTTACCCATAATTTTGTAATTGTAGAAACATTAGATCAAGGCAAGCTTATTTAGCGAGCAAGCCCTCACAAAGCCGACGCATAATTACAACTGCCGTGTCCATACATTCAAACATTGATATCTTGTTTTCATTAGCGCAGACCGCCGCAAAGATTAAAAACACGCCATTGTCCGAAATCCAGAGCAAATAATAGTTGTTAATACGACGCTTTAAATACTGAAAGAACAATGAATTTTTACAAAAGTTTTCTTCGTGTCTTTCATGACATCTATAGCAACGAATCTTCAGAAAAATACATAAAATTTTATTTTTTTAATTTGATTCGTGAGGCAGGGAAACTTATCATAGATTTAAATTCCGATTACAATGAGCAATGTAATATTTAAGAAAGTATTGCGTTTCTATTCAAACGAAATAGATTAAAATTCACATCGATAATTTTATTGTTAAATTGATGTACTTTTTTCATATAATCCAACGTTTTACAGCTGGAAAGGAATTCCTTCCCCGCCGTTTTGGAGAGAGAATTTTTCTTCGTATTTGCTGTGATCTTAGTAATATTCTCCAGTTTTTTTTAAATTAAAGTGTACAAAAACGGAGAACTAGCTAAAGATTTATTTAAAAATTGAGTTAAAAATTGAATAAATTAAAGTATATGCCTATACAAGGTTCTACAAAAACAAAGGAAGAAACTCAACAACAACAAAAAAACATTGATATAATGAATTCACTGTTATCATAAACATTCCATGGATATTCGATTTGATTTGGAAATCATCAGGTATTCAAAAATTCCCAACTCTAACGTTATTAACGGAAGACGCGAACATGTAAAGCGAACACAAACAAACTGAAAAAGTTGGAAAATCACATCAATTTATTTCAGTCTCTTCATTTTAGAACGTTGCATAAAAATGAAACATTTACACTCACCTTGGTGCCATATTGCTGCTACAATGAGAGAAAACAAAAACAATTTTTGCATTCTGCTGATTTGGTTTTGACAAAACAAATGGAACATAAAAGTTTCGTAATGATTTATCTGTCATAATGATAAAGAACAATTTAAAGAATAGGTAGCAATACTTAAATATTGCGCAATAATACCGGTGTTTGTAAACATCAAGTTTGCTAAAAAGATTGCCGGACAAGAAATAAGAAGGCATACGGAATAAAAAAGATTCCCTCTCAATTAAGATGAATAGTTAAATGTCGAATGTTGAAATATCAATTCCCATATTATCCGGGAAAGCAATAGTCTTCTACCGACTTCATCCATCCTTAAGTATTAAAATTTTGGACTATTAATCAAAACTATAAATGTTAAAACTTATTTTTAAATTTTGAAAAACTCAGTTTTTTCTCGAAAATATTGCTTATTATGTGATTCCTGTGGCTGATGGTACAGGGCCTTGTTTAGCAATAAGACAAAAATGTTACTAGTTATTACATTATTTACCAACAAATGATAACTATTTTGGGGTTTCAATCTATTTACTTAAGTTTTAAAAAATGTTACTCGAATATTCAATTTTTGAAACCAAATATGTAATATTCAATACTAAACAAACTTTTTTATTCATTAAAAAACAAATATATTAATTAACCAATATTAAATAATTTTACCTTTGGGAATTAAAATATAAATTAATCCTTACCTTGACCTATTTTTAATTAAATATTCAACTATCAACCAAATTTCTAATAAAGGGCTTCGTCTCTTAAACGTACTCGTACTCACACACTCTACAAATACGATTCAACATCAATAGCGTACACGCTATATTTACAATAGGTTTCATATATCAAAACAAGGTTTTTAAAAACTTCATTTATCGCTTTGCTATGGCGATAATCAGTGTGGTGGACAACGGTTCCTTGAGTGTTCTATACATTTCGAATAAATCCGTTACAAAGGATAGTTGACTAAAAAAACAATAATTATTATATGCTTATAATAACTTGCGTACGTCTGTTAAGCACGAACGGGTGATGGGGTATGATATAGGGCAGGGATGGGCAACCTTTTTCGACTCGCGTGCAAAAATCGGCTAAATTTGGCGACAAAATTCTTCCGCATGCCGACCAAAATTAAAAGCAATGCTCAGCTACTTTCGAGGAAAAAATACACAATAATAAACCTTTTAAACAAGTACAGACAGATTCACTATTCAGGAAAATATCAGTCTGACAAATAGATTAAATTACTTGTCCGCCATCTTGGTTCGCATACAACAGGGATACCCTTTTCTTATTCTAGATCAGTGAGACTTCTGATGCTGCATTACCGCTGATAGAGATTTTACATTAGGTTGATATTTTGTAACTTTCAAAGAAATACACGAACTACTGGTTTCATCTTTCGGGCGCTTCCTGTTACGAGACTTAATAAAGCTCATAACTGAGATACACATCATAGGCTTATATAGATGAAACAGAGAGAGTAATGCAGTTGCAAAGTTTTTAGGACGCAAAAAAATTTCGGGAATGGCAACCTGAGCACGCAATAGTTCGGTTTCTGCACGTCACTCTTGTATTGCCTTCCCTAATCTCTTATGTTTATTTCGAAATCAATTTATGACAGTACGGTAGCAAGTAACTCTAGTCAACATGAGTTGTTCAACTTCATAAATCAAGCAGAAATAAAGAAAAAGGGTGGCACAGACGAACTATATATATTACGTAAGAATATAGCCAAATGAGTGCTGCGCTCTTTTCTACGAGAACTCACTCGGTTGTTATCTCATAATATATTTCTTTGATGCCAAACGTCATGGAAGGACAAAAAGAGTTTTAAATAAATAACGGATTGTTAACAAAGATTAGATAATTCAGAGTCTTGAAACTTTTATCCGAAGAAGATTAATCACGTTTCCGTGACCTCGTTCGCGTGCCGAATAAATGGGCTCGCCCAACCCCCCCCCCCCCCCCCCCCCCCCCGCCATAGGGTAACCCCAATACAAAACTCAGGTCGTTCGGAACATATTACGGACTTTAGATCGGTGGTTCTTAAAACGCGGCCCGCGGGCCAATTAAGGCCCGCTTAACGATTTAATGTGGCCCGCCGAACCTAAGTGATATAGTTTCAATACTTTATCATTTTTTTGCGTTTTAAATATCGCCAATCGTTACGTCAATATCACAGTTCACGCTTGCTGCCCGCAAATATCCTTCCGCTTCTAATTTTGGCCCAGGTCAATAAACTTTGGAAACCACTGCTATAGAGAAAATAGCAAACATAACTTTTGTGCAAAGCTTTCTTACGTCTGTACAGCACGGACGCGTGTTGACCAAAACATCAGAAGCCAGGTTACTTGGAACATATTCTAGATCAGTGGTTTTCAGCGTTCCATGGCTCGTGTCCCCCTTCCGGAGGGTTTTAGCAGGCATGGCCCACATGTTTGTAATCCCAGTGGTATTTATAGAGTTACTTTGATTAGTAGATTCCAAATCCCGTTAATAAGCAATGAAACTATAGGAGAAACGGGGAGTTTTTTCCGTGTAAAGTGAAAAGTAAAATCAGTTTTGCGCCTATAGGATTGTAGACCCTTTGGGGTCCCCGGGCCTCCATGGGAACCGCTGTTTTAGAGAGAACATAAATAATTTTGCAAAGTATCATCGATTACAGAAACTTTGGGAAAAATCATACACAAAACGTAAAATATGCAATTAGGAAATAAACTTTCTTTATTTTCGTAGAATCAAAAAGAAGTTTGAAAACAGAAGTTTAATTATTCAATTGCGGAATAAATTTTCTTCATTTCCGTAGAATTAATAATAAATTTATGGATTTCGAATTTTGTAGTCACTCTGTTTACAGAATGTCCCGGATGTTTTTTTGAGATTCCTCAATTTGTATATTACAATCCAATACAATTTGAAAACTTTTCCAAAAATGAAAAAATAAAGTTTGACGATACTCATCATTGGCAAGAGGTTTGAACCTGGGGCCAAATATTTTGCCCAATCTAGATTGGCAGGCCATGTAAGTGTGACGTAAAAGTTACATTTTATGAACAATATTTACAGTGTTACAAAAGCAAAAGTGGAAAACAAGCCTTGTACCAAAACTAAATTTAATCGCAATCTCAACAAATTTCTTGGGATATTTTAGCTAGAACATCAAAATTTGATTTCAGTTTGATCGTGGCAGCATCAGGCGGGCCAGATTGAATTATCCGAAGGGCCGCATTTGGCCGGCGGGCCATACTTTGCCCATGTCTAAATTAAACTCATACCTACATAGAAATTGAATTTATCATACTTGACTTTCAACACACTCAGTTTGGTACTCTCGAAGTATGTGAACCAAGATGGCGGACACCGGAACGTAGTATGTGTACCAGGTTAGGGTCAGGCCAACGCTTTATTCCAATTTTTCTTATTTTAGTTCTATTACGAGTTTGGGGACTAGCCAAGTGACTCCCGTAGTATTTGAACTTGAAATTATGGCTTAACCTTAACCTGGTACGCATACTTCGTTCCGGCGTCCGCCATCTTGTTGCACATACTAAGGAAGTACCAAAACAAGATAGCAGTGTTCAAATATATGGCATCGATAACTGAAAAAAAAAAAAATCAATACACAATAATAGAGTGTTCCCCTTTGAGATACAATGACCCATAGGACACGTACTATGTTCAGGTGTCCGCCATCTTGTTGCACAAACTACGGGAGCGCCCTTGTTTTTCAAAAAATTCATTATTGTTCTTATTTATATTACAGGTAAATAATTACGAAACTCTAATTTTCAATTTGCCTTGTCAATCCCGAATCAGCAAAATGCAAAAAGTGTTTTTGTTTTCTCTCATTGTAGCAGCAATATGACAAGGTGAGTGTGGGAATAGGAATATGATTTACGTATTTATCTAGGGGGAGAGGAATGCAGATGAGACGACCTCTCGTCCGGTTACCAGTCCATGTCGGGTATGGAATTAGTTGGCCAGCTATTTGTTTTCGGAATCATGGACCTAATGGTGGAGGAAGCCGCAACCGACCAGCGGTTACGTGAACCGTTTTCGTTTTTATGTTTTATCCATGGAAAAATGAAGAGACTGAAAAAATTAATGTACTTTTCATGTTTGTTTGTGTTTGCTTTTTTCGTAAGCTTCTTTCGTTCACACTTTCATTGTCAACGATGTATGAATACGTCATTTGGCACATACCGTTCAGTGCTATTGACGTATCTATACGTCATTAAAAAAGAAGACAAAGGGAAAATATAGAAGAAGTTCAGGTTCGGGTATTCGCGGCCATTTTTTCTCTCTTTTCTCTCTGTTGTTACGAATGTGGTTCAGTGCCATTGACGTATCTATACGTCATTAAAAAAGAAGACAAAGGGAAAATATAGAAGAAGTTCAGGTTCGGGTATTCGCGGCCGTTTTTTCTCTCTTTTCTCTCTGTTGTTACGAATGTGGTTCAGTGCCATTGACGTATCTATACGTCATTAAAAAAGAAGACAAAGTGAAAATATAGAAGAAGTTCAGGTTCGGTTCAGGTTCAGTTCAGGTTCACCGACAAAATGATTGAAGTAGATTCGATGCTACTTTGGAATTCGGTTTTAGCGTTTGTCTGGAGAAGCCCAGGTATGAAATCGGCGCTTCCGAAGTATGTGCACCAAGATGGCGCACATCCTGAACCTTAACCTGGTACACATACTATGTTGTGCGCCATCTTGTTGCACATACTTCGAGAGTACCAAAAAATTTAGTGCTCTCTTTAAATTTAATGTTTTTTTTTATTTGTTTTCAAGTTCTGTTCATGATAAAATGATACGGCTAAAAAAACTGTTGTTATTTTTTCAAATTTGCTATTTTGTTATGCGATATTATCATTTGTCTGAAAGTGTGAAATACTTTAATGCTAGAAGGCACATTGTGAAAAATATATTGCATTCATTATGTTTTCTTTTTTAAAGATTCGTTTCCATAGAAAGACGCGAAACTTTCATCTCTCTTTTCAACGCGTCGCTTTTACAACTGTTATTCCCACTGATTATGGGACAAAGACGGTCCATACCGGTCGCGCCGATGAAAACAATAGCACTACGTTGTTAAATGTATCGACTGGACGGTTGTAATGATACGCCATACGCCAGGGGTCGCAACCTACGGCGGATATTGTTTAAATATATTTAAATATTAGTTAGGTTTGTCACTATAATAATTAGACTCTCAATACCTTATTTACTAATGGTTCAGTTTTGATTTAACCTGCATTTGATTTAGTGAAATACAACAATTTTGCTCCTTTTGTTTTGTTCTGCATTTATTCTATTCGCAGGAGAAAGCGACGGCTGATTGTGGTTTTGTATTTAGGGCGAATTTATAACATAATAGGAATGTTTTCGTTGCAAATGTGGTCCACGGGTCATATCAAAAAAAATTTGTCAGGGATTTTGTCTTTGCATATATGGTAACCCTATTTTAGTATTAACTTAACCCCAACCCAACGATGAATGACAAGGTTAAGAACTGAATTCTGTAGGAATTTCTTCATTAGATCAAACGCATACCAAAGTGGCACCACAATTGGTATTGTGCTTTCAAATGTTATTATTTTTATTTATTCCCAATTTTCTATGAATTCTATGAAAACTTGTATTTCATAAAAATTCCGATATATATTTTTTTTCCATGGGAACACGGTTTTTATTCAGCCGTTTTCGACGTGATGCGTCGCTTCGCGAAACTCGGAGATTAATTGATACCGGTAGGTACAGTAATCAGTAATTTATTTTTTCACACACCGAAAATACGAAAGTATAAGCTCAATTAATTTTTGTCCTGCTATTCTAGTATAAATCACACCTATATTGGAACTGGGAATGGCACTATATTAAATATTGTAACAATCAACCTGATTTGACTTCAGTAATGTGACGGGTCTTTTAAAGTCTTCCAATTATGACATCACACAGATATCACCTTCCACGAACCCGCGTTTTTTCAAGTACAGTTTCAAGTATTCTGTGACGTCTAAAGCTGCCGCAAAACCATGGAGGTATTCCCAAACTTTAGTCCGCTATGGCCAAGCCAAACCCACGGCGACTGACTTTTTAGCACATAACAATGGCGGAAAATTGTGCTGCCGTAACCGCGTCATAAACCACGGCAAGGGCTGCCATCTGTTCGTTCGTTGCAGGAGCTGCCATGAAGTGGTAAGAACTGCGACTCCGTTTTTTCTTGTCCGTCGGTTTGTAGAGTGGAAATAAAACAATTATTGATTCCAAGGAAATATGGCAGAAAAACGATAGGGAATCAACCATTTTCACAATGAATGAGAGGTGTATTTATTTTTAACCCCGTGAAAAAAGTTTGCGTGTGTCTGAATTGTTTATTTGCTGGACGATTTTAGCGACGACAAATCGGAGTGAAATCACACAATCTACTACGCTCAACTATCCACATGTCAGCGCAGTATGTGCAGAAAAAGCTTGCGATTCAAATCATACAGCAATCCCATTTTTCGAAACTATTGTTTGGTTTAACCTATCTTTGTGAATCAACATTTTTTGACATGTACTTCACCCGGAACAAACACGGAACACGCCTTTCTGATGAGTTGCAAGTCTCGCTCAGAGTTACAGTGTCAAGTTGCGCGCCGCAGAACAACACTCTGTAAAATTTGATAGCACAACTGTTAAGTCCGTTTTAAATTAGGCTTGTGCATAGTGTTTGCAAATAATCCAGGAACGTTGTGGTTTCCTAGGATATTATAGTAGTGATCACTTTAAAATTAATTTGAAAACACTCAGTTTTAAAATGCAAGTGTCATTGATAGAAAATTATTGCAACGTTGTGATAATTGTTTGATTTCCTGAACATTCATAAAGTTTATTAGTATCTCTAACTGACTAAATACCAGTAATTATCAATAATTGAAACTTAATCGAGAAAACTGACTTTTTTAGAAGTGTGCATTGAACTGGTAGCCCGCAGCTTAATCTGTACCCAGAAAGTAGCCCTCGGCTTCGAAAAGGTTGGTGACCCCTGCTGTAGAGTGTAGAGCATAAAAAATTTAATCCCTAGAAAATGCTTATTAATTTTACGTTATTTATAACAGCATGTTCGTTTTATTCACTATTAAAATTTTCAGTTTTTGAAGAAACATATATGTATAATCAGGACGAAATATTAATTGTATTTTGGCTCCGTATTTGAAAAACTCGGACACCAAACCCGGATTCAGACAGGTGTTGCTGTAAAAAATCCCTAGAAAAGGAATATTAATTTTACGTTTTTTATAGCGTTGTCTTCATGGTATTCACTATTTATATTCACAGACACCACAATATCGCGGTACTGTGGATATGGAACATCGGAAACATGCAACTCGTTCGGCGCCTTCGGGAATTTCGGAACCATTTGCTACTGTGACACAGGTGAAACTTTAAATCAAAATGACATTTGTACATTGAAAGTGAATCAAAAATTTAATTATATCAATAACAGAATACAATACTACCCCATTTCCAAAAATGTGTAGTATGTGTACCTAGATGGTGAACTCCGGAATGTAGTATGTGTACCAGTTTGGGGTTAGGCAATAATTTCAGGTACAAATACTACGGGATTCACTTGGCTAGTCCCGATCTCGTAATAAATCTAAAATAGGGAAAATTGGAATAAAATTCTTGCCTGACCCTAACCTGGTACACATACTACGTTCCGGTGTTCGCCATTTTGGTTTGCATACTATAGAAGCACCGAAAAAAACATTTCACAACATTTATATTAAGTGGATGCAAATTCGAAGCATGGTTTCTGTTAAACACGAATGGTGTTCGGCATTTGATATTGTGCTTTGGAGGTAAAGTCATTCAACAAAGCAAATATAGTTGTATAAATGTTGGTAGAATTCCCTTAGCACGATAAAGGGCAAAGACAATTTCAATATTTTCACGCAAAATTAATGATATTTTGAGCGCTCCAGGAGTTTGTGTTATCAATATGGAGGTAAATATTTTGTTCGCCTATTTTACATTAAGTTGTGTAAGGGACTAAAACCTACGGGTAGGGGGTATATTCACTTGGCTAACACAAACACTCCCCGAACTCGTAATAGAACTAAAATAAGGAAAATGAGGAATAAAATTATGGCCTGACCTGATACACATACCACGGGAGTACCGATATTTGTGTCCAAAACAGTCTTTTCCAATATAAAACCACCATTTTATATGAACTTGTAATACTTTTCTTCAGATCTATGCAACGGGGCAGGAGTCGTCAGAATCAGCGTTATTATGGGAACCCCTATTGCTGGAATCTTGGCAAAAATACTGATGTAACTCAGAAGAATTATAATGATGAATTTAATTTTTATTTTATTTTTAATATCTATACCATTTTGTGAGAAGTGTGTAAAGTATATATTTAGGATACCTTTCGACAAGGGCTTATATTAGGAGTATGCAAACTGTGGCCCGCGGATCAAATGGGAGCCACAAGGAAAAATTGTGCGGAGAAGTACTAATTTCAAATGGTGTTCGCCCCGCGAAACGAGTTTTTAATTCAGTTTAACATATGAATCCAGTTTAGTCTAATTGTATCTGGCACTCTAGTACTTTTTATTGTATTGAGTATAATATAAAATAGGAAATCAGACCAAGTATGAAAATTTGCCTTATTACAAAAACAAGTATCGCCTTGCATATTACTGGCAGCTTGTTCAGGTCGAATATGTAAATTAGCTAATAAAATTCACCACAACAGTGTGTTCTTTTTTCATGGATGACTCATGGGTACTCCCGAATTGTGTGTACCAAGTTAGGGTTGGGCCATAATTTTATTCCGATTTCCCTCATTTTAGTTCTATTACGAGTTCGGCGACTGTTTGTGTTAGCCCCCTTCACATAGGTTTCACTCCCTTTACACAACTTGACTTAAAGTAGGCGAACAAAATTAGTTACCTCCATATTGGTACACACACTTCCGGAGCGCCGATTTAAGAGCCACATTAAGACAAATATATACAGAAATAAATTTGTGTTAGTGTGCAGCAAAACTCTTAAAGTACTCATTACTTATCGATTTTAATCGGTAAGTATGTTGATAGGTATTTGTCTGTTTGTATGTATGTCTGTATGTCTGTCTGTTTGTCTGTTAGATGCACGCGATCTCACGAAAGCGAGATTGAATCTGCTCCATTTTGTATGTGCATTCATCTTATCTCGGACCAGAAGCTTATTGATTTTGGGCGAATTATGTCGTATAATTAGCGAGTTATTAATGAATTAGTGATGGGACACAGTGTGTCACTATGGAGTAAGAGCGCTGTTTTGGGGGATCCCCTAACTTTCGATCGATAAGTCTTCGGTCTCTGACCGATATTCTCGTTTTATATTTATTTGCACTTTTGCTTTATCATCTTTGCCTTATACGCATACGGATCCACCGACACAAAGTACAGAAGAAGGGTAAGTAGTTACTCCCGTCAATAGCAATACTTTTGTTCGCTCTAGAACATTTGTTATCAACCAGTCATGGCCCACTGCTGGGCCACAGAAGAATTTTGCGGTGGGCCACAGAATTATTAAATAATGCTAGTTTTAGTTATATCACCTAATTGTAGTACCAATCATTGGCGATGCTGTTTTCTGCTACTGAATGGTAATTTTTATTCTGATTAATTAGGGAAAAGAATTCTAGCAGAAAGAACTCTATGTTTTTCGTGAAGTTTTTCCCCCGCATGAAAAAGATAGTGGGCTACAAAATTTTCGTGCAACATAATTGGGCCACGATAAAAAAAAAGCTTTAAAACCACTGCTCTATTATATGTTACAAATGACCTGGTATCTGCTTTTGGGGGAGTTACCTGTATTGAAAGCCGTCTCTCCGTTTTTGACAGACGCGGGAAAGTCGCCAGGGCACATATTCATTACATATCTGTTTATATTTATCCATTCTTTGTAATCTATCCCTATTCAAAATGTATAGAATATAGAGGCACCAACCGGACTTTACATTGTTCTGGCAACGAGTTCGGAAACGAAGGTTTTAAAAATGTAGAACGGTTAATGATATCCATTGTTAATTTTATTAAATAGCTCGGATAGCTCGGATGCTATTAATGTCGAATAGTATTTGTAGAGTGAGTGACTGTGAGTACCGAGATGCGAAGGCAAAGATGATGAATTTGGATCAGAACATAAATATTTGACTTAACATAAGTTAGAGTAGATTAAAAAGGGATTGTTAAAATACCTTTTGCCCAAGGCCCGCAATTAGTTGGCTACTGTCTTAAAATAAACTATAACAGCCATAGTTCTTATTACAAAGCCGTATAATTAATACGAAGTGCACTCATGAATCGTTTTGCTAAAGTCAATTTATTTCAGATTTTCAATCTTGAGAATGTCACTAGAATGCTATTATATTTATTTTCAAAATTTTATCGAGTACAATTAACCAACGTTTTTTGTCATTTTATCCTAAAGGGGAACACTTTAATATTTGCACTACTTATTTGGTTTCTGCGGGACTAACTTCGTTGTTTTTGTGTCGGTGGATCCGTATGCATATAGTGCAAGAGTAAAGATGAATATCCGATTTTTCTTATATTAGTTTTTTGAGCAACTTGGTAATCTGAGGCACAGGTATCGATGCCATATATATGAGCAATGTTATCTTGTTTTTCTAAAAAAAAAAATTTTTTTTTAATATTACAGTTATATTATTAGGAAACCTGAAATTCTAAATTGCATTGTCAAATCCAAAATCAGCAAAATGCAAAAATTGTATTTGTTTTCTCTTATTGTAGCAGCAATATGGCACCAAGGTAAATATAAATTTTTCAGTTTTCATGCTACATTCTATCCATGATAAAATGATGAGACTAAAAAAATGAAATTATGGCCCAATCCTAACCTGGTACACATACTAAGGGAGCACCAAATAGAATGTTGTTATTTTTAATTTTGGTTGTTTTTGGTTTGTTGTTTTTGTATGCTTCTTTCGTTATTTAGAGTTTATCTCGAACAGTGTTCCGCAACTTAAGGGTCGCGACCTAAAGTTGGGTCACCTGTTTATTTAGAATTTGGGGTGCTCCCGAAGTATTTGTACCAAGATGGCGCACAACCTGAACATAGTATGTGTACCAGGTTAGGGTTGTTCAGATTGTGCGTCATCTTGATACAAATACTTTCGGAGCACTGAATTTGGCATCATCATTTTGATTTATTAAAACCACGCTCTATTTTCAAAACTAAGTGGTGGCAAATAAGGGCGGCTTTCTCACTTTGAAGTAATTTTGGTAACTTTTTGGTTTAGTAAGATAATTTAATTTTTGGGCTATAATAGTATTACAATGGTAGTAGTGAGCACATCCTCAGCACTCGAGGATTTACCAAATTTCTTTTTTAAAACAATTGGATCCTTTGAAAAAAGGTTGGGAACCACTGAAAGGTAAAACTATTTTAATACCAGAAGGCCCAGTATGTAACATCTAGTGAATTTATTATTTTTTAATTTTTTTTAAATTCGTCACCATGGATACCGTGGAAGACGAGAAACTTTTGTTGCAATATTTTCACTGGTTATGGACAAAGACGGTTCACACCGGTCGCGTAAATGGAATGAAGGAAACAATGCTGTTAAATGTACCGCGCCACGACGGTTGTAATGATACGCCCTACGCCTTGGTAAGCATCTAATCGTCGAATACAGTTGTTGTGATATATTTTTTGTAACAGTATCAAAATTCGAGGGAAAAGGAGGTGAAATATAATCTTATATATTGAGGTCATATTATTCTCGATCCATTCCAAAAAAGGTACCCATAAATTGCAAGTATTCGATCCGATTCTGAAATGATCAAGTATTCAAAAATGCCCAGCCATAGTAGAGGCTAACCCAAGGACTGCAGGGTTGTGAACTGAATTTCATGGTAATGTTTTCATGAGATCAAACCAAAGTGGCACCACAGTCGGTATTGTGCTTTAAATGTTCAGCGTTGAAGATGTATTTTTTGCTAAAATGCTATTACTTTCATTTGTTCCTAAATTTTCTATCAATTCTTTTATATCTGGTATTTTATCAAAAATGTCGCTATATAGTTATTTTTCGTGGACACAGATTTTAATCCGCCAAGCGTGACGACCGTTTCCGAGGTGACACGCCACTTCGCAGAACTCGGAGAATAATTGATACCAATAGGGGGGCATGTTTACTGAACGCCGTAAGTACTTCTTGTTGGTGCGGCACAATGCTACATGCAAATTTTTGCGTATTCCTAACCCCCACCTAAAAACGTTATCCAAAAATTAAATCACTACGGCGTCACAATCACGTCATAGAGCTTACCAAAGAGAAGTTGCGGTCGCCCGAAATGGCATCTCCGCCAACGATCTCTTTCATATAGGGAACGTTATGCCTAGAAAACGAGAAAAGTAGCTTACTTGATTCCGGGTGATTGTCTGCGCGTTTTAGACGACACTCTGTATACTTTAACGGGCTTTATTTTGTCACTGTGACGTTGTAGTGACGTAATTTTTGGATGACGAAGTCAAGTGGGGGTTAGAAATGACATATGCAAAAATGGCTATGCAATGCCAACTAGAAGTACTCGACGGCGTTTAGGGAACTAGGCCCCCGGTAGTACGATACGAAAAGTACTTTCTTTTGGATTTCGTGTCCATATATCTGAGCATCACTTTCTTGATATGAATGAGCTAATATCAATTGGCATATATTTTACACATACTCTCTTTTTAGGACTGGCGTTAACTTGTTATGAATGTACCAACTGCAATTCGGTTAGTTCTTCTGACGTGAAAACTTGTCCCGACTCCAATGGGCTGACAACAATGTGCATCACGGCCTCCGGAAACGTATTGGGTAAGTGCTTTTAAAGAAGGAAATACCCATAATTAGGAAAAATATGAATAATAGTTAAGTTCCGGATATAAAACAATTGAACTCTAAAATCGGATTCAAACTTGTTTAGAAACTTTTACTCAACAGTGGTAGATATATGGAGTGTCCATAGAGTCTTGAGATTTTTTTTTCAAATTGAAAAAGGAATTCAATAATACCATATACTGTTATGGCCCTCACAGATGTATTAAAAGAAATGAAAATACTTGAACAATTACTGATTAAAAAAAATGGTTATGGTTTATTGATAACTTGCTTCAATAAAAAATTAAAATTGTAAAGAACTTTGTGGACATCCTATATGATCAGGGAAAATACGAATCGTTACTTTGATTCCGCATTTAAAAAATTTTGACACCAAATTCGGAATCAAACTCAGGTGTCGCTGTAAGTGTAGAGAATTATTGAATCCCTAAAAATGCTTATTAATTCTACGTTTTTTATTACAGTGTGTTCATTTTATTCACTAATTACTTATCGATCTTAATCGTGAAGTATGTTGATGGGTATTTGTCTGTTTGTTTGTTTCTCTGTCTGTCTGTCTGTCTGTCTGTCTGTCTGTTAGATACAGGCGATATCTCACGAAAGCGAGGTCGAATCTGCTCCAAATTTTGCATGTGCATTCATCATATATCGGACTAGAAGCCTATTGATTTTGGATGAATTATATCGTATAATTAGCTAGTTTTAAATTAATTAGAGATGAGACACGCGGTGTCGCTATTGAATCAAAGCGAAGGATACACGCCGCTAGATCGATAAGTCGGCGGTCTCTGATCGCTATCTCGTTTTATTTATTATTTACATTCACAGGCATCACTACAGCATCGCGTGGATGCGGATTCGGATCGTTTCCAACATGCAGTTCGTCCACTTTTTTCGGGATTACTGGAACCGTTTGCTACTGTGACACGGGTACGTACAATGTTGGGTACAGGATTCTCAAACTATGGGTTAGTTTGAGTCACGAAGTTTATTTAAATCTCACTGTGACTCGTACCTACGAACTCGCGGAAGTTAGTCAAAGGTTCTATAGCAGGGGTGGGCAGAGTTTTGGACCAGGGGCACAAAATTTCGCCGAATCAGTCTGGCGGGTCATGTAAATGTGACGTAAAAGGTTAAATTTTATGAACAATATTTACGGTGTCACAAGAGCAAAAGTGGAAAATATTCTTAACAAAATCCTCGAGTTATTTTTTTTTAGATAAAACATCAAAATTTGGTTTTAGCTTGGTTGGGGCCGTACCAGGCGGCCCGATTGATTTACCCAGCAGGTCCGATCTGGTCGGTGAACCGTAGTTTGCCAATATCAATTTTATAGCAATTGTATATCTTAACACTAATCACGATGCGCCAACTCCCTAACCGGGCAAGTTTCAGTATATTTCCCCGCAAAATTATTTTCGTTACTGGCCTTTTCTAGCACAAACCGCTATTTTACATTTACTTGCAATGCCTTTCATCAGATCTCTGCAACGGGGGTGATGTCAACGGGGCTGAAGCCGTCAAAATCAGCGTCACAATGGGAACTCTCATTGCTGGAATCTTGGCAAAAATACTGATGTAGACCTGAAGAAATATTATGATGAATTCAATTTTTATTTTATTTTTAATATATATAAAATTTTGTGAGATGCATTTAACGTATATTTTTCCTGGATACTTTTAGACAAGGTATTTAATCAGGAGCGTGCAACCTGCGGCCCGCGGGCCAAATGGGACCAAAAAAGAAAAGTTGTGCTAGAAGTGCCGATTTTAAATGGTGTTCGGCCCGCGAAACGTGTTTTTAATTCAGTTTAACATAAAAATCCAATTTAGTCTAATTGTATCTGGCACTCTAGTACTTTTTATTGTATTGAGTATAATATAAAATAGGAAATCAGACCAACGTATGAAAATTTACCTTATTTATAAAACAAGTATCGCCTTGTATAATACTGGCAGCTCGTCCGGCCCTTGTTCAGGTCGAATATGTAAATTAGCTAATAAAATTCACCACAACAGTGTGTTCTTTTTTCATGGATGATTCATGGGTACTCCCGAATTGTGTGTACCAGGTTAGGGTTGGGCCATAATTTTATTCCGATTTCCCTCATTTTAGTTCTATTACGAGTTCGGCGACTGTTTGTGTTAGCCCCTATAGGTTACATAGGTTTCACTCCCTTTACACAACTTGACTTAAAGTAGGCGAACAAAATTAGTTACCTCCATATTGGTACACACACTGCTGGAGCGCCGATTCAGGAGCAACATTAAGACAAATATATACAGAAATACATTTGTGTTAGTTTGCAGCAAGACTCTTGAATCACTTAGGATGTTCAACTTCACTCTTGCTACAGCATCCTTGCATTATATGGGCCAATCCATCAATTTTTTAAAAAGTGTAGTGAAAGTAATTTTTTTCCTTTTTAATATCAAAAGACATTGGAATTTTATTGGACTGCATTCATTTCATCGAACAATTTAAAATTTCACCCAGGTTTTTGATGGTTTTTAAAAAATGGCCTGAAATGTAGAAATTTTGGTATAATTGACATATTTTGTGATGATTCCTGACACAAAGTGTTTGATTATGTGGTACAGTTATTTCATATGGAATGACGCACTGGATTTAAGTTAATAAATTTTAAATGTTTGCAGTGCTGTAGAACATTTCTTCACCCATTTAACGATTTATTACCAGAATTTTAAGAGATGATAGATGCCGCTATTCCGAAATGGAAAAATGCCCTGTAGTGTCACATACAATATGCACATTATTGGCATGGATTTACAGTGTTACATTAAGTAACTTGAGCAACACATAGAGGGGTAGTTCAGCTACTGCACCAAAAAATATTATGGGCTCCTACTGTACCATCGCAAAAATTTACAGCACAACACAACGTTAGTGCATGGTGGATTTGCCGTCCTGTAGTGTCACGCTATATTTTACTATATTTTTTTTCATCTACAAGTAAGGTTGGGTGTAACTTTTGTGCAATTTTTTACATATTCAATAAAGCAACTGATTGGACAATGAAACAAAACATGTAGCTGAAAATGTGAAAATATATTGAATTTAACAACATGCAAAATTTCTGGAATTGTCCCATAGTGTCACTTGGAATAGCCCATATGCATAGGGATCCACCAGCACAAAAGCATAGAAGAAGGATAAGTAGGTATTCTCGCAGAAACCAAATCGATAGTAAAAGTTAAGTTCTATCTAGACCAGTGGTTCTTGAACTTTCTAGGCCTCACTCTTATTTCAGAATTTGTCAAGTCCCGCGCCCACCTAAAAAACTAGCTAACAATAAGCTACAAATAACAACTAGTGAGGCGAAATTATGTTTATTCAAAAACACGTTAAAAATGAAATAAATGAGAAGCTTTAAACAAATAAGGGGAGCAAGAACAAATCTAACAAATATTTTTATTTGGCTTCACGCCCCTTCAAAAAATTGTCTACGCCCCTTTTGTGAGGCGCACTCCACCGTTTAAGAACCACTGCTCTAGTCTAGAACATGTTCCAAATGACCAGGGTTCTGCTTTTGGGTGAGTTACCTGTATTAAAAACCATGTCTTTGTTCTTTACAGAGGTGGTGAAGTCGGGGCAAGGCAGGGCACATATTCATTACATATCTGTTTTGAATTAAACTATTCTCCCTTTTATGGAGCCCCAGAAGTATGTGCACCAAGATGGCCTCAACCTGAACATAGAAGGTTGACCAGGTTGAGCTGGAAGTTGTGCGCCATCTTATTGTCACATTATATGCATACGGATCCACCGACCCAAAAGCATAGAAAAGGGATAAGTAGTTAGTCCCGTCGATAGCAATAGTTCTGTTCGCTCTAGATGTCTGAAATATGTTACAAATGGGTTTTGCTTTGGGGGGAGGTACCTTTATTGAGAGCCATTTCTCCGTTCTTGACAGACGTGGAAAAGTCGGGGCAAATCAGGACTAATATTCATTACGCATCTGTTTTGATTTAAACCATTCTTTGTAATCTATCCTTTTTATTTGTGTTACTGTGCAGCAGAGTTATTTGCACTTTTGCTACAGCAATGTCACATTATATGCATACGGATCCACCGGTACGAAAGATTAGAAAGAGGATAAGTAGTTAGTCCCTTCGATAGCAATAGTTCTGTTCGCTCAAGAATGCGAAAATATGTTACAAATGGGTTTCGCTTTTGGGGGAGTTACCTGCATTGAGAGCCTTCTCTCCGTTCCGCACGTGGAAAAGACGTGTTTTTATTTAAACTATTTTTTGTAATGTATCCCTATTTAAAATGTTTAGAACACAGAGGGACCGTAATCAACCGCATCATCTTAGAAAAGTGAGATAGTTTAGAAAAAAAGGTTCTTTAAAAATGTAGATTGGCTGTTGAAATATATTGGTAATTTTATTATATAGCTTGTATGCTTCTTAATGTTGAATAGAATTCATACAGTGACGGACTGCAAGTACTCTGAGGCGAAAGCAAGGACGAAGAATTCAGATTGGAAGTTGAATGTTTGATTTTAAGTAGGTTGGAGAAATTTGAAAAAAGGGTACCAAGTATGTGTACCAGGTTGGGGTTAGGCCATAATTTAATTCCGAATTTCCCTATTTTTGCGCCGAAAAAAGATTGTTGTAACAATTGTTGTATACTGTTTGTCTGAGGAAGTATGATTTTGGTCAGACGATACATTACAAATTTACATTTGTGTTAGTGTGCAGCAGGACTCATGAATTGTATACTCTTGTATTATGCAGTGTTTTTTTCAGCAAACTCAGTAATCTTAGGCACCGGTATCGATACCACATATTTGGTCATTGCAATCTTGTTTTTCTAAAAACTTGTTTCTTGTGTTGTTACAGATATATCATTACAATACTTTAGTTTCTAACTTTCTTCGACAAACAGGAATCAGCAGAATGCAAAAATTGTTTTTGTATTCTCTCATTGTAGCAGCAATATGGCACCAAGGTAAGTGCCATAAACATAAATAGGTGAAAATCTTTCATTTTTATGCAACGTTCTATCAATAGTAAAATGATAAGAACAAAAGCATTGATATGATTTTTATGTTTATTTGCGTTTTATTTTTCTATACGCTTCTTTCGTTGACGTAGGATAGTTTGCGATCTTACCGTTTGTCTGAGGGTATAAAATACTTGGGTGCTCCCGAAGTATGTAAACCAACATGGCGGACACCGGAATATAGTATGTGTACCAGGTTAGAGTTAGGTCATAATTTCAGGTAAAAATACTACGGGAGTCATTTGGCTAGTCCCGTACCCGTAATGTAACTAAAATAAGGACAATTAGAATAAAATTATGGCCTAACCCTAACCTGGTACACATACTACGCTCCGGTGTCCACCGTCTTTGGTCACATACTTCGTGAGTACGAATACTTCAATACTAGAAGAGCCAGTATGAAAAATCTAGCGCATCTAGCTATGTCCACTACGTGTCCAACAAGTATCGCCTTGCATATTATTGGCAGCTTGTCCGGTCCTTGTCCAATCTAGTCCTTGTCCAATCCGGTCCAATCTAGCTATGTCCACTACGTGTCCAACAAGTATCGCCTTGCATATTATTGGCAGCTTGTCCGGTCCTTGTTCAGGTTAAATATGTAAATTAGCTATTAAAATTCACCACAACAGTGTGTTCTTTTTTCATGTATGATTCATGGGCACTCCCGAATTGTGTGTACCAGGTTAGGGTTGGGCAATAATTTTATTCCGTTTTTCCTTATTTTAGTTTTATTACGAGTTCGGCGACTGTTTGTGTTAGCCCCCTTCACATAGGTTTCACTTCCTTTACACAACTTGACTTAAAGTAGGCGAACAAAATTAGTTACCTCCATATTGGTACACACACTGCTGGAGCGCCGATTCAAGAGCAACATTAAGACAAATATATACAGAAATACATTTGTGTTAGTTTGCAGCAAGACTCTTGAATCACTTAGGATGTTTATCTTCACTCATGCTACAGCATCCTTGCATTATATGGGCCAATCCATCAATTTTTTAAAAAGTGTAGTGAAAGTAATTTTTTTTTATTTTTAATATCAAAAGACATTGGAATTTTATTGGACTGCATTCATTTCATCGAACAATTTAAAATTTCACCCAGGTTTTTGATGGTTTTTAAAAAATGGCCTGAAATGTAGAAATTTTGGTATAATTGACATATTTTGTGGTGATTTCTGACACAAAGTGTTTGATTGTGTGGTACAGTTATTTCATATGGAATGACGCACTGGATTTAAGTTAATAAAGTTTAAATGTTTGCAGTGCTGTAGAACATTTCGTCCCCCATTTAACGATTTATTACCAGAATTTTAAGGGATGATAGATGCCGCTATTCCGAAGTGGAAAAATGTCCTGTAGTGTCACATACAATATGCACATTACTGGTATGGATTTACAGTGTTACATTAAGTAACTTGAGCAACACATAGAGGGGTAGTTAAGCTACTGCACCAGAAAATATTATGGGCTCCTACTGTACCATCGCAAAAATTTACAGCACAACACAACGTTAGTGCATGGTGGATTTGCCGTCCTGTAGTGTCACGCTATATTTTACTATATTTTTTTTTATCTACTAAGTAAGTCTTGGGTGTAACTTTTGTGCAATTTTTTACATATTCAATAAAGCAACTGATTGGACAATGAAACAAAACATGTAGCTGAAAATGTGAAAATATATTGAATTCAACAACATGCAAAATTTCTGGAATTGTCCCATAGTGTCACTTGGAATAGCCCATATGCATAGGGATCCACCAGCACAAAAGCATAGAAGAAGGATAAGTAGGTATTCTCGCAGAAACCAAATCGATAGTAAAAGTTAAGTTCTATCTAGACCAGTGGTTCTTGAACTTTCTAGGCCTCACTCTTATTTCAGAATTTGTCAAGTCCCGCGCCCACCTAAAAAACTAGCTAACAATAAGCTACAAATAACAACTAGTGAGGCGAAATTATGTTTATTCAAAAAACACGTTAAAAATGAAATAAATGAGAAGCTTTAAACAAATAAGGGGAGCAAGAACAAATCTAACAAATATTTTTATTTGGCTTCACGCCCCTTCAAAAAATTGTCTACGCCCCTTTTGTGAGGCGCACTCCACCGTTTAAGAACCACTGCTCTAGTCTAGAACATGTTCCAAATGACCAGGGTTCTGCTTTTGGGTGAGTTACCTGTATTAAAAACCATGTCTTTGTTCTTTACAGAGGTGGTGAAGTCGGGGCAAGGCAGGGCACATATTCATTACATATCTGTTTTGAATTAAACTATTCTCCCTTTTATGGAGCCCCAGAAGTATGTGCACCAAGATGGCCTCAACCTGAACATAGAAGGTTGACCAGGTTGAGCTGGAAGTTGTGCGCCATCTTATTGTCACATTATATGCATACGGATCCACCGACCCAAAAGCATAGAAAAGGGATAAGTAGTTAGTCCCGTCGATAGCAATAGTTCTGTTCGCTCTAGATGTCTGAAATATGTTACAAATGGGTTTTGCTTTGGGGGGAGGTACCTTTATTGAGAGCCATTTCTCCGTTCTTGACAGACGTGGAAAAGTCGGGGCAAATCAGGACTAATATTCATTACGCATCTGTTTTGATTTAAACCATTCTTTGTAATCTATCCTTTTTATTTGTGTTACTGTGCAGCAGAGTTATTTGCACTTTTGCTACAGCAATGTCACATTATATGCATACGGATCCACCGGTACGAAGATTAGAAAGAGGATAAGTAGTTAGTCCCTTCGATAGCAATAGTTCTGTTCGCTCAAGAATGCGAAAATATGTTACAAATGGGTTTCGCTTTTGGGGGAGTTACCTGCATTGAGAGCCTTCTCTCCGTTCCGCACGTGGAAAAGACGTGTTTTTATTTAAACTATTTTTTGTAATGTATCCCTATTTAAAATGTTTAGAACACAGAGGGACCGTAATCAACCGCATCATCTTAGAAAAGTGAGATAGTTTAGAAAAAAAGGTTCTTTAAAAATGTAGATTGGCTGTTGAAATATATTGGTAATTTTATTATATAGCTTGTATGCTTCTTAATGTTGAATAGAATTCATACAGTGACGGACTGCAAGTACTCTGAGGCGAAAGCAAGGACGAAGAATTCAGATTGGAAGTTGAATGTTTGATTTTAAGTAGGTTGGAGAAATTTGAAAAAAGGGTACCAAGTATGTGTACCAGGTTGGGGTTAGGCCATAATTTAATTCCGAATTTCCCTATTTTTGCGCCGAAAAAAGATTGTTGTAACAATTGTTGTATACTGTTTGTCTGAGGAAGTATGATTTTGGTCAGACGATACATTACAAATTTACATTTGTGTTAGTGTGCAGCAGGACTCATGAATTGTATACTCTTGTATTATGCAGTGTTTTTTTCAGCAAACTCAGTAATCTTAGGCACCGGTATCGATACCACATATTTGGTCATTGCAATCTTGTTTTTCTAAAAACTTGTTTCTTGTGTTGTTACAGATATATCATTACAATACTTTAGTTTCTAACTTTCTTCGACAAACAGGAATCAGCAGAATGCAAAAATTGTTTTTGTATTCTCTCATTGTAGCAGCAATATGGCACCAAGGTAAGTGCCATAAACATAAATAGGTGAAAATCTTTCATTTTTATGCAACGTTCTATCAATAGTAAAATGATAAGAACAAAAGCATTGATATGATTTTTATGTTTATTTGCGTTTTATTTTTCTATACGCTTCTTTCGTTGACGTAGGATAGTTTGCGATCTTACCGTTTGTCTGAGGGTATAAAATACTTGGGTGCTCCCGAAGTATGTAAACCAACATGGCGGACACCGGAATATAGTATGTGTACCAGGTTAGAGTTAGGTCATAATTTCAGGTAAAAATACTACGGGAGTCATTTGGCTAGTCCCGTACCCGTAATGTAACTAAAATAAGGACAATTAGAATAAAATTATGGCCTAACCCTAACCTGGTACACATACTACGCTCCGGTGTCCACCGTCTTTGGTCACATACTTCGTGAGTACGAATACTTCAATACTAGAAGAGCCAGTATGAAAAATCTAGCGCATTTTTCGTATTTTAATTTGTTTTTCCAAATTTTCTTTTTTTTCTGTCCATGATAAAATGATAAGACTGAAGAAACTGATGTTATTTTCAAATTTGCTACTTTTGTATGCGACAATAGCATTTGTTTGAAGGTGTAGAATATTTTTACGCTAGAAGCCCCATTATAAAACACTATTGCATTTAATATATTTCAAATTTTTGTTAAAATTCTTTTCCATAGATGCCATGAACGACGCGAAACTTTTATCCCGCTTCTTTAAAACTATCATTCCAACCCGTTAGGGGAAAAAAACGTTCAATACCTGTCGCGCCGATGAAAAATATAGAATTACGTTGATGTATCGACACGCTCTACGTCTTTGCGGGTACCTCGAATACGTTTGTTACGGTTTCAATTTTTTAACAGTAGCCAAATTCGAGAGAAAGGAATAGACATCGGGAACCCAATTCTGGTAACAGCACCCACACGCTTTTCTTGTCATAATTCGTTTTTTTAACAGTAGCTGAATTCGAGAGAAAGGGATATACATCGGAATTTAAAAAATGTTTGAAAATAACTTGTTTTGAGAATTCTGTAACGGTAATAAGCTAGGGTAGGTAAATGTAAAAAGGCTTGCATAAAAATGACAAAAAGTTCCTCAAGTCTCTGATACCACAATTGGTGCGACTTTGGTGTGCGATTGAGATCACGGTAACAAGTGAGATCGCATACCAAAGCGGCACCCAATATTTTATATCTATACTATATCTGGTGCTCCCGAAGTGTTCGTACCAAAATGGCGCACAACCTCAACATAGTATGGGTACTAGGTTAGGGTTGTTTAGGTTGTGCGCCATCTTGGTACGAATACTTTCGGAGCACCCTATATCTTTCTATATTTTTTAGGATTGGCGTTAATATGTTATGATTGTCTCATCTGCAACTCGGTTAGTTCTTCTGACGTTTCTGAAGTTTGTCCCGACATCTCAGGGCTGAAAACAATGTGCATCAGTGTAGAGGGAACCGTATTGGGTGAGTGCTTTACAGGAAAAATATAAGTTTCATCAATGGAAAATAATAATTGTATTTTGGTTACGAATTTAAAAAATTACATATTTTATTAATTACGTATCTTCCAAGTAATCACTTATTAGAAAATGCTTATTAATTCTACGTTTTCCATAACAGTGTGTTCATTTTATTTGATATATATATTTACAGGCATTGGCACAACAGCGCGGGGTTGTGGATACGGAACGTCAGAAACATGCAGTACGTCCTCCATTTTCGGGGTTACCGGAACCGTTTGCTACTGTGCCACAGGTACGTACAATGTTGGGGTCCCAGGAAGTATGCGCCCACAAATACTTCTAGTCGGCGTAGCATGATGATTTTTGGATATAATATTCCTAACTCACGCCTGACTTCGTCGTTCAAAAATTACGTCACTACGACTATACGTCACTATAGAGCTTGCCAACCTATACCTACGATTGTCCGAAATGGCATCTGTGCCGACTATAATGAATCACTAACGCCAGCGATTTCTCTTTTTTGATAACTTGTTGAACCACGCCAACTAGAAGTACTTGTGAGTGCCTATTCCGGGAGACCCCAATGTACAAGCTCCCCAAACCACGAGTTAGGTCTCCCAAGTCTTATACGACCAGCGGTTACATAATCCCCATACTACGACGAGGAACTAAGCAATTCTTTCGTATAAGATAATATACATGGGCTGGTTTGAATTTGCGAATCAACGCAGGGTAATCAGACGTGCAAAAGAAATTGTGTATCATAAGGCTTAGCACGGTGAGCCAAGGACAGAGCCGTGAATATTTTTATATTCACTCGACGAACTAATGATGCTTGTGTCTAATACACGCTCTTTCTAGGTAAAACCTCTATTTTAAATGAACTTGTAATGTTTTTCTTCAGATCTCTGTAACGGGGATGGAGTCAACGGGGCTGGAGTCACCGAGGCTGCAGTCAACGGGGATGGAGTCAACGGGGCTGAAGCCCTCAAAATCAGCGTCATGATGGGAACTCTCATCGCCGGAATCTTGGCAAAAATACTGATGTAACTCAGAAGAGATTTTTTAATGAATTCAATTTTTATTTTATTCATTTTCGTCAGAAGTGTGTAAAGTATACATTTCTGGATACTTTTCGAGAAGTGCACAAATTATAAGTGTCATCTCAAATATGTTGAATATTTTCTCGAGTGTAATATAAAAGAGGAAATCAGGTCAAGGAAAATTATGGAAATTGGCATTATTTTAAAACAAGCATCGCCTTGCATATTAATGACAGCTTGTCCCGGGCCTTGTTCAGGTCGAAAACGTAAATTAGCTAATAAAATTCATCACAACAGTGTGTTCTTTTTTCATGAATGATTCAGGGGTCTTCCCGAAGTGTCTGTACCAAGTCAGGGTTAGGCTATATTTTTCTTATCTTAGTTCTATTGCAAGTTCGGCGACTGTCTGTGTTAGCCAAATGAATATACCACCTGCGAATAGGTTTCATTCCCTTCACACAACTTGATGTGAAGTAGGCGAACAAAATTAGTTACCTCCATATTGGTACACACACTCCTGGAAAAACGATTCAAGAGCAACATTAAGACAAATATATACAGAACATACATTTGTGTTAGTTTGCAGCAAGACTCTTGAATCACTTCATATAGTTATTTTCATTTCTGCTTTATCATCTTTGCGTTATACACATACGGATACACCGACACGAAAGCATAGAAGAAGGATAAATAGTTGGGCCCGTAGAAACCAAATCGATAGTAAAAGTTAGGTTCTCTCTAGACCAGTGATTCTTGAACTTTTTAAGCCACGCCCTCTTTTTAGAGTTTGTCGAGTCTCGCGCCCACCTCAAAAATAACTAGCTAACAATGAGCTACAAATAACAGATAGTGAGGCAAAATTATGTTTTATTCAAATAACACGTTAAAAATACGTGGATGGAACGTAAATGATGAAATAAATGAAAAGTTTCAAACAAAGGGGATTAATTCTAACGAATATTTTCATTTGGCGTCACGCCCCCTCAGAAAGTTGTCTACGCCCCTTTTGTGAGGCGCGCTCCATCGTTTGAGAACCACTGCTCTAGTCTAGAACATGTTCCAAATGACCAGGATTCTGCTTTTGGGAGAGTTACCTGTATTGAAAACCATGTCTTCATTCCTGACAGAGGTGGTGAAGTCGGGGCAAGGCAGGGCACATATTCATTACGCATCTGTTTTGATTCAAACCATTCTTTGTAATCTATCCCTTTTATTTGTGTTACTGTGCAACAAGACTCTTGAATCATTTATTTTAGAGTTATTTGCACTTTTGCTACAGCAATGTCACATTATATGCATACGGATCCACCGGCACGTAAGCATAAAAGAAGGATAAGTAGTTAGTCCCGTCGATAGCAATAGTTCTGTTCGCTCAAGAATGCGGAAATATGTTACAAATGAGTTTCGCTTTTGGGGGAGTTACCTGTATTGAGAGCCATCTCCCCGTTCTTGATACACGTGGGAAAGACGGTTTTTATTTAAACTATTCTTTGTAATGAATCCCTATTTAAAATGTATAGAACACAGAGGGAACATTGGTAACCGCATCATCTCAGCAAAACGAGATAGTTTAGATACAAAGGTTGTTTTTTTAAATGTAGAACGGTTATTGAAATCTATTGTTAATTTTATTATATAGCTTGTTTTCTTTCAATGTTGCATAGTATTCGTAGAGTGAGTGACTGCAAGTACCGAGAAGCGAAAGCAAAGACGAAGAATTCAGATTGGAATTCGTATGTGAAGCAGGTTAGGGTTAGGCCATAATTTTATTCCGAATTTCCCTATTTTTGTTCTATTAGGAGTTTGGAGACTGTCTGTGTTAGCCAAGTGAATACCCCCCTGTTCATAGGTTTTATTCCCTTTACACAACTTGATGTAAAGTAGGCAAACAAAATTAGGTATTTCCATATTGGTACATTTTGGAGCGCCGAAAGCGAGTTGTTGAAAAAACTTATTTGCGGGCGCAAATGTCTAGACGACCAATGTCTTAAAATAAACTTTAACAGCTATGGCTCTTCTTTCAAAGCAATTGTATAATGTACACGAAGCGCCTCCTGAAGCGTTTTGCTGAAGTCAATCGACTTCAGATTTCCAGTCTTGAGGGATGTCGCTAGAATGCAATTATATTCGACTTTTGAAATTTTATCTGAGTCCTGTTTTGTAATTTTATTTAATTTTATTTTTTTTATTATAATCTTTTGTAATTTTATCATAAAGGAGAACACTTTTGTATTACTCTCTGTAGAGGTTTTGTGAGACTAATTTCCAATTCTTCCTCACTGCTTTTGCGCTAGTGGATTCGTATTCGTATAATGCAGGGATGCCGTAGCAGGAATATAAATACCATGCTATGCAATTCAAGAGTCCGGCTGCACACTAACACAAATGTATTTCTGTAACGTTTCGTTGTTGTAACAATTGTTGTATACTGCTTGTCTGGGGAAGTATGATTTTGGTCAGACGAAACATCACAAAAATACATTTGTGTTAGTGTGCAGCCGGACTCTTGAATTGCATACTCTTGTATTATGCAGTGTTTTTTTCAGCAAACTCAGTTTTGTGAGGCACCGGTATCGATACCATATATTTGATCATTGCAATCTTGTTTTTCTAAAAAATTGTTTCTTGTGTTGTTACAGATATATCATTACAAAACTCTAATTTCTATATTGCTTCGACAAACACGAATCAGCAAAATGCAAAAATTGTTTTTGTTTTTTCTAATTGTAGCCGCAATATGGCACCAAGGTAAGTGAGTGTATATTTTTCATTTTTATGCAACGTTCTATCCATGGTAAAATAATAGGAATAAAAACATTTATATGATTTCTATGTTTATTTGCGTTTTATTTTTTCTGTACGTTTCTTTCGTTGACGTAGGATAGTTTGCGATCTCACCGTTTGTCTGAGGGTATAAAATACTTGGTTGCTCCCGAAGTATGTAAACCAAGATGGCGGACACCGGAATGTGGAATGTGTAAAAGGTTAGGGTCAGGCTATAATTTCAGGTACAAATACTACGGGAGTCACTTGGCTAGTCCCCGAACAAGTAATAAAACTAAACTAAGGAAAATTAGAATAAAATTATGGCCTAACCCTAACCTGGTACACATACTACGTTCCAGTGTCCGCCATCTTGGTTCACATACTTCGGGAGTACGCCTCTTTTTTGTTTTTTTGTTTTTTGTTTTTTAAGTTCTGTTCATGATAAAAAGATAATACTGAAGAAAATGATGTTATTTTTAAGTTTGCTACTTTCGTATGCGATATTAGCATTTGTTTGAAGGTGTAGAATACTTTTACGCTAGAGATCCTAGTATAAAACAGCTTTTGCATTTAATTTGTTTTGATTTTTTTTGAAGATTCGTTTCCATAGATGCCGTGAACGACGCGAAACTTTTATCCCGCTTCTTTACAACTATTATTCCCACCCGTCAGGGGACAAAGACGTTCCATATCTGTCGCGCCGATAAAAACAATAGAAAACTACGTTGATGTATCGACGCGATGGTTGTAATGACACGCCATACGTCTTTGCGGGTACCTCCTCTCGTCGAATACGTTTGTCGTGTTTCAATTTTTTCTAACAGTAGCCAAATTCGAGAGAAAGGAATAGACATCGGAATCCCAATTTTTTTTTATTTATTTTGGAAATTCTGGTAACAGCACGCACACGCTCTTCGATTTTTTTTTTAAAGTAGCCAAATTCGAGACGAGATAGTCACCGGGAACTCAGAAATGTTTGGAAATAACTTATTTTAGCAATTCTAGTAACAGAATCCATACACCGTATCTTTTTGTCGAATACGCTTATCATGATTCGATTTTTTTTTAAGAGTAGCAAAATCCGAACCAAAGGGGTAGCACAGGAAACTGATAAATATTCAAAAATACCTAATTTTGGAAATTCTGGTAACAGCACCCACACGCTTTTCTTGTCATAATGCGATTTTTTTTAACAGTAGCTAAATTCGAGAGAAAGTGATAGACATCGGGAAGTCAAATTTTTTTTTGCTGATTTTAAGATCACGGTAACAAGTGAGATCTCATACCAAAGCGGCAACCAATATTTTATATCTATACTATATCTGGTGATTCCGAAGTATTCGTACCAAGATGGCGCACAACCTGAACACAGTATGTGTACTGGGTTAGGGTTGATCAGGTTGTGCGTCATCTTGGTACGTATACCTCCGGAACACCCTATTTCGTTCTATATCTTTTAGGATCCCCTATATCAGTAGTTCTTAAACTTTTTCGAGCGCGGCCTAAATTTGACCTTTTATGAATTCTCGCGACCAAAACTTTAACATCGCGAAAATTTATTTTTAATTTTAGTACTTTTTGACTCAAATACAGACAAGGATTTATTAAAAACGGTAAATTGACTCAATGCGATTGATGAAACTGAAATTTCCCTTTTCTCTTATCTTCCATTACTCGGCTCTTTTTTACTGAGCGCAATGCGCAATTCATCGCTCGATGGCGAGCCTCAGTTATCAGTGCCGAAAATCGTTGCTCGCCCAGATACGTGGCCGCGAATAATAATTAGAAAAATCATTGCTTCGTTTCCAATTACCGATACCGCTGTCCGTTGCAAACATAGCAACTTTACTGGGCCTTCAGTTTCTTTCGCAATGTACAACTTTTCATTCATCAGCTAAAGCCACATTCTCTCTAGATCAGTGTTGTCCATTTTTTTTTGTATCGCAACCACTGAATCGGCTTACCAAAAGCCCAATTACACCTTGCATAAAAATAAAATTTAAATATATATTTACTTTAACAGCCACAATGACATATTAACCCACAAGCACGAGACCAAGTTCTTTGATTTAATGTCAGGGGTAAGAGTGGAACTCTTTTTGCAATCCAAAACCTAGGCAAAGTGAGCGGCAGGCAGCATTTCATATTGCCGGCTAACCAAGCTCACTCCCTGCGTTGTGCAGTGACAATATTCATCGACAACGTAAAACACTGAACGACCAACAGTAAATATAAAAACACGTTAACAGGGAACGTCTGAGTTACCCCACACTATTGTCCGATTACTCCTTTTAGTGTAATTACCACCAGATCTAAATTTTAAATCAACTAATGTTGAAGTACGATCATCTTTTTCGCTGTAAGATGACATTTTGCGCCGTCAACACGACAAGAGACGTGCGTGGTTACCGAGAATATAAAACAAAAAACATATGTCTGCTATTATATAAATTGTGATGTAACAATGCGCTTAGGCCAGTTCCATCCGCATATAAATTTTGTATTTCATTATTTTTAAATACCAGTCAAGAAGGTAAATTAAGAAATTTGACCAGCTGAGAAATTTGACCTACTCCGCTTGGATCGCCCTTGCTTTAACGACCTTGGCGCGACCCATTTACAGACCTTCCGCGACCCATGTTTGGGTCGTGACCCATACTTCAAGAACCACTGCCCTATATGGAGCTTTCGAAGTATTCGTACCAAGATGGCGCACAACCTGAACATAGTATGTGTGCTAGATTAGGGTTGTTCAAGTTGTGCGTCATCTTGGTACGAATACTTCCGTAGCACCATATATCTTTCTAGAGGGTTTAAAAAAAAAAGGCAAAATTAAGGTGAAATTTTTCGTCATGACAACGTTATAAAATAAATTTTAAAAAAGCGTCAGTCGTGCAATGTTCAAATGCCATTTCACTGTAATTGAATACTGTTATGAGATATCAGTCGTTAAATGTTTTAAGTAGCATTTCATCTTAACTTTTGTTAATTTTTCGTTACTTTAAACACCCTGTATATCTTTTTAGGATTGGCGTTAACTTGTTATGAATGTCTCAACTGCAACACGGTTAGTTCTTCTGACGCGAAAGTTTGTCCCGACACCTCAGGGCTGACAACAATGTGCATCAAAGTTGAGGGAAACGTATTGGGTGAGTGCTTCATAAGAAAAATATAAGTATAATCAAGGAAAAATATAGATAAATTGTAGAATCTCCACCCCAACTAAGACCACCTGACCCTAACCCTAAACTTAACACCAGGTCAAATAAAGGATCAATTGGTATTATCGGCTTAGATGGGTTGGGGGAAGGAAGATATTCTTCAGTTGGGAAAGTGGATCAGCTGAAGAATCTCTACCCCAACTAAGACCAACTGAAGAATCTCCCCTCAGGCGGATCTCCTACCCAGGCGGATCCTGGGGGGGGGGGTCTCATTGGGGATTCTTCAGTTGATCCGAAAATATGAATCGAATTTTATTTTGGTTCCCTAATTGAAAAATTAAATATTTCATTAATTACATATCTTCAAAGTAATCACTTATTAGGAAATGCTCATTAATTTTAGTTTTTTATAAGAGTGTGTTCATTTTATTCGATATTTATGTTCACAGGCATTGGCACAACTTCGCGGAGTTGTGGATACGGAACGTCAGAAACATGCAGTACGTCCACCGTATTGGGGATTACTGGAACCGTTTGCTACTGTGCCACAGGTACGTACAATGTTGATGTCTCCCGAAGTATGCGCCCACAAATACTCCTAGTCGGCGTAGCATAATTATTTTTGAATTTAATAATCCTAACTTACACCTGACTACTTCGTTCAAAAATTACGTCACTACGACGTCACGCGTTATAGAGCTTGGCAACGTATAGCTACGATCGTCTAAAATGGCATCTGTGCTGACTCTGATGGACTCACTAACGCCAGCGATCTCTCTCTTATTGATAACTTGTTGAACCACGCCAACTAGAAGTACTTGTGGGTGCCTATTCCGGGAGACCCCAATGTACAAGCTCCAAACCCAAGCAGGGTAATCAGATGTGTAAATGAAATTGTGTATACTAGCTAGGGCTGGGAATTTCGAAACGAATATTCGAATATAATCGAATAGTGAAATATTCGAATCGGTTTAGAGCAAATATTCGAATCGCCGCCATCTTGTTTTACTCTTCCTCCAAGGGTCGAGGTAAATTTCTCAATTGTTTTTTCAATGAAGCTATATTTTTTCAACACAATTCTGACATATTACTTTTTTCTGTATTGAGGTATCGATGAAAATGTTTTTTTTATTGTCACTGATGTATTCTATGTTTTCAGTAATTTATGTGTCTGGAAGACCCAAAATAATAGGAAAGTTACATACAATTTCATACCTTCCAAGAATTCGAGATTCGATTTGATTCGAAAAAATTATTCGATTCGATTGTGAAATCATCAGGTATTCGAAAATGTCCAGCCCTATAGCTTAGCACAGGGGTGGGTAACTTCTCTAGTCGGCGGGCCAGATGTGGAAAAGAATAAAGTTCTCGGCGGGCCGGATTATAACATGAATTGTTTTCAATATCTTAATCACATATTATTTATTCGCTAATGCAAGGTAGAAAATTATAAATCGCGTTTAAAGTAAAGTTTAAACTACCAAAAAATAGAGACCAAAAAACACATAATGAATTTATCATAATGTACTAAGAGTGTGATAATGTGATATCATTATGTACTGATGTACATAATGTATGTCAGCGGGCCGGTCAAAATCTCGTCGCGGGCCGTATGTTGCCCACCCCTGGCTTAGAGCACGATGAGCCAAGGGGAGAGCCGTGAAATATTTCTACATTTACTCGCCGAATTCATGATATTTGTGTTCAATATAGTCTCTTTCTAGGTAAAACCTCTATTTTATATGTATTTTTAATACTCTTTTTCAGATTTCTGCAACGGAGCTGAAACCGTCAAAATCAGCGTCATGATCGGAACTCTCATTGCTGGGATCTTAGCAAAAATACTGATGTAGCCTAGAAGAAATATTTTGATGAATTTTTATCTCAGTTATTTTCGTCAGAAGTGTGTAAAGTGTGATTTTCTCGATAATTACAATTTAAATTACAAGTGTCTTATCAAATATGTTGTTTTATTGAGTGTGTATATAATAGTCAATCAGACCAATTTAAAGTAGGGAAATTTGCCCTAATTCAAAAACAAGTATCGCCTTGCATATGAAATCTGATGAAAATTCACCACAACAGTGTGTTCTTTCGGCGACTCATTCAGTGATATTACTTTTAGATTGCGAGTTCTGTATTATAGTGGTTCCAAACTTTTTTCAAACGACCGAAATTTAAAAAAATAAATTTTGTAAAATGTCGCGACTCAATAATATGCTCAAATATTAAACGGCATGTAGTGTGTTCGTGTCCGCGAAATGAAATTTCTCATACAAAACTATCTTTTTTACATAATTTTCAATTTTCTCAAAAATTATCTCAACGTTCGAAAGCTGCGCTTGTCAGGCATTAGTGAGTTTTCGTGGCATGGCTTCATGTAGAAAAATACATGCCGCCAGGTTTTTGTGCCGACATACTTTCCATATATATATATTGAGTAATGCATCAACAGCAAATAAATATAATTGGCAAAAGAAAATTACTAGAAAAAAAATCAGTAACTCTGAGGATTTCACGAATTTTCAGGTTACGTTGTTTTGGGTCGCAAGACATATTTCAGGAAACACCACTCTATTACTATTTTTAATTCCTAATTTTAAGTGGAGCCCCGTGGTCTTACTATGAGTCGCTTCTCATAGAATTGACTCGAACGCGAGATGTGTAGCATGCTAGCACAGTGGTTTCCAGCACGTACCCTAGTTTTTATTTATATTTTGGGATTGGGGGGGGGGGGGGGGGGGGGGGGGTGTTCCCAAATTGAGGGGTTGGTGGATATTTTGTTATCGATGATAAAACTATTTGTCACTAAAAATGTGTTATGTATTTAACTGATCATCTTCACCGGAATATGAGCCACTTTCTTGATATTCAAATACAATTTTATTTACGCTATGAATGGAAGTATGATGTCACAACCGGAAAAAAGGGAGAGGGGCTTGATATTTTAGGGGAGTAGTTTTCATCCTTTCATTTGTTAAATCACCCCCTTTGTCATTTTGGAAGTTTTTATTACTCCCTCATCATGCACTAAAACTACTGTACAATCCTTGAGAGTTCGATTGCTACTTTCATGCGTAAGTTGCATTCCTGTTGTTGTAGAGTTTGAGTAGTGCGTTATACGTGTTCTTGAATAAGTGTTATTAATATAATAAAAAGCAGAAGAATACAAGTATTGCTATAGCGCACACGCAGCACAAAATTCCTCACCAAAATCTATAAAATTTCTTTCCGATTGAGAAGTGTTGTGCTAGTACAAAAACAGTTAAGCCTCACCCTATAGGAAAGTTTCGAATACTCAAACAAAAGCAGTCAAATCAGTGGCGTGATGAGAGAGAATCCGGACAAAACATTCACTCACTCCATAGCGCATCTTGTGGTGGTCTAATTATTTTAAAGCTTTTAATTGAATAGAGAGTGAAAGTTTATTTATTTTTATCGAATAAATATTGAAATATTAAACTACAATGCTCCTATTTTAGTAAAGACTGGAAGATGACGATACGATCAAGGATCATTGAAGTAAGCCACCACCCAGAGACCAACTTTGCTGAGTAGGCTACATTAAATCCGATCTCACTTCGCAAACGCCTGGGCCTTCATAGATACAAATTTGTTAGTTCAGAGTCAGAAATCAGAGTCGCGGCCGTGTTTATTTTGAACGTGAACACGGAAGTGGTGGTTGGAGTCGAAATTAGAGGTTGTCCAGTGTATGTTTCTGAGTTTTAAGTGAATCGGTGACGGTCTGATTCGAATGAAATTTTGTTATGTCTCAGGAGCTCGACTTACAACTGGGCGAATGAATGATTGCAACTGAATGATAAAATAACGGTTTCAGCTACAATTGTCCTTGTATTTGAATATGGTTCTTTTGTGTATTTAAATCAATAATTTTTTTAAATTTTTCATTAATAAAAAAAAAAACATTTGATGCTATAAAAACCATGCCCTCAAATTTAAGATTTATGTATGATAACGTGATTTTGAGTAGGAGTATACGGATTTTTTTCATTCGCTTATAACAAGTCTCTAGATGAGGTATCGCTGATCTAATATGTTCCTAAAAATACTGAAATGTTTCATGTTAACCATTAGACTTCCTGAATGCAATCAGGTACTGGTCATGGGATTTGAACCTGATAATGACGAAGAAAATTTATTTCACGTTCCATGAAATCTCCGGCGCTCCGGAAGTGTGTGTACTGTGCAATTACGATTATGCATTATATATGGAAGACTTCACTTGCATATTATCTTGGCTTACCATTTATAACGAACAAAAACGGGACAGTGCAGATTGGACAAACTTTAGTACGAATCTTGGTAAGCAATATTCAACTCACATGAATATTCAAATCATTCGAAGACCTGTACATTTTTTGGTATTTTAAATAATTTATCGACATTACATTCAACGTTAAATGTTAAATTGACCTATCAAGCATATAGTATAGAGTGTTTATAAAGTCTTACAAAATTTTAAAATTTTAAAAGGAATTTATCGATACCATATATACTGTATTGGCCCTCACAGATGTATTAAATACAGTAAACATACTTGAACAATTGCTTATTAAAAACAACAAAACTTATTGAGATGTATTGAGAACTGACTTCATTGCAGAATTGAAATTGTGAAGAACTTTGTGGAAGCCCAGCATAACGTTAATAAATATGAAATAACAATACGGTAGTCAGGGAGTATGGTAATACTAAGATCATCTGATAAAGCTCTTAATCCGATTACCTGATCAGAATGTGTATTACATTTCTATATTATTTACCTGTATCGCGTCACCTTATATTACTAATATGCATCCTGCGTGATTCCAAGTATCAACAAAGCTGACTCATCCTGTGTGTGTACACTTACCATTTTGGATTTCATAACTATTACTTATGTTTTGTTAAGGCTTAAAGGTGGTTGTAAATAATGAATCGAGGAATGCACAACGCCTCCATTTCAAATTGTAATTATCTTTAGTTTAGTATGGCATTTGGAAATTCGCAGTATTGCGGTTCGGTTAGAGCAGGGGTTGGCAAGGTTTTTGGGCCAGGAGCCAAACATTTTGCTCACCTAGACTGGCGGGCAATGCGAGTGTGTTGTGAAATGTTACATTTCATGAACAATATCTACAGTGTTACAAAAGCAAAAGTGGAAGGTTAGAATCAGGCGCCTCAAGTTAACATTATAATAACATAGTCGATAAAAAACTATAAGCCTGTTACGCATATGTGTTTTGTAAAGGGTAACACAGTAATCAACAGAATCCAGACTATTTAAAACATATCCTAAATAAAAAATTCTTTCGTGCAGAGCGTCCTAGATTACGAAACTTTTTGGTTATTATGCACGGACACAAGTAATTAAGAAATGTAATAGTTATCATTTATTATTTTCAATTTTTTGTTATTAACATTTGTTTTCAACATTTATTCAAACCTGAGGCTTAGAAGGTTTGAAATAATGTTAACTAGGAGCTTAGAATCTAAGCTTACATTGCAATTTTCTTTAGTCTAAACGTGTTCAATTTGTCCAAAGTATCATTTAATATTGAGTACAAATAGGCAGTTCATCTTATAAATAAGATAAACAAATTCAGAATTCTCAATGCAGCTAATAAAAATGCGATTCTATAGCTTTGTTGTGATGATGTTCATCGTTATTCTGGGCAGTGAAGTTGCGACAAGATTTGCAAACGGTAAGATATATTTCCTGGTGACGTGGTTTCTCGGTTTTTTGAACTTGGGCTGGGCATTTTCGAATACCTGATGATTTCAAAATCGGATCGAATATTTTTTTCAAATCGATTCTCGAATACGTGGGACATATAAAATTGTACGTAAATTTTTCATTGTATTAGGCCTATGTCCTCCAGACACATACATTACTGAAACTATAGAGTATATCACACAGGCAGATTGCATTGCTGAGCGTTCATACACAATAAAAAAGATACCTATTCATCAATAACTCACTACAGAAAAAAGTCGTATGTTAAATTTGCGTTGAAAAAATATGGCTTCAATAAGAAAAATTGAGAAAAATTACCTCGACCATTGGCGAAAAAAAAAACAAGATGGCGACGATTCAAAATTTTGATATTAACCGATTCGAATAATTCACTATTCGTTTCGAACATTCGATTCGAAATGCCCATCCCTACAGTTGGTAATCACGAAGTAGCTATAAAGTCGCGCATAGAAAAAACAAAACAATTTCCAATGATACAAAAGCATCGAACTCGTTCGATTTAAATTCCTGATTTGCAATTTTGTCTGATTCATCGTGTTAACGTTCCAAAAATAAAATGAATCACATATTAACGTACATCGAATAGATAATAGATAGACAATTTCAAATATTGCTTCTATTCACATAATATTACAAAATTTCAATATGAATATTCAAATCCAATCGATGAAAATTTTCATTGTCAAGTAATTTTTTTCATTCTTTTTCTCGTTTTAGGAATTTGTGTCACCAAGATTATGAAAGGGAAAATAGTGACCCAAGGTGACTGCGAGGTAAAACATGCTTTTGATTTATTCTTAGATTTTACATGTTCAACAGCCTTGCAAGGGAAAACAAATATTTGCGTCGCAGGCGGGATAGCGATTAATAAACCGGACTCAAGTCGAATAAAAATAAACTCATAACTCATGTTTCATTCATTTTTCAAGCAAAATAAATTGTCCTGTTGGCAGAAGCAAAGCCAGCCCAGTCGAAATTATCCAAGTGTATAAGCGTATGTTTACCATCTCGATTGGTTAAATTATTATTGACAGTAAGCCATGAAAAAATCTGGTATTCAGTAACTTATTCGAAAATAAAGCAAAGTAGTGTTGAAAATGAGAAAGAGTTCAGGCGTCACTGCAAATGTCTCAAAATTGCATTAAAAAAAATATTGAAAAAGGGATGGGGGAATCAGTGAGGATCGATGCTGCGTGATATCATGATTATCTTCAATAAACTTTTTTCCGTTTTTTGTATAGGTTGACAACGAACATGGCAAGTTTTTCTTATCATTGTTGTAAACTGCTTGTCTGAAAATGTCTGTTTTTAGTCGGACGAAACGTTACAAAAATACATTTGATGCAGTGTGTATTAGGACTTCTGTATTGCACGCTTTGAACAATAAGAATACTAACAAAAACAATTTAACAAAACGATTCATAGGTCCTCTTTGTGCCTAAAAAACAACGAACGGTTGGGTCAAAAATAAACAAATAAAAAAAACTATGAAAAATAATAGCTTTCATCTTTAAGAAATGAGAATTTCAAATAGATTAAAATAATTAGTTACAAACAAAAGCGATATTTTTGCACCAAATATGTCGGCTCAACAAAAACAACAACGGTGAAAAAGCATTTGATATTTTTCGCCATTTTGTATCCAATAAAGTTTGTTTTAGGAACGATGAAAGACGCATAACACCACTTTAACTTAAAAATTTTTTTTTCAATTTGACCATTTTTGGACAAAGTAGCAATCTGACAGGCCTGATATAAATTATAAATTGACGAATTGAATTTCAATATACAGGGTGTCCATAAAGTCCCTTTACAATTTCAATTTTGTAATGAAGTCAATTCTCAATATATCTTATCCAGGTTTGTTGGTTTTTTAATCAGTAATTGTTCTAACTAAAAGTATTTTTAGTTCATTTAATACATCTGTGAGGGCCAAAACAATATATGGTATCGATAAATATCCTTTGCAATTTTAAAAAATTTTGAGACTTTATGGACACCCTATGTTTATATATATATATGATTTGTCAAAATTTATTTTCAATATTTGCTTTTAGACATTTTGCAAGAAATAAGAAATAATATCGCAAAGAAACAACATGGCGGTATGAAACTTTTAATTCATTTTTATGTAGTCCCGTGGTATGGGTACCAAGTAAGGGTTAGGCCATAAGCCGAAGAAGAAAGCCGCTAGGACGGCGTATCCATATGGCGAACGACATCCTCTCGTCCGGTTACCATTCCATGTTGAATATGGGATTAGTTAGTTACTTGTTTTCGGAAGCTTGGATGGTGGGGGAAGCCGTAAACGACCTGTGATTACGTGAACAACCCTACGGTGGCGAGGAGTCCAGCAATCCTCTCTCACATATCTTTCCCCGCACGAGATTCGAACCCGCGTACCCACACAGAGTAAGTTGGTGCGGTATTACGCGTACTCCTAACGCTTAGCACACTGAGCCACACCGCCGGCGGTCAATAAATTTAGCAACCGAATACACCGGTCAAACGATTTACATTTCGATACTTCATAAATGTTGTCACGAGACCCTTATGTATTTTCTTTAGAAAATTGTCACTTCGTGTACAATTCAAAGTGCTTCCGGGAAATATTTCAAGATATTTCGATCAACTTCAATCAAGCTCAAACCGCTTGTGAATCAATTGGGGGAAAGCCAGCCAACATTCATGATATGGAACACTACAACATGATAATAAACTACCTCCGTCCTAGAATTGTCCCTTCGGGTCGTCAAATCGTCGATATATGGACAGGAATGAGATACGACGTGAGTAATCTAATTTATATTTATAGAAAACACCGCCGTAATTTTAACTAATAATATAAGTTTTGATAAATGAATTAACTAATATTAACTGTCATCTGAGAACTGCCATTTAATCAGCCAAGCTGTCTTCTCTTTTAATTTCACGAACTCGTGCAACGAGAAAGTCTGGGTTATTTGATACCGGTAACGCACTGCGGGAACGGTACGGTAAACTATTTTGTTTTGAACTTAAATTTGAGCATCGCTTTCTTAATTTTAATAACAAGTATATTGTATGATTTTATTAAACTAGTATATTTTTAATGAAGCTATATCGAAATACCATCTAATTTACAGGAAAAAACATTGATTCTCTCTACGGGAAAGAAAGCTGTGCTTACGCGGGAAGTTTGGTTTACGAATTACCCTACCAGTGATAAAACACACACACACATTGGCATCAGAGTGCAGAAAGACCCGAATATGACGAGCCAAGGTCTCGACAACCTCGCACCAACTTCAAGCCTTGAAGGAGTGCTCTGTGAAATTTGAGTGGTTAAAAAAATACTACATCTATATGTATACTGATTCAATAGTCTGGCTGCACACTAACACAAATATATTTCAGTTATGTATTTCTGTCATATGAGATTTTTAATAAACTCATAAATTGTTTGTAAAGTTATATATTAAACGATAACCAGGCTTATCCATGAGACATGTTGTTCCGTTCCGTCCCACCCTATATCAATTTATGCCTGTCCCATCCTATCTCATGGGGCCTATATGAAGCGGCTTGAGAGCGAATACGAATTTTATAAAATATTTTTTTATGCTCTTTCCGATGAAAATGATCAGTATATATTAGGCGAAAAAACTACAATTATAACTTTGAAATTTTTCATGTATCCAGGATCTGCCTGTCGGAAAGGACGCAATTAGAATAAAATTTGTGATTGATTTTTTTGATCAAAAAGTGAAAAAACAGACAAGAACGCTAAATGATATTGCAGATCACCTCTCTCGTCCGCTTAAAAGTCCGAAAAGTATAAAATGGAAATGGCCTCCATATCCTATAAATTGCTTTTCGTTTTTCTCTTTCATTCACAGACGTACGGTGTTAGTGCCTTTTTAAGAGTGTGATCATCAGATGGGCAGAGTACTATTTATTACCCCACTGCTGCCGTATTGCATACTTTATTGTTTATGTGTAACTGTGTTGTTTACAGTTGTTACAGTTTGTTGTATTGCAGAGATACACGGTGTACACATGAATTGTTCCTTTATTATGTTGTTGGTATTCTTCTTATAGTTATAAAAAAATCGCTTTTCTCATTATCTACTGGACCAATTGCTTTGAAATTTTCGTTGGTCAAATATTGTATTTTTTGCTAGAGGGATATTACTTTTGCTTATTTGAAAAATGTCTGTGGCCTTATATTGAATTCGTTATTTAGGGGGCTCTGACGTCATCAAAATTGCACTCCTGGTGTTGCCGTACTGCATACTTTACTGTTTACCTGTCATTTGTTATTTACTGTTGTTAAGGTTTTTTAAGTTCTAATAATAGTGTTCTTATCTTTAATAAAGCCTGAGATCGGTATCCTGTTATCTTTCACAACAAGACGACACGTTTCAAGTCTGTTTCTTTTGTACTGCCGTAGTGTATGTACCAGGTTAGGAGTATGCCATAATATTATTCAGAATTTCTATTTTTTAAATTTATCACTAGTTCGGGGACTGTCTGTGTTAGTCAAGTGAACATATACCCCCTGCTCACAGGTTTCAGTTCCTTTACACAACTTGATGTAAAGTAGGTGAACCAAATTAGTTACCTCCATATTGGTACACACACTATTGGAACGCCGTTTCTCTTCCAATTCAGATTCCGAAACAGTTACGAATCCATATGCATTCCAAACGGGTTGAGTGTATAAATTGTGGTAATGTCAATTTTTGAAAGAATTTATCAAAGCAAGGGTTATGACTCCTATTGCGAAGTAATTCATCTCCGACCAATAAAATGCCAATATCTTCTGAAACAATATAAAAGTATGGTGGGACATTAGGGAAACCCTTTATCCCATAGGCATAGCCAGCTCTGAGGGGCCAATTTTTAACAATTTTTTCAATGCAATTTCGCGGCATTTGCAGTAAGACATTATTTCCTACGGCTTTTACACTCTATCCTTGAACGATTTACTGAAAACCAACTTTTCCTACCTTGCTATCAATAATCCTTTCACCAAATGAGCCAACCGAATTAGATGAAAATGCGCGATATATATTACAATTGACGTGGTTGCTTCTAGCTAGACTTGTTCGGGGCAAAAGATACCAGTAGGTGTCGTATTACGTCATTATACCAACAAAATTGGCTTCACCCCCAAACATTTTGGGTTGGCCACGTTTTTGCGCGGTTCCACAATAATTCGATTCATTAGAAAGTCAATAGCCGATCAGCCAATGATAACTGAGAATCCATTATTTCTCTTTTTCTTTTCACTTTTTATATTCATCACACTCTGAAACAGGTTGTAGGTCGTTTTTCGAATAGGTATATTTAACCTGCGTCGACATTGTTATTGCGTCGACATTGTTAGACCAGATACTTTAGCTACAGGTCTGAGAACTCACGCGGTGTGAAGTTAGACCATGGCTGGTACATGTATCCTTAAGATCAGTGGTTGTCAAACTTTTTAAGACGCGGCCCTTTTTACTTATCGATTTCAATCCGTAAGCATGTTGATAGGTATTTGTCTGTCTGTATGTCTGTCTGTCTGTTAGATGCACGCGATATCTCACACAGATTTTGCATGTGCATTCATCATATCTCGGACCAGAAGCCTATCGATTTTGGGCGAATTATGTCGTATAATTAGCGAAGTGTTAATTAATTAGTGATGGGACGCAAGGTGTCACTATGGAGTAAGAGCGCTGTTTATGGGAATCCCCTAACTTTCAATCGATAAGTCTTCGGTCTCCGAACGATATTCTCGTTTAGAATTTGTCAAGTCTCGTTTACCACCTCAAAATTAGCTAGCTAACAATAAGGTAGTAAAGCAAAAGTATGTTTTGTTAGAAAAAAAACATTGAAATTACGTGGATGGAACGTGAATAACCAAAAGAAATTCAAATATCCAAAAATTTGGTGGACAAGATCGAATCTAACAAATATTTTTGATATTTTTAATTAGCTTAGCTTCCCTTTGATTATTAGAAACTCGTCTTGGGCAGCAGAAAAGTTTGAACCGTGGGGTCACCCTGTATTATACGTCAGTGATGAACAACCTGCTTTCGACCGCGATCGACTAAAATGTTCAAAATAGCTCGCGATCGACTGATCGGTAATAAAGTCATACGCAGAAACAAATGAGTCTACTGAAGATGTAAAAAACTGCACACACGCATACAAAAAATTCCACCGCTGCTAATAAGATCGGCTTTGTGGGCGCATTTTTAATGAAATCGCCAATAAAATTTGTAATTTTTTGATTATTTATTTGTACCTCTAGTAAATTTTCATCGTTTATTCAGGATTTATTCGAATCATACAATTCAGATCCAACGCCTACCTAATTTTTAGTCGTAAGTGTTTAACATTCCCCAAGAGACCTTGCCAAATATCCATGGGTTACAGCGAAAAATAAATATTCTCGAACCATAGAGGTTGCTCAAACTTCAGTATGTATTTTTGAGGTATGGTATCAAACTCACCCAACATCAGACGCGATCGACCACTCAAGCCGTGGCGATCGACATGTTGGCAACCCCTGTCATACACACACCATCACTCGCCCGTGCTTGGCATACGTAAGAAAGTTGGGAGGGCATATCTTCATTATGTTACTGTTTTTCTTTTCAGCTATCTATTGTAAGTTGTAACAGATCCTTATATAAATTGTAGAGCACAAAGGACCGGTGTCCACCATATATTGGTATATGAACGAGATTGGATACGATGGTTTGTTTATAAACAATGTAGAACGGTAAATAAAAGGTAATCCTTTAGTATGTGTACCAGTTTAGGGGTAGTTCAAAATTTTATTCTGATTTTTCTTATTTTAGTTGTTAGCCAAGTGGATTAACCCCCCCCTGTCTGTCCATATGTTTCAGATGTTTCAGTCACTTTACACAATTTGATGTAAGATAGGCGAACAAAATTAGTTATCTCCATATTTTTAATCTTAGATAGTATTTGTAGAGTGAGTGAGTATGAGGGACGAAGACGATTTTCTTTGGAATTTGGGTTGAAAATTAGTCGCTAGAACGCTATTACTTTTATTTTATAAAATGTTGGTACTCTCGTAGTATGTGAACCAAGATGGCGGACACCGGAACGTAGTATGTGTACCAGGTTAACATAATTTCAGGTACAAATACTACGGGAGTCATTTGGCTAGTCCCCGAACTCGTAATATAACCAAAATAAGGAAAATTGAAATAAAATTGGGGCCAATCGTAACCTGGTACACATACTACGTTATGGTGTCCGCCATCTTGATTCACAAACTACGGGAGTACCAATTTTTTATCCGAGTTCTCTGGAAACCTAATGTTTTTGTCATTATATCTTATAAGGAAAACTTTTTTAATTCCGTAATAGTTTTCCGGCGATTTTTTCAGCAAATCGATGCTTTCGACATTGATGCCATATATTTGAGCACTGCAATCTTTTTTTTTTTAATGTCCTAATTGTTATTACAGATATATCATTACGAAAGTATAATTTCTAATTTTTCTCGTCAAACCAGAGTTGATAAAATGCAAAAATTGTTTGCGTTTTCTCTTATTGTGGCAGCAATATGTCATCTGGGTGAGTTTAAATCATTCATTATTTGCGACTCTGTATCCTTGGTTAAATGAAGGAATGTAATGTAATGAAATACTATTTCGAATACCTGATGATTTGTGAATCGAATCGAATAGATTTTCGAATCAATAATAGGAAGATACCTAGTTGGGACCATGTTCACAACACGACGTAAATACTTCTAGTTGGCGTAGCATAACCATTTTTACATATGTTATTCTTAACTACAATCTGACTACGTCATTTAAAAATTACGTCACTACGACGCCACAGTAACATAATAAGGCCATCCCAACTATATTGACTGTCATCCAAGACTCGCAGACGATCACCCGAAATCCAGCAAGCTATTTTTCTCGTTTTCTCGTCGCTCTTTGACGTGATTGTGAGGTTGTAGTGACGTAACCATTGAGCACCCCTAAATTTTTATAAAAAGTTTATCTTTTTAGGACTGGGATTGACTTGTTATTCATGCTTCAACTGCCAATCAGTTGATTCTTCACACGAGGAAGTTTGTCTCGACATTACCGGATTAACAACAATGTGTATTAAGTCCGAGAATAGCGCACTGGGTAAGTCGTTTGAAGAATATATGCAAGTATATATTATAATATCGCCCATTGTATTATTTTATTCCCCAGACTAATTCTGGTAACAGCACTTGCTTATAGCGATTCCGTTGAAATGGGGAATTCTCCACCCATCTGTTGTTCTTATGGTCCTAATCTCTGGTTTAATTTGTTATTTCATACGGTACTCGCCGTAAATATAAGGTAAGTAGTTTCAAAACTCTTGGATTCATACTTTTCAATTAGATATTAGGGTGCTCCAGAAGTATGTTCACCAAGATATCGCACAACCTGAATTCTAACCGGTACACACATACTATGTTCAGGTGGTTCGTCATCTTGGTGCACATACTTCTGAAGGTCCGATATTAGAATCTTGGGTGTCGCTGCTAGATAACCAGTTTGGTTTCCCGCGGCTTCCCTTCCTCAGTAAAACTGTGCAAATTAAATTTTTGTCGTAATTTATGATTGTGATATTTTCTACTGTTTGGAAAAAATTAACTTGACTTGACTATCGATTGGGATTCTACAAGACTAACTACCTCTCCTTCTTCTATGCCTTTGCGTCGGTGGATCCGTATGTATATGATGCAAGAATGCTGTAGCAAGACAAAGATAATTATTATCCTATGTGATTCAAGATTCTTGCTGCACACTAACACAAATATAAATATTCTATTATTATATTTGTGTTAGTGTGCAGTAAGACTGTCGAATAACGTAGGATATATATTATAATCAGGTAAAATTCTAAATCGTAATTTGGTTCCAGTTTCAAAACATTTACCGGACCGGACTTTTTACCGTAATGTTTTTTGAAGTTACGTACTTAAGAATAGTTTTGTTAAATTGTTGCTGTTGTTGTTATTGTTGAGACAAAGGCGTATTGGTTTGGAATTGGAATACCAAAGTGGCTTCGAGAAGGATAAGTAGTTAGTTTTGGAGAACACAACACATGTAATGCTACTGTAAAGAATGATTAATTCACTAGCAAATTCTTATTAATTTTACGGTTTTCGTAACAGTTGATGCTATTCAAGAGTCCTGCTGCACACTGACAGAAATGTATTTATTATTTTTATTTAATTTAATTTTATTTATATTTATTCGTCTGGCCGAAATCAAATTGTTCTTTCCTGCCGTTGTTGCAAACTACTTGTCTGAGGAGGTCTGATTTTCGTCAGACGAAACGTTACAGAAATACATTTGTGTTAGTGTGCAGCAGGACTCTTGAATTGCATAATATGATATTTTTATTCCTGCTACAGCATCATTGCATTATACGCATACGAATTCACTAGCGCAAAGGCACTGAGGAAGAATTGGGGGTTGGTCTCGCGCAACCTTTACCGATAGTTTTCGTAACAGTGTTCCATTTTATTCTCTTTTCCAGGCATCACTGCAGTAAATCGGGCCTGTGGATACGGAACATCAACAAACTGCAGCTCTGGCACTCTTCTTGGGATTACTGGAACCGTTTGCTATTGTGACACAGGTGGGTCAATCGGTTCTAGGAAAATTCGCCGCAAGAAATTTCGTTGCATAGAAAAAATCGCCGCATGAGCATTTTGCTGTAAAACAAGCATACCCTAACTCAGGGGTCGGCAAACCACAACCCGCTGGCCGGATCCGGCCCGCGGAGCAATATAATCCGGCCCGCGAATCTTTACTGAATTATATTAACAAAACAGCTGTATTGACGATTATATACTTTACGTGACAGAATTTGTTTTGAGACACTAAATTATATTATAACCTAACAAGTATATAATTCACAATCACTCGTTAAATGCGCCCATAATTGATTATAATTAGACAAATGGCAACAGAACGTGAAAAAGTTGATGCTGAGTGCAAATGGTTTAATGACGCAGAAAATATTAAAATTATCAGCCTCCGCGCACTGCTTGAAATTAAACTGAAATCTGTGTGAAAAAATGCGAATTACCGGCCATTCGTTCGGTTTTTAACTTTCTAAAAATATGTGCGGCCCGCCGATGACTTGCAACCTTTACTTTTATCCCACGAGCGACAAAAGTTTGCCTACCCCTGCCCTAACCATATAAACCTGACTGCTTTTATCACAAATACTTGTTTTATAGCAAAATGCTCTTGCGGCAATTTGTTATGCGGCGAATTTCCTGCGGTGATTTTTCAGGACACGTGGTCAATCATATGACGTACCAAGGCCTCTTGTCCGATTATTAGTTCATGTCGGGTATGGAAACAGTTACCCAGTAATTTGTTCTAGAAGCATGAACTCGATCATGGAGGAAGCCGTTACCGATCAGCCGTTACCTAAGTCCTAAACCACCCTACGGCGGCGTCTAATTACCAATATGGACGTAACTAATTTTGTTTGCCCATTTTACATCAAGTTGTGTAAGAGACTGAAATCTTTGGACAGGGGGATATTCAATTGGATAAAACAGACAGTCCCCGAACTCGTGACAGAACTAAAATAAAAAAAATCGAAATAAAATTATGGCCTAACCATAACCTGGTACACAGAGTGCGGGAGGACCGCCAAGTTGGGCTTTTATTCACCCACCAAAATAATGATATATAAATCTATTACTGTCTTTCTCTGACTAAACCGCCATTTTATATGTACTTTTAATGATTTTTTTCAGATCTCTGCAACGGGGCTGTAGTCGTCAGAATCAGCGTTATTATGGGAACTCTCATTACTGGAATCTTGGCAAGAATACTGATGTAGACCTGGAGAAATATTTTCATGAATTCAATTTTTAAATTTATTTATGACTTCTAACATTTCTAGCGTGTGTGAAGTAGTGTGAAGCGTGTATGTCGTTTCGAATGCCATTAAAGTTATCTAATAATATTCAAAAATTTTGTCACTTTCTATGAAACGCACATTACCAGGGTGGCAGGATAAACCACATAAGGAATTTCATCCAAATTGGGCCAGTCGTTTAGACGCTACAGCTAAACGTACAGACAGACAGACAGGCGGACGGGCAGACAGAAGAAATGAGAATAAGGTTCTTCTAGAGCGGATATCCAATATTTAAATTTTTTTCGCTTATAATACGTTCATAACGTGGAGGTCAGATTCCACCGTTATATGCAGGCCAATCAACTATAAAAATTAGAATTCGTAGAGCACAGAGCTATTTATACTGTTGTTTTGATTGGTAGATTCTAAATCCTATTATGATAACACAATCCATGCACAAGAAAGTGAAAAGGCTGTGACACTGGAAAAAAACTTTTTTGTGTAATGAAACTAGAGTGGGATAAATATGCAAACGAAATTATTATAAAATTAATTTTGGGTACTACCGTAGTATGTGTACCAGGTTAAGGTTGGGCCATAATTTTGTTCCGATTTTTCCTATTTTAGTTCAATTACGAGTTCGGGGATTGTCTGTGTCGCCAAATAAATGCCCATAGGTTTCAGTTTTGTTACACAACTTGATGTAAAATAGGCGAACAAAATTAGTTACCTCCATATTGGTACACACAATTCTCGAGTGCCGTTGGTAAACTATAATTTCAGGTCTTACGCTTGAAGCACTCGTTAAATTAAATCTAGTCTTCTTACAAAATTTATATTACTGAAATGTTGGTGTTTTATTTTGCAAGATTTCACGAATTGACGGACCACCCCAAAATACACTGCGGATTGGTGCTTTACCATCTCTGTTCCGTGTTTGAGCGACCAAGCGTTGCACACCTGTTCACACACGGTACATCCATGCCAAGAATATCCGATTAAGGAATTGTCGATCTAGTCGTAAAATTAAAGGCTTGGCGACATAAACCAGTAATGTTTGGGGCTTTTAGACGCGCTTGAGCGGTGACGTATGAAGCATATCGACTTTATAAAAACTTATCTGGCTTAGGTAATTTTTATGCCCAAAATTACGATGTTCCCAATTATAATTTGAATAATCAAATCGTAGAATTTTATTGTTTTTAAATCTAATTAGGATTTAATCAAATGAAAGTATAGACTGACTTAAACCTCTGTTTTTTTTTTAAATTTGTGCGCAAAGTTCTTGTTATTTCCGACCACAAAATTCCATAATTTTGTAGGGAGCACGGATTCTTTTTAAGCGATCCATCACACTAACAAAATAAACGTCGCTTGGGAAACAGCTTTTGGGGTTTGTACGATTAGTTCATCTAATGGGAGGCGTTTGCAAGTCAGAATATTTGAAGAATTTGGATATAATTTAAGAATTTCTTTGATTGAAAAATGTTTGCTATATTCCAAGAAAGTTTATGGTTACTCCTGTAGTATCGAACCAATATGGCGGACACTGGAACTTAATGTGTGTACCAGGTTAGGGTTGAGGCATAATTTTATTCCAATTTTTCCTAATTTAGTTCTATTACGAGTTCGAGGACTAGCTAAGTGACTCCCGTAATATTTGTGCCTGAAATTATGGCCTAACCTTAACTTGGTACACGTACTACGTTACGGTGTCCGCCATCTTGGTTAACATACTACGGCACTACCAGTTTAGGGTTTCATGTACATATCTAATGCATAAGAGTTTATTTGTCATAAGTCACAGAAATGTAGCGGAATTATAATTGTGTATATATTCTTACGAGGTGTCTTCACTCCAAATTTTGAGACCAGAAGCCAATAATGAAGTTTATATTGTATTCATGAATAAGTTTTAAACTAATAATAAAGAACTGAAGAATATTAATAATTCTACAGCAATAGTTAGCAAAATTCCTCCTCGAGAAGGCATTTCTCCCTGATTGGGAGAGGTTGATCCGCAGTGCTTTCCAAAGTTGATTTATCCGGTGCGGAGAGGGGTGAGCCTTCAAAAAGCCGGTATGGGTACTTATAATTAAGGGTGACTGTACATTTGAACCCACGCACATTTAAACCCATGTGTATATCCGCGGGTTCAATCTATATGCGGGTGCTAAAACCCATGGGTTAGGGTTAGTATGGGTTCCAATATCCGTGAAAAAATGTTTTTTTTCCTAGGTGCCATAATATGCAGGTGCAATTGTCGAAGAAGCTCTCGAATAGGCAGTGTTACACTGTGACCGTACATTTGAACACACGTACATTTGAATCCATGTGTATATCCGCGGGTTTAATCTATATGCGGTTGCTAAAACCCATGGGTTAGGGTTAGTATTTGTTCAAATATCCGCAAAACGAATTTTTTTTCATAGGTGCCATAGTATTCAGGTGCAATTGTCGTGGGTTCAAATGTACGGGAACCATAGTTACGATACCGGTATAATGGAATTGTTACCAATATACACGTTCTTAAACTGTGATAATGAGGTAACAATTGGCGGCATCTAGTACGTATTACGTAACTATTTGACTTAAGTTTGGCGGGCCATATTAAACCGTTACGATGGCCGTATTTGGCCCACGGGTTACTCGGGTCGCGGGTCGCGGTTTTAGAACCATTTTAGATTTTTAAGTATTAGCGAAACATCTAATATTAATTGTGTATGGGTAAAAATACGCTGTAAAGTAGCAGAATTGTATTAGTGTCATTGTATGTTTTTATAAAGCGTCACTATTTCGGTCCAAAAATAATTCTCGCACAGGAACGCAACGAAATTATATTTTCTACATTGTATATAGTATTGTATAAGGCGTAGTTGAGGGGTCGGCAGCCTACGGAGTAATATAATCCGGCCCGCGACGTTCCACTGTATTCACGAATATATATTTTTTACGTAACAGAATTTATTGTGAGACACGTGTAGACTAAATTATATTATATTCTAACAAGTACGAATTATAATTGGACGAATGGCAACAAAACGCAGAAAAATTCATGCTAAGTGCAAAGGGTTAAATGACGCAGAAAATATTTGAATGGGATTTTTTGAGATGCAATGCAGGCAGGAAATAAATGTATATTCTATTCGAGAGATGTATCACTGCTTGGTTTTTATTATAAAAAGTATCATACGTTCGATTTTCAACTTTCTAAAAATATGTGAGGCCCGCCAATGACTTGCAACCCTTAATTTTGGCCCGCGAGCGACAAAAGGTTGCCGACACCTAGCGTAGGTTCTTGAAGCGCTGTATATGGAGCCTCATGGTTCCGTTGGAGAAACCTAGGGGCTCTGCCAGCTATTCGTATACTTATTGAAATACTGAATATTTTAACAACAGACCAGCGAATACATCTGGGTCAATAAAGGTAATTTTAGTTTACTCAAGGACATTAATCAGAAATAACAATGTTTTTTTTTATTAATTGTAGGCTCTGTAAATGATAGTCAACCCTTTCAATGGTAAAACCAAAAGTTTCAGGACCCTGGTATAAGGTGTTCTTCACCAAAGATGGTTTGGTACTTCCGTAGTATGTGAAACAAGATGGCGGACACCGGAACGCAGTATGTGTATCAGGTTAGGGTTAGGCCATAGTTTCAGGTACAAATACTACGGGAGTCATCATAAAACTAAAATAAGGAAAATTGGAATAAAATTATGGCCTAACCCTAACCTGGTACACATACTATGTTCAGGTGTCCGCCATCTTGTTGCACATACCACGGAATCGCCGATGGTTCAACACAACAAGCTACTAATTATACGATATGATATAAATATAATATAACGGAGGCGTAGCCAGGATTATTCTCTCAGGATCATATGAATGTTATTTTTGTTTATTGTTAACTGTTCGTCATTGGAAGTCTGATTTTGGTCAGACGAAACGTTAAGATTCAAATTCATGAAACTGTGAATGCAATACTGATTGAAATATTCAATGTAAATCAGTGATTCTCGAACTTTTTTAGGCCGCGTCCCTTTTTTGAAATTTCTCAAGTCTCGCGCTCCACCTCAAAAATACCTAGCTGACAGTAATCTACAAATAACAAATAGTACGATGAAATTATTTTTTATTTAGGAATAACGTTGAAAATACGTGGATGGAACGTGAATATCCGTCTCACAGTTTGAGAACTACTATTGTAGAGGTTTCCATGACGTTGCATTCTTTTTAAGATGCTCCCGAAGTATGCGAACCAAGATGGCGGACATCGGAACGTAACATGGGTAACATGTTAGGGTTAGGCGATAATTTCTTTCCAATTTTCCTTATTTTAGTCCTATTATCAGTTCGAAGACTAGCCAAGAGCCTCCCGTAGTATTTATACCTAAAATTATGGCCTAACCCTAACCTATACACATATTACATTCCGATGTCCGCCATCTTGGTTCGCATACTTCGGGAGCCCCCTTTTTATAGTATAAGGTTCTCGCGCAGAGATACCACAACCAACATTTAATGACAGATAGTCGTACTATTTTCCTAATAGTATGCTGAAATAAAATTTCAACAAAACCCATTTTGTCTCTTTTATAATCTTCTACAGATCCGGGTATTAGTTGGATAAGTCTGATACTATAAAGACAAATCAGTAAATATAATGATAATTTTCAGTAATTATATTGAGTTTAGAAATCAAATAATAACCATCCATGACGTTATTGAGCCAGATGTCTGACGAATATCAATTTTTATCGGAAATTCTATAAATCGTCAGTGTATCAAATACATTGAAAAGCAAATAAATTTACTGTTATTTTATTAGTATGTTATATTTGCTTGTCTTTATAAAAGATAGGAATCATCTTTATCCAAATGTTAGATTTTTGTTTGGTGGACGAGCGCTGGGACTTGAAATGAGTTACTAATGTGGCATATGGGTTTTACTACATTTTGATAGGGAAGGGACTTATCTCACCAGATACTCAACTAGACTTATCTCATTCAAAGTTTCATTAGGTAAAGAAAGACGCATGTTTTAGAAGGTTATGTTTAATACGGGTAATATGATGAATTATATTTTTATACAAGTGTGTAGTTTGGATTGTTTTTTTAAATTGTTGTTAGGTCGAAAATCACTCATTTCTGAACCTGCAGATTTCTCATAAATATTGATAGTTAATAAGATGAAAAATTTTCCAAAATTCGAAAATTAAACTTTATGGAAAGAGGTAAAACAATAACCAGCACAGAATTTAAAAATATAGTGTGAAGAGTTTTTGCTAACGAGTTTGTTGAAAGTTGATATTGAATTAGAAATTGTGTAAATTTGCCTCGATCTGTGATAAATCTGCCAATGTGAATTTGCTCGAAACACGAAAGAAGCCCTCAACTGAAAGTAGAAATGTTACTGATAGATTATTTTAAGGTAGCAAGTGATGACCTCAAAGTTTTATTGATTTAATTTGCATCAAAAATGGTCGTATTACTAGTATGTCTTTTGTTTGTTGAAATATTTATTATAAAACGTTGCGCACAAAATAATTGGGATCTTTTGTACATAGCCTGGGCCACTAATGCAAAATGTGAGATTTGAGAAAAACACCATCGCCACGTTTTAGAACAACAAATTATTAATTATCCAGTTAAAGGTAGGAATAGGAATGATTTTGAAATTCTAATTTTTAGCGCAATCTGTATTCCTAATCCTAACTCAAGCCCTAACTGGATAAATACTAATTTACTTATTTTGAGCGATGACGGTTTTTTTTGGCGGGAGCTTTGTGCAAAATATCCAATACCTGATGAAAAAACGTTAAAAGCAAAAATAGGTATTTATGTATGCAAGCGTTAGGATCTGTAGGATGAGAGCCACGTATCATGAAAGTTTGAGAACGGCCCAGTGGATCCCCAACGGTGGGGCGCGATAAATTAAAATAATAAATAAAAATATTTGTTAGATTTCATCTTGTCCGCCCTGTTTTGGATATTTACATTTCTTTATTTTGGATATTTACGTTCCATCCAAGTATTTTTAATGTATTTTTGAATAAATCATATTTTCGCCTTACTATATGTTGTAGCTCATTGGTAGAGTTATTTTTGAGGTGGCGCGAGACTTGACAAATTCTAAAAAAGTGGCGCGGCTTAAAAAGTTAGAGAACCACTGCTGGGTCAAGTCCAGGGGTGAACAAGGTTTTTGGACCTGGTGCCAACATTTTTGCTTATCTAGGCTGGCGGGCCGTGTGAGTGTAACGTAGTTCCATTTTATGAATATATTTACAGTGTTACAAAAGCGAAAATGTAATAAAACAATAGGCCTCGTCTCAAAACTCTAATCAATCGCAATTTTAACAAACTCCATGTGTCATTTTTAGCTTAAACATCAAAATTTGGTTTTAGTTTGATTGTGACAGCATTGGGCGGGTCTGATTGAATTACCCAACAAGCCGGACCTGGCCCGCGGGCCTTAGTTTGTTCACGTCTGGTCTAGTCTATAATAGACGATATAAATACTTTATTACGCAGACACAAAGTAGTAACAATGTATCCAGGACAATACTGTCTGAGCCATGACATATAATAAAGTACAAATAGGACCTATGATAATTATACTTATTTTGTTATATTACATAAAATATTAATGATATGCGTACGTGATGTTTTACATACTGACTAGAAAAGCCAGAACCCAGGGTATTTGGAACAAATTCTGGAGAGAAAATAACTTTGTGAAAAGCGTTCACGATTACTGAAACTTCTGTGTGAAGTCACACACAAATACTTGAGTATTAAATAAATCATCTTCATTTTCGTAATTAAATAATTTATGAATTTTTATTTTTTGGTGGGAGTCACCCTGTATATAATATATTTGTAACTAAAGACGAATTTTAGTATTTTTTATTAGTTGTCAACATGGCGGTCTAACTATGTGTTGTTGTAGGTTAGATATTTCGGACTCAAAACTCGATCCTAATACTTTAACCAGGATGTAATGAATAAATAGGTCCGGATGAAAGATAATATGTCAATATTAGTGTTTCAGTGGGTGTGTATTCAGAGAATTTCCTTGACACGAGTCAAGTCGCCAAAAAACACTCAAAATCGCTGTCAAATCAATTTCAAGGTAAAAGACATTTCGTGGGTACATTTGCCTTTGCCAGTATTTGCCAATGGGATGGATCTATCTAGATTCTAGAACCATATATAGCTGAGTTTGTTTTATGAAAGTGATATCACTACATCAGACCACCGTGTGTTTGTCGAAAAGTTTGATGAAGGGCGTGAAGGTGGTTGTAATCACACAACGTTTAGTTGAACTCTTGTTATGGGGAAAACATGAATGTATAAAAGAGAATGAGGGAGAAGATGAGAGAGAGATAGAGAGAGAGGGAGAGAGATAAAGTTGGACAAGTATTCAGTGGGTGGGAGAGTGCATTTTGCTTATGTCAAGTATTTATAAATCCGGTGGGTACGTGATTTCTACGCCATCTAAGAAGAAATTCTGTGAGTAAAACAAAGAAATATATCCACTTTATATCCGCATTCAGTAGCTAAATTTTGCCAAGAGATTAGTTCAAAATATAAATATAACTTGACAGATAGTGCACATATTTTGTGCTTGTCCCAAAATTGTGTCCATTGTCTAGATATCAGCCCAACCCGATAAAGCTACCAAGGATACCTTGGGTTATTTGTTCACCTCTCCCAGCTCTCCCACATTCTTGATAATAACATTTGGTATCATTTTTTGTTTTGTTTTGATGTTTTATGTAATTTTGGTTTGAAACTGCAAATACCTGGGGTTGATGTTTTATGATAGTGATATCGCTATTTCGGATCACGATGAAAAACAAAACAATATTAGACTAAATTCGACGACGTTCAGTTGACCTTCAGATATGAGAAGAATAGAGAGAGAGAAAGAAGAATGGGAGAGGAAGGGAAAGTAGAGAAAACAGCATAGAAGCACTTAATCTATGCCCATCTCGACACTTATCTGAAGAGCAAATATAACTTTAACTTCATCTATTAAACCTACGAATTGTTTAAAACAGAAAGAGAGAGGAAAAGTGTGAGTGACAGAAGAGGAGAAAAATCCTTTGCCCATCTCTACAGATAAAGCTTATCTATAGAACAAATATAACGCCATTATCTAATCCCTAGAATTGTTTATCTCGGAATATTTGGATCTTTTGAGGAACACAACACAACACTAAATAAGCCATCTATTTAGAATAATAAAACTTCAAAGCTCATGTCGTGTGTTTATCAGATTAATCTCGTCTCAAGTTGCCGTTCTACTTTGGATTAAAACATTCCTGTTGGTTTAGGATTGCTAGATGAAAGCGCAAATACAATTTATTTTCTTTGTGGGGGCATCGCGTTCAAGAAATTTTTCAATTGTTGTAAAACGGAGCGAATTTCCGAATATAATGTGTTACAATCATAGATAGGATTTTTGTGTTTATGCTGTGCGAGAGATAAGCCGATAAGACGTTTGTCATATGTTATTGTTTATTAGGAGTGCCTAAAACTCGAGTCATCAGTCCAGTCAAGTCCGAAGTCGAGTCAATCACTGAAGTCTCTTACTCGTGTATCCTCATACATTGTCGCATGGCGAAGCACGGCCTCTCGTTACCAATCCGTTTCGGTTGTGTGGACTTGATGCGAAGGAGTCAGTAACCCACCAGTGGTTGTCCCCCTCCATTTCCTGCAACTACGAGTCACAAGACGAGAGTCATCATTGGGCATCCGAGTCGCGGATCCAGTCGAGTCATAGGTTTCACATGACGAACTAAGGTCTCATAGTTACCAGTCCATTTCGTGTATTGGAATAGTTAACTAGGTATTTGTTTGAAATGTATGAGCTTGATGATAGAGAAAGCCATATATCACTATCGGATCCCCTTCCGATTGTGAAGAGAGTTTTTTCTCTTTTTTGTGGATTTATTCTTTTTTATTTTGAACGCACCGGATGCGGACTTTTCCATTTGCTATTTGTCAAGAGTATGTGTATTTGCTTTCAGGTCAAAATTACCACATGTATATACATGTTTTTCAGCTATTCTAACCAAATACGTAAACTTATTGACCTTCATATAGCGAATTTTCTAATTTCTTTATGACGAGGGGCTAATAAATGTGGAATATGGAGATTTATCTGATGCGTTTCATCGTCTTTCTTGTATTTGTTGAATTTACAACTTCAGGTTAGTACTATACAGGGTGTCTTCAAAGTCCTTTCACAATTTTGATTTTGTAATAAAGTCAGTTCTCAATATATCTTAACCAGGTTTGTTGTTTTTCAATCATTAATTGTTCAAATATTTTTACTTCACTTAATACGTCTGTGAGGACCAAAACAATATATGGTATCAGTAAATTCCCTTCTTTCGATTGGGTAAATAAAGTGATTTAGGATTTAAACTCTATATGGTTTTCTTCGTATCTTTTCTTTTTTAGTTCCAGCTTTTTCTTAGAGACTTTTCGTGATTATGACAAATATTTTGTAATGATATTTACTCGAAAAATTAACCGGTTGTAGACCAGTGGTTCTCAACCTTTTAAGGCCCGCCCGTTTTTCAGAATTTATCAATTCTCGCGCCTCATCTCAAAAATAACTAGCTAACAATAAGCTACAAATAACAGATAGTAAAACGAAAGTATGCTTGATTCAAAATCACGTTAAAAATACGTTGATGGAACGTAAACATACACAATAAGGCGGACAAGATCAAATCGAACAAGCATTTTAATTTGTAATTAGCTTCACACCTCCTCAAGAAATTGTATACGCCTTCTCTCAAGTAGCAGGTAGTGTTTCAATTACAACTTTAATTACTTTGAAATTCGGGAAACTTTACCTCCAATCCATCTTCAACGTATCAAATGTGTTTGTTTAAAGCACATCTGTGCAAATTTACTTTTCCGATCAACAAAAGAATATTTAATGTTACAACACCTGTCCCCAGTATGCAGTGAATTACTCAATGTATATGGGCCGGGCTATGGTCAGAATTGCACAGAATTTACACAAAATAGATTCCCTCAAAAATTTTGTAGCTTACTACCTAGAAAAAATATACAGACAATATATTTCACAATATTAACAGCTATTTATTGTACCAAGTGATGGTTTGAAAATAAGCTTGGAACGATATCCCACCAGTTAACCTTGAAAACGCTACTCTAATTTGGACTTCCAGCTTGAGACACTGCTATGAAGTACACGGACGACATTCTGAGCATCTATTAGTGTAATATAACATATGCCTTTAAAACACTTAAAAGTTATTCTTTGTAAAAATAAATAGCTAAGAAAATAGCTTCTAGCGGCCACACTGTCTATATATATGATATACAGAGTGTATACGAAATATATTAATGCAATGGTGGTTACTTACAATGTCTACTTGTAGAGAAACTTTTTCAGAGTGGATATAAATTTGTCAAATATTTCATTTATTTCTCAAACAGTTGGAGAGTGTTGACAAGGGCCAAACTAAATGACTTGGCGGGTCGAGTTGTGGCCCGCGGGCCATCTGTTGCACACCCATGTACTGCACACTAATATTAATTCTAGCGCTCCAGAAGTGTGTGTACCAATATGGGGATAACTAATTTTGTTCGCCTACTTTGCATCAAGTTGTGTTAAAAGACTGAAACTCACTTGGCCAACACAGACAGTCCCCGAAATCGTAATATAACTAAAATAAGGAAAATCGGAACAAAATCATGATCTGACCCCAACCTGGTACACACACTAAGACACTACCCTAATTCTAATACTAACTCTAACGAAATCATTTATTATTCAACAGTTGTAGACCCGGATGTCTACTATTCTTTTGATACCGGCTGTACTCCATGTTCGTTATGTGCTGAAGCAGACATACCGGAGAATAATGATGACTACAAGCTGACTGGAGGATGCACTGTCATGAATGGAAGTAAGTTTTTTGGACTATGCGATGTCCTATTGCAGTGATTCTCAACCTTTTTTTCTTTTGCGGCCCCGTTTCGTTGCATAAAAATTGAGTGGCTCACTAACTTTCTCCCGCAAGGGAAAAACTACAAAAAAATCGATAATCTTTCTGCAAAAGTAAATACTTTCACTTCAATAATTAGAATGAAAAGCGGCAGCATCATTCATTGCTACTACAATGAAAATTTTACTATAGTTACACAAATGAAACTAAACTTTCCAATTACTATAGTAATTTTTAATAGGCTCGTGGCTCACTCGAAAATGTCTCTATGGCTCAGCATTGGGCCATGGCCCACTGGTTGAAAACCAGTGTCCTATTGCGTAGAATCTCAAAGTGCTCAATACGGGAGATAAAATAGGATTTACATATTTATCCCCGGGGAGCGGAAAACCGATAAGACGGCTTATCCATATGGCGAACCACTGCCTCTCGTCCGGTTACCATTCCAAGTCGGGTATGGGATTAGTTAGCCAGTTAGTTGTTTTCGGAAGCATGGATTTGATGGTAGAGGAAGGTAGGGCTCTGAGAACTATTCGTTTCGAATATTTTTTTGATACAAAGCAGCAAATACGTCAGAGTCATTAAATAAAGTAATTTTAGTCACGGGCTTCGTAACACAAATAGTTTGAGAACCCCTGACAAGTGGTGTAAAGCGATAGACTCAACTGAGTTGGCTTCAGAGAATACACATCTCAGGTTCGAATCCCACTCCTCCCACTTCACCAAACCAAAAATTCCGTTCTTTTGAAACAATAGTAGCTCCCTACATATCGTATGATATCAGTATTTCTTGTACATGGCCTTGTTCAATAAGAAAGACATGGATAATTTTGTTTTATAATAATAAATGGGTTACAGAGTCGGAATTCCCTTTAAGAGTCTTTTCTCGAATCTAAGCCATCAAATATCCCGCTAAAAAAATGAATTTGTTATTTAACACGAGCAAAATTCATTAGAATTTGTCTTATCACGGGCTAACACTATAATCGTCCAATTCCAACTTTAAAACTTGATTTCGAAATTTTTGAATTTTAATTTTTAATTTTTAGAGGATTACAGGACGGAAGGAATGGTCGGTAAAGCTTTAATAATAGAATATGAACAGATGGACATCACTTTGGGATTAGAAACTTGTATAACCAAGTTGGATACAGCTGAAGACATTGGCGGATTGCCAATAAAAGAATGTGTAGGTAGGTGAATTCTGATGAAGTGAATTCTGCTAACTGTCACAATTGGACACGGAATGGACGTAGTTTACATTTTTTTGTTGTCGCTGTTGTTGTTTTCGCCGTTGTTAACCTGAAGAAACCGCCTCTTTCCATAACAAATGGCCCAATCTATTTCCATTTTTCGTTAGTTGAAGATGGCTGAAGCCGCTCAAAAGTTGTTACTCTAGTTTTATTTTAAACCAGATTCCATCCAAAAATTTGCAATTTAATTTTAATTCATTCAATTTATTCGCGACTCATTTCTGCCTACACCATGCTTGTCTGCAGATTTTTTTTAGCAAACTGGGTGCTTAGATAGGGCCTAAATATTTTGCCAAAATAAATTTAAACAAAAAGATATTTATATGAAAATCAATCTACATTTTTTACAATTATGGTACAAAATTAAAATTTCCGGAAATAAGTAGCAATATCTTTTTATGTTGGGGATGCAACTCACTAATCGGGAGCAACAAAAGTAGCTGCTGTAATCAAGCTCAAACGTAGTTAATAGTATTTATGACACTCATATTCCTAAAGCTAAGCACGATGCGCCATATCGCCGGGGACGTTGCACAGATATTTACAACCGACAACGTAAACGATTCTAGCTCCACTGTTTATCTATTGTCCAATTAAGAATGCAATTCAAGAGTTCTGCTGCACACTAACACAACTGTATTTCTGTAACTTTTCTTAAAAGTCAGACAAAACGTTACAGAAGTACATATGTGAGAGATGTGCAGGACTTTGACGATACGGTACAGAAATATTTGTGTAAGTTTGCAGCAAGACTCTCGAATTGCATAGTATATAGCAGGATTGGGCAAGATTTTAAACCAGGGGCCAAAAAGTTTGCCCATCTAGCCATGTAAGTGTGATGTAAAAAGTAACATTTTGTGAACAATATTCACAGTGTTACAAAGCAAAGGTGGAAATAAACATGCCTCGTGCCAAAACCGCAAAAAATTCTTTGAACTATTTTCAGCTAAAACATCAAAATTCAATTTTGGTTGCTTGTGGCAGCATCAGGCGGACCAGATTGAAAATCCAACAGGCCGGATTTGGCCCGCGGGTCGTACTTTGCCCAATATCTGATATAGAGTCATGTTTGTTCATGCTATAGCATCCTTGCATTATATGCATTCGGATCTAATGGCATAAAAACATAGGGAAGGATAGTCTCGCGCAACCCAATTATTAATTAAGTTTATTAAATTCATTCGTTTATTTTTTATTATTTCATTCAGGGTTCACACTTAGTTTCTGGATCAAACTTTCATCTTTCAAAGACGGAGAAACCGAAGAATTTATTTTTCAAACAGCGCGTGATAACAAGGGACCTACTACAATAGGTGTCCTAATCTCCGTTGATAATTCAGGAAAGCTAACGGTGCAGGTACAGACTCGTGGAGGTAAGATTATTTTTTTTTATTTTTTCATGCGATGTTTCTTCGCTGCGTAATGGACTCTGTACAATTAGCAACTGATATGTAAAATGCTACTATTTTGTGACCGGAAGACCGGTCTCTTTTAGTTCAGCATTGCTTCTAGTATTGAATATAATCTGGGTGAAGTGTAGGTATTGGCAATGGCGTGTCTGCGTACAATGGCGCCCATGTCAAAGTTTGAAAAATACGCCTTCTTGATCGTTGATTGACAATTTTTACCGACTGTTGTTGAATTGAGATATCGTACGTTACCTTTCAAATGAAAATACGAATTCAACTTATTTCTAATTTGAAATCCCTTATTGAAATATTTTACGATTAAAACTTTTCTCCGTTTTTGCGCCCCTTTCCAAACGGCACCCGTGGCAAAAACCCTGCTGCTATTTTATACCGGCCTTGGTTTTCCTTTTGACATTTTCTGTCTAATTTATAATACCTGTGGTGAGGTAGGTACCGAGCTTAGGTACAAACAAAACAATCCAGCAGCTCAACATATTTGTGCATACCTTATTTGGTATTACCGTAGTTTGTGTACCAGGTTAGGGTTTGGCCATAATTTTATTTCGATTTTTCCTATTTATGTTCTATTACGAGTTCGGGGACTGTCTGTGATAGCCAAGTGAATCCCCCTGCCCATAGGTTTCGGTCCCCTACACCAGGGGTTCTCAAACTTCTGGTGTTGCGGAGCCCTTGAATAGTTGAATATTATTCGCGGAGCCCCAAAATAAATTTCAAAATTGTTACTTTCAGATTATTATTCCCGAGCAAGTTAAAAGTACTTTATTTATTCTAAATGCTGAACCTTTTTTAATAGGGTTAACACAAGTCATTAATAAATCTAAATTTTATACTAAAGCTGTAAATTTGACACTTGACGAACATATTAATAAATTAGGGATCGAATCTTTTCTTTTTTGACATTTTTGGAAGACTTAATTAAAAGGCCGTTAGTAACGTGCGCTATTTCATTTTGTTACAATCGCCGATTTTTTCCGTCAGCATGGCGTGTTTTAAACATCTTCACGCCGCTGTTTATTCTCCCTAAATCAAAAATTTTCCTCGGCATATACATGTATTGTTACACAATGACGACGTTAATTGCTTTTTTGTTCTCGTGGGGAATTATGAGTTCAATGTGAAAAACATGTTACCATATTATAGTCATCGGCGACGAAATGCTAAAAATAATAATCAATAAAAAGGTAAATCCACAACTCAAATTTCTTGATTGAAAAGCGGCATTCTAAAATATTTAAACTGAAACTTAAAATGGAAGATCACACTTTGGTTTCAGCAGACTCATCTCAGATTGAAAACGCTTCTATAGACATTGTAAATCACAAAATTTGGTGTTATGTTAGGTTTTCATCGTAGTAGCTGCAAAATCGAAACACAGTCAATTGTGCGCGCGATTTACCTTTTTTTTCATTCTGAAACTACCGACGCAGCCGCACGCAATCAATGGTGCGCGCGATCCGCGATGTACCTTTTTTCATTCTGAAACTACCGGCGGAGCTGAATGCAATAAAATAATTTTCAATTGTTCGTATTTTCCCCAGACATTGTGATTTTTTAAACAGCGATATCTTGCTTAAAAATAATCTCAAGTGCGAAAGAACAAATCAAGTTTGACAAATCCCAAGATCGCAAAAATACGACACCAATTTATTTATAGTTGGCAGTTTATCACATATTTTATGTTATTTTAGAATAGTATTCTTTCATTTTAGTAATCCTAATAGTAATCTCGAATCAAACGTGAGTAACGATGAGCACAACTACATTATACCGACGAGACACGTCAAATGCTCCATCGGTCTTGGATTGAATATTTTACGCAACAGAAATCTCGTTATCCGTTTTTTTAATCGCGAAAAATGTTGCGCGGAAATTTCCGATTCCAATTTTGAACCACCTCCCTCTTAAGAATCCTGGCTGCGCTACTGCTCATAAATAATGTCATTTTTTAATTCCGGCCCTTTACCATATTTCGAGGCTATATTGTTGTCAGATGTTATCAAAGCTGTTATTGCTTCTTTGAACAGTTACAAAATTTTTAGTCAGTATTTTGAAGAGTAATCGAATAGCTCGCGGAGCCCTTGGGTTTCTCTCGCGGAGCCCTGGGGCTCCGTACGGAGCACTTTGAGAACCTATGCCCTACACAACTTGGTGTAAAGTAGGTGAACAAAATGAGTCACTTTTGGTACACATACTTCTGGAGCGCCCCGTATTCCATTGTCATCTGATAATTCTTCAAACGTAAGTCACAATGTTTTTCATGCTGTATTACACTCTCACTATAACTCACTCACTGATTGAGGATTATCTACGCAATGTTACCTCGTTTTCACACCCCGTTCATTTTCAGTATTTCACGAACTTGAAGTGGAAAACAAATTGAACTTCGAAGAATGGACTCATTTGATTTTGGTTTGGGAAGAGAACGAACTCTTGGAGGTAAGTGATATGTAAAACTGGTCTCTTCGAATAGTAAATTATTCGAATCGGTTTGGACGAAAATTTTGAATCGCCGCCATCTTTTTATTTCAATTATTTCTATCAGACAGAGATCGAGGTAAATTCCTCAATTTTTTTTATTGAAGCCATGTTTTCACGATGCAATTGGGACAATGTTTTTTGGTAATACATGTGTCTGGAAAACCTATTACAATAAAAAATAACTCATAATTAAATATATTCGATATTCGATTTACTTAAAAAAATATATTTGATTTGATTCAGAAACCATCGGGTATTCGAAAATTCCCAGCCCTAGTGATGTGTATGTATCAGGCGGTTCTGAAGCGCTTGGAAGGTCGAAACATTCACTCGATTCGAGTTGTATTCTACTCGTCAACGATTCGGAGTAATACGAGTAATCTAAATGGAATAACTTGGATTCGTTATCAGCTAACTTTCGCGTGGGGTTCATAGACCTGAATAATTGTACTCCCGTAGTGTGTGTACAAGGTTAGGGTTAGGCCATACTTTTATTCCGATTTTCCCCATTTTAGTTCTATTACGAGTTCGGGGACTGTCTGTGTTAGCAAATTCAATACACCCTTTGCCCACGGATTTCCGTCCTTTTATACACCTTGATGTAAAGTAGGCGAGCAAAATTAGTTACCTTCATATTGGTACACATACTTCTGGAGCGCCAAATACTTTATATATGACCAAAAGGATTCAGGTATTAAAAGAAAGGCTTCTGTGAACCATACCAATTAGTTATGCCAAGCGCTTCAGGGTCCATCAAAATTGACTAAAAAAGGTTCTAACCTACATTTTCAGAACTCACTATCAATAAATGATGCCACGATTGCGAATCTTTCGTGACTTTATTATAACCAGTACAAGACGGCAATGTAAACGTCATACCAATTGCAATTGCCACAGGAAGATTTTGTCCGTTGTACGTAGATAAATCAGAAAACTCAAGATTACGGTCGGAACGGTTGTTTATTGTACGGCAACTGTACACTTCAACCCCTATAACAGCAAACACAACTAATAAGCAGCCGACGTGCAGCCTTTCTGACGAGAAGAGAGTAAAAACTATTTTATTCCGCATGACGTCCGTTGTCGGAGTCCAGATCCGGCCAAAACTGTCTAAACCAGTGGTTCTCTGTTTTTTTCTGACCGCTTCTGTGTTTTTACCATGGCCGCGTACCACCGACAAAACCGCTTTTGTGGCAGGAAACAATGGCACAAGAAACGCTCTATGGTAGTATTTTATGTGGCACTACATTCATTTTTTAGAGCTTCGTGCAAAGTTTCAACGTATTAATTATATGCAATAACAACGTAATAATTGCGTGCAAAATCACGAGAGAATTTGCGTCGTCTACCGTAAGAGCTGAAAGGCTCTAATCATCGCCACCACTGAATTATCGCAAAACTCGGGACAAATACACTTTGGTCGACACTAGGCGCTATCCGGAACTTCCTAACCGAGTCTTCAAATTATTTGGCCTCAAAAGTCAAAATTATGCCGATCAAACAACACATGCATCGGGTAATAATAGTAACATCCTTATGCTGTATCTATCAGGGTATCTCGACACGCGTCGACCACCCCTCCCGAAGTCCAAACGCTTCCTTCGTTGCTGATAATCTCAATGCAAATGCATTGTGGACGTAACACGTAAAACGGGCGAAAAGATGCCCGTCTCGTTTCTTTTTGGGTGGGCAGTAGCGGGCGAGAGCGCTATATAAAAAGATGGACTGGTAACGCTATAAACTGTTCAGCGAATACAAAATCTTGTGAATAAAATCACGACGTTACGACATCAAAGTCACAAGACTAGATTCAATCCTCAATTGAAGAAATCTAAAAATCGTTCTCACTAACTTTTTTTTCAGCTTTATTTCAATGCTACTAAGGAAACTGGGGTTGACAAGAAATATGACGTTCCAAAAAGCAGTTTACGACATGATATTGTGATCGGTGGAGAATCCTTGAACATGACAATCGATGAGTTGAAGATTTGGAATAACCAATTTTCTTACGCTAAAGTAATTGGTGAGTATTAAGTAATATATTTGTTTACTGGATTGGTTGTTTTGTAACTCTCCAAAGAAGCAATAACGCCATTTATAATATTTGCCAAGCAGCAAATACGTCAGAGTTATAAAATAAAATAATTTAATTTTACTCAGAAACATTAATCGGTGGGTAACAAAGTGTTTTTTGTTTTTATCACACGGTCGGTCACTATATACTTTCACCTATATTTTTGATTTTTTTTGGATAAGAATGCGGCGAAGCTTTTAAGTCGCTTAATCTTTAGTTTAGTGTGTTTTGGTGATCATAACCTTCTACTAGAAAAATAGTTGTTGTACGCATAAAAAGCAATTGTGTTGTAAAATCAACATTGAACGCGTTTTCTCGAAAATACACTTGAAGGGAGAAGTGTGTTTGGCTGTTGACCGGACAAAAGTACCGACTTTGCTCTCGCAAGATTATGCTCATAAATTGCTGGTAGCGATCAGTAGGATAGTAGAAAAAGGAAATCTCTTCGGTAAGATACACTACGCTCAAAGTAAAAATGACATTGCTTTGATACAGAGGTGTGCAACCCTTAATACTAGAGGACCAGATACAAATAACTGGGTGAAAACGCGAGTCGCAGCCGTTATTTAACACAGGCTTTTTAGTACTTGAAGGCACAAAATTTGTGACACCGTAGTCATTGTAAGATCATAGTCATGGATAATAAATTGCACTTAGGTATTTTGCGACGCAAAGGGGTTGGAATTACACGCACGCATCATAATAAACTGAATTTATCGTTACGCGGGCCGCACAGCATTCAAAATTGTTACGTCTCCGCGTCCCGAACAATTTTTCCTCGTGCCCGCATTTGACCCCTGTGCCACAGGTTGTACACTCTTGATTTAATACATCAAAATGCAATTATATTCAACATGTTTTCTAATAGTATATTAGATACCTTTAATATGGAAATATGAAATCTGACATACGACTTCCTTTCAATCTATTGTTCTGCGTTTGCTTTAGCCGGCTGATTATTTGCATTAGCTTACGTGGGTACTTCCTAATTATAGGTAATGCAAATACACGACATATTTTCGGTGCTGGGAATCATTTTTTTCAAACTGAGACCAAAATGTATTAAAATAATAGTTTAGTTATAGAACAGTTAAAAAAAAGCCACACGGCAATAAGCATTATGCAATATTCAAATAGAAATTGCATAAAAACAGTCAGTATTTGAAAAGCAAAATGTAGCATGTAATATCAATTTTTTTTTAGATTGCGTATTTTAGATACACAATTTCGTATAATTCAGCTATTTTTTCTATTTTTTTCACAGTGCGTTCTTAGCGTTTGAGTCCTAATTGATTGTGCGTGGAGCACATATATATCGCAGCTTTTGAGTTAGATATAAAGTATATGTCCATACTTGAAACAGCCTTGATCGTTCTGTTACACACGCACAAAAGATTTGGATTTTTCGCGGATGTACCTCGTCGTTATAACAAATTACAGATCATTGTCTGTATGAAAGCAGTGTCTGAATATTGACAGTTTCGTGTTGTGCAGCGTCAGATGTGGGTATTACTAAGACACTCTCGTGAAAGGAAGATTAGCGGGTTTCTCTTGTGACTAGAAAATTATGGTTTACGTGAATTGGAGTTTCCTGTATGTATGTCCTCACTGTTCGCAATGCAATTTGAAATGGAGAGATAGATAGATAGTTACCAGGGTGTCCATAAAGTCCCTTTACAATTTCAATTTTTTTATGAAGTCAGTTCTCAATTTATCTTAACCAGGTTTGTTGTTTGTCAATCAGTATTCTAACTTCATTTAATATATCTGTGATGGCAAAAACAATATATGGTATTGATAAATTCTCTTTGCAATCTCAAATTTTTTTAGGATTTACATGAACACCCCACATATTTATAGATCGAGGATAGAACGTAGTCAGGTGAACTCACGGAGAAGTTTTGTAGTTATTTGGGAGGAAATTTTACTTTTGCATTTGCGTGTAGCATTACTGATATTTTATAGTTATGAAGTATTATTGTAATACATACTTTTGACATACAAGGTGACCCAAAAACGGAACCCATAAATTTATTTGGTGAAAATGGAGTAAATTATTTGATTTTGTTCATACTTGAACTTCTGCTTATGTATGATTGTACCAAGAATTCCTGGAATCTAGAATGTTTTGCACAAAAGTAATCTCTAGAAAATGTTCTAAATCACCTCTTAGGGATGAGAAAAAGACTTGTATCCGCTGCGCAAAATTGTTATCCCCCAGCTTTGAAATTTGGTAATGTGAGAACTAGTATGGCGAAAATCAGTGACATATTGTTTAGCTGTTAGTTATTGGATAGATAGATAAAAGAAACTACGACGTACGCCAATAGATAATAACACACGAGACAGAAACTCAAACGACGAAATAAGCTAGACTTATTAAAATGAATATTTGCATAAATGCATAATTTGTGTTTAGAAGCGCATCATAAAACAAATTAGTGCTCTAGCATTTTCGTCCATGTAAATATATGACTAAGCAAGTAATTTAGCAAATAGACAAATGTGCGTTTTAGGAATTTTCATATCGTGAATTTTTCTAGCTCTGTGAATATAAGACATTTATGAGCATTTGCAATAAATTTATTGCATGGTATAACACTGACATGGGCACACAAAGTACGGCCCGCGGGCCAAATCAGGCCCGTTGGGTAATTCAATCTGGCCCACCTAATGCTACCACAACCAAAATAAAATCAAATTTTGATGTTTTCTGCACGAGGCCTATTGTTTTCCACTTTTGGCTTTTGTAACACTGTAAATATGGTTCACAAAATTCATAAACCGCCAGTGAACCCCTGGATAACATGTACAAAGAACCCAGCGATATTTGTTTCAATATCATTTCGAATGTATGTCTATGAATTCACATTGCATCACATATATTGTGTCTGTCTATTTAGTAGACGCCTTAATGCAGTTGGCGAAAATTAGCTGTCGTTTGCTTCTCCTGTACTGCATGTTTTTCATTGAATAAGTCTGTTAGCAGCAAGCACTCGCAAAAACCAATCCTGAAAACAGAAATCTAATCATGTGCAATGTCAAATTTTCCAAGGTAATGGAATTTGTTTATTTCCAATATTTTGGTGATTTAATTCAAACGCAAACAACGACCTCAGAACTGAACCTTTTTTGGGCATTTCACCAAAATAATTGGGTGCTCCAGAAGTGTGTGTATCAATATGGCGGTAACTAATTTTGTTCGCCTACTTTACATCAAGTTGTGTGAATGGACTGACCCCTATGGGCAGGAGGTATATTCACTTGGCTAGCACAGACAGTCCCCGAACTCGTAATAGAATTAAAATAAGGAAAATCGGAATAAAATCATGGCCTATACCAAAAGAAATGGCGAATCTATCCAAAGCAAACAACAAGCATAACTGTGGTGAATTCCGACCGATTCTCGGAATCGTGTGAAATCATTCGTAGCAAATGTTGTTGAGATGAAATTTTATGTCTAATGACGCGATACAATGGTTTGAATAAAAACAACAGCGTTTTCTTACGAATGAGTTACTCAAACGCATTACGCGCTCCAGAAGTATGTGTATGGAAGTAACTAATTTTGTTCGCCTATTTTAAATCAAGTTGTGTAAAGGGACTGAAACCTTTGAGCTCTTAATATTGGATATTTACATTTCATCAACGTATTTTAACGTGTTTTATGAATAAGGCATACTTTTACTATCCGTTATTTGTAACTTATTGCCAGCTAGTTATTTTAGAGGTGGGCGCGAGACTTTATGAAATCTAAAGAGGAGGGGGGGGATAAAAAGTTTGAGAAACAATGATCTAATGCAAACCAACGTGATTGTCCGGAGAGGATTCTTTCTGATGAGAAAATACAGGAATATTACTTTCTATTCGATAAAGTGTTACTAACATTGTTTAGTTATTTAGTGTTATCAGGGGCCAGGAATATTCAACGAGCGGTTCTGAAATTTCTAATTGCCAAATCAGACCGACTTGTAAAAAATTACTATGTGTAATACAAAAAAATGTTTTCTTTTTATTTCAATTTCAAAGTAGGTAAGGGGGGATCCGACCCCATTGGCTACGCTACTGGAGTGCTATTGTTATACGTATATAGGAACTATTCAAACTATGCAAAAGCCAGAGTGTACGTAGTGCTTAACACTAAAGATGGGGATAGCTAATAACAGAAATATACATAGTGATGTAGAAATAAAGAGATCTATCTAAAGAGGTATATTCAGGGACTTTGTGAAAAGTCCAATATACCTATAACAGTAGTTCCGTAACTGAAGTTCCCAATCTTGATGTGGCGCATATTGCTAAGCGTTAGGAATACGCTCGCCACCGCACTTCTCATTACCCCGCTGTTCGCAGGTTCGAATCCTATTTGGGATAATTACGTGCGAGAAGATTGCTGGACTTCTCGCCAACGTAGGGTGGTCCGCGTAACCGCTGGTCGGTAACGGCTTCCTCCGCTACCAAGTCCATACCCATGAAACCAGTAAATGGCTACACTAATCCCATACCAGACATGGACTGGTAACCGGACGAGAAGCCGTGGTTCGCCGTATGATTAAGCCGTCTTATCGGCTTTCCTCCCACTCGGGATAAATATGTAATTTTTTTTTATCTCATTCTTAGATATTAGAACTTTGAGTGTCGTTTCTCGATAACCAGTTTTGGCTCCCCGCGACTTCCTTTCCCCAAAATGGAATTGTCTCTTTTCTCGTAATTTGTATATGAATAAATTTTTACTGGTTGGTAACATAGACTTGACAGTATTATATAGTCAAGCGTGGCACCAGCGGAGAGAGTTTGAGTGCTCTATCCTTACCATAGTTCCAGTCCAGTGATTGTTTATATACGCCAAGTATGTTAATGGATTTTGCACAATTCAAACCTTTTTACAACGGTCGTGTTCCAAGTTATGTTTGCATATGCGACTCAAAGACATATTTCAGAAGCGTGCAGACCATTTATTTGTAATAAATTTAATGTATATTTGATCGTCTTTGCGGGATAATAAGAAGAATGTCGAAGTGTTTATAAAGAATTTGATAGTTTACTACGATGTGAGCTTTTGGCTATAAATGTTCATATTTAAGGTGGAAGATTTTTATGGAATTATTCAATACAATAGATGTAGATATATAGTAGGCAGGGGTGTAGCTAGGAATTATTTAATGGGGGGGAGGGGGGGGGGGGGTTGTTCTGAAATTTCTAATTGCCAAGTTAAACCTTAACAGATAGCGAGGTCGGAAACGTGTTTTTTTCGTGAGTCATGAGGGCCTTAAAAGCCTTTCAAAAGACGAAAAATTGCCATGTACGAGACATACCTTTCTTACATTCCAAATGAGGAGGGGGGGACACCCAACCCTATGGCTACGCCCCTGATAGTGGGTTCTACGACGGTGTTTACGATGTTTTCAAGTTGCGATAGAAAGACAGAAGATCCGACTGGGAAATTATGGGGTCTTGTATGAGCTATTTAAGCGTAATGTAAAACAAAGTCGATTTTTTTCGTTACTTTTTCTTGAGGTCTATAGTGCGTAAGGCGACAAATCAAAGCAACTCGTAGTACTGTTATAAGCTGTTTTGTAAGTTTTTGAATCGCGATCATGTTGTATCAACTTGCCAACGAAATTGCTGTATATATAAATGTCAAACCATTTTTTTCAATAAATTCTCTTGCTGGAAAACCGTTTCTCTTAACCGTTCCCTTGATTGCGTTGACTTGCTTCACTTTGCTCTCATAGCACAAAGGCGGGTTCTCGCTTGGTATTTATTGGCATCAGTAGGTGGTTCTTGGCATCAGTATTTGTTGGCATCGCTGCGTCTCTTTAAATTCAGTGATCGTGAATTTGTTCCCTGACGATTTCTTCTCACTTCGTAGTGGGTCGTTGTTACCTTGTTAAGTGAATGTCAAGCTTGAATTTGCTTAAATTCTTGTATCTTAAACTGAAAGTATATGTACACACTGTAGATCTAAAAATACTATCATGAAAATTGGAATATTTATTCTTTTTGTGACATTCGGAAATATTCATGCCTGGCAACCTTGTAGTCCGAAACAATGCTTTGAAAAAACAGGATTCTGTGCTAAAAATGCAACAACTAAATCGAATTACTGTAATGTCGATGTGGAATGGAAAACCAGTTGTCGATTCAACGATTGTGGATACGTTTTCGATTTTTCTGTGTCGCAAAATAGCTCAAACTCTGACCTTTTCTCCGGAAGTATTACAGCATTGAAGGAATTACAATTAGTAGTGGATAATTCTGCCAAACCGTCTCTCCCTTCAGGCACAATTTGCTGGTCTTATATGGTATTTCCAACGACATTCAAACATGTATACTTTAAGCTTACCGAATCAAGCGCAGGCAACTCAGTTTCCAATGATATTGAAATGGAGTTTGATACAACCGGTAACGGTGCGGATAAATACGCTTTATCGGTACCGTGTGAACGAAAAAATGAATCCTACCCTACATTGGAAGAAAAAGATGTTATCTTGTACGTTATTGAGCCGAGCCAAAGCACTGGTAAAAAAACGAAGAAATACAGACTACAATGGCGGGCTGCTGTAAACGAGAGGAACTTAGGAAAGAATTGGACGCATTTAGGTAGTTTTCTTTTAAGTGTTGGTCGTTTTTGCTTTGCTCGCCACTAGACTCTCTAGACAAGTGCCTTGAACCTGCGGGGCTACTATATTGAAAAGATCTGAACGTCATTGGGTCCCACGATAAGGTCAACATTGGCAAATAATTAAAATTTTGTGAGAGGTGTCAGCTGAATTATTACGCGACCCTTAGGCTTGTCCATGGGACATATTTTTCTGTCCCACCCGTAGTAATTTATGCCTGGGTTCAGATTGTGCGCCATCTTGGTGCGCATACTTCAGGAGGTCCCAATTTTTTCTAAGTGAATTTTAAGTATTCGTACCAAGATGACACACATCCTTAACCCTAACCTGATACACATACAATGTTCAGGTTGTGCGACATCTTGGTACGAATACTTCAGGAGCACCTTTTTGTTGTAGGCTTCTCTGAGGCCGGTATAGTAATGTCAGCCTCGCGAGTTGAGGCTCCGTATAATCCGAGCTGTGAGAGACCCTTTTTCTAGGTTATACAGAGGAGTGTGCACCCGAAATATCATTTAAATGTAATATACCCAAATATTATAAAGCCCTCGGAACGTAAATTAATTTGTGAATTAAATTGTTGTATTTTGGTGAATTTTACAAAATAAAATCATGTATCCTAAAGAGTTAATAAACTTTTTTTTAATCACATTTTGAACATCGGTGGATTTATCGGCTTCTACCGACACATGTTATCTTAAGCGCGGCAAAATGCGGCAATTCAAATCGGATCTAAAAAATATCAGAGAATCCAATCCGAACAAGACCCTCTTGATGATGTCGTTTGCATTCGGCTTGTTCTTTCAAACGCCACTCATTTTTGTTCAACCCGCTGGTCGAGAGGGCAGCCAAGAATTTTCCCAAGTTAGACCGTAACAGCTAGCGAGTCCGGTTGGAAAGCGTGAGATTTCAAAAGTCTTGAGTTTCTAAAAAGAGTTACGTTGCCACGTATGACACAGAAATGCCCTTTCTACATTTCAAAAGTGGTGAGGGGTGTGAGAGGGGTGTTTTGGGGGAGGTGCTTTGTTTGAATCTAAGCAAGATAAATGGCGAACCTGTCGAACGTTACTTGTGTTACTGTACTCTTGAATCACTTACAATATAGTTATCTCCAATCTCGCTATAGCATCCTTGTATTATATGCACAAGGATCCATGACCAGAAAACATAGAAGAAAAATAAATGGATAGTATTGCAGAATTTTAATTTACAGCTCATTTTTATTTTACAGAAATCTTCAGAGAAGCGAGTATTGATCCATCTGACTTCACCACACCTCAAGCAACCACGCAAGGTAATTTATTCTTTGGCAAAAGTTTCACATTTTATAGTGACGCAAAGATGTTGTTTAAATGGGATTAGAAATCAAAAATAGCAGTTGGGGGAATAACATGATAACACCTCCGAATGTTATATCAAATGTAATGATAACTATTACCCTACTTTTGGCCCGCCCCGTTTAAAACTATGGGGTGACAACAGTGGTGGGATTCAGCCGGTTCGCACCGGTTCTATAGAACCATCTCACGGAATTTTATGAGATCAGCGAACCGGTTAGCATTAACGGTTACTTTCAATGTTATGTTTGTAACAGAACCGGCTGAAAAATATGACCTTTGTGAAGGAACTGGCTGACAAAATATGAATCTCACCACTGGGTGACAATAACAGTGTATATATATGCGTTTATATCCTACATTTCAAGTTAAATTGTCCATTTTACTGTATAAGTAAGCGTGTTGTTTTCGCAACAATATTCGTGCTGTTACGATACATTTTTTCGGACCTCCAGAAGTATGTGCATCAAGATGGCGCACAACCTGAACATAGTAGTTGTACCAGGTTAGGGTTCAGGTTGTGCGCCATCTTGGTGCACATACTTCGGGAGCGCCTTTTTCTGCAATCAATTAAACAGCCGTCACATTTATTAAAATCTTATATGATCCGCTATAGCGCAACCCCGAGATTTGACTTTCTGTCTGAGATGTCATAAATCGATCAAATCACAATATCGTATTTTACAGGAATGTACTGTAAAATATATTAATTTTGATTCAAGACAATAAAACTGCTTAATCATATGAAGAACCACGGCCTCTCGCCCTGTTACCAGTTGGTGTTGGGTATGGAATGTGATTTCACAAACATAAGTTACAAATAAGTTTATGTTAAATGATTAGAATGAAGTCGATTTTATTTAAATCTGTACCATCGTTCTTTTGATCTTCTTCCTCGCCTACTTTTCTATATTAATTACATTTAGATTCATTGTAGTATTTTAGAGTAGTTTACATAAATCATTGACTGTAGATTCATCAACAAACTTAACGATTCTCTCGAGATTTTAATATCTGAAAAGAATTTAAAAGGAGTAATTAGTATATAAACATAGTCATAGAGATAGCCATTTGGTAACTTACACAGATAAAAAATAAAAAGAAAAAATGGAGAAAAACTAAATTTATTGCACATATATACAGTGATAGTGGCGCTCCAGAAGTGTGTGTACCAATATGGATGTACTAATTTTGTTCGCCTATTTCATATCAATTTGTACAAAATGACTGAAAGCTATGAACAGGGGGTATATTCATTTGGCTAACACAGACAGTCAATCGTAATATAAAATAAAATAAGGAAAATTGGAAGGAAATAAGGAAAATTGGAAGAAAATTATGGCCTAATCCTAACCTGGTACACACACAACGGGAGTACCGTTATAGTAGATTACAGTGCATGCCATTTCATGTAGAATACTTCATATTCATTTTTCTAAATTATCATCATAGCTTAGGTTAACTAATATCATTTTTCTAATCAAATCAAACAGTGGATACGACTACGGATACAGTCACTCAGGCAGTAACTACGATGATGTTATCAACAACTACGTCACGTGGTAAATGATATCATTTGCTTGCTTGGAAACAGATCCTCACCATTATATTTGCATGTCTAACCCGATTTAACGTGAATCAGTTTTTCTTCATACAGAATGTTGCGCATGACAGGATATTCTTTATTTTAAATTATTTCTCTTGAGCAAACTGCATACTTTTATGAAAAAAAAACTCGGACCTCCTGAAGTATGCCCACCAAGATGGCGCACCACCTGAAATCAGGGTGTGTACCAGGTAAGGGTTCAGGTTGTGCCTTGGTGCGCATACTTCAGGAGCACCAATAACTCAGTATACTATCACAGAAAAAAACGTGCTAGCCAAGTTTATTTTTTTCAACCAGTAAAAAGACCAGTCGCGGGAAACCAAAACTGGTTATCGAGCAGAGACACCCAATTTTCTAACTTCTAATTCAACAAATTGGGGAGAGAAGAGAATTTTAAAATTACTGATATTAATGGTAAACGCTATATGGATTTTGCAAATAAACCAACTGATATCAATTATTAGAGATTATTACTAGAAATTACCGTGTATTGAATGAGTCATAATACCAACGAATACTCAGGAAAATATAAATTTATCTTCGTAATCGATAATGTAACTCAAAGGATTTTGGAAATATATTGATATTAACCGAACTAAACGCGTCGATTTGCGTAGACGTGATTGAATGTTACCTTTATGGCGTGACTTGTACTTAGGGTCTCTAACCCTTGCAAATAAATTCGCAAAAGTTGTTTTCAGTGTACAAGTCGTCGCTTGTAGCTTTCCTTCTAGTGCTTTCGCCTTAATCTAGGATTCGGTTTGTACGATGACGCATAAACGGTGTGCCTTTTATGAGTTTCTGAGTTTTTTGGCTTGTATTTGTTTTCAAACAATTCCCCGAATGGTTTTCAATGAATTTGATTAATAATAATTTATTGGTAATGTAGGATAGGATAGGATTTCATTTTTTTTCGGGAAGATGAAAGCCGATAATCATACGGCAAACCACGGCCTCTCCTCCGGTTCCTAGTCGGGAATGGGATTAGTTAGCCAGTTATTGGTTTTGGGAAGTTGATATGACTTCTAAGGTTTATGAGCTTTGAGAAAAGCAAGGAATCTGACAATTGCCATGTCAATTTTTCGATATTTTCCTGTTATACGTTCTCATCAACACTGTGTATTGTATATTGGTTTGCTTTTTTAATAACAAAACGCATTTCCTAACACCGCGTTGCTTGTATCATATTGCGCTATAACCCAACATGGATGTAGTTTATTTTCTCACTAATGGATACTTTAAATAACACAGGACGTCCTGCAAGTGGGAGTGTTCCACCATGTTGTTTTATGAGATCGAATGTTTGTTCAACAGCTAATTCAAAGCACTGGCTGATATTTATTTTCGCATGGCTTGTGATGCATCACATCGAGCTCATTTTGTACTTGCATTGCATTCTCGTATGTTTAATATAGCCCGCAAGTAAATGCACCGAGCTTAATTGTATTTGAATTTCTAATTTGAGCATTTGAAAAACCGCTCGGCCGTTTATATTGAAAGTATAAGTTGTTCTTGAATGTTTCAAAATTGCAAAGAGAAATCATCGATGCCATATATTGTTTTGGCCCTCACAGATGTATTGAAGGAAGTAAAAATATTTGAACAATTACTGATTAAAAAACAACAAACCCGGTTATGATATATTGAGAACTGACTTCATAACAAAATTGAAATTGTAAAGGGAATTTATGGACACCCTCTATAATAAATTTATCTATTGTAGAAGTTTATATTTCTCTTTAGAACCGCGATAGCATTGGCGTATTTCCAGTTGCCAGTAATTTTAAGGGAAATATTCAAACAGCCAAAACGTCATGGTAATTTCATTCGTCAATGTCAAAACAAAAAATGTAACTTCTCCACGGGCATTTCCACGAAAGTGTCGAATTCAAACGCAAATAGTTAATGACGTCGGTAGTTCCTCGTACATTAATTGTTATCATTCAACGTTGCATTATTTTGTGACTTGCAACCACTTTTGCGTGAAACTTCCCACATTTTGAAACTTTTGGATACAATCATACACAAATAGAAGTATTGAATAAAATTTCTACATTTCGTAGAAGGTAATAGGAAATTCGTAGGTTCTGACTTTGAACGCGAGGTAAACCCTTTTGATCACCAAACGGCCAAAAATAGCAAGCTTTGATAAAGCTTTGTTCTGAGTGAAATTGGAAACACTACATAGAACCGCATAGCATGGAATATCAGAATAAACCCCTATAATACGTATCTACACACAGCTAAATAGCAAAAATTTCATATTAGACAGTGTGGAAACTTGACATTGTCACGAAAGTGATGACTCTTAAAATTACGCCGCCAAATTTCCGGGCATTACTAGATTGAATGATGTTAAAATTTTTTGTCTGGGAAAGTACGATGATAGAAACCCTATAAAAAAAAAACAATATAGAAATACCCAAATATGCGTAAACACAATATTCCAATGACTAATATACCCAATGTCAGCAAATTTGCAGCCAACTTTCAAAAGAATGTTCCGAGTTTCATATGAAGGTGTACCGAAAGTCATATAAAAGCGTGGTCTTCGGTAGAAAAATCTGAAAATTTAACGATGTTTCCCGCCTTTAGTTATTGGAAATTTGCAATTGTTTGTTCCTTTAGCTAAACATTCACTCAGTTCACTTATTGTCAAATAAACTTACACGTGAAGAGAATTGAAGGAGAAAAAACCGTAGATTCTCTTTATTTTAACTCTCTATCCCAGGGGTGGGCATGATTTTCGAACCAGGAGCCAAACATTTTTGCCTACAAAGACTGGCGTGCCATGTAAGTGTGACGTAAAAAGTTACGTTTTATAAACATTAGTTACAGTGTCACAAAGCATAGATGGAAAACAATAAGCCTCGTGCCCAAAAACTAAATTTAAGCGCAATCTCAAGGAATTTCTTGAGCTATTTTTTTGATAAAACATCAAATTTTGGTTTTAGTTGTTGGATTTGGCCCGCAGGCCGTAGTTTGACCATGTCAGGTTTAACATATTACATATTGTGTGATATATCACTGATGGCATGATTTTTACCGTTTACTCTGTAACTACTCATACATTACTAGGATAATGCACGTGTAACCCGGGTTTTGCGTTGTTGTTTTTTGCATGGAAGTAATCAACATGATATTATAATTATTTGGGATTGATTTTGAATAACATTATCTATTTGGTGCATATTTGGGTCGTCTCCATTCGTGTTTTTGTTGCTTTTTATTATAATTTTTTTATATTTTCTTTTTAATTCCAGTGAATATAACTACACCGCCTCTGTACCTTGAAAGCCCGATACCAAGTTTAGAAGACGTTTCAGAAGAGTTATACAGAACTCAAATAGAGAATGAACAAAAGTGAGTAAAGAAGTAAAAAACGTGTTGATATCGAGGGTTCGAATCCTATGGTCACCACATTGCACTTGGAATCAACAATTCTGCGTTTTGTTACGTATACCTGATTATGATTAAATTATAGGCTCATTAAACGAGTAATTGTGAATTATATACGTATTAACTTATAATGTGATTTAGTCTACACGTGCCTCACAATAAATTCTGTTACATAAAGTATATAATCGTCAAAACAGCTGTTTTGTTACTATAATTCAGTGAAGCGTCGCGGGCCGGATTATATTACTACGGGCCGTAGGTTGCCGACCCTGATGTAAATCTATTTTATATATCAATAAAATATGTTTGTTTTTTTACAGAGACTTCACAGACCAAGAGACTTTGGAAGAAAGTTCCGAAAAAGTCATTCAGATTAGTTCGGAACTGGCTGAAAAGATTGAAGAGGATGACGTCAAGATGGAGTCGGAAATCGCGGCCTCTTATATCTCGGTAAGCTATAGTGGCGCTTCAGAAGTGTGTGTACCAATATGGAGGTAACTAATTTTGTTTGCCTACTTTACATCAAGTTGTATAAAGAGACTGAAACCTATGGGCAGGGGGTATTCACTTGGCTAACACAGACAGTACCTGAACTCGGATGGCTACGGGAGTACCGAAAATTAATCTCGTATTTTTTTTTTTGAATTTTGATTTTTTGAAAAGTTTTTCAAATTTTTGAGTTTGACCTTTTGACCATTTTGAGTTTGACCAAGATTTGCTTGTAAAAATGTGTTTTGGAAAGTTTGCTCCTACCAAGTCTCTTCATAAATCCTCTACCCAAAACTTGATAACTTCAACGTTTTCCAGTGAAAGTATTCAAACGTGAAAAAAAGAAACATATTTTTTATTTGCTCATTAGTTGAAATAAAACAAAAAAAACAGATCATTTGTCAAACAGTTATTTATTTTTACAAAAAATAACTTTTACAAAGATTTTTGAAGGCATATGTTATTTTACACTAATAGATGCTCAAAATGTCGTCCGCGCACTTCAGAGCAGTGTCTCAACCTAAAAGTCCAAGCTCTCGCAGCGTTTCGATGGTAAACATACGGGATATCGTTCCAATCATTTGCCAAGCTTGTTTTCAAATCATCATTTGTAAAAATAAATAGAGGTTCGACAAATTTTCTAGCGAAAATTAAATCCCTTTTCTCTAGGTTAATTCAGTTTTTTCTTTTTCAAATTAACCTATTTGTAGATTATGTAATACAATATTAAAATGATTCTTTTTGTCTCTAGGCCGTTTCAGAGACAACAAACACGTTAGTTGCGACCAAGAACGCGGAAACTTGGAAGGAAGTCCCGGAGAACACGAAGAAATTAAATGAAATCATAGAGAATGCCGATTCAGCTACTGAAGTCATTGTACGATCATTCACGCCCGCGAATGTCACATCTATACAAGTTATTCAGACCTTGAGTAAGTGGTGCTCCTCTAGTATGTGCACCAAGATGGCGTACAGCCTGAACATAGTATGTTTACCAGGTTAGGGTCCAGGTTGTGCGCCATTTTTGTGCATATGCTGAAGGAGCGCCGAGTAAGTTTGTAATCATTTTTAAATATTGTTAACTCATAAGTCTCTACTTCAGAAATTATAAGTTTCGTACCAGCTGTTTTGGTGGAGAGGAAGCCCAAAGAAACCCACCGCTGTTCATCAGTTTAATCACTGCTATTGTCTGATTTGTATGAACTTTAAATATAGGGTTTTCATGAAGTCCTAAAAAATTGGAGTTTCTGGAGTGGTAATGTGGAATCACCTCATAAAATGTCCAAAATATCCCTGCTTCAATGAATTACTAAAAGCGTAACAGGACTGAATTATCGCAACCGATTATATGAATCTCATGAGTAATATTACATTAAAAAATTGACGAAAAAAGCTACAATAGAGAGTATTCATCTCACTAGCGCCTACCCTGGAAAGAAGTCGTGAGAGTTAGAGACGTACTAATTCTATTGCGATTTTTGTTTGTTTTAATGACTAATATTCGTTGTTGATAATTTGTATGAGGAAAAGATAGCATTTTTATCCTGATAGAGACTAAAACCAATAAGACGTCTTAACTCTTAGTCATATACCGTACCACGACCTCTCTTATGGTTACCAGTCCACGTCGAACTGGACTGGGATTAATTAGCCACGCAGTTATTTTTTTCAAATGTTTGTACTTGATGGTGGAGAAAATTGTCAGGAATGAAATTACGTCTAAAAGGGAATCTTTTATATATTTTATTTTAGGTATGTCTATCATCGTCGTTCCTTCAAAAACAGAGACACCCGTTTCCGTATCGCCTACTCAGAATGTCGAAGTCGGTCTTTCAGAATCAACTGTGACGTCACTATCCCAGAACACACCTGTAGTTGTTGCAGCCACTGTACATTCCGGCGCCAGTGTGAGTTTACTATTGTTGTATACGAAGCGGACTAAATCGTTGTTGTTGCCTGATGTCTGAGATGTCAGAACGTTTAGAAAAATAGCAGTCAGTTTTTTGTATTATTCCCTGAATAATATTTAAGATATAAATAAAATAATTTACTGGCCTTGGTTTTGACTAAAAAACACAGTGTTAGATATGGTGACCGTACATTTGAACCCATGTGTATATCCACGGGTTCAATCTATATGCGGGTGCTAAACCTCATGGGTTAGGGTTAGTATGGGTTCAAATATCCGCAAAACAAAAAAATTTCACATCCACATAGGTCCAATGGTATGCAGGTGCAATTGTCGTGGGTTCAAAATGTACGTGGGTTCAAAAGAACGATATCACAGCTCCACACTTCTGAGATTTCTCCTTCGGACAAAATTAATCGCTTTTCTCCAGAACTAATAGGCTTCAAATCTTCGGTACTTGTATTGAAGAAGTCGTTTGACTGATTCTACTTTTTTCTTCTATTTTTTTTAAAATGTTATTATTGCGTATCGGAGTTTTCAGAGTGGGACAGTGGAATTACCTCATAAAATAATACTAAAGGAAAAAATCAATTATTAAGTCAGAAAAACACTTATAAAATCATATATAAAAAAATTAAACTAAAATATCCGAAATATGGCAATGGATTATGTACAGCGAAACAAAGCTGAATTATCGCAACTGATTATACGATACTCAATAGTAATATCACATTAAAAATTTGACGTAAAGAGCTACAATAGAGAGTATTCACCTCACTAGCGCCTCCGCTGGGAAGAAGGCATGAGAGCACGGGAACATAAAACACGTACGCGTTATATTACGCCTTTAGTTTTAATTTTTTCAAATTAGAGACCAATGCGACGCAATGTTTCAGCGAAAATTTGCTTTTTCTTTTTAATTGGAGAGGAACACTTTCATTCTGCATTTTATTCTGTCTTGAGTGTATAGCAATAATAACTCAAATCAAATATCTAACTCTATCGTATTGCTTGCTAGTGTTTCGCCAAAAAGTCTCGTGCCCCACCTAATAAATAACTAACTAACAATAAGCTGCAAATAACCGATAGTAAGGCGAAAGTATGTTTTATCCAATAAACACGTTGAAATACGTGAATGAAACGCAAAAATATCAAAAAAAAAGGAAATTTCAATATCCAAAACAAGGCAGGCAAAATCAAATCAAACAAATATTTTTATTTTATTTAATTTCACGACCCCTCAAAAATCGTCCACGCGCTACGTCGTTTGAAAACTACTGCTATAAGGTGTTACAAGGCGGGCAAGATCTAATCTAACAAGTGTTTTTATTTTAAATTATCTTCATTCCCCCTCAAAAAAATTGTCTACGCCCCTCTTGTGGGGTGTGCCCCGCCGTTAAGGAACCACTAGACGAGTTGATTGCAAAAACCTATGATATTTTTCAGGATTGCTACAATGATATTCCTCCTACGGATGTTGACATCATCGATCAAGAAGATCCGGTTGAAAATCCTGAATTCGGATTGCGTCCTACATTCGATAGTACAAAGCCTTTGCAGGTAAATAGTACATTTTTAATTTTGGGGCAAGAAAACAATCGCAAAGATTGAGGAGAAGGGTTGAGTGTCGGACAATTTTTTGTGACTTGAAACGCTTTTTAGACCTTTAAGATTCTTGGAAATCCATTTGAAATCCGCTAGCTGATACGGGCTAACTTGAACATTAGAAATTTCAGAACCTTCTTCACCTCTGACGAATCTTTTGCTACGATTCTGGTCAGTCTCTTTTTGTGATTAACAACTCGAAACATATCGTAGCAAATAATGTAGCTTACGAGAATAGTGCAACATTGTTTTAATAACGTGAGGAATGTTGGTGATAAGTCGAATAAAGATTAGAAGGTTAAAGTAAATAACTCAAACAAACTGAGAACATGTAAAACATGTCACCACGGACAGACTCACCTTTTACAGCTGAATGAACACTATTTATACTATTGGCCAATGAGGCATCAATGTAATAGTGACATGACAGTAATGATAACCTACAAAAAAATTCTTGGAAAACTATTGAACTATCAGTTAGGATTCCCTGAAATTAGCATTGGTAACATTTGTTGGACTTCAGATAATTCTACGATGGTTGTTCGTAAAATACTTTCACAAAAATAACAAGAGAGCTATGCTCGAATATGTGGACACGTAGCGCCACCCAATGGCAATAATTTTGATAACGCCATAGCGAAAAAAAAAAGTAATAGCCTTCTGGAGAAAAATTTTATCTTTAACCACTGAAAATTTCAAAGCAATTGGTCCAGTATTCGAAGAGAAAAGCGATTTTTTAAATATGATGGAGACAAATAATAACAATAAAAACATAATATTGAAACGATCGTTATGTCCACTAAACGTGTCCAATAATAAATCGATGCTAAATACCTTTTTATTTTACAGATTATCACTGAGATTGTCAGCGTCAACATTAAACCGAAGTTAAAGACTGGAGAACTTATTACACTGAGCTTCGTGCATATAATGGTGTTGATCTATATCAGGGTTGTGCAACATTTAATACAGAAGGGCCCAGATACGAATAACTGCGTGAAACCGCAGGCCGCGCCTTTATTTAACATAAACTTTCTAGTAGTTGCCTAGTAGTTTCCTATAGGCTTTATACCGCGAAGTGATTGGAATTACTCGCACGTGCTACTGAATTAAAAACTCGTTTTGTGGGCGGCATACTATTCAAAATTTTCACTTTTCCACGGGCCGCACAAATTTTCCCTGTGGGCCGCATTTGGCCCGCGGGTGGTAGGTTGTACATCCCTGATCTATATAATGGAATATAGTGTAGAAATAGATAGCATATGTACTTGGCTCAATGGCTGATGGTGAAAGAGTTTAACCTATAGTAATGTTGGCGAATAAAGATAAATATCTCAAATTCAAGGCTTGAACGTCCTTTTAAAAGCCTTTTTCTGTATTGTAAATAGCTTTTCAAATTCAAGGCTTGAACGACGTTTTAAAAGCATTTTTCTGTATCGTAAATAGCTTTTTAAATTCAAGGCTTGAACGGCCTATTAAATGCATTTTTCTGTATTGTAAATAGCTTTTTTTCCTAGCTCGAAACGCATTTTAGACTCTCAAGAGCGGTCTAACTTGGCAATTAGATATTTCAGATCCTTTTGATTCCTGGCTTCGCCCCTGGAGCTAACAACCACAATTTACAAATACGATCCATGTGTGCGTCTCATGACCAATAATTAATAATCATTGAACTTCTGTGACATTGAAACTTTTCTATAATTTCAGAATATAAGTCTCGAGAACGAGTTTAACCTATTCTGCGCTTACATCAATAAAACGACCGCAAAATGGACGAATCACGACTGCAAGATTATAGAAACGAACAACACTCACACCACATTCGTGTCTCCCCATCTTACCAACTTTGCTATACTTATGCAAGTGGTCGATTTTGAGGTATGGTTAATATGTTGATTATTGCCTCTCTCTTTCTCCTTTTCTCTCTCTCTTCTTCCAACTCTTTTCTCCTCATTCATTGCTCTCTTATCTCCCCTCACTATGTTTCTCTTTTTTTCTGTAATCTCATTTTCTTTGTATTCCGTTCAAATAATGTTTATCACACGTTTGCTATCTCTCTCTCTCAAACTCTTTCTTCGACATTCTTCTACTCACTCTCTCTTTCTTTATTTATCCCCGTGATTTTTACGATTCGTGCATTCCGTTTTGTTTTTATCGCCTATGAATTATATCGCCTTGGCTTCTTGTAGCACGTTTGTAAATCACCAACAAACCCCCTCTCCCTCTCCAACTTTTTTCTCTTCATTTCTCGATTTCCCACTCCCTCACACGTTTGCTCTTCATCCCTCTTTTTTGGTCTTTTCCCACTCGCACTGTCTCGCACTCTCTCTCTCTCTCTCTCTCCCGCTCTCGCTCTCTCTCTTCGCTCAGTAGTAAATGTGTCTGATCTCTGAGCAAAGTCATGGGCGACCATTGATATGCCAAGATTTACTGAAATTGTGTCGGAATATGGTGGTGCATTGCGTTCTAGTAAATGTCAGTTGACGCGTGACTCGAAGCAATTTGATTCAGTATGACCAGAATGTTTTGACTGAGACAAAAACCAATATAGTTTTCAATTTCCCCAATTGGTGCAGATATCAATACCTCATTTGTCATTTATTTCAAGTCAAATTTCAACTAGAAAACTGATTTTATCATACTCTCAAAACATAAATTATCAATACCTTTCTGTTTTAATTTTATTATATTTTAATATTTTTCATTTATTTTTGCTTCAAAGATTCCGGAAAACCATTTGAAAAATCTGAGTTTGATAACTTACATCGGATGTTCTATTTCAATATTCTGTCTCGTATTATCGCTGTGTGTATTTGCTCTCGTCAAGTAAGTACTTTTCATCAAACTTTATCTTAATATACATAGGGATCAGACCAAGTGTAGACAAATGTTTATTAAAGTATCTACAATATAAATGTAAGTGAGAAATTTTTTTTTGCAGAAAATAGCAGTATAAAGATAAATATTAGAATTCATTGTTATTTTTCGAAATATCCTCCCTTTGCCTTCAACTGCACTGATTGGAATCGATCTGATTGGAACTTGACTGCACGAGGCATGTATGGGTTCTTCTGAAATTTTTGTCCCATCGTCTATGCCCATCAACAATCTAGGCATAAGAGCAGTTGTTCTCAACCTCAATAATTTTTTTCTCTCGTACATTTATATTGTAGATATTTTGATAAACATTTGTCTACACTTGGTCTGATCACCCAGTATTTAAACGTTGATAAATTGTAGCCACTTTGTATCAAAAGGAAATCAAAACATTTTGCTATTTTCGACCTAACCTACACTAGGAGTCTTTAGTTCTCAATTGGCGTAAAGCTAATTAAAAATGAAGTTATTTGTTAGATTTCCATACACGTATTCTCAACGTGTTTATCGAATAAATCAGGGGTTCCAAATTGGGTCGGAGTGATAAGTAGGTAGGGTCGCAACCAGGTCATGGGGTTGGGGGGTCGCTGAGGTATGGTAGAAGATGGATGTACAAAACATCTAAGATTTGACAAACCATGGTAAATTTAGCAGTTTGCACCATGGCTCACTGTAAGACAGGCCCATAGGCATCGCTCTATGCTTATGCTATAGAAAATATAGGTGATTATTGTGACATCACCGTTTGGTTTTAGCTTATTTTACTTGATACCACCACATGACCAATCTGAAAAGCCCAGGAAAAAAAGCTCTAAAATTCCATGAAAATATATATATATATATTGACCTGGGTGGCACTGGACACTTGAAAGTTGTCTTTGTGGTCGTCCTGAAAAAAGCTTGAGAACCCCTGGAATAAATCATACTTTCACCCTATTATCTGTTATTTGTAACTTATTGTTAGCTAGTTATTTTTGGCGGGTAGGGCGCGAGATTTGACAAATTCTAAAAAAGGAGCGCGGCTTAAAAAGCTTGAGAACCACGGCCATATAGGGAAGTATTTTACGCTGATTGCTATTGTCAATATAAAATTAAATTCAATGAATGAATAAAATAAATGTTACCTTAACTTCGAAGTTCTGTTATCACGAACCTCTCAGAATTCATTGTTTTCTAATTTTGTTTATGTAGAAATGCATTCGAAGAATCAGGGTAAGGATCACGAGTAGTGTGGAGTATTGTGTTGTGTGAATTGAAACAGGGGTGTGCAGCCTTTAATACAGAAGGGCATGATAAAAAAATTAGTGAAAGTGCGGGTCGAACCTTTATTTAACATAGTATTTACAAGCACAAAAATTTTGTTGTTATCGATCTTATAAAATGCATGGTTCACTTCGCAAAAGCCAGCTGTTAGGGCATTTTAACGTCATAGGCATCAGTGGTTCCTAAACCGCGGTCCGAGGGCAAATTACGGCCCACCTAACAATTTATTATGGCCCGCCGAGCTTGGATGAAACAGTAAAACACTTTATGTTTCTACTTTTTGGCGTTCTAGATACTTCCGATTGTTACGCCATTATCACAGTTCAATCCTGTATATATTCGTAACAATTCAGTTATATCGGTATTAGAATTACATACGGGACGCGCCCTTGCGGAAGCACCCCTCTTCCGACCCGCGAATGTCCTTCCGCATCTAACTTTGGCCATCGGTGAATCAACTTTGAAAGCCACTGGCATAGATAATAAATTTTACCCAGGTATGGGCTTTGCAACGCAAACGGATTGGAATTACTAGCATCTACCAGATTGAACTAAACTAAAAACTTTCGCGGGCCGCACATCATTCAAAATTGACACTTCTCCGCGGGCCACACAGTTTTTCATTGTGGGCCGCGTTTGGCCCGCGGTCCGCAGGTTGCACACTCCTGACATGTTAACATTGGAACATGTTAATATTATTTATGATGATTTGTAGTCATAGTGTTTGCACGAACTTTTATTTTGTTTACAACCCTTAGAGGCAACTTAGTTGACCAATCAATTTTAACACTTAGATAACACTCAGATCAGACTAGCCGTTCCCGGTCTTTTCAAACTCACGTTGTTTTAAAATACACGCATATTTAGTCAAGGCAAAACTTGGCAAAACTATACTAAATACGAGAAATATTTTCAGGAAATGGATTGCTATTTTGCGACGCACTCAAAAATATTTTGCGACTTATTCAACAAACAGTTTGGTAACCACAGAGCCATCAGATTATTAAATACAATACTGACATAAAATCGTTCCTGTTCAAATTCGCTTATCTTCTATATAACCATAATACCGCGCTTTGAACAACAAAATATTATTATTTTATAGGAATAAGTATTGATACAGATGATAAATAGATAGATTTGTTTCTTCTAAAATTGAGTCGTTATTGTAATTGCATGGTGTGTTGATTTTTTTTTTGTGGGTCAAGTGTTGAATGTTCGCGCACATGAATATTCGGAGCTCCCAAAGTATATGCACCAAAATGGCGCACAACCTGAACATAGTATGTGTACCAGGTTAGGGTTCAGGTTGTGCTGAACCCTAACCTGGTACACATACTATGTTCAGGTTGCGCGCCATCTTGGTGCACATACTTCGGGAGCACCGAACATTCTTATATTGTGAAGTGCTTTGTGACCGATTATCCAGTTTCTGTGGTATTTCTAGTAGTATGAATATATATAACCAAGTCAAGTTCATTTTTTCCAACCAGTAAATAAAAAATTAAAAACAGTAGAACACAGAAAATACGAAAAAAATAAAAAATACGCATAAACCTATCCATCAAAGCTTGAATAAATTTCAACACGATCAAGTAGCATGTCTGAAATACATATCTGATGAACTATTCCCATATCCGACATAGACTGGTAACCTGGCGAAATGTGTCGCAATTTTATTGAGTCGTTTTGTCGGCATTGAGAGCATATTAGGCTGCGATATACACAGCGGTTCTGATGTTTACACAAATTTGTAGTATGTATACAAGTTCTTTGAATCAGGTATTTTATCTTAAATGAAAAATGGCACTGGACCCAATTATATGACGGAAAAGAGGGAAAAAACGAGAGAAAATGAGAAAACAAAACAAAACGAGAGAGTCTCACCAAATCGTATTCATTCTCTCGAAATAAAACTACATCCTTCTTTTACAGTAATATTCGAGGACACAGGACAGAGCGCTACCATCTCCATGCAAACCTTGCTCTTTCGATGTTGCTCGGTCAAGTGACTTTCTTGGTTGGCGCTGATAATCCTCCAGGAACGGTATGTATGAAATCATCGAATTTGGTTGTTATAGAATGACAACCCATTTATATATATTAAGTGATTTAAAGGTTATATCACGCTTTAACCTTTGTTATTCTGCATCGTTTTGTCTGACCAAAGGCATTTTCACCACCTAATTTAGCCATTTAAAATCTTGCTACAGTATCTAAAAAGTTAGTGCACAGGAATCTCCCAACACAAATGTATACAGAAAGAAGCAGTTTTACAGATGCTCTGAACCATCCAAAATTGTCATTGTCAATTAGAAGTTTATTTACAACTTATATATATTTGTCTATTAGTAGAGGTTGCGCGGGTCTTTCTATTTCTAGCAAATTATGTACAATTTAATATAAATAAATAATCTTGACTTGACTCCATAATTAGCGAAACAAGGTCTAATCTTCCTTTATATTATATTCCAGGATTCCTGCAAAGCTACAGCAATACTTTTACATTTCTTCTATATGAGTGCGTTTAGCTGGATGTTGGTGGAAGGACTTCATTTATACAATCTCGTCGTGAAGGTTTTCAGAAGCGCACAGAGTAGATTGGGATACTATTACATGATAGGATGGGGTGAGTCAGCAAACTTTATATATTGATGCAACTTTTGGTCTACACTACACTTCCACTAAAAGCAAAATTTTTAATAAATGAATTGAAAGCTCAATTAAATTAATAGAAAAACCAGGCAAATAACCTCATATATTTTATTTTATTGAGTCATAAGGTTATTTCCCGTCACGTCATAAGTGAGGTACAGTCCATGAGTCATTAGTATTAGCAAGCTGTTATTACCCTTTTCGGAGCTCCGGAAGTATGAGCACCAAGATGGCGCACGACCTTAAACCGAACCTGGTACCCATACTGTGTTCAGGTTGTGCGCCATCTTGGTGCACATACTTCGGGAGCACCCCCTTTTCTTACATTCCCCTTTACTTAGTTTAGTAATTTCACCATTTCCCAGGGTATCGGTGGATACACTTCTGAAGCACCGTCATTTTTTTTGTCTAACAAGTGTAGTTCTTCGTCTTGTTCAGAGTTTCTTATTATTATCTAGATTTGAATTTAATCCTAATACAATCAATACATTTGATTTCTGTTTTACAGGAACGCCTCTACTTATATGTACAATTTCAGTAGCTGCGGCATTCAGCGGATACGGAGAAAATAAAAAGTATGTTCCAACAATAGAACCGAGAAAATGTTAATAATTCAGTCGCACTAAAAAAGTCTCAACACTGGGGTCCTGACAAGTCAGTTGAGCGATTCAAGAAACCGTTTTCTTCTCGTTACATCATTTTACACAGTGTTCATGAGCTACATTTTACAAACTAAATACGAGGCCTAAGCTTTGCGCCACAAACTGCCATTACAACAGAAACGAGTTACGCTTTAGTTTCCCAGTATCGCAGGAAATAGTACAGGTCATAATATATTTTCCACTTTGATACATGGGCGCTCCAGAAGTATTTGTACCGATATAGAGATGACTAATGTTCGCCTACTTCACATCAGGTTGTGTAAAGGGACTGAAACCTATGAGCAGGGGGTATATTCACTTGGCTAACACAGTCAGTCCCCGAACTCGTGATGAACTAAAATGAGTAAAATCGGAATAAAACCTAACCTGGTACACACACTACGGGAGTAATGAAAACATTCCCAGTCATAGTATAAATTTCCGCCTTGATATTTGTACACTTCTTTACGCACAGGCGTTATTTATTTTGAATGAAAGAAATGAAATTTTTGGTACTACCGTAGTATACATGTGTACCAGGTTAGAGTTAGGGCATAATTTTATTTCGATTTTCCTTATTTTAGTTTTATTACGAGTTCGGTGACTGACTGTTTCAGTCAAGTGAATATAACCCCTGCTCACGGGTTTTAGTCTATTTAGACAACTTGATGTAAAATAGGCGGACAAAATTAGTTACCTCTATATTGGTACACATACTTCTAGAGCACCAAATTTGTTAGTAAAAAGGTAGACTTGTCGTTGTTTCGAGATCGCTTCATTATCATGCTTGAAATATTTATGATGATAGTAACACCCTTATTTTATTTCAGTTGCTGGTTGGACATCAACAATACAAGGGTTATTTGGGCGTTTGCTGGACCTGCATTATTTGTCATACTGGTAAGTTGAAACACTCCACAAAACTGCTTTTCTTCGCAACTATTGGAACAATCGATTTTGAGACTTCAGTATATATTTGAAGATAGAAAATTCTTTAGAATCATGGCCTTTTTTCGTTTTTTTACTTCAAGATCCTCTATTTGAATTGATTCAATACCATACCATTCCCTTAGCTTGAAAATTTATATTTGGGTATATTGCAATCAATTAGCAACTAACTTTTACCTTTGATTTGATCACGCAAATTCGTCCCAAATGTTTAGTTCAATTTAATATGTTTCAACAATTTCAGGTCAACACAATCATTCTCATTAAAGTTACTCGAGTTATTACAACACTCGCAAAATCAAAAGATAATTGTCTCAGCTGCATGACAGATAAAGCAACAGTGGTGTAAGTAGGGGAAAGTGGGGAAGGTTGGGACACTTTTTTTCTTTTGCATATTTTGAGCCGTTAGTTCTGCATATTCTCTTAAGTTTGCGGGACTAATGCATAGAGGGGTAAATGTAGTTTTTATTCAGCAACAAAGAAATTCCCTTGCGACATACATCTTACCACCAAAATGCTTTGAAAAACGTCTGTCAAGTGTCCCACTGTACCCCACTTGTGGGGCACAATCGGACAGACCCTGGGGCACAATGGGTCAGTCTGTCAAAATTCAACGAAGTATGTCCTTAAAAATAAGCAATTAATCAGCATAATCGTCTAAAGTACGGGGAGACTTCGGATTTGAAGATTTAATATTTTTAAAATCAATGTTCAACTGAAATAGTTCAGATATTTTGACAAAACATTTTGCAAAAAAATTTGATTATTTCCTTCCTCGAATCTAAATCTGGAAATAATATTGATTCTCGAATATATTCCATATTGGGCCATGGGTCGAAAGAAACCATTATATTACACAAAATATAACGCATCTCTAAGTCTCTAAGCACCTATTGTATCAAACACTGTCGAATTGTGCCCTGTAGAGCATGTCCCACTGAACCCCGGTCCATTGTTCCCCATAGGAAACAAATATTTTCAGACCATCCCACGGCAAAATTCGGAAGGCACAGCCACTCGCTAACGTTAGGAATATTTTACAGTGGACTGCCGCTAAAGAATATCAGACGATGGTTTGTCTCGTTGGAAAGGCTAAACTAAAAAAAAGAAAAAACTGGAACGGTGAAATTTTTTTTTCAACCTCCCAAAACCAATTTCACCCCATAGCTTGCGCCGCTCTACCCGTCCGTTGTCCGTTCGCGGGGACGTTGTAACTCACCGAAGGGCGGATTGGAACATTGAGCCGCGGACAGGATTGCGGATATAGTATCAGTGTGATAGCTGATTTTCCACTGTGCCCCATGTCCCAACGTACCCCACCTTCCCCTACATCATGAAAATTATTTTAGTAGACAATCTTGTGTTCTTTTCTGTTTTTTTTCTCAATATTTATCTGAAACAGCAACCATTAGCATCGATTCTACCAAATAACAACAAAGTTATTTAACAATATACTTAAAAAAGATCGAATAATAAATCAAACATACAAGGCTTAGAACAGTGGTTCTCAAATGGTGGGGAGCGCCCCACAAGGTGGGAGTAGACAATTTTTTTTGGGGGGGGGTGAATCTAATTAAAAATAAAAATATTTGTTAGATTTGATATTGCCCGCCTTGTTTGTTTTTAATTTTTTCATTTATCTCATTATTCACGTTCCATTCACGTATTTTGTGAATAAAACATACTTTTTCCTGCCCTATTATGGATATTTACATTTCTTCATTGTTTACGTTTCTTTTTTATGTACACGTATTTTCAACGTGTATTTTGAATAACGCATACTTTCGCTTTTCTATCCATTATTTGTAGCTCATTGTTAGCTAGTTATTTTTGAGGTGGGCGCGAGACTTGACAAATTCTAAAAAGGGGGCGCGGCCTAAAAAGTTTGAGGACCACTGATTTGGAATGATTGCGTTCGTTGTGCGTTCTTGCAGCTAAAATGGTTCCATGAAAAATGATTTATTTCTAGGAGTGTTTCTACCTTATTTAAAGCAGTGCAATGAGACTTGCATCATTGTTTAGAAAATCTGAATTTAGTAGTAAGTTTTTGCTGGATAAAACGGGTATACCTATTATCAAAATAGATAATGATTGTTCATCCTGCAACGATTTTGGTTGTTTTCACAACTTTTTACTGATTACCCACGTTTTTGCAAAGTTTTTGGAGGTTTTCGTTATTTATTCTGAATTTTATGAGTCAAATTATTGTAACAAAAACGCAATTTCTTTTTCTTTATACCATATTTTTTCACATTTTCAGTGTCTGTGCAAAGGGAATCGCAGTCTTAATGCCAATTCTGGGAGTTACTTGGGTGTTTGGAGTCTTTGCTGTCAACGAAGATACGATCATATTTCAATACTTATTTGCAATCTTCAATTCTCTTCAAGGATTTTTCTTATTCATGTTTCATTGCATCTTTAATTCAGAGGTTTGTTTTTTCATGGTTGCTCATGGACCCCAGAGTACCGTTCTTTGGGCCCATGGGTCTAGGGCCCAGTTCAAAGTGCCCAGTTCATAGTAGGGCCCAGTTCATAAGTGCTTTAACATATCAATTTGCAATCATATTTTGGTACTCCCGTAGTGTAAGTCCTTATTTTAGTTCTAGCACGAGTTCTGGGACTGTCTGTGTTAGCCAAGTGAAAATTCCCCCCCCCCCCCCCCCCCCCCCCCCCCCCCCCCCCCCCGCCCATTGTTTTCAGTCTCTTTACACAACTTGATGTTAAATAGCCGAACAAATTTAGTTACCTCCATATTGGTACACACACTTCTGGAGCGCCCACCTTTATAAATTCAGAGGTATATCGTGATACTTCATTCTTGGAGGCTTGCATAATGTGAATTTTTAGTTGCACTAGCTTAATTAGTATAGAGAAAAAATAGATCAGAATCATAGCTGAAGCGCTATGATGTCACAATTTTAAAATCATAATTTCACAAAATCCAAACGAAAGGAAACTTTAAAGTGATTTAAAATAAATTAAACTCTGGCGAAATATCGGCTTTGTTGGTCCATTAGTTGATGTCACAAAAACACCAATTTGTGCAATTGGCGAAATACCGTATTGCAAACAGTCGTTTCTAGTTTGAACTCTATTTTCATTGGGAAGAAAATGAAAGTAAACAAGAGTGCAATACTCTAATATGGTGGTCCCATAAATTAAATAAAACAGCGAAAGTTTGGGTAAAAAATTTGATCTATTAGTTACGAATAAAGGCAATTTCCACCCAATGTAGCAATAATATAGCATAACAAGTCTATAAGTCTACTCCGTCTTCAGTTAAATGAACCAATCTGTTACCCATCGTAACGTCATTTCTTTCTTTCTAGACTAGGGCATCATTGAAATATCGGACAAAATCTTTCCGTAGTGACTTACAAAGTCGCTCAGCTTCTCATTCAAGGAGTCGTCGACAAACAAAGGTGGAATTAGTGAGGAATGCAGAACAAGTAGTACGTAGTTTAGTAGTTTGCACTTGGTTTTGTAGCCGTATGGTATATTGTAAATATCCTATAGAACAGTGGTTCCCAACCTATTATAGCTCACGGCTCCCTTTCAGCGGCTTTTAGCACTCAGGGCCCTGTTCACCATTTCGGTGGTATTTATAGTGTTCTTTTGATTGGTGTATTTAAAATCCCATCATGTTCAAACAATTCATGCTTAACAAGGTCAAAACATCCTGCGAAATATCCTTATCAAGCAACAAAACTTGGAAAAAAATTTCTTGTAAAGTGAAACGTAAAATCAGTTTTGCGCCTAGCATTGTAACCCTCTTCAACTGTTCTGTGTCCCTCTTGGGGGCCGCGGGTCCCCGGCTGGAAACCGCTCCTATAGAACACGTTTACATCTTATTTTTAGGCCGTAAGTTATGCATATATATCTGATGTTAACACAATTGCTTGAACAAGGTTCCGGGCAAACGGTTAAAACACGGTACAGATCCAGTTTATTCTAAGGTCTTTAGTGCTATTGGGCTAATTCTATTGTGATTTCAGAAAATATTTTTTCATTGTTATTTGAAATACCAAACCCTTTACAAAATAGCATTTCGGGCTAAACTTTAGAAAATATGTCACTCAAATGTGAGGGGGAAAAGACAAAAATAAATTGAAGATTTTTTTTGTGTTAGACATAAATCTTGGTATTTAATACACTTTTTAACAATTTAGCCGACGCAAGAGGAAGCACGAATATTAGTGAGTCTTGCCTTGCAAAAACTGTTTTGTTAAATTTTATTTCTACAATTAATACTCAGCAAACTCCACTTTATACTAATGCACAAGAAAAACTTATGAAATCTATGAATTGATATTGTGAACCGAACTTAATACATATGCCGGCGTGCAGTGGCCAGCAGCACCTTGGAAAAGTTTGAGTTCATGTAGTTCTCTATTAATTATTTAACTATGAGCTCGCCCGGGTTGCGGCCACACATATTTATTTCACTTGAAATCAGACACGTATAACAATGTTCGAAGCACTTATTCTAGATTAAATAATCAAACTATTAAAAACAAAACAAATAAGAAACAGAAAATTGAAAATTTACGGAAAAATAGCAAGTGCCTAGGGCAAACGGCCCGCGGGCCAAATCCGACACGTTGGGTAATTTTATTTGGCCCGCCCGATGCTGCCACAACTAAACTAAAACCAAACTTTGATGTTTAAGCTGAAAAATAGCTCAAGGAATTTGTTAAGATTGCGATTAAATTTAGTCTTGGCATGACTCTTATTGTTTTCCACGTTTGCTTCTGTAAAACTGTAAATATTGTTCATAAAATGTAACTTTTACGTCACACCTATATGGCCCGCCAGTCTAGAAGGGTCAAAAACCCAGGTTGGGCCGGATGAAACACTTCGGCAAGCCGGACCGTAATTTGCCCACTGATTCTGATTTTGCCTCTGATTCTGAGAGTACAAAATTTCCCCGAATTAACAAATTGGAAAAATATTGAGTAACATGCAGTCAATAATGAATTTATCAACTGTATCACAGGAATTGAACAATTATATACTTTTCTACAACAACTAAGAGATATTTGTAAGTTGGTCACGGTATTCATCGTTAGTCGATCATATTTATATTTTCATTTCATTCATTTAGTATATTAAACAGCCAGATCCGTTGTTCATTTATCGGAATATAGTTCATTAATTTTCATTTTTTCTATTACGAAGTATAGAGTATCAAATACTTTCTTATTAAAAAACTTTATTCCTCTCGGAAATTTGCTACTTCCAAACCGACTTTTCTTTTTCTTTTTTGAGTAATTCTATTTTGTCCTCTGTTTTGAATTATCCTCTTGAAACAATCTAATGTTTCTCAAAAAAATGCATTGTCATCCCAAATTTACGAATAATTACCTTTCATAAGAGTTCGTCTTCCAGTAAAAAGCATCAGCATCAACTTAGGAATGGATTCATTTTGTCAGTACGCTTCATTTACCGTGTTATATTTGAATCGAATAATTGGCAACATATTTACAGCTGCATATGTAGCTGTGATCAAATAAATAGTTTGATATTAGTTTCAAATTAGGAGCAAAATGCAAAGATTGTGTTTAAATGTACAACATTTTTCTGGGCGTGGAGGCAGCGAAAATCTGCAAATTTGAACTTTTTCTTTCTTCAGACATATTCCTGTACTCCAGCAGTATGTGTACCAGGTTAGGGTTAGGTCATAATTTTATTCCGATTTTACTCATTTTCGATCTATTACGAGGACTGTTTGTGTTAGCCAAGTGAATATACATAGGTTTCAGTCCCTTAATACAACTTGATGTAAAACAGCCGAACAAAATTAGTTACCTCCATATTTGTACACATACTTCTGGAGCGCCCATATTCCACATTCTGCTCACCTGCATGAATTCACTAACACTTACTTAACGCAAAATTTTCTGCATGGAGAACATTACCTAACACTTAACACAATATTTTCATTATCTATTTGAAAAAAAAGAGAAGAAGTTGTGCTTATTGGTTTAATTTTGAGTATATTTCGGCTGTCCATGAAGAAAAATCGAAAAAATTAGAATTTTATTTAAATGGTCAAAAACAAAGTAAAATGGTTGCCAATAGGCGGGCGATTTGAATCAAATTTTTTTTTTACCAACTTTGTGTCTAATAAATAACTCAAATTCTTGATGAGATCCAATGAGTTTCTAATAATGCTTCTTGGTTTATATACGACACATACACATGTAAATATTTCCAATTAATATTTTGGCTCAGTTTGATTTTATAAAATATCGTTGAAGTTATTACCGATTTACGAGATTTACTTTCGATGGTAATGTTATTAAGAAATATTCTTTATTCCGAATAAGGGAATTTATCGATACCATACATTGTCTTGGCCCTCACGGATGTATTAAATGAAGTAGAATACTTGAACAATTTCTGATTAAACAAAACAACAAACTTGGTTAAGATATATTGAGAACTAACTTAATGACAAAATTGAAACTGCAAAGGGACTTCATGGATACTCTGTATATATATATGTTCAGGCATATCGAAAATTTCAACGTTGAAAAATATTCTAATGTCTTTTTTAATCCATACTTTATTGTTTGGTCTTCAGAATCCGGCTAAAGGAGGCGAAGGCAACTCGAACAGCTTTCGAAACCCAGCACACACCCAAGTCACACCTCTTGGTTCACCGACATCTCATCGACAAGCTTCTACTTCCAGCAATAACACATCCACCAGATCTGCCAAAAGAAACGGATTTAAACAGTTTAATAATACTGAAAGAGGAAACGTTGGTTCAAGACCAGCCAGTGGCAACTCTGACAATTTCCCTAGTAGAAGAGTCACAAAAGCTTGGTGAAAATTTACCGCTATCATCATTCTCCCTGCACTCTCGGTTTTATGGCCCAGAATAGGGTTGTGCAACCTTTAATACAGGCGGCCCAGATATAAAGAACTAGGCAAACCCGCGGGCTTTCTAGTAGTTACAGGCACAAATGTTTTCAAGCCAGCTGTTAGGGCAATATAACGTCCTATGCCTCAGGTATAGGCTTTGCAACTCAAAGGTATTGGAATTACTCGCGCGTACAAGATTGAACAAAATTGAAAACTCGTTTTCCTGCCCGCACACCATTCAAAATTGGCACCTCTCTGTGGGCTTCACAACTTTTCCTTGTGGGTCGCATTTGGCCTGCAGCCGCAAGTTGCACACCCCTGGCCTAGAAGGTTGTTTAGAGACGTAAACGTCTGCTTACATGGGAAGCTGACATATATTGAAAAATAAGCAAAACATTTAAAAGTATCGCACTTACTATCGAACGCAAAATATTACCCTTTTTATGCACTGGTCTATGTCGGAAGTTTTGGAATGTTCGCTCCTTGGATGATATATATATATAGGGTGTCCATGGAGTCTTAAAAATTTGTGAAATTTCAGAGGGAATTTATCGATACCATGGCATATATTGTGTTGGCCCTCACAAATTTATTAAATGAAGCAAAAATACTTAAACAATTACTGATAAGAAAACAGCAAACCAGGTTGAGATATACTGAGAACTGACTTCATAACAAAATTAAAATTGTAAAGGGAATTTATGGATTATATTTCCACACATCATGTTTCTCAAAGTCAACGATTCTTCTCATATTTCCGAATAATGTCTACAAATGAAGAAATTTTATATAAATCTGCACCAGTATTTCTTACATTTTTTTTTATTCTTTTTTATATTGATAGTTTTATATTTTGATTCTCATGACTTTTCTCTGCACATTTTTGATGAAATCATAAATATTTCTGTCACATTAAAATAGTATAAGTTAATTTATGCGGTCGTTTTTGTAACTGCAGTACTTTTGTAGACTCAAAATGAACTACCAAATGAAGAATTGGCAATTTCGATCTTCAATACTACCTAATACTGTCTAAACTAGTGGTTTTCAAACTTAACGCGCCCTCTTATTAGAATTTGTCAAGTCTCGCGCCCCACCTCAAAAAAAACTACCTAACAATAAGCTACAAATAACGGATAGTAAGGCGAAAGTATGTTTTACTCAGTAAACACGTTGAAAATACGTGGATGAAACGTAAATATCCAAAATAATGCGGGCAAGATAAAATCTAACAAATATTTTTGTTTTTAATTAGCTTCACGCCCCCTCAAAATATTGTCTACGTCCCCCACGTTTGAGAACCACTGGTATAGTATTATATGGAAATAATAAATTCTCGGAACATTACAATTCGTTGATATAAAAGGTAACCCAATTGTTTTTCTACAAAGTAACACCATATGCCAAGTCAATCTAGTCCCAAGGGTTCCCAAACTGGGTGACGTCAGAGGTATTTATTTGTCATTTGAATGAAAAACTTTCAACATTGAAGTTCTTGAGTTCTTGAAAATGAAATTGAAAGATGATGTGAAGGACGCATTGCTCCGCCATCGGGTCTACAACACCTTCGAACATATAACCTTCGATATTATTTTGTATACCATTGTTCGTTTACGGTTGACAAAACAATAAATCTCTCTCTCTCTCTCTCTCAAGGGTACAGTTGATTGGGCATAATGTTTTTTTTTTGCATAACTTTTAATCTGCCCGTTATTTCGGAAAAAATGCGATATCCGAGTTTCAAAGTAATAGGACACCATAGCAAAAATTAAACCGATGTGCCTTAAATTTATTTTTAATATTCTTATGTGTGATTTTCTTTTTATGTGTGCTTTTTATTTTCCACTGTACTTTCACGTATCATGACGATAGTTGCTTTAGAAGTTGCACTTGATTTTGTGCAAAATATATATACTCCATAAAAAATCTTTTGTACGTTGTCAATTTTAACTATGGTTTAGGTAGTAACTGATCCTGTGCGCAATAGATGTTAAGATAGCATTTACGTATTTATCCCGGGAGAGAGGAAAGCCGATAAGACATCTTAAACATATAATGAACCACGGCCTCTCGTCAGGTTACCAGTTTATGTCCAGTATGGAGTTATTTAGTCAGTCATCCGTTCCAGATGCATAGACTTGACGGTGGAGGAAAATCGATATGCACAAGCCGACGAATTATTTGTGACACCACAAAACAATGTGCATTTTTATAACAAAATGGCAAATGGGTGTAGCAAAAAAAGAAATATAAATCATGTGTAATCATTTCGCTGGTGAAGAATATAGAAAGTGAATTGTCAAAATGTGAAAAGAAACAGCAACGGAAAACACAGTAAAGGAAGCGAGTATGGCGGTCATGACATCAAGCTTGATGAAGGCACCAAAACAAAAACTAATCACACAGTGCATGGGAGAAAAAAGTCCTTTCACAATAGTGAAAAAATTGTGGAAACTAATTACTAGGGCTGGGCATTTTCGAATACCTGATGATTTCAGAATCAAATCGAATATTATTTTCGAATCGAATCTCGAAAGATATAAAATTGTATGTAACTTTCTTATTATATTAGGTTACTGAAAACATAGTATACATCACTCAGGCAGATTGCTGAGCGTTCACATACAATAAAAAACGCGTTTTCATCAATATCTCACTACAGAAAAGAGTTATATATATGTCAGAATTGCATTGAAAAATATGGCTTCAATAAAAAAAATTGAAAAATTTATCTCGACCATTGGCTGAAAGAGAAAAAAAGATGGCGGCGATTTGAAATTATGCTCCGAACCGATTCGAATAATTTACTATTCGATTTGATTCAAAATTCCCAGCCCTACTAATTACTTAAGCTGAGTGTAACAAAACGCATAACTATAGGGAATGAATGATTCTTGCGTAGCATGAAAGAGCAATAACTGTTTTTATGATAACAAAATGTGTTCATTAGAACAGAAAATACGCATGATTCAACACCATCAGCACTTGAAGTTCTATTAGTGTGAGAAAGTGACAAATAAACAAACAAAAAAACTGAACAATATTGTACATAAATGAAGTCAAATTTGTGAAAGTCCAAAATCTAAATTATCAAATATTTGTTTTTACTGGACTTTTTCGACAACCTCCAGTAAAAGTGTTATGGCGAAAACATGAAATAAATAGCTCAGATTTAAAATTAGATATTTTAATTTGTATACCTGTCAACCATAAGAATGTGCGTCAGATAGTTTTAAAGATGTATAATAAGGAGTATAATATATTTAAAGAAAATGCAGGAAAGATGAGCTTACTTCCGAAACATGTCGTTGGGAGTAGTACGATTGTAATCCAGTCAATTCGAGTTTATTTTTTCCAACCAGGAAAAAAAATATCACACGAGCACAAATTCGAGAAAATGATTATTTGAATTTTTACTGGGGAAGGGGAGTAACGGGGAACCAAAGCCGGTTATCGAGCAGCGATACCCGAAATATATAATCATTTTCAATAAATATTACGTGCAAGTTCAAGGCTACGACTTGCGATTGCTCACCCATCAATAAACAGTTTTTTTTTCTTATAATGATTTTGCGAACGACTACTGAGGTATCAAAAGGCACATAGGAATATGCGAGATGTCAGGAATCTGTTAAGCACGGCAGCTGAACCGCCTCAAAGTAAAACTTTCGTGTAAAGATGAGCTTGGTGCAGAAAAAATTTAGGTAAAAATTGAGAGTGTAAGTGTGCGAGCTAAAATGCAAAATGGGCTGATCCTGCATTCTTCAACTTCAATAGTGATGCACTTGAAGAAGTTTTGTCGGCGTCTTATATTATTTTAATTACCTGCACAAAAAATATGAACCAAATCGCTGCATGCACTATAGCAATAATGTGATTATTATAAATTAAGCAAGGAATAAGTTCAAAAGACCATGCACCCGAAACAAATAGGCCTACTGAAATAACTAGCTAACTATAGTTATAATCAGATACAGTTCCAATACATTTGAACCCACGACAATTGCACCTGCATACTATTGCACTTATGGATTTTTTTGTTTTGTTTTACGGGTATTTGAACCTATACTAGCCCTAACCCATGGGTTTTAGCATATAGATTGAACCCGCGGTTATACTCATGGGTTCAAATGTACGTGGGTTCAAATGTATGGTCACCGTAAAAAATACTTACTGTATTGTACTGTATCAAGGTCATTTATTTATCTTGGTTGACCGTTTCCACTATGTGGCGTTGTTTAATGTGTTTTTGTTGTTTTCCATCGGATGAGAGTTTTAATTTCAGGCGGAATATTGCAATTTCGTTAAGGTAGATAAGATAGGAAGATATATTTTAAGCTATGTGCAAAAACAAAAATGATAGTTAGTAACTGCGGCACTAGACAAACACACAAGAATACACGACGCAATAAATTCATGATCAAAACTTCAATTACGGTTTTTTCGTTATTGGGTTTGGAACTGCAGAGCTGAGATAAAAAAAGTCCCGAAATCTTAAACTTTGGTGTCATTGGCAATTCAACAACTTTTCCAACCACAAGACGTTTGACCTATGATTTTGTTTAAATTTGCTTCCAGCAGTTGGGAGTTGTTTAGCAATATTAATACTGTAGAGTAGGGTTGCCAACTGAAAAGTCTAGGACATAGATTACCGTCATCATTTATTAGGTACCTTGCAGGAAAGAGCAATATAAAACAATGAAATACAAATTATATACAAGCTAAAAAAATATTAAAAAAATATTCATGTGTTTTTCATTCATGTTTTATTTTTTCCGAAAGTTCACGACAAGTGTCTTTCAAGTTGAAGTATATTAAAAGCTCACTTTTCATTTATTTTCAGGCCAGGTCTTATTTTTGAGAAAACACGGTAGTTTTTCGATTTTTAGCCATTGCTGTGTTATGTCATAAAAAAACAAAAGAAAACTAAAGTTAAGTCTGTAAGTGGGTCGCCATAATCTGTGGTAATAAATAGTGGGTCCCAACTCTAAAAAGTTTGGGAACCACTGTTCTAGATAATTTGATAACATACTACGGTTACACAAGCATTTACAAAAACAGCATTATTGGATTGTGGACGTCATAGAGACCAATTATACATAGAATTTTCAGTTATTGAACTAGAATTTACTCAAATCTTGTAGTGTTGCCACTTGCCATCTTCGGAAAATTAATGTAAAATATTTGAAATGTTAATAAAGTTGGTGTTTCTTTGGCTATTTGAGAGTCAAAGCGAAATTAAAAAGAATAATTAAAAGCTTGCAAATACATAAACCGAGGCGATTTTTTAAGAACGGAACAATATCAAGCACAGTACTATTATAACTATTGGGCAAAACGACGTTGGAAAAAATAAAGGACAATTATCATCTTAAAAAGGACAAGGACAAAAATCTCAATTAAAGGATTGTCCTTTGAAATAAAGGACGGTTGGCAACCCTACTGTAGAGTCACTTCCCCGTAATGCGATCTTTTCCACCGAAATGCTTCTAATATCTGTAATATGCTTTGTAATCACAGCAAACACTTCATTTTTCATTAACATACTCTACAAATCCATTTCAACCACTTCCCTTAAAATTATACCGGTACCGTGACCGGAAAACTGTTTGGCTTCAATTAAGCAGCCTCATCATTTATTTTGATATCAAATTCTTGTTTGGCGTTATTTCTGTATTCTAGCGAATGCGGCATGTACTTTGTTAGATCCCATTTGGATACAGTAGGCCTTATAACAGTATTTGCTAGTTGTAGTTGAAAGGTACCACGACCGGGCGGGGGTAGGTTATGCTTAAACCAAAACTGCAGATTTACCAGCTTACTGTGGCTTCTTAGTTGTGTGCAGAGCTGTATGGGAGATCTGTGCTAGGGATGACAGGGCTGAAGGTGTCCAGTTTGAAGAACCAAAATTCAATGTACTCTATTTTTGCTCTATTTATTACACCTCATAAAAATGTCCTTATGCATTGTTTTAAAATAACCTAATTCTGTAATTCCTGCATTTCAGAAATAATGTAGAAATAAGCAAATTATAATCTGTGTTCAGATTTGTTAATTGAGATTCGTTACTCTTGTTAATGGTATAATATTTTTAACTCTTCTCTTCAATATGTCTGCAAGGTGCCAACCCAGATTCTCAACTGATGATGATTGTGCACTATTACCAGCGGACCCTGCTCTTGACAGCCCTATGGAGGCGAGCCAAAGTTCCTATAATGGCTATTTTCGACACCGGATGTCTCAGGCTCAAATCCCACACATGACACGACTCGAGTCGAGTATTTCGATTCAGTCTCTCAGTGCAGGAACTCCTCATCTTGAAGAGAGAATGCGACGTAGGCTGAAATATTTTTTTATGAACCCATGTCAAAAGTACCAGGCGAAAAGGAGGAAGCCCTACAAACTATTTTTACAGATTTTGAAAATTGTCATCGTCACAGCACAATTGACCTTATTTGGAGAATCGAATCTTGCGCTTTCAAACTTCAAATTAGAAAACAATGAAGTTTTTCAAGCCTCGTTTCTGGGACATAATCGGACATACTATACAAAATCATCTGTATATTCGCAAGTGAATGAGATTCGGAAACAATATGCAATTTGGAAAAACAATACTGTTGGTATATTCAGTTATCCTCCCACACCCCCTGGCAACATTTCAGCGGATATAGCACCTCCAGTGGTCATGTGTGTAACAAGTTACGACAGTATCAGCGAAAAATCACCCTCAACCTCGTTGGATTTTGACCTCGATAAACGCAGCACTGAATGCTTTAACTTGGAAAAATGGGTGAAAATGAACGATACAGAGGTTGAAATCGCTAAAAAAATTGTCAGAGATGATTACATACCTTTAAGCAATGGAACTTCATACTACATTGACTTCCCTCGTTTGATAACGCTGGATGTTGCCATAGGATTTCTTGTTGTTCAAATAAATACACCGAGGGGTTTTACTCCCCCCATTTGCTTCAATACTACAATCCTAATCACTTTAGATAATGCTGCACATAATGGAGTGCTATTCCCAAATCTTGTTTCGCAATATCATATGATTCCCTGCAGCAAGGATGAAACACCCTCTATAAATACAATGAAGATATTTTTGAATTTGTTCGATTCAATAATTGTCCTAGTCTGCGCTGTCTCGATGATTTTGTGCTTACGATCGCTCTGGAAGGCGCAGATTTTAAGAATGCGATTCGAGACGTTTTTTAAAGCGCAATATAACAAAAAACTGAACATGTCGGATAAACTAGAATTTTTCAATATGTGGTATTTGCTTATTATCATCAGCGATGTCTTGACAATCCTGGGATCTTTGTCAAAAATCGTTTTGCAAAACAAATACTTGGGACTGGTGGATTACAACGTTTGCAGTGTGTTTTTAGGTGTTGGTTGCTTATGTGTATGGATTGGCGTTTTAAGATATGCAGGATTTTTCCATCAGTACAATGTTCTTGTACTAACACTCAAAAAATCATTACCACACGTTTGCCGTTTTATGGTCTGTGCTTCGTTATTGTATCTTGGATTTATGTTCTGTGGTTGGGTAGTGCTTGGACCTCATCATCATAAATTTCGAAGTCTTGTTGTGACGTCTGAAGCGCTTTTCTCTCTTATTAACGGAGACGATATGTACATGACTTTTGAAGAAATGTCGAAGACGAGTACAGCTATGGTCGTGTTTTCTCAGATTTATTTATACGTATTCATTGCATTATTTATTTACGTTGTTTTGAGTTTATTCATCGCTGTAATCATGGACACTTATGAAACTATAAAGGACTGGCAAGACCAAACCCAGCAAGACCAGTCAGAACTCGAAAAATTTGTTGCACCTTGCACGGCAGATGCGAGTGTTGAAAATTATGGATTTGACACTTTAAATTCCGCCACTATGTGTTGTTGGTGTTGCTTCGGCAATAATGAAGAAGATATAGGAACAGATGATGAACTATTAGACGACTAAAAAATGGCTTCATTTGAATAAAATTTCCATCTCATAAACTTTGACCTTTTATGGATCCCTGGACCCGTGCTATGGATAGCATTTCAGTTTGCAACTTGAACTATTGATTCATTATAAGTTGTTCCATCGAAATTCCACATCGAGTTTAATATTCAGTTGAATTATCAAGTCCATCATGTATCTGAAACTAATAACAGGTTACGTTTCCAGGGCTTCCCCAACCTTTTAAGGTTGCGATCCCTTTCCAATATATTAAAATTTACTGTGACCTCTGTTAAGAAGGCATTGTTATGCCAGCGCGTTGCTTCACTGATCTAATGAATTCTATCAAAACTGTGTTTTTAAAGTTTTGCACTAATTTTGATAATTAAGTTTCAAAGCAAGAGCCTGAAAAAGTATAGTAGATATTTGTGTGGAATTGCTGTACCCTTTGAGACCCCTAAAAATGGTTACGATCAGTTTTGAAAGCCCTGTAATATACTGGACAGGACATAAACTGGTAACCGAGCGAGAGGTTATGGTCCGCCATATGATTAAGCTCTTACTGATGATATAGTGCTGTATGATCAAGTACTGGTAGTTGCTATTGGGAAAATAGGGTGTCAATAAAGTCTTAAAAAAATTTCAAATTGCAAATGGGATTTATTGATATTGTATATTTTTTTGTCCCTCACAGATGTATTGAATGAAGTAAAAATACTTGACCAATTACTGACTAAAAAACAACAAACCGGTTAAAATATATTGAGAACTGACTTCATATCAAAATTGAAATTGTGAAGAGATATTATGGACACCCTGTATAGTAAAGTAGGCCTATTCGGTTTAACAACTTCCAAGTATATTCAGGAAATGATTAATAGCTTATCTATATGAGTAAGTCTTAGGCTTACTTGTAGCAAGGAATGAACAAAACTGAATTGAATTCAAATGTGTGCATATTTCTACATTTAACATAGCTCAAGTTGAGATATATATTCAGTTATGAGATTTAAAATTTCAAGAGCAGGTTCTTTTTGTATCAAACTGATTAACAACAGGTTCTGTCATTTCAGAAAATGTATGAATAACACTATGTAAGCTACATTCCCATGAAACTCTCCACATAAATATAATGTAATGCTAGCCACCAGCTGCGTTATACGATACCCATTTTGCAAAACGAATATCCACATCGCTTTTCATAAATTCGATACATACTTTATAGAGGTCGAATATACAGCTAGTCGTCAAACAATAACAAGTTTTGATTATCATTATATTCCAAGAGCTTTTTGTGCTAACCTCTCGGATTTTCACTGAATATATTCCATAATTAGAATGTGTTTTCAGTGGTAAATTATTCCAAATTGGCTCCTATTCGTTCTTAATACCTCAATTCCATCTCATCCATTTAGTACGTTTTCGTGCTAATCCCCTGATTCTCACTGAATATATTTCATCGATAGAATGTTGGTTTTAAAATTATTCAGGGGTAAATCATTCCATTTTGACTCTTATTTGTGATTAATACCTCAATCCCATCTAATCATCCATTTAGTAAAGTGATTTTCTGCTTAATATAATACTATACATTTAATTATTAATACATTGTCTATTTTTAAATTCACACTGAATTCTTGTAATTTCAAAATGAATTACAGTAAGAAACTGAGATTTCTTCACCATAAATGAAACGAAGTGCTATCTTTTTATTGCTCTTTTATTATTTTTCCGATTTATTTCCTCGCATTCTGCGGTTGTTTGTTGGCCACCATTTCTTTTCTGCCAGGCCAGGTTACTTCATGATGGAACACATTTAAATATACCACTAAAGTAAATAATGGGAAATTTGAGATAAACACCCCTGTTTTAAATTAACAGATTAGTAGTTATCCAATTGGGGTTAGGGTTGGAAATTATTTGAAAAAATGAATTTTCAGCGCAATCTGCATTCGTAATCCTAACTGGATATTTACTGATTTTCTTATTTTGATTGATGACGGGGCCTTTGTACAAAAGATCCAAATCATATCAGCGAATATTCTCACTATTTTTACCCTGATTCCCAATTGAAAGGCATTCGATTCACGCGTTTAGTCAATGGCTGTTAATGAGTATCAAGCAGTAAACTAACTTACTGATAATATGTTTTCTTGGATTGTGATTGACTTATCCTAGGTTGCGAGAATTTAAGTTAAGTAAAGGTAATATATACTGTTATGCCCAGCCACAAATTTTTTGATCTATCAAATTTTAGCATATAAAATAATTGTAACATATTAATTTTCTGTTTTTTTATTATTAGTACATATATTCAAACTGTATGTGATTGATTATTATCAGCAAATATTTCACTTGTGTCAGCGTCACAAGACTTGTAAAATATTTCTTATTGATTTGTTAATTTGCTGCTTACATGACGATTCTGACAGTCCTATGCAACATTTATAGTTGTTTATAAAGTTTCTATTCTTGCTATGTCTTGCTATTGTATATTGGAAGTTTGTTATACTTTCTAATATTCCATTAATTTGTTTATGAAATGCATCAGGGTGGTCCAAATTGGAAGAAGCGAGGGATAAAAAAAGTTCTTATCAATTATGTATTTGGTAGGGAATTGATATGTTGGATGAAAGAATTAATGTCATCTGCAGCATATTCTAGAGATAACACAACTTTTGTGCAAAGCTTCCCAGATTACTGAAACTCATCGGGTACAATCATACAAATTTTTTACATGGGTTCTCTTTTTCGGGTCACCATGTTTGTAATATTCGTCCATCATTTTGATGGAAGCAAAAAGACAAGACTTGTGGGTGAACTCATGCGGCCAGCGTATTCAATTTGGACCACTCTGGCATTTATTACCAATATCTTCTTTTTGTGAGCCATTTCTGCCATTTTGCAATCTATTCATAGAGTTCATTTGTTTGTTTATTCATATCAAAGCTGAACAGTGAACATATCTTACTTTTGAACTTGGTCGAATTTTCCCCTATAAAAGTATCTGTGCACTGTCCTGATATCATACTTCATGGAACTCATAGCATTTTAGTTGCAACTTGCAAGGGTTTACAAAGTAATATATTCTAGTCCAGGAGTGTGCAACAGGCGGCCCAGCTCGCCAGCGATCCCAAAGCGATAGACGCATTCTCTTCTTTAGCCTTGCTCGTTAAATATTTTATGTTGCCCAGCTAAATTTCTGAAGTTAGTTATATGCCCACCGACAAAATATGTTGCACACCCTCGTTCTAGTCAAATTTGAAATAGGCCTACTGCTATTTAAAAAATATTGAGAAAAAACTTTTTTAAATTTCTAGATATTGAAATTAATAATTATGCAAAATTTATCGTTTTTGCTTTGATGAATTGATTGATTATTTGAGATAAAAAAATTTCTCACTATATATCAATACAGGTTTTACATTTTTCATATTACTGCTGACTGAAAGCCTGTATTATTAGTATGAAATTCCCCCTATTTATGTACGACAGTTTTGCTTTTGTGATATTACTGAACTAAAAAAATGTGTTGTGGGCACCTGTTGCAATGGTCGAGATTTTTGTATTATCAGTATGAAATTCCCCCTTTTGTGTACCAAAGTTTTGTTTTTGAATTTTCGCATAACTAAAAGTGTTGTAGGGTCCTGTTTCAAATATCGGGATTTATGTATTATCAGTTAAATTTCCCAATTTGTGTACCAAAGTTTTGCTTTTGAATTTTCGCATAACTAAATGTGTTGTAGGGTCCTGTTTCAAATATCAGGATTTATGTATTATCAGTTAAATTTCCCAATTTGTGTACCAAAGTTTTGTTTTTGAATTTTCGCATAACTAAAAGTGTTGTAGGGTCCTGTTTCAAATATCGGGATTTATGTATTATCAGTTAAATTTCCCAATTTGTGTACCAAAGTTTTGCTTTTGAATTTTCGCATAACTAAATGTGTTGTAGGGTCCTGTTTCAAATATCGGGATTTATGTATTATCAGTTAAATTTCCCCATTTGTGTACCAAAGTTTCGCTTTTGAAAATTTTTACAAAACTAAAAAAAAATGTTGTGGGGTTCTGTGTGACACTGATAGAGATTTCTGTATTATCAGTTAAAATTCCCCAATTGTGAACCTAAAGTTTTGCTTTTGGAATTTTTTGTAGAACAGAAAAATGATTTGTTGTGTTCTGTGACGAACTACTCATCCTATGTTCCTCCTATTTGTATTGCAATTGCATTCATGTGCAACCTGATCTTCAATACGAATACCCCTTTTTCAAGTGGGCACTTTAAACCCAGGCTTTGATTTTTGTGACTTTTTTTTGAGAATTGGACAATTTTGCTTTAATTTTGCAGCAGACTCATTTTTTGTTTACACTTACTAATGTATTTCAATATAGCTGTAAACCCCAGTTTAGATGCTAATTTTTCAGTATATGCATAACAAGAATGATGGCAATTTATTATTTTTTTTCCCTACTATTTATCGTTCCCTAATGAAACTTAGGACTGAAGATATACCGTTCCTTTCTAAAATATTAGCTTTTCAGCATTCATTGGTTGCTTATACAAAGCCTAGTTCAGAATGAAGGTGTAAAATGCCTCCAAAATGAATAAAAAATGCAAAGGAACTAGGAAAACCAGAAATGATATTATTTATTCTTGAAATTTTCGTTTGATGAAATAATTTATCGAGTATTTTAAAGTATGAAGCACGCTGAAATCTAGAAAATCTCTTGGTATTTTACATTTATGTGTTATCTATTACATCGCATATGTTTTCACCAATTTATAATGCATTGTTCATAAAACCTTGTGACAAAAATCCTTCCACATTGCATAAAATATGCCTGTCCTGCTGTTACACAGGAAATTACTTAACTTATGGGTTCAGGAAGATAAAACAATAGCACTGCTTTTTGTATTACCTGTGTTTCCTTTTCGGTTATGTTTCAAACAATAGGACGTTGATAAAGTTAACTGCTTTGACCATTTTGCGCGAAATCATAAACACATGGCATATTTTACTTCATGAAATATGAAAAAACAGTTTTTTTTTTATCCTGGTTTTTACCGTATGCTTTGGAGAATGAAGATGTTACGACAGATTATTAATGATATCATGAACCATGGTCTCTAATCTGGTTTGCTATCAGAGATGGTGATAGCTCAAAAATTCCATTATTATGCTATTTCATTTGTTCAAATTTTCTGCTGCTCTGGGCCCTGGGGAAAATTACTTTCTATTATCCCAATTGTCAAGAATCCATTTTATGTATATTTCCAGCTCAAAAATGCACTTGTATTTGAATTGAAATATCTAGTAATTCAATATTATTGTTGACGTTAATATTTCTAAATGTATCTCATTCTATATCTCAATATTGAATGATATTTTCGTAGTGTGTGTACCAGGTTAGGGTTGGGCCATAATTTTATTCTGATTTTCCTTATTTTAGTTACGAGTTCGGGGACTGCCTGTGTTAGCCAAGTGAATATACCCCCTGCTCATGGGCTTCCGTCTCTTTCCACAACTTGATGTAAAGTAGGCAAACAAAATTAGTTACCTCCATATTGGTACACACACTTCTAGAGCGCCTGACTTGAAGAAACTCAAGTCATTACGCTTAGAAAACAATCTGTCCAATTCATTTGTTTAAATCAGCAATTTTAATTATTAATTTTTTTAATAATTGTTTGTATTCAACTTGCCACTGATCAGTTCAATTCATTAATTTCATTCATACTTTATTTATTTTAAATAATTTGTTGTATTTACTCTTTTTCAGATTTATTTGACTCAATAAAAGCATTTTCAACAATATGTTGAAAGCATTACATCCCTTATGCAGAAATCTTACCTGCTCAAGAGTCTCACAGCAAACTTCTAATTTTTCATCGTTTTTACAATGGACACTTCTGAATAAAACTTATAATGGACAATTATCGGAAAAAAATATATTTTCTATGAATAATATCGGACAAGTATCGAAAATACACACTTTACAATTGCAGAAAAAGTGTTGTAACATTTTGAACTTAAACACGCAAAGTGTATCTGCAATTTATGATTTGAAAAACGTTGCGTTCATCTCCGGACGATTTTTAGAATTAGAAGAAGTACAAACAGAACCAGAACAAGACAGATTTAATTTTGATAAGCATTATGAAGAAGTTCGGCAACAAAACTTTGGGCCGGTACCAGTATCAGAATGTGATTTTCCGAGGTATACTTTTTATTCGATTTACAGGAATTTTTTGATTTGAAGTCTATGTTTTTGATTTGAACCTATGCTTCCCTAGGGCATAGGTTCTGAAAGTGCTCCATGTAGATAACCGGGGCGAAATACCTAGGGGCTTCGCAAGCTATTCGTTTACCTATTAAAATACTGACTTGACTAATTTTGTAACCGTCCAAAGAAGCTATAATGGAATATTGAGGACCCCTGCCCTAGGAAAAGGCCCAAGTTTGAGAACCACCGTTCTGATTAATTTAGTTTCGAGAATATTTTTGGAAATCATATTTTAATACTGAAGAAATTTGCTTTCGATATGATGACAATTGACAAGTGTTTCACACCTTACCTAAGTTATAATGAATTGGGTATGCAGTGCTGAATCAGAATGAGCGTTCCTTTGAAAATAAGCTTCTTATGTATTAGCCTTAATTCATAAAAAAATTGTTTGTCTGATAAAAACTATGATCTGACGAAGCTCACAATGTACTGGCTATTTCTTGGGGAGAGATTAATGTTTTTCCTCCTTCTTCATTTGCTTGTTAAATTGGACTTATCATTACGTAACATACATGATGAGAGCAGCAGTGTTTGAATAAATACATCCCATATTTGATTAACGCATTTTCAACGACCTATCATATGACTGTTTAATATTTAAACAGTACAAAATCAATTAAATTACCGATAATTCATATATATTTAATACACTATATGGCCATTTGTGTGTTTATAATTTACTTCTTTGCAGTAGGATACAAATTATGGTAATTTATTAAAGAATATTTTAAATCTATGCTGTCTAAAATAGAACATACTTACGGCAATCTGTTATTTGGCAGACTATATTTCCCCGCTAATAAGCCAGAACTGCAATATGTGCCATCAAACCGGATAAGAGGCCGTGGTTCTCTATATGATTAATTCGTCTTATTGGCTTTCCCTCCCTTAGAATAAATATTTCAATCCTATCCTAAGTCTGAGTCTTGAGTCAATTGTGAATTTTCCTCAATTCCACTCTACTTCCGCTCTGTTTGTGGGCATGCATGCACATCTTAAGCCTTGCTCTAGTCTGACAACTCTTATGAATATCATTTATTTTTTTAGTGGAGATGCTGCATTAACAACATGGGAATATGCCAAGCGAGATCATCTGGTATACGACGGAATAAAATACAGCGAACTTCCTATCGCCTCCATTCAAGCTAAATATAACAACACTTTCATAAGCATACATTCAACTGATGGTAAGTTAATGTGTCGTATCATTCTTGGACATCTATGTCTATATGGTCATCTATGTAGATCTGTATTTTTGGAATATATAGCTGAGTTGCAAAAAAAGATTTTTAAATAGTTCGAGGACTAGCCGAATTACTTCCATAGAATTTTTACCTGAAATTATAGCCCAACCTGGCACACATACTACTTTCCAGTGTTTGTCATCTTGGTTCACATACTACAGTGCCCAATTACATGTGTAGTAGTATTTGTTGTTTTGGGAAAATGTTTTTATGTAATAGCCTATAATATGGTTGCTAGTGAGTGTTTGTGCTTTTAGATCTTTCATGTTGATAAATATGCGATAAAAACATATATTCAGAGCTGTAGATTATAGTTGACGAAAGTTTTGATTTTTACTCTAGAATTAGTAAAATTTTGATTCTAGTCCAATTCTGCGGAGTTCGAAAATTTGACACCAATATCAATAAAAACATGTCATCAGCATATTCCTAACGCTTAGCAGGATGCTCCAACGCATCACTGGAATGATATTTTAGAAAATATACCTTAATTGCAACAAATTAGATAATTTCAACCAATTAGAATTATCTGATTATGAGTATAAAAATTTAGTGTTTGTGCTTTTAGCATTTCCATCCTGTTGATGAGGATTCTGGTGGATAAAAGTTTAAATTCACTCCAGGATGAATAAAATTTTGACTTCCAAATATCCGATTTCAAAAATTTGACTCCAATATCATCAAATACATGTCTACAGTGTTCACTCTAAAGAACTTATAAATGCGAAGGTGACTCGTATTGAAAAAAAGCGTGCCGAAAGTGAATACTGCGTGTCATACTCCAACTGTACAGCTTGCTAAGATTAGATGTTAAGAGGGAATACTCTCAATTTCTATTGTAAAATTCCTCATTTGCATTTATTTTTATGATGAATATTCTTCTTTTTGTTTTTCAGGTAAACCGTACGCATTCATGACATGTGTGAGTATAATTTTGTCATTTAGTTTCTGATGAGTATTTTTAATTCAAGTTGATAAACGGCCCTTTGGAAGTATGTGTACCAGTATGGAGGTAACTATTTTTGTTTGCCTACCTCACTTCAAGTTGCGTAAAGGGACTGAAACTTCACTATGGACAGTTGGTGTATCCACTTGGCCAACTTAGAGTGTCTCCGAACTCGTAATAGAACTAAAATAAGGAAAATCAGAATAAAATGTTGGCCCAACCCTAACCTGGTACACATACTACAGAAGCACCAATAAATGAACCATGGCTGTGATATACTTTAGCTCTGAAGTCATTAATAATGGCATTTTCTATTTCGCCCATTTCACTGTTTTTCTGACCTAAAAGTCAGTCACATCACATTCATTGTATATGGTACTACCGTAGTGTACACTACCAGGTTAGGTTTAGGCCATAATTTTATTCTGATTTTTCTTAAGATTTCCAGTTGAACTGAGAGTTCGGGTACCGGTACTGTCTGTGTTACGCAAGTGAATATACCCCCAGTGCAAAGGTTTCAGTTCCTTCACACAACTTGATGTAAAGTAGGCAATTAAAAATTAGTTACCGGTACCCCCAAATTGGTACACACCCATTGTACTGTATATTAATATAGTCCCTGTAAGGGTGGCAAGTGAAAGTTTAAGCTTGTGGCCACCTGAGGATAGTTGCATTACCCCCAAGGGGCATTGAGGGCCCAGAGACCTTAATCTAGTATGTCAGACTTATAACCATTTTGGGCGCTCCAGAAGTGTGTATATCAATATGGAGGTAACTAATTTTGTTTGCCTACTTTACATCAAATTATGTAAAGGGTTTGAATCCTATGCGCAAGGGCTATCTATATTCACTTGGCTAACACAGACAATCCCCGAATTTGAAATAGAACTAAAATGCGAAAAATCAGAATAAAATTGTCACCTAACTTTAACCAGGTACACACACTACGGGAGTACTGAATTTTGAGCTTTTCACTCATTTAACATTTTCATTCCAATTACAGGGAAGAGTCGGCTTCAAAAATTCTAAAAAAAAGACAATCCACGCCGCGGAAAGCGTCGGAAAACGTGCAGCTGAAACCTCTATTCTACGAGGTTGTCACAAACATGTCAGAGTTGTTATCAAAGGTCCGGGATATGGACGAGTTGTAAGTTGTTTATTTTCTGTCAAGAATTGTGTTGAATTAGATGTCATTGGATGTCATGAACGGAGGAAATTGATATAGAATTGCTACATTTACATGCTAGTAAATTCCTCATACTCAAGATGTGTCACGCCAATGGGAAACTTAGCAGTTGGCTCATTGTGCGAATTCATGGGTTCTCGACGAGTTGGCAACAGCAATAAATGATGATGCTGTCATCGAACCACTCGAAACAGGGGTGTGATTGTATTATTGTTAAAAAGGCAATACCAAACGGGAAGATTCCTGCCCCTATAAATTAGGAATAGTGGCTTCTTACCTAGCAGTGTATTCTTGTATAAAGCCACTGGTTAAAAATAATTGGTTCCTTGCGCATCACTGCACTCTGGAAGTAATAAATTGGGAAGGAATTGGAATGTGGAATCTTGCACAAAGCCTTGTCAAGATGGAAAGCATATAATTTTCGTACAAAGAGTCTCCCAAGAATGTCCCTTTACCCGAGCAGTGCTTCAAAATAACGTGGAATTTTTTTCAGGCTGCAATTCGAGGACTTGTGCAAGGAGGATTGAATGTTGTTTCTATATCAGACATCACCCCTCTTCATGTTGATGGTTTGCCGCAGAGACCAAGAAAAATAAGAAGAATATAACTTATTTAAGGTCAAAAAAGCTTGGTCATTATATTTGAAAAAAAAAATGAATACAATGGTACTGTTGATATCAAAAAAATTAGGGCGTCACCAGGGGCGCTGCAAGAACGGGTTTTAATCCTCATTTGACCCTCTTTCTGAAATTTTGAAATGACTGAAACAGTCGGTAATAATGTGCTAATGTTCAAAGAGCGAATGTTGTTATTTCGTCTGCTTGTAGTTATTACTTAGTATGTGAATATCTTTATATCAGTTCTGCTGCCCTTATCGGTCAAAATTGATGGCATGGCTAACTTATTAATAAAATTTCTATCAAATTGTTCACTGTATTTGGTTATACACCAATGTAGATTTAGTTTGTGTCTCGATTGTGTGAAACCTGAATAAATTTGCATATTTTGATCCTGGTTAAACTGGAACACACAGGATAAGACAGCAAAGTATATTATTCGAAAAATTGCACGTATCTGTTAGATCTTTCTAATAAGATCGCAATTCTTGAGGTAGAGTTTTGTAGAAGTAGGTTTAGACAAGGGGTGGGCAACCTTTTTCGGCTCGCGTGCCAAAATCGGCTAAATTTAACGCCGAAATTCTTCCGCGTGCCGACCAAAATTAAAAACAATGTTTTGTTACTTTCAAAGCAAAATACTCAATACAACACCTTTTAAACATGTACAGACTAATATACTATTCGAGAATTTAACAGCCCGACAATAGACTTGATTACTTTTTTTATTCTATATCAGTGAGACTTCTGCTGTTGCATTACCGGTGATAGAGATTTTACATCGGGTTTATATTTTGTAACTTTCAAAAAACTACTGGTTTAATCTTTCGGGCTACTTCTATTACTCGACCTGATAAAGTTTATATCTGAGAACAGAGATTCACAAGCATATGTAGATAAAAACATGGAGAGTAATGCAGTCGCAAAGTTTTCAAGACAAGGAATTTTTTTGGGAATGGCATCCCGGGCACGCAATAGTTCGTTTTCTGCACATCTCTCTTGTATTGTCTTCCTCATCCCTTATAATTTTTTTCGAAATCAATTTATAACAGTAAGTCAGTAGGTAACTATGACAAACGTGAGCTGTACAACTTCATAAATCAAGCAGAAATGACGAAAAAGGGTGGCGCAGACGAATTATATTACGTACGAATGTAGTCAAATGAATGCTGTTGCGCTCTTCGCGAGAGCTAACTCATTTGTTACATCATAATATATTTCTTTGTAGCCATAAGGACAAAAAGAGTTCCAATGAATAACGGATTGTCAACAAATAATAATGAATAAACGAACACCTAGTTCCATCAGGTCATTTAGAGTCTGGAAACTTTTTTAAGATTGGCACGCGTGCCAGGGGTTGCCCACCCCTGGTTTAGACAATTTTCTATTTGCCAAGTTAGACCTAGACCATAACAGCTATGGAATACGGCCGGAAAACTGGTTCTAAGATTACTGACTCGAGAGTCTTGAGGGTCCAAAAAGTGTTTCAACACACCAAAAACTTACGTGTGTTATATAGAAAAAATGGGTACTCCCGGAGTATGCGCACCAAGATGTCGCACAACCTGAACCATAACCTGGTACACAACCCGAGTTCAGCTTGTGCGCCATCTTGGTGCGCATACTTCAGGAGGTCCGAAAAATGCCTTTTTTACATTTCAAAAGGGGAGGGGGGTTCTGACAAACCGTGGCTACGCCTCTGAGACAAGAGAAAACTCGTTCATAAGATTTGGTTAATCCCATCACTGAGTACAACGTAAAATGATGTTGTTTTCTCATTAGAACAAATATTCCCCAGTCGTGTTCGGCGGTGTGGCGCATCGTGCTAAGCGTCAGGAACACCCTCGCCACCGCACCTCTAATTACCCTGCGTGGGTTCGCAGGTTAGAATCCCACGCGGGGTGAATTATATACGAGATAATTGCTGGATTCCTCTCCGCCGTGGGATGGTTCACGTGACCGCTGGTCAGTTACGGCTTCCTCCACCACCAACTACATGCTTCCGAAAACAAATAACTGTCTAACTAACCCCACCATGGACTGGTAAGCGGAAGCGGGTATGATTAAGCCGTCTTATTGACTTTTCTCTCTCCCGGAATAAATATGTAAATCAGATCCTATGTTCGCTTAATATTTAATTCAAGACTGCATAAAAGAAACTCTTTGAAATGCTTTTGCAGTAATTTTATTTCAGTCATTTCGATAAAGGTTCTGGGTTAAACAACTTAGTTAGCAAACAGGATTCTGAAAATTACAAAATTAATGATAAACTAGAAAGAACGTCCGTTAGGTATAAATAAAATATGATAATAATATTAAAAATTCAAATATTAGATAATTAAAAACAAATGAAAATAAAAACAATTCTCGTTTAACCATACGATAATGGTTCTTAAAAATAATTAAATAATTCCAGGCACTATTTAATTTCCAATAAATTATTTTTCAAGAAGGCTATTCCATCAATCTTTCTCTTATACAGATAAACTATCAAGGTCATAAATTTTGAGCGCTCCAGAAGCATGTGTACAAATATGGAGGTAACTAATTTTGTTCGCCTACTTCACATCAATTGTGTAAAGAGACTGAAACCTATTGGCAGGGGGTATATTCACTTGGCAATCACAGACAGTCCCGAACTTGTAATAGAATTAGATAAAGAAAATCGGACCCTAACCTTGTACACACACTACTTGAGTACGAAATCGTCCATTCTTAAGTTAATTCCATCATTAGTTTGGTCATTGGAGGTTCCCAGCAAATCAAAAGTGCACAATTTCAATGTTTATCACAATCGAACTACTCAATATTAAAGCTGTTGAAGCTTGTTTTTCAACAAGCCAATGGCTTATGAGTTTTCTTGACTTTCTCGTTCATATACACTTGCATAAAGTAGAAATAATTTGTTCCTGCGGACATCTGGTTGAAGACTTTCACCACCGCGAGATGACGCTAGCAATCAAACATGTGAGCATTAGTAAAATGCACGGGAATATCGTCTTCGCATTGTTGCCCTTGTTGCAAGCATCTGAATGCGAATTTAAAAAGATTGAAAATATGAACTGGGCGATTCAAAAAACACTGAATGAAAGCTAGAAAAAACGTCATCATTTCCTATGATGTTGCTGTGTCAATTATTCAATTTCTGTTCAGTTATTATAGTTCATCTGGCACTACCGTGTACCTTCCCTGAAAATAAGACCTAGCCTGAATATTTAAAAAAATTTTAATATAATCCGTCCCCTTAAAATAAGACCTAGTCGATAGCGCGATTTTTTTTTGACCGAGTCGATAGCAAGAAATCTCTTCTACTCGTTTAAAATGATTGGTCATTGTTTAGCACTTTTTTTTTTAAATAAAAACGCGTTATTTATAGGTAAATGGATATCGGTTTTTGTGATTTGTATATTTGAAAATCTCCTAATTCTCTACTTTGTAATTTTGTTTTTGATAAATGAATGGTATTGAAATAAGACCGTCTTATTTTCAGGGAAAAACGACCGGCAATGCTCAAACATACTGCGACTAGGGTTGGGCATTTTCGAATACCTTGTGATTTCAGAATCGAATCGAATAAATTTTTCGAATCGAGTCGAATCTCGAATACTTGAAAATATATAATTGTAAGCGACTTTATTATAGTAATTTACCCTCTCAACAAATGAATTACTGAAGACATAGAATAAATCACTCAGATTGATTACTGAGAGTTCACACAGAATAACAAACACGTTTCATCAACTCACTACAGATAGTCAGTCATATGTTAGAATTTCGTTGAAAAATTATGACTTCAATGAAAAAAAAATGGGGAATTCACCTCGACCATTAGCGGAAAGATAAAAACAAGATGGCGGCGGCGATCGAAATTTAGCTCTGAACCGATTCGAATAATTTACTATCTGATTCGATTCGAATATTCGATTCGAAATGCCCAGCCCTAACTGCGACCCTGTGTTGTTAAGTTCAGTTATCATTTATCAACAACCCCTGATGCTCTGTGTAATCTTGGCAAATTAAGAGGATTTATCTGATGGCTGTCAATCATCCAGTATCCTGAGATGACCTCTATATGTCATGGTATATAAAGGAGATAGTCTTCACCATGAAATGCGATTTTAGGAGCACGAGGGTTCTCAACTTAAAATGCGGTAAATTAAAACGAATATTTAAACACCGTCACTTTAAAAACTCACTTTTGCGTGATTAGCTAGTATGCTTTGAAAAAACTGAAGTCTTTTGGTTTGCGATTCCCTACTTAATTTTTATTTTTGGTGGAGCAAATGACATGGATTTCGAGCTCAAAAACCGGCGCTCCAGAAGTGTGTGTACCTATGTGGAGGTAACTAATTGTTGTTCGCCTAATTTAACTCAAGTTGTGTAAAGGGACTGAAACCTATGGACAGGTGGTATATTCACTCGCCTAACACAGAAATTCCCCGAATTTGGTTTGCGATTTTTGACTAAATTTTTCTTTTCTCTTTGGGGGGGGGGGGGGGTATATGACACAGATTAGAGATCGAAAATCACCTTCAAATGTGAATTTAAGAGCCTACGGGTTCTCCACAAAAATGCGCTAACTTGAAACCAGTACACGCGAGAATGTTTCAATTGCTGCATTCTAGAGCTTTGTTCAGGAAGAAGACGTGAAAGTTCACCTGGTCCGAACTCTTTTATAAATCGAATTTTCATTCTAAAATCAAACGCTCCTAAAACGCGAATGGGAAAATGTAAAAACATCATAAAAGTATTATCATTTTTAAGGGGTCTTTGCAGTGATATTACGCTCCTATTTCAAGCAAGTAAACTTGGTACCCATTTTGGTATTTCGCGCCCTTTCATTGTAAACCCGAATGCTCCTAAAACCACGAATGCGAGGACGCAAAAACCTCATAAAAGTATTATCATTTTTATGTTCTTTTGCAACAATATTACTTTCCTATTTCAAGGGGGAAAACGTGGTACCCATTTACCCAGTTTGGTATTCCGCCCCCAAAACTAAAAATTTGTATTAGATTGGCCCACCGTCCCTAGATGTACTAACATGGATAAGATTATGTCGCAATTGAAAGATCAGAATGATTAGATTAGAAATCAGAGCGATGGTGTAGAAGTTCACTTCTCGAACTATTTTTCATTTACAGCGTTTTTCATTGTAAACTCGAATGCTCCTAAAACAATTCAGCTGAAGATTCAAAAAACATCGCAAATATATTATCATGTTTATGCACTTTTCATAAGATATAACGCTCCCATTTTAAACGAGAAAACTCGACTCATTTTACTTCAATTTTTAACAGTAATCCGTGGAAGATATTTCCGATATAGAACAACATATTATACATAATTTATCCCCCTGATGAATTGAACGCGCATAAATTGGACACACTGCGTAATACGGACGGACATAAATCTGACGCTGTTAAGCTAACGTTTATACTTTTAAATTTCGTTGTATTCACTGATATTTTCCAGTAAAACCTCCTTAAAATGGCCATATTAGAGACAAATTTTTTTTATACAAAGAACAAAATACTGCCCGTTTTTGAGATAGCTTCATATATAGCTAAGTTATGATTTGGAATGCTTCAAAATGCTTCAAAATACTTTCAAAGTGCAATTTACGGAAAAATACCAGATATTTTTCTACATTTTCTCGTCTCTACTATAAGGATTAATATAGAACCGCCCCCTTGAGACACGCCCTCTTTTCACCGCATGTCATGTATTGACGTACATCTATAACGTGCGTGCTTGTTTATTTAAAATAACGTGGCATAGCGTATAAAGCCTTTCGACTAATTCGCCAATAAACAAAAATTACATCGACTTATACGCCGCGTCCTCTGGAGACCATACCACGTACTTTGGATACTGAAAGGCTATTCTGATAAGACGTTTCCGTTCGCAATAAAGCCTTTGATGTCTGATAATAAACAAACATGAGCAATTAGATTGTTTTTTTGGAGAGTAGTCATATATTTATTACAGTGCACCTGTTTGACCCTCTGAATTTGGAAGAGGTACTTTTGCGAGAAACCCATTTGCGCGAAAATCCGACTTTCACAAGCACATTCAACTCGACGATATGTTCTGTGTTAGGATATATATTCACACTCTGAAAAAAGACGAAGATGGAATATACAGCGTGTTTCGTTTATTATGTAGTGTACCCGATTGCCTCTCTGTAAATTTAGAAAAGTTACTTTAACGCGAAATCCATATGCGCGAAAATCTGACTTTCTTAACCCTTTTCGGGGGAGGTCATCCAAATGGCGATTGGGACCATATATTCATCCTTATTCGTTTTTGAAATCCGAAATTTCTTTTCAAGAAGCGACCGCAGATTACCTCGCCGAAGCCATGAAAACGCACATTCAAGACGTCTTGTCAGATCTTAAATTTTCTTCAGTAAAATATTTTATAACGTCTTGCTATTTTGGGCTTTTCTAGATATTTCTGACTAGATTTAAAATAACTGTAATATTTTCTTAACTTTCACAAAAATAAACTTTGTAAAAAACAACAACCTCAAGTTTTCCGGAAATATTAATAATGAATCGCTTTCAAAACATTCGCATTTGAAAAGTTTTTGTCACAACTTTAAAATAAGCAGTAATTAGAGAACGCAGACATAAATACTGATTAATAATATATAACAGGTCTGCTCAAGTATTTTTACCAAAGATCCTTATAAAAAAAACTTCAAAACTACTGGGGTCCGGTCTTTCCAGGGTGCTAAATATTCGTACCAAGATGGCGCACAACCTGAACATAGTACGTGTACCAGGTCAGGGTTGTTCAGTTTGTGCGTCATCTTGGTGCGGATACTTCCGGAGCGCCCTTTCCAGAAATAATATTTCGACAATGATAAAAGCGTACTCCCTTAGCAGGCTAATGATTATTTGCTAATCAAGTAGCGCTATCAGCATTGTTTATTACGGCGATACAGTTCGTTTCATATATTTTTCAAGTGCAAATATGAGCAAGTTATATAATGGGCTTTAGAACTATAAAAGCCATTTAAATGAGTACATTTCATTAAAGTTGTTGCACATTTCATATGTTGTTGAATAAACTGAAATAAACCTTGGATATCTCCAATAAACACTTTGGGGTCCATAGAACTTTGAATGAAAATTTAGGAGTCCAAAGAAAAAAAGGTTGGGGAGCTCTGATTTACGTCGTGAATAAACATCAACTGACCTGTTTTACAAGTACTGAAACAAGTTATAGTGTCCATCCGTCTTGTATAAACACAATCTTCTCTGTATACTGGAGTCGCGCTGCATTCTCGAATTGTTAGTGTCGATCGATACGTCAGTACTGAAAAAGAAATTGTTGTTTGTGTGAACTTGAGTACTCCCGTAGTGTGTGTACCAGGTTAGGCCAGGTTAATTTTATTCCGATTTCCTTATTTTAGTTCTATCACCAGTTCGGGGACTGTCCGTGTTAGTCAAGTGAATATACCCACTGTCAATCGGTTTCAGTTCCTTTACACAACTTGATGTAAAATAGGCGAACTAAATTAGTTACTTCAATATTGGTACACACTACTGCCTAAACTTGTTGTGTGTATATGTAGACAGGGCCGAATCCAAACTGGCCTGGTTGAGCTGGCGTGAGACAATACGGTTGTGGAAGTCCTATATTCCATTTCATCTATTGTACGACATTCTGATTTTTTGGTGAATGTCACTAAAGTTTTTATTTGTTTTTATTTCATTATTTTATGAATGAGCCAATGTGGGGCCGGTCAGCTTTTTATTTTAGGGGAGCGTATCCCCTGTAGGTGGGGTGTAGAAGAGGGGATGTAAATCACTGCCCGGCCCAATCCTGAAACTGGGAGTGAAGAGTTGTGAATGCGTGTGTCAGAATTTGTCTTTCTCTTGGTTACATATCTTACTATGGACGAAACTATCTTCAACCAAACACAGTAAAAAAAAAACACTCACTCGTAGCAGTAGTTCTTTGCACTCTACAGTATTTCATATGAGGAGGACACTCAGATAGATAATTATTGCTCAAATGCTTTCCCATGCATTGCGGATCAGGATTGAGAGAATTTGAAGTGCAGTTATAACAAAAAAGAGCGTAACCTGAAGTAAAAATATTAGATTTGATAATAAATTCGGCGGTTGGTGTATCGTGCTAAGCGTTAGAAATACACTTTCCATGGCACCCTTTATGGGTCCGCATGTTCGAATCACGCTTGGAATAATTATGTGCAAGAGGATTGTTGGACTTATCGCAGCCGTAGGGTGGTCCTTGCAATCGCTAGTCGGTTAATAAATCACTTATCTATTCCCATATCCAACACTGAACTAGTAACCGCACGAGAGGCCCTGGTTCGCCATATGATTAAATCGATTTCCCCCTCCCCCGAAATGAATATGTAAATCCTATCCTTTATAATATATACAATGCATTCAATTGCTTTAGATTTGGGTTGGTTTGTATGTCGACATTTTAACCAGTGGAAAGTATCTCTTATACACAGTTAATTCATTATTTATATAAACTGAAGTGACAACTACTCTCCGCTTGTTATATTCAAAAATTTTAAAATAATTATTGGTTGAAATTTATGGCTCCATCCGTAAGTTAACCGATGTAATATGCCGGTATCGGTATTCACTATAAGTGTAAGGGATTACAGTGTCTTGCTGCACACTAAACACTTAAGTATTACTGTACAGACTTCTACAGACAATTATATTTCAACTATGTTATCCAATTGATATTTTATTTACAAAGTGGAATTGCTAAACAGTGTCGGTGTTGTACTCGCGACTCAAAAGATAGTTTTTCCAGAAAAAACTTGAAGTTTCTCAATTTATTTTCTAGTAAATTTTATTTTATATTTTTATTGAAGTGTTGCTCAATAGTAATTGTATATGTTGTAAGTATTACAGCGTAAAAACTTTGTAGCATTTATTCTGTTTTGCTCAAGTAAAGCAGCGCCACGATTTTAAAACCTCGCTGAATGAAACTAGCGTAGCTTTCTCACTTTTTTGTTTGTTGTTTTTTAGCATTTGAGCATATCCTTAGATCGCCAGATTTTACAAAATTCATATTTTAGAAAATTTGGGTCGCTTGATAAAAAAATAGTTGAGGTCCACTGTGTTAGTGTTCAGCGAGACTCTTAAATCTTAATAAATTTAATCACTTTCCAAGACAAATCTTACCTTGGCAAAGGAGACAATATGAAATGAATAAGATTAGCATCGACTTCATTCTGTCGGCGTTGGGAGTTGTGCGTCACGTGCGTGAGAAAATACGTCAATACGTCTTCACAGAAGAATTCTTTAATTGCAAAAGGCTTTAATGAAACTCTAATTATTTATGATTATGGTGATAATAATGTAATAATATAATTGACCTGAAAAATAAATGTTTTCAATGTAGTCACACGGTTTGTTCCAATTAGTTCCAAAGGTTCAAACGCAATTCGAATAAGCTTTTTAAAGCGTAATTACAATTTAAATTTGCTATGGAATCAGATCTCAATATATCTCAACCATTTTTGAGTACTCCTGAAGTATGCGCACCAAGATGTCGTACAATCTGAACCCTAACCTGGTACACAACCTGAGTTCAGGTTGTGCCCCATCTTGTTGCGCATACTTCAGTAGGTCCCATTTTTGTTTTATTGTAATCAGTGTTCATTAAAAATTTATTTAATAAACCTGTAGAAGCCAACTTCCTATATATAGTATTGACGAAGTTTCTTTGCAATTTAAAAAAAATATAGTACTTTATGGATACCTGCGGTATATATAAATCAGTATCTCTCAAACGGTGGGATGTATAGAACTTATTGAGGGGACGTGGAACTGATTAAAAATGAAAAAAAATTTATTAGATCAGATCTTGCCCGCCTTGTTTCGGATATTCACATTTCTGTATTTTGTATATTTACGTTCCATCCACGTATTTTCAAAGTGTTTTTTAAATAAAACATACTTTTGCATTACTATCTGGTATTTGTAGCTTATTGTTAGCTTGTTTTTTTTTAGGGGAGGCGCGAGACTTGACAAATTCTAAAAGGGGGCGCGGCTTAAAAGCCACTGATCTAAATCCTTTGCTTCAACCTTGAAACAGCAGTCGATATTAGGAAACTACATGTTCTAACTGATGTTACAAGAAACCTGACGCTGTTTATTGATTAGATTCTAAAAATACAACTTTAATTGGATTTACACAAGGTGGTTTTGTGTAGTAGAGTCTAAAAAAGTTGTTATCGAACACTTAGCTAAATCTGACTTCCATGTGCCAACTTAAAAAACGAGAATATCGGTCAGAGACCGAAGACTTATCAATCGAAACTGCGGTTTCGATTCATGACTCTATAGTGACACCGCGTGTCCCATCACTAATTAACTAATAACTCGCTAATATATGACATAATTCATCCAAAATCGATAGGCTTTGGTCCGAGATATGATGAATGCACATGCAAAATTTGGAGCAGGTTCAAACTCGCCTTCTTAAGATATCGCATTCATCTAACAGACAAACAAACAGACAGACAAATACCTATCAACATACTTACCGATCTTAAGATCGATAAGTAAGTATCGTTTGCTAGCAATGGCTTCCTAGGCCGTGGCGGGTCAAACTTTTCTGCTGCCCGAGGCGAGTTTCTGATAATGCTGCCCCTTATACCTAACTTCAAAAATAATTTGGGGGATAAACAAATTATAGATGTTGTTATACATATAAATTGAAAATTATAAAGGTCAAGTAAAAGTAAAATGTTTGTAATAATAATTTAAATCATCAAACTAAGCAACAAATCCACCCCTATAACGTCCTGCTCGGGGCGGTTGCCATTTTGCCCTCCTCTAGACACTGTTTCCGGGGTTAAGCAGACACGGAAAAAACAAAATATATTAACAAAGCTCAAGTAATATTACTGTAATTTGTCAGTACCATTTCCAGCAAGCACGACTGAACAAATCGAGAAAAATGTGTTTAATCTTTTTCAAATATATGTATAATTTCCGTACACTCTTTATGCCTCTAACATAAGCCTTTAAAAAACTTTTTTAAATTATTATTTGTAAAAATAAATACCTGTTTGACGAATTTTCTGTTTTCTAGCGACCACCCTGAATTGACTGGCAGAATAAATTACAAGTAACTGTGCTTATTATACATTGGCATATAATTCAATAGAAGGTGTACCGAAATCGTACAATGACAGAAATAAAGCCACAGTACATCACCAGTAACCGTATTATACTATTAACTTATAATTTGAAAGACTTGCCGAGCGATGAACAAAGGAAACTCAAACAACAAACTATGTAACTGTATTTTGCATATACAGGGTGGTCACTAGAAGAACAGAAAATTTGGAAATAGCTATTTATTTTTATGTTTTAAGTTTTATAAGGCATATGTTTCCTTTCAAAGTCTAAAAGCTGTTTCCTGCTTTATTCCATGATGTGGGTGTCAAAATAGAAATCAAATTTAACCTAAAAGGTATCAACATAAAACAACTCAGAACATAAAAGAAATAAAAACATATCGAAAAAAAATGAGTAAGCATTCATTTTATTCGTTATCTCATCTGACCTTCAAATTTCTACTTTTCTAGCGTTTTATATAACGTTTATATTTTGTATAGCGTTTTTATATAAATCGCACAATTGAAGAAACTGAGACACCAGGTAGTGATATCACAGATTGAACATGTAGCTGAATCACACTGGAACAATCACGAGAACACACTGAACCAGTGGCTTTTAAACTTTTTAGGCCGCGCCCCCTTTTTAGAATTTGTCAAGTCTCGCGCCCACCTCAAAAATAACTAGCTAACAAACAAGCTACAAATGACAGATATCAAGGCAAAAGTATGTTTTATTCAAAAAACACGTTGAAAATACGTGGATGGAACGTAAATATTAAAAATAAAGAAATGTAAATTTCCAAAATGAGGCGGGCAATATTAAATCTGACAAATATTTTTATTTTTTAGCTTTCACGTTCTCTCAAAAAAAAATGTCTACGCCCCTCTTGTGGGTCGCGCCCACCATTTGAGAACCACTGCACACCAAACATAATTTCTATAACACATCCAACAAAAACAACTTATCAGCCTGCAATAATATAACTAACAGTTGGGGTTACGTGAAACTAACTACCTTTCCTTGCTCTATGCCTTTGCCTGCTTTGTTGTATTTTTTAACGGAAATATACACTTGTAAAAAACTCCAGTAATATTACAGTAATTTTTCAGTGAATTAACCAGCAGACACAAATGAATATACGATCAAAAGGTGTATTTGGCGTATTCAAAAGTTATATACAGTATCATGAGATAAAAGAGATGAAAAGCCGACACTGATGAAAACCTTCGGCACAGCAAATCACAGGCGGTATTATAATCGTAATATACTTTATATCAGTTTTTCTTAATTTTTTTTGCCCTCGAACACCTATGCTTTTTATCTCATCTCGCGGAACAACAGTAAATTAGAAGGTAAAATTAATGGGCGGAGTTTGCTGTAAACTTGATAATTAAAAAATTAGGCCGACGGTTAACGATATTGAACGGTTAACAAAAACTCCATGCGTAATTCTAATCGTAATATACATCCATCAAATAGTTTAATAGCGTTCGATCGACATAGTAAATTACAGGTAAATGTGTTTTATATTCAACGTAAAGACTTGCCGAACGAAAGTATATACACAAACTAATATGCTCCATCGTGCGTCGACGATTCGTCACGAAGAACGCTACAAGAGACGCAATAACATCCGATGCTATGTTAACTCTTTTTCACCTGGCACGTATTTTCTCTTCACTACTTGATTCTGTAACGTCCGCCAAGAGTGTACTGTATGGGCTTATTGAATTTTTTTTTTAAATCTTAAATTGTTAAGATCGCTATATACTTTCATATTACACACAAGTACACATGACAAGTAAGTCTTGTTGAATGCTTCCATATGCGACCCACAAAGAAAAATTATGCGACCCGCAGAGAAGTGTCAATTTTGAAAGATGTGCGGCACGCGAAATTTAGTTTTATCTGGTACATGCGAGTAATTTCCTAACCCTTTGAGTTACAAACCTTACAGTATACCTGAGTCCAATTTATATTCCATGCCTATGACCTTACAATGCTTTTTGGGCGCTCCGGAAGTATTCGTACCAAAATGACGCACAACCTGAACAATCATAGCCTGGTACCCATACTATGATCAGGTTGTGTGCCATCTTGGTACGAATACTTCTGGAGCACCGCTTTTTGTTCCACAACTACTAAGAAGTTTATGTTAAATAAAGTTGTGGCCCGCGGTTTCTTACAGTTATTTGTATCTGGCCCTGCTGTATTAAAGGCTGCACACTCTCTGCTGTAGAGTATTTAAAGTTGTTTTTGAATTATCTGGCGCATAAGGCCTAAATTGTTAAAGGCACCATGTACTTTCATATTAGACACAGGTAACACACCCGGCAAGTAAATTCTGCGGAATGTTGTCACGTAGAATTAATCAGCCTTTCTGGCTGTTCCACTTTGTGCATTGGCCTATACGCGTAGCCTTTTGATTTCCATTGTATATATAAGTGTGTAGCGTCCATATAGCTGTGCAGCTTTACGTTAAATTAAATAAACTGGCCGTTTAACTCACCTAGTTGTTCCCAGAGCTTTTTCGATAAATTCCTTCTTTCGCCTATTTTGGAACTCTTCATTCCTCGCTCATTTTATAAATACTCAATTTTCTTTATTCGTTCAACCTTTAATGAGCCCGAAACTAGTGCTACATACAACTTGCAATATTGGTTTTGCACAGTTCGAACAATTTTTAGTAATGTTTTAATAATGTTAAATAACTAATGAATATTTTAGGAACGACACCAAATACGAAATAATACTTGAACATCAAAATTCACCCTTGAGGTGGAATTCCCTCCTAGTTAGCAAACGTTACAGTTTATTATTATTTTAGGCTTTATCCCGAGAGCTACCGAATCTTCACGTATAATCCACTATCAAAAATTAAAATAGCGTCCACGATTAATATTTAATCCGGTATTTTGGAAAATATTATCAAGTAGAATAATTTCAAATAAAAATCAAATTAAAATTTAACAATTACATTAATATGGTGTTGTTAGGCTATCTGAATAATTCTGGTACGCGCAGCACAAATAAAATAGAAAAAATAAGTAAATATCTACATCCCCTTTGAAAGAAGTCATCCTATTAAAGACTAACTTCAAGTGTCTTTTATATTCTTACTCTGTAATGCCTTTTTCTACTCTAAACCGTAAGAAATCACCAAAGTCAAATTCATAATTGTCTTGGGCTAGACTGTAGAACCTTGTTTGGGGGTACAGCGTGAAACACCCTATCAAAAATACCACTATGAATCAATACAACTACACGCACAAACTGTCTCGTTCTTGAATGTCTAATACTTGAAATCCCCAGAACTTTCCGCGGGTCGCGTAAGGGTCAATATTTTAAGTCGATATAAATGATATAATACGTCGCCGTAATATTTTGATTGGATGAAAATGTCATCATCGAGTCTTTTGCAATGTTTATGAGTCATAATAGAATGATAAATTTTTTCTATCATGCAGCTGCGTCCTCTATGATGTAATGATGTTATGGAAAAAATCACCGTTTAATTTTACAGTTAGAAAAATACATCTGAAAACTTGGAATTTCACGGTAATCAACTTGAAATAGTTAACAATGCAAATATTCTTACTTTCGAATGTATATATTATTACGTCATTCATGGAAACGGAAGTTCTTGAGAAACCGTCATTTGACATATCTTTTGATTCATTTGAAGTTTTGGGTCGGTCGACAAAGAATTATTGATTTTCTTTTTTACTAAACATTGGTCATTCTGCTTCCAGCACCTAAGTAGCTGACATCAACTCTTCCAATAATTCTTACCACTTTTAGATTTTATTATTGCGATATAGATGCTATATCGCCATATGCTATTCCAATTCCTTAAACTTCTTCGATATTCCCAAAGTATGTGAACCAAGATGGCTGACTACGGAACGTAGTAAGTGTACCGGGTTAGGGTTAGGCCATAATTTCAGGTATTATTACTACGGGAGTCACTTGGCTAGTCCCCGAACTCGTAATAGAACTAAAATAAGAAAAATTGGAATAAAATTATAGTCTAACTCTAACCTGGTACACATATTACGTTCCGGTGTCCGCCATCTTGGTTCACATACTTCGGTAGTATTCTTATTTCAATTCTTAAGACGACTCAAAATAAATAATACCACCTATCTTATTTGAATAGTCTATGTAGCTTTCGACACCCCATCCCCCGGAATATTTAATGTCAACACGCAAATAGTCTCAACAACTACCTGTCTTCTGCAATGTGCGTTCATACCATCGATAAATTGATTTATGGATCGCAATCCGAAACTAATTATCATTTTATCTGATTCCTGGTCACATCTTTATTATACTGTTGTTGCTTACAGAATTTTTGACATTCCAGAAGTATGTGAACCGATATGCAGGTGAGTAATTTTGTTCGACTACTTCACATGAATTTGTATAATTTACTGAAACATTTGGGCAGGGGGTATATTCATTTGACCACCACAGACAGTCCCCTAACTCGTAATAAAACTAAAATAAGGAAAATCGGAATGAAAGTATGTCCTAACCGTAATCTGGTACACACACTACGGGACTACCGAATTACTTAGTCTTGTTATACCACTTCTTTTGGATCAATATCTCTCTTTACTTATATTAAAACTTTTCATAACTTCCTCACTATGCACAAAAACTCTGTTCCGATATTTTTCATTCTTTTATTGTACTTCAGCTAGTTTAAACGTAACTCTCATTGCGGCTTTTGCAGAGTTTAAACACGTACATACATATGTATCTATCAGTTGAGGTTCTCTGAAACTAACTACCTTTCCTTGCTCTCTATGCCTTTGCGCAGAGTCTTGAAGACTCTTGAATTGAATAGAATACACATATGTTTTACAATATTTGGTCATATTTGTGTTAATATATTTTAGCATTGTCTATTTTGTTAATTTAGGAATTCTACGTGGACAAATGATTTGGGTTTCAGATCGGATTCAATTTTAAAGCATAAATGTGAATCTGACAGTGTTGACGAAACATCACTACAGCTTACAGAGTAATTATTCTCCAACAGCTTTCAATGCAAGGTGTGCATAAAGTCCCTTTACAATTTAAATTTTGTTATAAAGTCAGTTTGTTAATATATCTTAACCAGGTTTGTTGTTTTCAATCAGTAATTTTTAGGTATTTTTACTTCATTTAATACATATGTGACGACCAAAAAGATATATGGTAGCAATAAATTTAAAAAAGTTTAAGACTTTATGGACAACTTATATATAACAATCATGGTATAAATTCAAAGCCACTTTTAAATGTCTATTCCATTCTCTCGTATTCGAAATGATTCTTTTTTCATATTCGGGTTCAATTCTATAGTATTACTAACGACACAGCAATACTACAGAACGACGATACAATTTCAAGGTATTGTTTCTTAGCTTTATTGATTCACCTTTAAATTAAATTACCGGGCGACGATCCACACTCGCATTACATAATTGGAATTTTATTATTAGACGCGAAGCGAGCAGTATTGACTGAGCTAGAACGTGACACATCACAGAAAATAATCGAAATAAAACTACTCTCTCTTCGGTGCTCCCGAAGTATGCGAACCAAGATGGCGGACATCGGAACGTAACATGGGTAACAGGTTAGGGTTAGGCGATAATTTATTTCCAATTTTCCTTATTTTAGTCCTATTATCAGTTCAAAGACTAGCTCAGAGCCTCCCGTAGTATTTATACCTAAAATTATGGCCTAACCCTAACCTAGTACACATATTACATTTCGATGTCCGCCATCTTGGTTCGCATACTTCGGGAGCCCCTCTCTTCTGTATAAGCTTTAGTAATCGTTGAAACTGATGAAACATCGAAATAAAATTACCGAAACGACGCACTAATCGGAATTTATGCCACGAAACTACGATTCGGGGGGCGTACCCAGGGGGTGGGGAAGGGGATTTGAAGGTCGAAATCCGCCCCTTTGAAATGTAAAAAAAAATTGTATCATAGCAATTTTCGTAGCTTGAAAGGCTTTTCAGACCATCACGACTCTAGCCCGGACCCGGTAGCTGTTACGATTCAACTTGGCAATTGGATATTTTAGACCCCATTTAAAATTCCTGGCTATGCTTCTGCTTCTATTCGTCTAGAACGGGGGTTCCCAAGCTTTTATCATGACGACCCCAAAGACAACTTTCAAGTGTCCAGTGCGACCCCAGGTCAATATATATATTTTTCATGAAACTTTAGAGCTTCTTCCACTGGACTTTTGAGATTGGTCATGTGATGGTATTAGGTAAAATTAGCTAAAACCAAACAGTGATGTCACAATATTCATCTACATTTTCTTTAGCATGAGCATAGAACGATGCCTATGAGCCTGTTTTACAGTATGCCATGGTACAAACGGCTAAATTTAACATGGTTTTTCAAATCTTAGATGTTTTGTACATCCATCCTCTAACATAAATCAGCGACCCCACGGACCCCATGACCTGTTTGCGACCCTACCTACTTATCACTCCAACCCAATTTGAAGTCGCGACCCCCGGTTTGGGAACCCCTGGTCTAAAACATGATGGCATTTCAGACATCCTCTTGTTTTGTAATCAATCTCATCACTTTATATAATTGATAACTTGCGTTTAATCGAAGATAATTTTTATCAAGATTACTTGTTGTCGAATACTATACCCAAAACCATAATGCGGTTGGATCAGGGGAGTGACAAACTTTCCTGCTGCCCAGGGCGAGTTTCTGATAATGATGCCCTTACACTTAACTTCAAAAATAATTTTGGAGCATAAACAAATTATATATAGATGTTGTCATACATAAACATATTTAAATGTATGTTTGTATTATTTTCATTTACATCATCATACTAAGCACAGGCTCACCTCTAAAACGTGCTGCCCCTACGACCCCCTCTAGACACGCTCCTTGGTAAGTTTGGAGATAATTGCCCGTTAAAAGTTGTTGAGATTCAAAAATGTTGAAACAAATTATTAAAATCTATGATGTAACTTGTTTCTGCGGAAGGGAACGAATGTGAGCATCTGGCATACCGTCATGTTACAGCATGTTTTCATGCCAGCAAAAAACAATAAAATATCCACCCCCGACAGACAATCACGCATGCCTAGTTTTCTGTGCCACAAGTTTTCAATGTGCTACTCAGAGAGTGAAACCTGAGAGATCATTGAAATACTCGGCATTAATAGAATTTTGAAATAACGGCATTAATAGAATTTGACAACAGTAGCGTCGAAATATGACAACAAGGCGGTAATTCAAACATGACGTTATCTGTAAGTTCCAATAGATAATGTCCCATTTTGATCACCACCCCGTTGCCACATTTCGACAATGCTTTATTAATAGGTTTTTCACGGGTCAAATTGATGGTGCAAAATGGTACTCCCGAAGTATGTGAACCAAGATGGCGGACACTGTAACGTACTATGTGTACCAGGTTAGGCCATAATTTTATTCCAATTTCCTTATTTTTGTTCTATTACGAGTTACGGGGACTAGCCAAGTGACTCCCGTAGTATTTGTATCTGAAATCATGGCCTAACCCTAATCTGGTACACATACTACGTTCCGGTATCCGCCATCTGGGTTCACATACTTCGGGAGTACCCGCAAATTTATTGTGGTCTT